TCTCGGTTGTCAGAGGTGCGAATAGAACGCAAGAATCCAGCAACAAGCGGGGCATCGTCACCCTTACGTACAGCTCCGATCGTCTACCGCCAGAATCGCACTGCTCACTTTGCGCTCGTCGGCGCATCAAAGGCTGTGAACATCGCGACCTAGCGCAACATCAGATTGTGCGTGCACTGTCCCTACAGACAACTAGCACTCTGCGCCCGCGAGAAGACACGCCCCCGTCAGAGACGGCGGCGGCAGATACGATCATGGCCTCAGGCAGAGGCAGACGCGACCGGGCAGAGTCCAACATGCCAAGGCGTGCGCCTCGCTGGGCTGTTCACTCAGAAGACGTGAGACTGGCTCATGGCACGGACTACCAACCATCTGAAGACTGCGAGTGGAGGACGTTGATGATCAAGGGCCAGCCGATGACGCTGCGTGTGCTCCGGCTTGATCGACACGCTGCCTGTACATGCTCGTACAAGCCTGTACCTGGTCAGGACACCGTCTGGAAAACTGGCGTCATCTATGGCCTTACGGCGCCCTCANACGCCATGATCGAGGTGCGATCTTTGCGTCTGCTAGCGTGTACGCTGATGTCCTTTCTTCAGTGCACCAAGTGCATGAACAATGATTGCCCACGAGCAGTAAGAACCCACAAAAAGNGCGGCGGCATCCGAGACCGGTCGTATTGGATCACAGGCGACTTTCGTGCTCAGAAGCTCTTTTCAGTGGGCTCTGGCCTCGTATTCACGCACGAGATTCTGGACAGCTACCTGGCACATATGATCACCATGGCTACACCCTTCAGTGCCTTCCATGCCATGACATCGTTGTTGNACGAAGCATCGGATCCGATGGCCAAATTCGTGTCGGCCAAGACTTTTGCAAGCGCATTTCGGCGATACATGGCATTCAACGACATAGTGCGCAATATGAACGACATGAAGTGCAGCATCTGTGGCGACGATCCAGAGGTCGTCATTGTCGACGGATACGCCGCAGGATACGACAAGACGAGCGTGTCTGGTAATCTACGGGCGCCAACAAGGGCCGATCCGGGCATTGTCTTTCCGGACGTCAAGGCTCCGACGAAAGGCTTGCAATACGTCAGCGATTACCACCTACGCTTGAGACTCCTGACGGCCTTTGTCGGCCAAGTCAAGGACAAGGAAAAGGCCTTGCCGTCTGCAGACATGTTCCAAGAGGATCTCGCTCGCTTGTCGAGAGTGATCTGCCCTGAAGACCTGGCGAGGCGTCGACATCGAGAGCAAGCAACACTGAACGCGAGTCTGACGGTCTTACAGCGCTACCTCGAGTATCTGGCCGGCATGACGGAGCATCAGTGGCAAACCGACCTCGAGATTAGGCCACATCGTGACTTCATCATTCAATTGCTCGGCCCTGGCTCTATCCTTAGTTTCATCACGTCCGAAGCTGCCAAACGACTCGAAAAATGGTGCATAGCTGCGCGGAACAGGCCCCAGGAAATGCGGACAGATCAAGCCGTGCGATATCGAGAAGCTCTCGCGCAGCATCAGAGCTTCTTCGAGAAGGACTGTCCGGTGTTAGGCACGCTCTGTTCTATCTATGCGGCTAGTGGCAAGCGAGTGCTACCCTTCGAGCGCCTTCTGCACGACATATCCAAGCGGACGCTGTCTGCCTTTGAGATGCTCAAGAACGGTCGTGAGGCAGCTCCGCCGACGCCGGAAGCGTTTGCACCTATCGATTCCCTGCGTACTGGTTCAGTCTACGGCCAACAGTATCGCAAGAGGCCAACCTACAGCAGCCTANGACACGACCAGCGTAGTGACAGCAGCAAGAAGAATTCCGCAGCATCTAGACGAGTTGACAATAACGAAGCGTCTACAGAAGCGAACGATGGCGACCAGGACGCGTACGACGAAAGGCACTGCCAAAAGTTCTATGACGAATACAGGAAAGCAGGCTTGACTGGCGGCATGCTCCTGGTCTGGTGTAATCACCTTGTCTGCTACGGGTTCCACTTTATCGAGACATCGGAAGGCAGGAACGATATCTTCACGGCGCTTTACTGTTTCTTTCGCAGAGCGCCCAGAGTAGTCGTCTACGACTTTGCGTGTGCACTAGGGCCATACTGCATGCAACGCGAACCGGACTATTTCAAGAAGACCCTGTTCCTCATCGATGAACTGCATGCCAAGTCTCACACAAAGTGTACATCGAATGCTTTCGTCAGCAAGTACATGGCTCATCACAAGGAGGTTCGACACATCAACACGAGCGCCGCCGAGGTTGCAAATGCCTGTCTTAAGCGCATCCGAACATCGGTGTCATATTCAAACGAGCGCAATGCCATAGCCCTAGCAAGGATCTTTGTGCTGACATGGAACTGCCAGCGTCAGCGTCACAATGCGAACAACACGACTCGAGCGACCAGCCGCGCACGATGCAAGCCTCGGGCTACTTTCAAGCAATCGAATATCGTAGCCCTGTCTAAAGGGACCGTGCAAAGATTCCAACCTGGCAGCTCCGATGACGAAGCGGGCTGCTTCAGCGCGCAATCCTCAGAACATGCGAGCGCGAGCGACTCAGAGGAAGATACGCTTGTCGATGACCCTGTCGAAGAGGCTGCTCGACAAGAAGGAATGGTTGAGCGCAACCGCATCGAGCTCATGCAATTGAGCCGTACACCATCTCCGAACACATAAAGATACAAGAGAAGACCCCTCTCGCACGTCGAACCAGCGAGCGCTNCGGGAAGCCTGTCTCCTGGCAGACAAGCGTAAACTAAGATAGCGTAATCGAGCAATGAAAGGGAAGACTATTATGCAGAAGCTTCTGAGCCGTCCTGATCGTCCTGATCGTCCTGATCATCGCTGCTGGATTCGAGTCCAGGATGATCCGTCTGAGCTCGAGTCTGTGCAGACGCCAGGGCTGCACGCATCACCTTCAGTTGTCTCTGCAGAGCCCGGTACTTCGCCACAGAAACTGTGCCCTGTTCACCATTCACGGCGTCGTCGATCGGCTCGTCGTCCTCTAAGCGACGTTGCTCCTCCGTGTATATCTTGCGTTGGTTATAGCCGAATTCGAAGATCTTCTCTGCAGCGTTCAAGATTGCCTCTCGGACCTTTTCATCCTGCATGAGGTCAGCAGATGCGTGGACGTAGTTGATGCCGGTGTGGAGCTTTTTCGTTGCTGGACACCAGGCGGATTCTGCCATAGATGCCGCATTGTCTATCTTATCGCCTCGCGCTCCGAAAGTGACAAAGAATTGACCTGGCAATATCGCTTCTGTCTTGATGATCTGCATGGAACGCACGCCAGTATCAGCGCATACGTATGAGGCGCTATGAGGCGCAGAAGCCAAGATATTTACCATGCCCATGTCTTGGTATCTGCGGTAACAGAAATAGTTCTCCGCCTTCTTCTTCTTCTCCGTTTTAGTTTTGGGCCCCTTATAATAGTTTTGCATAGGCGTGAGCGCAGGCAAAAGACCAGTGTGCGATGCTATATTTGTAGACCCGCTCAATCCATCAGGAGCGCAGTAGCGGAGCAGCACTTGCTTCCATTTAGCTATACGCGAACGCAGCAAGCAATGAGCGAGTGCACGGGTAAGACGGTGCAGCCTCACATTGTTTGCCAGTCATGCTCATCACTATGCCTTGCTCGTCTCGCCAAAGTAGCTTGAAGTTGTTGCCTGCCGTCTTGTTGCCGTCAACAACCTTTTTGCGCTTTCGTGTTCCCTCGGCCTCTTCTCTGGCCTTTTCCGCTTCCTCGGCAGCAGCTTTATCCATCGTGGTCTTGACTAACTGCTGCTGCTTGATTGGATCCTTAATTACCGAAGCGTAGAGCTCTCNACGGTCAACAATGTGTCGCAAGAAGGCCTCACGCCAGGAAGAGGCAGGTGGCCTTTTCCCAGGCTGCTGAGATGAAGATGACGCCTGACCGTCTGCCTGGCTACCTGCAGATGGGACCCTTTGATCACCAGATACGCCGAAATTGCCTGAGCTAAGCGCAACAGGCCCGAGGCGAAGCAGCTCAGGATCGACCGGCACGTCGGTTCGTGTCGATTGACCCTGTCCAAGTCCATGCGGCCGGGCTTGCNGCGTAGATTGATCATCATCGGCACCGTCCATGCGATCAACAGACGTCGCACCGGCAGCATTTGGCCTAATGTGGGATGCTGGATCTGCCGGAAGGTTCGCGGCGGCGGCAGCGGCGGCAGCGACAGCGGCGGCGTGCTGCTGGCGGTAAGCCTAGATCGCCCAGAAGGATCAGCACTATTGTCCATGACATCATGACCTCATCATACCTGAAATTCTTCAGGCGGATCTGCTTCGAATTCGGTCATCCGACCTTCGGTTGCATAAGCCTGCACGGTTCCCAGCCATTCCGTGAACACTTGCAAGCGCTCCTCATCTAACGCTGTGTCAGATTGAAGACCCAGTGCTGCGCATAGTCTCTTTTCGATGACGCTGTGCTCCTGCAGCGTGCGTGCGACTATCTCGTCGTATAAAGACGCCAATAGCGCGTAGCGCTCCGGGCCTGACAGGTCGGCATTCGACGGTCGCGACATCTCTTCGCGCACCTGCGGAAGAGCATCAGGCCGCGTAGCGCTTGCTCCCTTCGCTCTGCCGCCTCTCTGAACAATGGCAGCTCGCTTAGGGACGTGTGCGACCGGTTCGAGGCCATCGAGGCCCCGCGCTCTCTTGCTGGCCTTGCGTACACGGCCGACCATGCTGGGTACGACTGCGACGTGTCTGACTGTTGTAGGCCTGTAGACGTCCTGTCAGTAGGCAGTACTGCTGGCTATCGAAGCAGTCGAGCCCGTCGAACGGCTGGGCATGCGCTGGGCTCACGCGACTTTCTTGCCCTAAGGGGAGCCCCCTCAGGCGCGATTTTCTGAGTGAAAATGCTTGTTCACGGTCTCCGCGTAACGTGACTGCGTCGACTTTCCGCGAGCTGGCGAGGCCCAGTCATCATCCAGCATGGACTGCCCTCACCTCGACAAGCTCGCTCTCCGTCCTCCCCGAGCTTCACAAGCAGTTCATCGGGAAGAGTGCACCCAATGCTTCGACAACCAGGCCCGTCCACCAGCATCTGAACATCGACCATTGCTTAGCAGGCTGACGGATGCAGGACGGACAAGAGGGCATCGATGTCTGCCTGACATGCTTCAACGGAGGCTGCCCGAGCTACACGAGCAACGAGCGACACCATGCTCAGACCCACTTTGACCGCAAGGGGTCTACACATGCTTTGGCCGTCAATATCAAACGCAGACGAAAGCCGCAGGCTGTCAAGGCAGCTGAGCTCGCTGTGATCGCATGCGCGAGATGCTGAACCTTCGAAAGCAGGCGGCAAGTGAGGAACAACCGCCCCTGAAGAAGCTGGCTATTCGAGAAGAAGCGCCAGAACACGAAAAATACTCGTTCGAAACGACGCTCAAATGCTACGCCTGTGCCCATCCTGGTGCCCCGATACAAGGCAATGTGCAGGTGAGAGTGTCCCAATATGGAGGAGCTTGTCGTCGCTCAACACTCCTGCGCGTGTAGACCGCACTCGTCGTCGCAAGCATACTCACTTCGATGTCGAGCGCGGCACAGTCTGAAGTAAAAGCGTGGGAGGAAGAGATCACGTCGTGCGCTCATACGAACAAGCTAGAGCAGGCTTCATCTCTGCGTCTGCAAGCAGCAGGTCAGCCCTCGTCTGTTCCAGGATGGCATTGCTGAGACAATCTCACTTCACCAGGCTTGGCGCACTGCTCGTCTTGCGAATTGACCGGCAATCTCTGGCTCTGTCTCACTTGTGGCGCTCTCAGCTGCGGTCGCAAGCAGTTCGGTGGCATAGGTGGAAATGGTCACGCTCTCGAGCATTTCGATGCCACAGGTCACCCCGTAGCTGTCAAGTTGGGCACCATCACGCCCGAAGGCGCAGCAGGCGAGTCCGTCTCCAAACGCTCAAGAGCCCTGCTGAAGCGATAGACCTTCGCTTCACAGATGTCTACTGCTACGCCTGCAACGACGCCAGGATCGATAACAGTCTGACTGGGCATCTCAAGCATTTCGGTATCTCTGTGCAAGAGCAGCAAAAGACAGAGAAGAGCATGACAGAGTTGGTCGGTCTTAGCTCATTCATTGGAGAGTGAGATCTGACGAGATGGCGAGCAGCAAGTAGAGCAGAATCTCAAGTTCGATTTTGCGATGACCGACGAAGCGGGCAATGAGCTCGAGCCGCTCTTCGGTCCCAGCCTCACAGGAATGCAGAATCTCGGCAATAGGTAAATTGACGATAACAGAAGCGGGTTCGCAGCTGAGAAGACACGGGCAGTTGCTATCTTGCATCGGTCATGCAGACGGTCTTCTCGCTCGATCAGTTCAGTCCTCGCTACGTGCTCAACTCTGGCAGTCATCCGCTGCTATGCACTTCAGACGATCCAGCGACCTGCTTCGAATGTCAGATGGGCAAACTTGCGGATGGCTTACTGTCCGGTCGATACGCGGTTCCTCGTGAGCCCGAACGGGACGCAACGACGCACACTTTTGCAGGAGCGGAGAGCGACGATAGCAAGAAGGATGGGCCGGTCTTCCAAGCAGGCATCAAACCAAGCATGTTCAAGGCCCTCGTCGGCAAGAACCACGCAGAATTCTCGACAATGCGACAACAAGATGCCGATGATTTCTTCCGGCATCTCATTGCGCAGATACAGACGAACAATAGAGGCATGCTCGGGCCAGACGGCTCTGCTGCTCGCGATCCGACTCGCTTCTTTCAGTTCCAGCTCGAACAAAAGTTGCAATGCGATGTCTGCAAGCGCGTGAAGTACCAGACCCAGACGCAGGAAGCCTTATCGCTGCCCGTCCGTATGCAGCCGAAACCGATGCAGGATGACAGTACGACACATAAGACACTAAATGCGACAGGCGCCCAAGTGACAACTGAATACGAACAAGTCACGCTCGAAGAATGTCTCGATAATGTCACTGCGCCTGACGAGCTGCAATTCACTTGTCCGGCCTGCCAAGCCTCTCGATCTGCAACGACCCAGACGCGGCTGGCTTCATTTCCTGATGTTCTAGTCTTACACGCTCAACGGTTCCAAATGGTCAACTGGGTTGCTCAGAAAGTACCCGTACCCATCAAAGTGCCCTTTGGAGAATTATCGCTCGATCGCTATCTCTCCTCGGGAAAGATCGCAGAAGAGGAAGAGCTTCCCAATGACGAAGTGGTACAGGCGACGGGTCCGATATTCAACAGTGATGCCATGGCTGCACTGGAAGGCATGGGCTTCCCTGCCATTCGCTGTCAGAGGGCTTTGCTTGCGACCGGCAATTCAGATGCGGAAGCGGCAATGAATTGGCTCTTCGCACACATGGAAGATCAGGGTGAGCTCAAACAGGCCATATACCTCCACGCGCTAATGTCGACAACAGACATCGATGCGCCCTTACCAGCGGTAGAGCCCCCATCTACTTCGGCAAGCGGAGGGCCGTCTGCAGATCTGATCGCTGGACTGGTCGACATGGGATTCGCGCCCAGTCAAGCTCGCAAGGCTCTACGATTGTCGAACAACAACTCGGAAGCAGCCGTTGGCTGGCTCTTTGAGAACACAGATGATCCGGGCGAGGACGAAACGCCAGTAGCACCTGGGGTTACGTCCACAGCCATCGAGCAAGCGGGTAATACAAACTTGCCCGCAAAGTATCGCTTGCACGCCTTCATCTCGCACAAAGGCCCATCAGTGCATTCGGGGCATTATGTCGCTCATATCTACAAAGCTGCGCAAGGCTGGGTGCTGTTTAACGATGAGAAGGCGAGTCTGGTGCCTTGTCTGCGATTTCAGGGCTGAACCTCCCTCAGGTTGTCAAAGCAGAATCGGGCATGCAGAGTGCCGAATCACTCTCACCGTTTGCATATGTCTATGTGTATGTGCGCTGTCAGGCATGATGCATATTCGCTTTCCAATCAAGTGACCATGCATCATAGACTTCGACTTTACTCTGCTGCAATTGACGCGGTTTCTGCACCAATCGCGGCTTTGCTCTGTCGCTACTGTAGCCAAATAGCAGCCTCGTCGCGTAAAAGGCGCAGCAACGCGCTCACTGCAGAGCTTGCTAGCCGAGATGAGCAAAGCTGTCGCGGGCCCATCGAGCATGCGGCAGCAGTCTGCATACAGCCAGCAGCCGGCACTCGCGCAAGAATCATCTGAACTCGGCCTATCGTCAGCGCAGCTCAAATTGCGCGAGAAACAGAAAGAGCTCGACGGCTTCCTCAAAGTAGAGCAGCAAAGCGCACAGGCAGGTCATCACTGAGCTAGCCTAGACCAGCTCACGAGGACCCTGCAGCTGGCGTTATATTTCGAAAAGATCGCAGGTCAGACAGAGCTGCTCCTTACGAGCGGCGAAAGTAGGCGCGAGCTGCTCAGTAGAGACTGATGCTCATGATGGCATGTAGCCGTCGCACAGGTAGCGAGTAATTGGGGCAACGTATTCCGGGCGACCAACCTAGCGCTAGGCGAGATTGCTGCTCAGGGTGCTATAGCTAAGCTGACAGTCAAAACAGCGTCGTTGGCGGCAAAGAGGAAAGAAGCTGGCGAGGGCGAGTCGCAGGAGGGCATTCTGCCGGAAGTGCTTGTGAGGATTCCGACAAGCGAGAACTGAGGACCACGATGTTCAAAACTGTTGTTGACAACACGCATAATCTGCATTAGTACTTGTATCCAGTGAAGGTCGTCGGCGGACGCGAACTTGTCGGCGGCGGGCTTGGCACTGCAGTTGCAGTCGGCCCTGCAGGCTGAACAGTCTTAGCCGCCATCCTCGCCCTTCGCTCTTCTCGCATCGCCGCGAGCTTCGATGCCCGTTCATCTTTGGCCGACGTAGCCGGGGCTGGCTTCGACGGCGGCGCGAGTGATACACTCTTCAAGCTTGAGACTGACGGGACCGGAGCCCTCGTTGGTGAGGTGACATTGCTCCATTCGTCGGTGGCTGACGTGAGTGACGGCGTGAGATTGAAGCTGTTGTTCGTCTTGATGCCAGGATCGGTTGCCCACGCGTCTGTAGCGCCATCGTCCACGATCGCTGGCGGGTCGCTCCAGTCGTTCGCGAAGTCGTCTGCAACATCTGGCTCTTCCTCTGCCGACGCTACGGATATTGGTCTCACTGACGCAGCCTGAGGTGCGCGCGTCTCGGAAGCTGTCATGACATCAGCATATTCCATTCGGAATGTACGGACATACCTAGTGCAGCTGCGAGGGCGGACGATGACTTGAGTGAAGCTCCCTTTAGCTTGAGCGTGCCTGATTTGGATGGCGAGCTATGAGGCGATGGTCGTGACAGCGAGCGGCTCACGCGTGGCGCTGCTGCTCTTGGGACTGGATCGAAAGAGCCCCAGTCGTCTTCTTCCGGCTCTTCATCGTCGACAGCTTGCCCGGGCTCTTCCCAATCACCGCGATCGCTTGTGGCATCGCTAGAGCTCATAGAAGCTGTGGCACTCAGTTGTTGCGCGCCCGGCACTAAGGGCGCGCCATTCGATGCAGCAGCCGCAGCAACCGTGCCAGAGTGACCATTGGTTGCTGCGGCAGGCACAGTGCCCATTACGATGGGCGTAGCCAGCTCCGTCGCAGAGAACTTGGCAGTGAGCGAAGTTAAAGCCCAACCTGCCAGCGCATTGGCTGCTCCCGTAGCGCTGGTGGCCATGCCAGGCGCACTCGTAGCTGCAGCTTTTTGTGCTTGCGTCGGTTGTTGTCCTGGTTCGGCCACGATGGCAGTGTCGGGCATGCTGGCAGCGAGAGATTGTGCGCGCTTGACGAAGGTATCCATCGCTTTGAACGCTTGATCTCTGACGAGCTTCTCTTTGTCGACGAGCGTGATGGACATAGCAGGTATCACCCTTCCTGCTAGGTCGTCCCGATCGAAGCATTCCACCGTAGCCATGAGCGCCATGAGACCTGCTATCCTCGCGTGGACGAACGGATCACGAACGGCTCTTGCAAACGCCGGTATGAGCACTTTGCGATTCGTGCTGAGTGAGAGATGCTTCGATAATCGGCCAAGCAGTATGCAAGTATTGGTGCGGATTCCAGGCTCTGGATCTTGCTGCGCCTTGGCAAGATGTCGCAGCAAATCGTTATTCAGGATTCTGTCAGAAAGCTGAAGACGGCGTTAGCTCAAGGTGAATTCGCGGATGCTTGCCACACCTTCGGCGCTATCAAGAGAACAGACTTGACAGTCGCTTCGCGTATCACAGGCACGAGATCAGCGAAGCCAGTCATCTGTTCGGATTGCTCAATTTCTTGCACAGCAAGAACGTGGCGAACTGACCAGGTTAGGCCAGACCTTGTCTGTTACCGTCTTTGCATCGAGAGCATCTGCAAATTGGGGTAGATTTTCGAGCAAGGCCATGCGCATAGCGCGGTCGGGACTACCGAACAGTCTGACGAGCGGTGTCAGGATTGAGACGGAGTATTCTTTCGGTGGTAAGCTCGTGCCAAGAGACACGACAAGCGGTAGCAGCGTAGGTCCACCCGGCCCATATTCCATCGCTTTGACGAGCGCTGGTAAGACTTTGTACTTGAGGAACTCGGGCGGCAAGGCAGCATGTGTCTCTTTGATCGTCTTGATCAGCACTGCCTTATCGCCCTCACTTGCGAGCGCAAAGCCTTCTAAGCCTTCTGTCAGTTTGACCAGCCGATTACTACTGAAGAAGCCAGTCCCCTGCGGCCCGTCAGAAGCCATGCCGATATTACAAAATGTCTCTACTGAGCCGCGAGAAGCTGGATTCGGATTTGCCAGCCTTCGCATAGCTGCATGGATGGCAGGCGGTATGTTGCCTCTGCTCGGCGGAAGTATCGGATTCGAATCGCTGTGGAAATTGACAGGCAGTGGGCCATTGAAGAGCACGTGAATAAGCAGATGAAGCTGGAATGCGTCTAATGCAGACACATTGCAGTCCCTCAAAGCCTCCCAGCCAGACCGCCGGGTCTCTGGACTGGCCCATTGTCCTGCGTTAGGCAACAAGCCGCCTTGGGAGTATATAACAGCGCCCTGAGGGTCTTTGGGCGAACTGAGCACTTCAAACCCGCCAAGCCGCCACTCGCCACTGGGCGTCGTCATGATCGAGCTTGGCCTCAAGTTGCCGTGCACAGAATGGCCAGACGTGTTAACGAACTTGACGGCGGTGACGACGCTCTTGAGTCCCCAGACTTTCCATTCACCCATCTTACTCGTGTCTATATTTCCCTCTTTGCCCACCCGGCGTGTGAGAGGCTCAATCTTTTCAGTGATGATGTAGATGGACGAGTCTGCTTCGGTGCCATCGAGGAATTTGAGCACGTCGGGGTGCCGTAGCGTTCGTAGCTTTCTCAACGCATTGCGTGCAAGTGGTAGTAATGCTCGCCTGTCTTGGCGGTTGGATGACGACGCGGAAGAGCTGAACACAAAGATGGACACCGGCGTAGCATCATCCTGTTCTCGATCACAATCAGCTCGGATTGGTAGCAGCCAGGCGCTGAGCTGACTCTTTTGAGGCCTTCGTGCAACGACCAAATTGTCTGCCCTTCATATTCGCTGTCTCGTTCACCTATCGAATACGCTGGCAGACCGGGCACGCCTGTGCCTTTGGCGAGCGCCGCCTGCGCCGCCGAGGACACATAGCTCAGCAGGTTCATTCGGGTGCGTGGCAATACGAGTCAGCGAGACGAACGCGACGCGCCAAAGCAGACAACGCTACTCGTACATTTGACAACAGAATGTATTGCCTCAGTCAGGCCACATAGATCAGTCTTGATATATAGGTCGCTTTCTAGGGGACGCCGATAGGTCTAGCACCGAGCGGCAGACCTCTGCTCCGTGTCCAGGCCTGATCCTCGTCGTACATTTGAGGCGTAGCAGGCAAAGATTGCGCGTGCGATGTAGTCGGCGGTTGTGGTAGCGGATGCGAGCCTCTGACGGGCGTGTCGAAGCTGATCGAACCTCGAAGTGGATTGCTTGTCCGACGTATGGATGACCGACGCGAAAGCGTAGCTGCGCGAGGCGGGCTGCTGTCGCTTGCTTGAGCATTTGGCCCCGGTAGATTAGGCGGACTGGAGCGAGGAGCTTCGACAGTATGAAAGCCTTCGGATCCGCCTGAAATACTGGAGATCCTCTTGCTTCTGGGTTGGCTCATGCCTGGCGAGGGTAAGATGGGCAACTCGGCAAAGATGGTCGCTTGGAAGAGTATCATCATTTGCAACGCGGCAGAATGCTGGTCAAGCCATCAGCACCCATTAGACCTATCTCAACAAGCGCTCACACGTTGGGCTGAGATCATGGCCATGCCATCGTCGTCACCGAATACTGCTGGAGAGAAGACGACTGCGAGTGCGCTGACGGACATGCGATTTTCGCTTTCGTACGCTGCCACCCTGTTCATGCGCTATCCATCAGCTGATGTTGAACGCAGCCTCGAGCAGGCTCACCTTGCGAGGTGCTGACAGAGCGCTTTCAGTGTGGCCTGGTGAGCCGGTGCGAGTCGTCTCAGTCGACTCGCGAGAGTGCCCGTGACGGCCATTGCCTCTTCCTCATTCGTAGGCATGCTGATCAGCTCGCGATCCGCGAGCGGCAAAGGAAAGAGCGGGGTAGGCAGCTGTCGTAGGTACAGCTTGAGCACGCCACAGATGGTGAAGACATCGTGCGCATTGGGGTCGAACTGGAACATTCTCTCATCTCTTTCGATCTCTAATACGACTTCTTGCACTTTCGATGAGCTGCCAGATACGCGATAGATGCCTTCTACGGACAGTCCGCGACAGTCTATCTCGGCGATACACCGCTGGACGACGATGGGAACGAGCAAGCCTGGATTGGCTGCAGCGTAGTCCGTCAAGCCGACGCCAAAGATGAGCGAAAGACATTTGCCGACAAAGTAATTCTCGTAGCAGACAGGCTCGCTGCCTACCAGATCCGCCGCAGTGTCGTCCGCATAGAGCCTGGCGTCTGCATCTGGGTCAATCTCGCGTACTCTCTGCTCGAGAACATCGCAAGTGGCAGATCGCGAGACGTTGATGGCCCGCTGGCTATATGCAAAATCGAGCCACTGGTGATGCAGCTCTTCGCCTAGCTCTCTGACTGTCTGCGTGAGAGAATCATGCGACGAGCGAAGTACACGGTCTCGGTTCAAACGAAGCGTCTCGAGCTGGAAGACGCCCTTGCGATACTCCCTGTCGGCTTCCTCTGCTTCTCGTTTGACTTTGACAGACTTGGTCAGCGAGCGCTGTAAATTGGACTCGGTTGCACTGGATCTGCGTTCGGTAGCAGCGACGTTCATGCGCTCCGCGTGACTGCCGAGCCTGTTCATCAGGGTTGTGAGTTGCTTTCCCGCCTTGAAGGAGGCATGAGAGTGAGCTGTTGGTGTCTGGGTCTCCTTCAGATTGCCTGTCGTACCCGAGATGACTTTTGTGTTGATGGTCGGCAGTCCATTCGCAGTAGCTAGCTCGTGAGAGACAGATCTGGGTCTAAACCCAAGCAACGGCGGCGAACGAGGCGGACTGACGCCCTGCTGGTCCGGATCTGCGCCCAACAAGCGCTTCCTAGTCTCTACAGCCTCTTCTTGCGCATTGTTGGCAAGGACAGCCTCGCAAGTATGTCTATAAGTAGCAGCGAGCCTCTGAACGACGTGGGTATATTCCGTTAGACTGGTCGCGCTGGCCTTGTCCTCCTCCTTGATCCGTCGTCGGATACGTTCCTTGCCATCGCGGAACAAGGTCATAGGTTCGACGAGCTGTCTCCGGATCTCGTCCGCCAAGAGAGCGTGGGCGCGGGCATCCTTAAGTGCGCTGTCTCTGAGGCTTTGCCAAGCTCGACGTATGGTCGTCTGCTTGCCCCGCTTGCCTACGGCCTCGTCCTGTCTGACGAGCTTGACGAGAGCCTCGCTGTGCTTCTCTTCGAGGACGGCTCGTGATCTGAGGAAGGTGAGGTACGAGTCGAGTTCGCCTTGTAGGTCGCCCAGGTGATCGAGTGAAGTCGAGGATTCCATTGGAACGGTCTGCTTTGTCCTGTGTCGGACGGAGGCAGGCTGTGACGGACTAGCAGTACTTCATCCTGCCAAGGAGGATGCACTGCTTTGCTCGCAGCTCGCAGTTCTGCCGCTCAGCCCGGCGCGCAGCACAGTCCACGACGACGACGGCGGCGGCGGCTCGCGACAGTCGCCATGCCAATTTGTCGCGCCACGACAGCGCCAATCGACGAGCCTCCCAGTGGCCTGCGATGGGCTTCGGACACAATCCACTCCCTCAGAATCTGGCGCTCGAGTGTAGACGAGCGAGCAAGACGCTTCAGAGCTTTGTCGGTACGATAGCCGCTCGTCCGCGGTAATTGGAGGCTGATTACATCATGACTATCGCTTTAATAGATGCCAGTCAAGGACTCGATGGCATCATCCCCACCGAGGTGCTACGAGCCGCAAGAGGCTTTGCGATATACTCCGGTCAGTGCCCTGACGACACGAGTGCTAGCACAATTGACTGAATGGCTGCAATGCCAGTCGTCAAGGCTGGATTCTTGGCCTCTGTACGAGCAGGCTCAGGACTCGTCATCGCTCGCTTGGCCAACGGTACATGGTCCGCTCCTTCAGCGATAGGCACCGGCGGCCTCGGATTCGGGGGCCAAGCGGGCGCAGAGCAAACAGATGTCATCCTCATCCTCAACTCGAAATCTGCCGTCGAGTCCTTCATGAGCGCCGGGTCAATCTCGATAGGAGGTAACATGTCCGTCGCTGTCGGACCTCTCGGCAGAAATGCAGAAGGGGCAGGCAATCTGAACACAAAAGGCAAGATCGCTGCCATCTACAGCTACTCAAAGACGCGCGGACTCTTTGGCGGTGTCAGCGTCGAGGGATCCGTCATTGTCGAACGCAGCGACTGCAACGGAAAGGCATACGGGACAGAAGTCAGCGCGAAGCAGTTGCTCTCGGGCAATATCGAGGTTCCACCCTTTGCCGAACAGCTTATCGCCACCATCACGCGACTGGCCGGTTCAAATCTCGACGGCAATTGGGTCGACGATTCTCCTAAGCGAGAAAAGGGCGATTATGCTTTCGGGGGCAAGTATCACTCCAGCAGTCAGGCAGGCTCGCGTTCGCCAGCAGCAAGTGGCTCATCAAAGAACCACTTCAACACCGCATTCCGCAATCTCAGTGATGACGAGGACGACGATGGCCGACCGGCCTTTCGATGGAAGAACTCTCAAACGAGCAATATCTCTGACGATGAAGATCCGTTCAAGGAGCCTTCTAGCTACGATCAGAAGAAGCAACGGGCCAGGGAACGAGGTGGCAGTCTGGGCTCCGCGAACCAGAAAGCGCGCTTCGATGCAGATGACGATCCATTTGCGGCCATCGGAGGCCAGACAGATACGACCAAAGTCATGGGCGTGGGTGGCCATCGAAGTGAGAGCGGTCGACGGTCGACAGTGACCGGCTCGCACAGTCGGCCTTCAGAGACTTCGCCCTTCAACGAACGCAACAGCCAGAGACCTTACAAAAGTCATACGAACAGTCCGAGAAGGGACAGATTTGACCAGCATAACGGACCTTCTCCTCTTCGCAGTCGCACGTACGAGAGCGCAGAGGACGACGAGGACGATCTCGTCAATAGAGATCAGATCAACTTCTCTGGCGAGCCCGTGGGCAGCCTGTCCTCGTACAACAATCGGAGACCTGGTGTACTTCGTCTGATATCGAATAGTATGAAGGGTGGCAAGTCAACACCGCCACTACCGGCGATTAACGACATGTACAACGACACGAGTCGGCGGAATCGAGACTCATTCGATGAGGATCTGCAAAGCTTCTCTCGTCGCTCGCCAAAGTCGACATCATCTCGATACAGCCAAGACACATCGAGGCTCGATTCGCCGCAATCGCCTGGCGACTCCTTCAATTTTGCTGGCCAGAAGACAAGGCAGACCGGTACTCATCTTGGTTCTGCCCGGTTGTCGCAGACGCTCAAGACCGACACAAAGACGCGCGAGACGCAGCCAGCGTACAAATCACTCATTGACATGTCCGACTCGAGTGACGATCTCGGCAAGGCTATTGCGCTATTCGACTACAACGGTCAGGTGAGTCAAATGTGAATCGCCTCACATCTAGCTAATACTGTGACAGGCTGGAGATCTCTCGTTCAAGCGCAACGATGTCATCACTATCGTCGCGCGGCCTGCCAACGAGGAGTGGTGGACGGGTTCGATCGGATCGCGCAAAGGCAGCTTTCCTGTAAATTACACTGAAGTACACGATCCTTGATTGCATCTATACTACGAAATTACAGGAGAGGCGAATGATACGAAGTGATACAATTCGGTAAGGCTCGAGAGGAGATGCAAGGCATGACGGGTCTGTTCGTCGACAAGCAGAGCTCAGGGTGGGAGAGTGACAGTGCTGCTCGAGCTGAAGCCCCCAAACATGTATGAGTGGCCTAGATGGCTGCGAGTTGCCCTATCGAAGCTTAACGTCTCTGTAATCTATAGATCGGCGAGACGGCGTGCTGCCTTCATAGGAGCGTGTGTGTTGTGTCAAGGCTGGCATGTGTTCAAGTCGAGCGATCAGAAGATCGTCTCGAGCAAGGCAGATGTGTGGTGCATTGGGGATCTCGAACGAGACCAAAGGCGCATCGATGACTGATGCTGTTTAATAGAATTGCATGCCAAATTGGCTGGCCTGAGATGGGAAAGCTCCCTCTGGCAAAGCGAATTGGGCGGTAAGGGTGTCCTGCTCGTGCGGGTTCTGAGCCAGGGCAAAGCCCGGCTCGACAGAGGTGACCGGGGCTGATTGTGCCTGGTAGTGTCCAGCAAAGGGGTTGGCGAAAGCAGCGAATGAAGCATGCGCATGCTCGAGCTCGGAAGGAACAGGAATGTACCTGAGCGCCTCGTCGATTTCGTCGACCTCGGATTTGATGCCAACGGATCCATAGGCCTGTGTGAGCATACGATCGATCGATGAGGCAGGTGAGGCATCGGCAGAAGATTGAGGCGAGCTTGTACTGTGCTCGGAACGAGGCGAAGGCGCGCTAGCAGACGATAGTGAGCGAGAAGATCGACCACTCGTGTCGCGACGCATGCTCGTCAGTTTGACGGTTGTGGGCAGGGGCTCAGCCGATTCGTGCACGGCGGCCAGATGGCGGCCTAGGTCGTGGCGACGCGAGAACGTCTTTGTGCACGACTTGACGGGGCAAGGGTAGGGCTTATTCCTGAAGTGTGTGCTCGACAAATGCGTCGTCATATTGTAACGACGTGAGAATGTCTGGTCACATCCCTCGAATGTGCATGGGTAGCGCCGTTCACCGTTGACCATGACGGCGTGTCCCGAGCTAGAGCTCCCGATCGAGCGTGAGCGTGCTGCTTTGCGATGACGAGCAGTAGATGTCGAGTCCCTGGATGAGGGCGATGAAGAGTCATGTTGAGACGAGGAGATTGAAGCAGCAGACGAGGCCGAAGAAGAGCTTTGCGTCGATTTAGTTGACCCCTTGCGCGAAAGGCCGCTCTCCTCGTCCAACATTTGGTAGTCGAAGGCAGGCTCATCGGCGAACGTGAGCCAGTCAGGCTTTACTTGATCAGCTGCTTCGCAGATCCTCATCAGTTCTTCGATTTCTTGCAGGCACAAATCGCGCTCACCCGATCTCTGAGCGCGCGGAACGGGCAGAACGGCCTGAGCAAGAGTCTGCATGGGTGGTTGAGGAGCGACGGGCGTGGCCGATTCGTCTTCCCAGGAAGCAAATGCGGCCTGAGCTGCATCAAGATAAGCGCCAGGCCTGATCGTGTCGATCGTCGGGCGCGGTCTGACGCTCTGATGAGGAAGGCTGATGTGCGAGTACGGGTAGGGGTACGCCGCCGCCGCCGCCGCCTCGTCTGGTTGTGAAGCGGACATGCCAAATGTAGCTTGTGAGAAAGCGAATGGGCTGTATTGTGACTCGATCGAAGCAGGCGAACGAGGCTGACCGACGAACGACTGAAAGGCAAACAGAGGCAGCTGCAAGACATGGCGATGGGAGCCAGGCGTCAGCCCTGTTGTCTCGTCATAACACTCGGCCGAGCATGCCAGTCTGCTGCCACTCACCTGGATCTCGGTCATTGTCACGCTGACGCTTGCCTTGGAGGTGTCCGGGGCCGTCTAGTCTCTCATCGAGGAAACGACTCTCGCGCCCTGCGAAGGAAGAAGGCGATTGACGAGATGCAGAGATTCAGCCCAGCGGACGGGACCAGCACCCGGTACGCCCGAGCGCGATCGCAAAAGCGGTGAATTTAAGCACAGCTTTTTGCTTGGCAATTTTTAGCTTAATCGTTTATCATCATCAAAGATTGAATCGCCGCGAGACCCTGTAATACAGCCTGCAGACGTGGGCGTCTCTCACAGCATCTGCCTATAGCGTTTACGAGAGACGCGCCCGTACAAGAGGACGCGAACAAAGACTCGATTTGGTCGAAGTCGCCCTCAGATTCTGCATAGCATTGCCTGATGAAATTGTGGCAGAGACGGCGGCATGTGCATGATTGCATGCTGGTGCCACAGTGGGCGAGATGCCATGGAACAAAGCACGAATGCTGCACGCGTTGCTCTATTCCAATGAGACTTGCTAGACTTGGGGCAATGTCGGCATATGCAGATGAGACTCAACGAATCTGATGCGTAGATAGCCTGATTCTCAGCAGATGAGACAGCGGATTCAGAGCTGATGAAGCTGGATGAATCTCTCACGCTCTCACGCGCGCTCGCCGTCGTCGCGACGGCGTGAAGTTCAGTGAAGCACTCGCGATGAGTGCACGCAACTCGCCAGCGCCTTCGCGTACGGCTGGCTCAATGGTCTCTGGCATATCGAACCAAGGCTATGAAGTCGGCGAGTCGTCTCCAGCTGCCAGCAATAACGTGCGCTCGCGTCAATCCAAACGCGATGAGGTCCGTCGTATGTACGTGCGAAAAGCGTCTGACTCAAAAGTGATATGCGCAGGCTATCAGGAAGAAGATCGAGACGGAGCTAGCGCGTAAACGTCCGTCCAATCGTAGAGCGGGATCGTCCAACATCCCTCAGCCATCGCAGACGAATGGCAATCGTCGTCGGGGCGGACAGGCAGGTTCTTCGCGTCGTGCGGCAGGCACAGTCTCTGCACTGCGACCATTGCCTGCTCTGACTGTTCCATCGACCATGAGCGTCGTGGATGCCTCGCAACTTTGCGCCGCCAAGCGCACGGATTGCGTTCTCGTCGTCGATGAGGAGGAGCACCTTTCTGGCATCTTTACAGCGAAGGACCTGGCATTCAGGGTACTTCAATAGCCACTACACCTGATGCAGCTGATCGTGTCCGGGCAGGTCATCGGCGACGGCCTGGATCCGCGTCATACACCCGTGTCAGCCATCATGACGAAGAACCCGATGGTCACTCGCGACACCACCTCAGCAACAGATGCGCTACAGACCATGGTCACTCGTGGCTTCCGTCATCTGGTAGCTTAGTCTTCTCACACGCGAGCAGGCAGCGGCTGATGCGGTCAAATAGCCCGTCTGTAATGAAGAGGGCGATGTGGTGGGACTGCTCGACATTACAAAGGTCTTTCACGAATCCCTCGAGAAGCTCGAACGCGCCTATGGCTCTTCGCAGAAGCTCTACACTGCACTGGAAGGTGTCCAGTCAGAATGGGGACCACAGGGCGCGCAGCAGGCATCTGGCCTCATGGCGTACGTCGAGGCGTTGCGTGACAAGATGTCATTTCCCGATATTGGCTCCATCCTTGATGTTCGTACTCGTGCTGCTACCATCGGCGTCAAGACGACTGTGCGCGATGCCGCTAAGATCATGCGCGAGAACAGAACGACTGCTGTCTGCGTGCTTGAAGGCGACGGATCTACGGGCAAGCTGGCGGGCATCTTCACGTCCAAAGACGTTGTCCTGCGCGTCATTGCTGCCGGACTGGATGCCAAGACGTGCTCTGTAGTACGTGTCATGACGCCCCATCCGGACACGGCTTCACCCTCGCTGAGTATTCAAGAAGCGCTACGCAAGATGCACGATGGTCACTATCTCAATCTACCCGTGCTCGATGACGCAGGCGCGCTTGTAGGCTGTGTCGATGTGCTGAAGTTGACATATGCTACGCTCGAGCAAGTCAATTCGATCGGCGCGGAAGACGGCGGCAGCGGAGGCGATGGAACGGATGGACCCCAATGGGCACGATTCTTCAATTCCTTTGGTGCTGGCTCAGTACAAGATGATAACGAGTCTGTCTTCTCAGACCCGCAAGGTAGGCTTGCGCTCGCATTTTGGGCACGTCAGCTTATGTGAACGTTGCGCACAGCTGCGTCTGAGCTGCATCCCAACGATTCTGCCTCGATGCTGCAAGATGACGATACATCGGAAGTCGGCCGTGGTGCCAATCATCACGCTTCTTCGATCGGTGGTCTCGCCGTGCCCGGCCCAGCGGTGGATGACGGCACGTACCTGTTCAAATTTGTTGCACCAGGCGGCACGACCCATCGCTTCCAAGCACGATACGATCAGCACGAGCTCATCCGGGACATCGTCGCGGGCAAGCTCGCATCGGATCCCTTCTTCACAGAGGCCGACGATGGCGTCCATCTCGATCCTTCAGAGTTTGCAATCTCCTACCACGACGATGATGGGGATATGGTGCTCATGACTAGCGATCGGGATGTTAAAGATGCAGTTTCGACAGCACGCAAATCTTCTAAAGACCGCGTTGTGCTCCATCTACGTGGGGGCAAGGCATGGGACGAGCAGCTCAAGAAGCGAGGCATATCACTCGAAGCTGCTGCGCCTGCACCTCCGAAGAAGATCAGCAAGTCCATCGTGGAATCTGACGAAGCAGATGACGAGGGAGAGAACTCGAGTCAGGTCGCACGCAAAGCAAGGCGTCGACGACAGCCAGACTCGGACGAGCTCGTCTTTGGTATGCCAAAGGACATGATCTTGCCTGCTGCGATTGGCTTCCTAGGCATCACCATCATCGGCGTCTTCGCTCTGAGCAGGTCAAAGTGAAGCTCTTTGACGCCTTGACGAGCGATTGTTGTACTTTCGACGTTCACGAATAGATGCAGAGGATATGCAATCTTACATAGGCAGTGGGTGCAACACAGGATACATAGTGAAATGCAAAAGGGGTATCGACGGCTAGCGAGGAAGATCAGTAATAGTCTGTCACTTGACCCATTAGCTTGTGTTCAGATGGGAGGAGGCCCGAGCTTACCCTTTTCGCTCGTCTCGTAATGGCGACCGCCGAAGCAGCATGCGAATATGTATGGAATGATCGCGCAAAGCGAAGCAGCAGTGGCGGCCCAGGACAGCCAGAGTGCGTTGCCGAATCCAAAGTGAAGGCCGAGCGCGATGCCGTTGACAGACCGATTATCGATGGCCGAGCGCAGAACGACGACGATGGCGGTGTAGATTGCACTGCCGACGAGCAAGCAGATGAAAGCGACGATGGCGAAGATCGCGCCTAGCAAGAAGGCGAAGCGGTGAGCGAGGAAGCCAGTGAAGAGTGACAGGCCAGAGAAGATGGCGCCGATCAAGAGGAAGTAAAAGGCGACTCTGCTGGTTGTGCCGAGGTAGCCTTCGTCGGTGAGACGGGTGCCTGTTGGCAAGACGGTCGTGATGTCATTGGTCAGCGAGGCGGGTGCATCCGAAAGGAGTGTCGTGAGCGGCAGCAGCTTGTTCCCTGCTGTGCTTGACTGACAATAGACTGGCCGTGCGCCCTCGCCGGCATCGTCGGAGCAGTAATTCCAGAAGCCCCACTGGTAGTATCTGTGCAGGCCTTGGTTGTCTGCTGTTCTCACGTTCGACGTAGAATACAATCCGGTGATGTCTGTGACGCCAGCAGCTTGGAGTCCTGCGCCTAGGCCGGTCGTGTCGAGCGTGACGAAGCGGATATGTCGATAGACTGTGCCATACCGTACTTGGCCAATCTCTGCAAAGATAATGAGGAGGACACTGCACAGCCGGCGTTCAGACACTGCGCAACGGTTTCTGTGTTGGATACGCCGTACCTGGCCAGTGCAAAGAAGATTCCGATAGACGCACACGCGCCGCGCTTGCCTGCCATGATGCTGAAGGTGGTGATAGAAGGCTTGTGGGATGCTGTGTCTTGTCGGTGACCTTGCTGGGAACGCAGGAGGACGACTTCGATATTTCAATGTTCAAGCAGCATCGCCACGCGCGCGCCATTTTTGTGACACGTCATTGCGTCATCGAGATGAATACTTTTGACGCGATGACCTGGCAAGCTGCAGCCGAAGCTGCAGTGACGTTGACCTCGTTCGACGCTCGATGGCAGCTCAAGAGCGAGTAGGCACATCGATACAGGCTTCAGAAGCTGGGCCAGATCTACCGAAAAATGCATTTCGTCTGGCGCAAACGACCCAGCTCGATGCATTGCTCACTATCGTGCGAGACCAAAGGACGAGCCGAGGCGACTTTATCTTCTACTGTGACAGGCGCCTTGCGTCGCGGGCTGCGCAGCACTCAAGCTGACCGGTGCGCGCAGGATTTTCCGTCTGCTCGTCGAAGAGGGACTCAATCACCTGCCTGTAATCGAAAAGCAAGTCACCACGCCGACCGGTCAGACTTACAATGGTGTCGGCTTCCAAGGCGCCATTTGTGGCGTGTCCATCATGCGCGCAGGTGAAGCGATGGAGCAAGGCTTGCGTGAATGCGCAAGATCAGTGCGGATTGGCAAGATCTTGATACAACGGGTTCGTCGACTCGGTCGCGCGTGTGAACCGTGCTGAGCTCGAACGTAGGACGAGGAGACGGCGCTACCCAAGCTCTTCTATGCAAAGCTACCAGAAGATATCTCAGAGCGCTACGTGCTCTTGCTCGACCCCATGCTGGGTAAGTCTATTCTGACCCGGCGAGGCAGGCGCTCATGGACTGTTACACAGCGACGGGTGGATCTGCAATCAAGGCCATCGAGACGCTGCTCGAGTACAAAGTAGCAGAAGAGAGGATCCTCTTCCTCAACATGCTCTCGTCGCCCGAAGGTCTGCGGAAAGTCTGCGAGGCCTTTCCCAAAGCTCGCGTCATTACGGGCTGGATCGACCGCGGGCTCGACGAAAAGTCGTACATCGTGCCCGGCATCGGTGGTGAGTCGCTTCTTTCGTTCAATCTCACCAATACTGAAGAGGAATTGTCAGACGCGGGCGACCGCTATTTCACCTAGCAGACATCTCATGGCTGTTGTTGTACCACAAACGAGTGTTGTCGTTGTCGTCAGCTCTCGTTCTCCGACTTCGTCATCGGCTTGGTCTCGTTGCGCAATCGCTCGAGAGCAGACCGTGTAGGTCCGTCGCCAGCTATGATGCGTTCTAGCCACTCGCCACGAACGCCAGAGTCGACAATCGTCTCCAGCACCTGACCAAAGTCGAGTACACGCGCCTTTTCTTCATCCAGCGCTTCTGCCAAGCGTGCTTGCTGTTTCTCTATCGCTTCCTTGAGCGTGCGCATCTCTTCGTGTATCGCGTCCAGTTTGTCGTCTACTTCGTCCTTCCGCCTCGCCGTCTTGACGCGACCTCTCACATTCTCGCCCACGATCAAAGCCAGGGCAACGCTGAAGAGGAAGGACTCTGATAGGAAGTTGGCGCCTTGTGAGATAGCCTTTGCATCGTTCAGCGGTCGGATCTTGGTGACGGGCTCCCCGAGGAGGTTGGTACGCATTTTGAACTCGGTGCGGTGCATGAACTGGGCGATATCGATGCATACGGCTCGAAAGCGAGGATGTTCTTGTGCTTGTGACTTGAGCTTGGCCGAGATGGGCTTTGCTAGCGTGCGGATGGCTAGAGAGGCTATCTTGACGCTCGCCATGTCGCGGAGCCGTACGTGGCGAGCTTACCGTCGCCCAGGGCTGTAGCTGTGCTGCAGTCGCAGCCAGATTGTCACTGGCCCCCCTGTAAGTGGTGGACTGTCAAGTTGTTGCTGACCGCCGAAACGGCCGAGGCCGAAACATTTTACACGTTCGAGTAGTCTATGAAGACTCGGCCGTTGAACGCCTGACACGCACTTTTGGTGGACTTAGATACTCACAGCGATGACAGTCTCGGAAGAAGACGAGGTGAGGATGCGAACAAGCAAGACACTCCCCAGTCTCGTGCCTCCGCTCAACTTTGGACTCGTCGTCGCCGGCGTCTTTCGTTCTGGCCACCCAAACAGACAGAACTTCGAGTTCCTCGACACGCTCGGCTTGCGCTCCATCATGTATCTGGCTGATGAGACCTATCGCTCCGATACTTCCAATTGGGCAACCGCCCGAGGCCTCAAAATTATGCATTTCCGTATGGAGCAGATCAAAGAGCCCTGGGGCGAGATAGATGAAGCTATGATGGCCGAAGCTGTTTCGTTCTGTCTCGACACGCGCAACTTGCCTCGTCAGTCCTTGCCCGGCTCTATCGCGCACTGGTAATCATACGACGCGCACAAACAGTGTTGGTGCATTGCAACAAGGGAAAGTCAAGGGTAGGCTTGCTCTGCGCGATCCTGAGGAGAGTGCAAGGCATCAGCCTGACGAGCGCCTATGATGAATTCTCGCGCTTCTTCGGCGCAGCGCGCGAAGGCAGAGCTCACGATCTCGAGGCACGTTATTTGTCAGACGGAGCACGTGTACATGTCACTGACAGGTCAGCGAGAGCAGTGCATCGAGACATTCAATGTGAGCTCGGTCATGTATGACCCGCAGTACAAGCCCACGTGGCTCCTGCAAGGCTGAGTCTGACCTCCGACGCCGTGCATTCCTCGGCGCGTCTCTCAACTGCAAGCGTGCCCATCAGCCTCACAGCCCGCTGCGCTGCTCTCGCGCGGCGCAGATCAGCTTTCAAAGACACGCCTGGACAGCAAGACGCTCTCTTCACTGCCAACCTGGCCCTCAGGAGCTCAGGAGAAACGTGTTTCATCGTGACACCGCGCGATGCCGTCTCCACGTCCTCCGAAAGCTGTGCAGTCGCCCTTGCGCAGTGCGGGCGCAGAGGCTTACCATCGACTGCCAACGCCTCAGAGCTCAGAAGCGATATCGCCCGGCTCGCACACGAGCGATCGAGACAACACGAGAGACCCGTTCGAGTCTCGCTACGCACCCCAAGGCGACCTCTCAACGGCAGCACTCGAGCTCGGTCCCGTTGCTTTTCCGGAAAACCTTCATACCTCGCTCACTTCGTTGGGTTCCAGCGAGACGCTCGTCCAGTCCCAGAGCGGCGGCTCGATCGGTGCAATGCTTCACGACATCGAGCACGATCACACTCACCGCCGTTTGGTCGATCACCGCGACGATGACGAAGAGGACAGCCTCGCACAACTGCCTGCAGCTTTGAGGGCTCATCAAGACGAGGACGAGGATGAAGAGTCCCAGTACCTGACCCAGTCCAGCTTCCCGCCCGGTCAGGGCTACTCCCACATGCGTCATGGCTCGGACTCTCCCTCTTCATCTTTCGATCAGCTGGCCTACCCGCCCAAGACAACAGAGCGCTACGCTGGCGTATCGCTCAAGGACGAACCACTGTCGGCTCTCGGTGCCTCGGCATCCAACGACGCGTTCAGACTGTCGCTCCTCAGCCTACCTCCCGGTGCAGGCCCGACAAAGCAGCAGATTCTCGAACAACGCGAATGGCAGAAGCGTGCAGGCGCCCCCAAGCGCGGCCTCACTCGTCGTCTCAAGCTCGTAGGCGGAAACTTCATTGCAGACTATGAAGTTCCGCGGGCTGTTCTCAATGCCGTCGAAAGCCAATATCTCGATGGTCAGTCGTCTCGAGACGTCCTGCCAGCTTGCATACTAACACGCGGGACGAGGCAGGCTCGCGCAAGAATGAGTTCAGCCACATGCGCTACACAGCTGCGACATGCGATCCTGATGACTTTACGCCTCAGGTGCGCGCGATTTGCGCTTGAAGGCTGCATCATTGATCATTTCGCAGAATGGTTGGACGCTGCGTGCGCGGGAAGCCGGCAGAGATACTGAGCTCCTTGTATGTCTGTCTCTGCCCTTTCCTGACTGGCTGACGTAAGCGCAGATTGCCATCACTTCGTACAATGAGGACCGCGCACTGCTCTCGCGGACCCTTCACGGTGTCATGCTCAATGTTCGCGACATCGTGCGCTCAAACGCTCGGTTCTGGCGTCGGACTGCAGAGGAAGGTCGTCCTGGCTGGCAGCGCATCGTCATCTGCCTCATTTTTGACGGTCTTGATCCTGCCGATAAAGGCGCTCTCGACATTCTCCAGACGATTGGCGCTTTCCAAGATAACATCATGAAGAAGGACATCGATGGAAAAGAGACTGTCGCTCACATCTTTGAGTACACCACTCAGCTTTCGGTCTGTTCGACTGCCAGTGGTAAATTCAGTCTCGTCACCCCTGCTCAGAATACAGAGGGTCAAGGATCAGAGGCCAATTTGGTCCCTGCTCAGATGATCGTCTGCATCAAACAGAAGAACGCAAAGAAGATCAATTCGCATCGCTGGCTCTTTAATGGTTTCGGGCGCCAACTTGCGCCCGAGGTTTGCATCCTCATCGATGCTGGCACAAAGCCTGGCACAAAATCGCTCTACTACCTCTGGGAGGCTTTCTACAACGATCGTCATCTAGGCGGCGCTTGCGGGTCAGTTCCTTCGCTCTCGTGACGGGTCATTGCTAAAGTACGGCGTGTCATAGCGAAATCCATGCGATGCTTCAAGGCGGCAAGAAGCTCATCAATCCTCTCGTGGCTGCTCAGAATCTCGAGTACAAGATGTCCAACATCCTCGACAAGCCCCTCGAGTCGTCATTCGGCTATGTGTCTGTCTTGCCAGGCGCCTTCTCTGCTTACCGCTATTGCGCTCTGCAAGGCCGTCCACTCGAGCAATACTTCCACGGCGATCATTCGCTGGCCGACCGGCTTGGCAAGAAAGGTCTACACGGCATGGGTATCTTCAAGAAAAACATGTTCTTGGCAGAGGATCGCATTCTGTGTTTCGAGCTGGTGGCGAAAGCAGGCGCGAGTTGGAAGCTTAAGTATGTCAAGCCGTCGAAAGGCGAGACGGATGTGCCCGAATCTGCAGCCGAGCTTATCAGCCAACGTCGTCGCTGGCTGAACGGCTCCTTTGCTGCTTCCATCTACGCCATGGTGCACTTTTTCAGACTTTACCAAGTAGGCCAGGACTTGGAGACATAGTGAAGAAGTGCTGAGGATGTCTTGCAGACTCGGCACAATCCGCTCCGTATGCTCTTCTTCCACATTCAGGCGCTTTTCAACATTTTCTCGACCATCTTTTCCTTCTTTGCACTCGCCAACATGTGGCTCACTTTCTCGCTCATCATTCAGCTTTTGCCGGCTTTAGATGCTCAGCATCCGGTCTACCTGCAAGTCCTCGCTTTCTGTGAGTCTACGAGAGCTCATGCGATGCGTCACTTGCAGCTTCGGCACGCGAGGAATCACGCTCTGGGTCAACGAAGCCTGTCTCTGGATCTGGGCCGGCACACTTGCGCTATCGTTTATCATCGCGCTCGGCAATCGACCAAAGGGCGAGGCGGGTACTTATGTGCTCATGTTCTGGATCTTTGCGCTTCTGGGGTACTACCTGCTCGTCTGCGCCGTCTGGCTCACGATCAAAGCTTTCACTGTCAGCTATGCTAGCTTTTGGAAACTTTGCCAAGTCTCACGTGCTCGCAGGGCATTCAATGGAATGGTGCGAGTACGATCGGGGAGAAGGTTGGCGAGCTGCTCACTGGCAGCAATAACGTCCTCGTGGCCGCGCTCGTGTCGACTTACGGCGTCTATCTCTTCTCGTCACTTCTCTACGGCGATCCCTGGCATATGCTTCACAGCTTTCCTCAGTATCTCGCCCTTGCGCCCAGTTTCGTCAACATTCTCAACGTTTATGCATTCTGCAACTTGCACGATGTGTCATGGGGTACGAAGGGCTCCGATAAGGCAGACGCCCTACCTTCGGTATCGTCAAAGAAGGAGAAAGGGAGCGATGGCGTGGTCGAAGATATTCAGAAGCTGCCTGAAGATATTGAACTCGCCTTCAAGGAGACTGTCTCTCGTACTCGTCAGTCTGCTACGCAATCCTGTGTGCCTCATGTGCTGATCTAGTATCGCAGTGGCGCCCTATAAGCCTGTCGAAGAGCCCAAGGGACTCAGCATTGACGATTCCAACCGCACTTTCCGTACTCGTTTCGTCAGCGTCTGGCTGCTCGCTAATGGCGGTCTCGTCTTTGCTGTGATGTGCGTACACGTCTGCTGAAGGGCGCAGATCACTGACTACAGGCTACGAACAGGAATGTCGCGGGCGTCGATACGCACACGATTGACTCGCAAAAGAATATGCACTCGCGGCAGGGATTCTACTTCAACATCATTCTATGGGCGACATTCGGCTTTGCGTTCATCAAGTTCATGGGTTGCCTAGCGTACTTTCTAAGTCACAAGTTCGTCTCGTACACGTTCGCTCAACAGATGCTGATAACCTTTTTCAGCTTGGGCAAGTGCTGCCGACGCAATTAACCGCCCAAAGCAAATCTGCGAATGTATGTAATGAAATGACATGCATTGAATCCACAGAGTACCGCTATGAGGAAGTAGTGACTGGCACAAGATCACCAATCTCACTGACACTGGTGCTTGTCGCTGTGGGTGTGGCGGTCGCGGCAGAAGTGGCGGTTGCGGTCGTGCTCGTAACGCTCGCAGAGGTCTGCAGATTCGCTACTATCGATTGGATAGTGTCACTTTGCGAGGTCGCGCCTTCTTGTTGAGCGAGCGCAGACTCTTCCTGGGACAGGCTCGAGCCTGTACCGACGAGGGAGGAGACGCCATTGCCGAGCGAGGTGGCGAGTAGCCCGGAAGTGCTGTTGCTCGCTGCAGGGTTCGAGATGATTTGCAGGATGTTGTTGTTGGCGTCCATTGTGACGAGAACGGGTGTCAGGCCAGCAGAGGCCAGCGAGGAAGCAGGCGTCAGCGAGAGGACATTGCCACTTGCGTCAGTCTGAATGAGATCGCCTGCCGAATCGAGCGTCTGGGTTGTTCCGGTTGTAGAGCCAGATTGCGCTTGCACTGCATTACCTTGCGAATCGACAAGGACGACGTTCTGCTTGAGATTCTGACCAGACAGGAGCGAGTTAGTGCCGGATAGACCATCCACTCCGCTGTCGCTTGTGAGTGCATTGGGCAGTGCCTGCAGCTGGCCGTTGCTTGCATTGATGACGACGGTTGAGCCACCGGTGAAGGCGCGCCTGTGATGCCGTCTAGATCGATGAGTGTGTGGATGAGCAGCAATTGTCGCGACTGCCATTGAGACTAGGAGAATCGAGCTGAGCTTGAACATGACCTGCTCTGGCGCTTCAGACACGTTGTCAAGTCAGCAACGAGGTACGTACGGACGAGATGACCTAGAGAAGAGTATCGAGGCAGGCCAGCTGCAAGCTATCGAAGCTTTTAAGGGCAAGAAGAGGGATGAGGGTACTCGACGAACGTCCGACGACTATATGAGTTTCCGAGAGCGTTGTCATGCTGTGAGTGTGCTTGCAGATGGTGAATCGAGATGGGGCATCGTCTCTGGCGCAGGCCGTGCGGCTTACGGCGGTCTGTGTGCCGACTGCGAGATCTCGAGAGAGCCAACGCGTCAGCTCGCCGCCAAGCACGTCGACGGTATCGGTCGAGCTATGGCCGACGAAGACGCAGCAAAGCTCGCAGAGCCCACGCACATAGCTGATGTCGATGATGTAGCAGCTCCATTTGCGCCAGAACCAGCGAGGACGTCGCCTACGACGCCCAGCGTATCGATTCTTGCGGCAAGCCCGACTAGCAGTGTAGCAGCGCCTCCTGCAGCTACAGCAGCCCCGACAACCGCCGTCGAGGCCCACGAAGTGGTCCCACTACCCACGCAAGACTCAAAGGAGCTGAAGGAACTCGCAGAAGTGTTTCCAGACTTGGACAAGGATTTGTTGAGAGACCTGCTCGTCATGCACGGCAACGATGTCAACGCTGCTGTCCTCGCGCTCTCAGACTCGACAGATGCTTCACATCCTGCCGCAGAGTCAGACGAGGCATATGCACGGCGGCTGCAGGACGAGGAGCATGGGCGTCACGCGGCCCAAGCAAGGCAGCAGCAGTCACAAGGGCCAGCGTACACTCATCTTGCTTATCAGCCAAGACAGTCACGATCACGTAACACGACAGCCCAATCCGCCGCCTCGAGTGAGCCTGGCCAGGAGCAACCTGCGCAGATCGGCGAGGGCAAGGACGAGCTCGAGCAGGTCATGGCAAAGCTATCGACTGCAGCTGAGTCTGGCAAGCGCATTGCCGGTACTTGGTTCAGCAAGATCAAAACACGCGTCGAGACAGGCTTAGAGGAGCTCGAAGCCAAGAGAGCTGCGTCCGCGCAGACACAGGCCCAGACTCAGACGCAAGCGCGGCCCAGTCCAGCTGCAGCGCGACCAGACAGCGCGAAGCCGAAGCCAGTAGCCACGAACAGCGCGATTGGGACCGGTGCCACATCAAGCTCCGCACCAACCCCAACGTTGACGCAGCCTGGGAGCGAGCCTACTGGCAGCAAGACAGACTACGGAAGGCTCGGACTGGTTCCGCAGCAGCGAATCAGCTTGGTTGACGACAACAGAAAGGTCAAGACTCGAGATGACGACGAAGAGTCACTCGAATATACCAAATCACCTTTTGACGACGACGATTGATGATACATACAGCCACTCATTGGGAGCAGGTAGCATAATGAAATCCGAAGCTTCTGTTGTTTCGATACAAAATGTACACTAAGCTTAGACAGTCTCGAGTCTAGCTGGGATATCTAAAAGTCGTCTCGTGCAAGGTGTCGAGAACGTACTATATGCGAAAGATGATGCTATTGCAGCTGCGAGGTTGCAGGCGCTGCATTTGGCTCCTGCTGCATGTCGGGAGGCAGATCGAATTGCGAGGCCATCAAGGTCGCAAACTGGTCGCCGGGCGTGTTACCAGCGAAAAGCTGACTGCTGAGCGTGTCGAGCGCGGTCATTGTGCTCGGCTCGCTAGCGAGGTATAAAGGACCGCCGTCTTCATACAGCGCAAGTGAAGCAGCTTGCGCGTTCATCTGCGCCTGCATGCTCTCTTCGATCATCTGGTCTCGAACGGCTGCCATGTCCATAGAAAGGAGATCCGGCGCGGGCGCAAACGTGGGCAAGGTGGGGTCTGGCAGCGAGACCGATGTTGGCAAAGGTGTCTTCTCGCCCAGATCCATGGCCAGCGAGGGCGCACGAGAGAGCCTTCCGACGCCGTTCTCGAACGGCATCGAAGGATCGTACTTGCTGTCCGGCGTGTCGGATGCAGAGTTTGAGCCAGACTTGGATGTATCTTCTTCTACAGCCACGTCGAGGGCGAAAGCACGCTCAAACGAATACGTTTGTCCGGCTTCTTCGAATGAGGCACGAAGTAGGAACTCTTGCCTGCCCGATTCGGATGGCACAACGCCTTTGAAGTCGACCACTGCCGAGCTGTCTTCGCGAGCTACGATGCGTACCCAGCTGGGTAATATGCTTGCCGACCAGTCTGCCCCGAGCGGTGCATTCTGTTGATCCCAGATGCGGGGCTGTCGAACGAATCAGCAGTCGCTTACTGTGACAAGAACCTGCGCACCTCCCACGACCATTCGTCGCCACTTCGCAAAGTCTTCTGGCTCGGTATTACGATATGTCGCTCGTGTGCACGGAATTGCCATCCACCTTGGGGCATCTTCTTCGCATCGACTGTCCAGATGTGATTGCCTCTTGACTTGCACTTCTTGCCTTCCTCGTTGAAGCGTGCGATGAATGGCTGCGCCCACAAATAGACTTTGATCGTCTTCATCGGGCAGTCTGCCTCCGATAAGCCAGCGTCATACACGGCTCGCGAAAATGACGAGGTGAAAGCCTGAATGCGGAACTTGAAAGGGCGATAGTCACCAGATTCGTCGATCTTTTGAAGCTTCTTCAGCATCAGCGGCTGATGAATATTGTCGCCCTTCTCGTCCTTCGCGTCCACTGTGGTTCGTGTAAGTAAGGTCAGCTAGATATGCGTGCGTCACGTACAATCATCACAAATGCCCTGCAACCAGTGCTCAAAAATTGCGTCCAACTTGCGCTTCAGCTCGTCGCTTATCGGATTCGGGTGCTCCTTTGCAAGTGCGGTCGACAGGTCCCATTCGATGGTTTCTCCACGCTCTCTTTCGACGCGCACGCTTTCCATTCGAACGACAGCCGGCGGAGGGGTTTGACGAGCTGTACTGGCACTGCTTGGCCGTCTAGAATTGCCGGCGGTGAGCGTGCCAGGCGGTAAGAGGTGCTCAGAATCGTGATCGCTCGGATCTTGAGATAGCCCGCGTCCGTCTCGAGAGATCGGCACCTGCATAGACTCTGGGGTCGTGTTGATGCGCGGTAACCCCGTGCGAAGCGCACGGTGTTGGACGGCCAGCACCTGGTTCGAAAGCTGATGTTCGGCCTGTAGCTGAGCCATAGTTGGTCCGTTGCTTGCTTGTTGACTTTCACTCCGAGCGCGAGCGACATCTTCCGAAATCGCCGGGCTCGTAGTCACGGACTGAACTGCTTGAGCACTAGCCATTGCCAAAGCGCGCTGCTCCAGTGGCAATAGAGGCGCATGAGCGTAAAGCTGGGGGTTGATGGCCAGCGTGTGCGATTCGTCTGGTCTTGAACCGATCTGCAGGAGCATTTGCGCTTGGGCGTGGTCTATTGCTTGCTGCGTGACTATCAAATCCGCTGCAATCGGTGATCGCTGCGCCTGCGCATTCATCCCGTCCGGACTTGCTCGAGCCGTTTCATCTATACGGGACAAAGTGCTCTCCGTTCGAGCTGGCACAGGTCGTGCCTCTGATGCCGCCTCTGAGACTGCCAGCTGCAGGCTACGAGATGCAGCCGGTGCTACTACCGGCGAGACAGGAGCATGATTCGCCGCGGCAAGCGGCGAGGTGGACGGAATTGGGAGCATAGACTGTACTCGCCGAAGATTGCGCATTGGACCACCGGGCACGTCCTGCTAACTCGCATGAGCATTCAAACCCAGCAATAAGAGGGTCTTGACGTACTTTGAGCGGTCTGCTAAGATCGACGCGTTGTTCGCTAGAGACTATAGTCTGCTCAAGTCGATCTCGCAGTAGGTTGGCGGTCGAGTGGAAGACCGACCAAGTATCGTCGAAATCTGATGGATCCATCTTGCCTCGATAACGAATGACATCGGAGAAGCGCGAGAGCTGTTGATGCAGATGCTCGACGGCCGATTCCAGATCGCGCATGAGCTGAATGGCAGGATCGCCGTCATCCGCACTGCCGGCGTCACCGTGGCCAATTCGATTGGAGCGTGACCTATCCGAGCCGGACGAAAGCTGCGTTGTGATAGCTGGCGATTGGAGAGCTGAATAACGTGCGAGGTGCCGAAGCAACTGAGGCGACGAGCGCGCGCTTGCAAATTCTCTATCAGAATGCGCGGCATCGAAGTAGCTCGAGGTATCGAGGTGATCAGAGTCATCTTGAGACTGATGCATCCCGTTTGTGCGGCTTCCTTGAGCATGGTAGAAGTTATTATAGGCACGCGAGGGCGGGGTGACCGGCCGGCTGCCAGGACGGCTGGCATGGCCGGCTTGAGGGAGCGATGTCGCATCGGGCGGCCTCTTTTGACTCGATCGCGAATAGCTTCTGGTGCGACCTTGTATACCGCTTGACAAGTGTGCAGACTGCGAGCTGTGTGCTCGCTCATGGTTTTGCTGGCCTGGTGTGCCATTGGTCAATGCGCCTGATACGAGCGATACGAGTTGCTCCTGCTCCTGTTGACTGGGGAGCGAGGGATGACTAGCTGATCGCTCATGATCTAATTTCTCTGTGCTCTTCGCGCTCTCGTGCAAATACGTCACAGGTGACGCGGAAACGGTGGGAATGCTGACCGGCGCACTCGCAATGCGACCGTGATCAGTCAGACTAGGTCGTCTGACAGGCAGGTCTTCTAGAGGGGTGAATATGTTGCCGTGGCGGCTTGCTTCATCGAAGAAGGGTTGACAGGTCGTCGTGGTCGTCGTGGCATTCATCCGATCAGTGAGACCCGAGTGCGCAATGAGCGTACCGTGCAGGTCGAGATTGGGGTCATGGGGTGGCCACACCATGCGCCTGCGCGGAGCGGAAGAGCCATTGCTCATGCTGGCGTTGCCATAGCTCGTCGCGACAGTCGAAGATACGCTCGATGCCTCACTTCCCGGCGTGGAAGCAGCAGGACTCGTCTGTGCTGACCACGAAGCGAAGGAGAAGCCAGAGCCGTTGATATGAGGGCCAAACTTTGTGGTATGATGCGTTGTTTGTGGTGATGCATTGGACGGCGCGGGCGAGTGAGTGGGCGCAAGCGCGGTCAGCGAATAGTTCTGAGGATTCGACCTCTCCCAAGCTCTTGGACCGGGGCTGTCGGCAGGGGCATAGGCCAGAGTCGAGGGTTGCCCGAAGAAGCTGCCAAAAGTGGGTTTATTAAATGAGCTGCCAAAGGTGAAAGTATGGCCATAAGTACGAGAGCTAGGCCTGGAACTGTTGGCCGTGCCGCTGGTAGTACTGGCATGTGCTGTCTCTGAGGAAGAGGAACTAGCAGACAGGTCTGCATATGCTGTCTGCAGGGTTGGCGGTAGCAGATTGGTTGGACAGTCAAGCTCGATATCTGAGTGCTTCAGGATCTGATCCAAGTGAGCTGCGGCAGATGTCGATCCTGTAGATTGTGGCTGCGCCAGTCCTGTGAGGAGTCCATTGGCGGCTTGCTCGAGAGTGACCGGCGGCGTGGCGGGCGGCTGAGCAGTAGACATATCGGGTCGCGCTTCAGCATGGATCCATCAACGTTCGTCTTGCCAGCCCGTCTTTGCCTCGCTATGCAAGTCGTCTATTCCCTCGCTATGCAGGTCGAAAGGCCCGAACGTGCTATCCTGATTGCTTTGGCTTTAGCTCAGCTGGGTGCAGGCGCACTGACAGTGGCTGACCGATACAAAGGGCCTGCGCTTTCGTGTGGCGTGACGCAGACTGGCACGAGCTCGATGATAGGTGATGCACAAGACGTTGGCCGTATGCAGAGCCGAGTTCAGAGTCTTATCGAGAATGGACAGAGCTCAGCGTTGGCTCTGATCGTTAAGCTGGTAGGCACAGCTATAGCGCTAAGATACTCCTGTTCCTTGATGGCTGAGGATGCTACAGACAAAGGCTGACTTATGTGCCCAGCAATGTGTAGGAGATTGCCTGTATAGGGCGACACTGGTCAGATTGACTCTCGGCTAAGTCAAAAGACGCCAGCGTCGACAGCAAGCATCCTTCCGGGTCGTATAGGCGAGATGCAGAGACCGCAAGAGCACACGGTACCACTCGAGAATTAGCAGCCGAGCGATCGAAGACGAAGCAAGAAGCAGCTGCCAGCCAGGCAAGGGATCTCCAATCTTTTAGAACTCGCTCCTGCTGCCCGAGACAGACGCTCGGCGAAATTTAGAGCGCTGCTAGCCGCAGCCCAAGAGCGATCGAGACAGCCACGCGTGGGGATCATTTGTACTCTGCAATTCAAAACATTCTGCAGCCGCCCTGCCACACTTCAGTGACCTTCAGCTCTGCCCCAGGTGCTCGATGGCCGAGATGCATGTGAGTCGATCTAGTCCGCAAAGCTATCATACGCTACTGCCATGCAACTGGGCACCGTCTACCTGTCCAGACCGTTCATGAAAAAAAAATTCGTAACCGAGGTTCAGCACACTCTATCACGACTTATCGACTGAGGTCGCACCTTATATAGACAGTACCTCGCAAGAGCATCTTTACTCTCGACGAGGTGATTCAAGGTCAGCGAAGATGGAAGAGATTCAGTTAGAACTCTGCTGCCTCTCCTTTCCCAAGGCATGCCGAGCGTCAGAAGCTATCTCACATTAGTCTCCGTGCATAGAGATGTAATGCATTTCGTGCGACGTCTTCATATCGTTTGCGTGTGCGTTTGCGTCATGTGATGGTCGATTGATATGTGGCGAGAGCGGGAGCTCAAGCGAAATATTGTCCACCGTTGACGTGAATGGCTTGACCGGTCATGAAGCTGCCCTGTTTTCCCGTGCACCAGATGTATGCTGCGCCAAGTTCTGCCGGCTGAGCGACTCTTCCGCGCACGCCGATGGCCCCGTCACCTATGCCCCAGCCTTTCATTTGGTCTGCTTCGCGACTCGCGGGTTGCAATGCTACAGATTCGAGCGTCAGCGCTGCGCAGACAGCTCCGAGGAACTTACGAGTGAGTACTGGGCCGGGTGCGACTGCATTGACGGTGATGCCTTGGGGCAAGAGCTGCAATGCCAGGGACTTTGTGAAAGAGATGATGGCTCCCTTTGTGGAAGCATAGTCGAGCATGCCTCCGCTGCCCTTGTAGGCTGTGACGGACGACGAGTTGACTATACTGGCACCGCGCTTCATGTGCTTGAGGGCAAACTTGGTGAGAACGATCATGGACCAGACATTTGTCTTGAGCGTCGACTCGACATTCGCGGGATCAATGTCCTTGATATCCTTGCACTGTATCTGTTGTGATGCGTTGTTGACTAGCACGTCCAAGGCTCCGTACTCTTTCATGTGCTTCTCGATCACAGACTCTACAAAGTCGAGCTGGGTCAAGTCGCCGGGCAAACGCAGGCACTTTTGACCGGCGGCCTTGATCAGCTCCTCCGTTGTGACGGCATCCTTTTCTTCTTCCGGCAAGTAGACTATCGTCACGTCTGCGCCTTCACGCGCCATAAAGATCTGCTCTCGGATTCAGTATAAGGCGGGCCTCTATGATCGCAACATACGGCGACTGATCGTCCGATCTGCACTTCTGATCAGCTCGGATGGTTTCGAAATACTCGCAAGGAACACATACGCCGCTATCACCACCGGTGACGATGACCTTCTTGTTCTTCAGTTGCTCCGAGCCTTTATATTCCTCCAGACTTGGTTTGCCATCGTGCCATACTTCCTGCATCGCACATGAGCTCATGATCTAATACCACCCGAATCGCGCACTATCTTAGTATGTTCTGCTTGCGTGGGCATGTCGGCGTCGAGTCCGGCTCCTGATTGCTTGAATGCCTGGATGAAGGCATGTGGATCGTACGCCGTGATGGGCTCGTCGGACGATTCCATCTCCTTTCGTGGGTCCGAGCCGCTGTCGTGGTCGAGCGTCTTGATATCTCCACGCATCGCTGAGCCTGCCATGGTGGATGCGAAGTCGATGCAAGGAAAATCTCAAAGTCAAGGTGGATTCGCAATGACGCCCGCGCTTGCACCACTCGAGCTTCTCCGCAACGACTCCACAGAAGGCGACGCTTCTATCGCCTCTGCGCCCTATCGCAAAACCCGGCAGCCAGTCAAGATGACGTTCGAAGCCCACGCTGACGATTGGACTTGCATCAACACCATCCGAACGTAAGTTGTCTTCATTCAGTCCCAGACAGAGACTGAACCCGCGTTGGGCAGTCTTTCACTCGATGTCGTGAACAAGGCCAACAGCGGACATCCTGGAGCTCCCATGGGCATGGCGCCAGGCAAGCGAGCCTTTGAACCTCTCAGACAAGCAAGCTGACATCATGATGTGCAGTGGCGCACATCCTTTGGTCCCGCTTCATGAGATGCAATCCAAAATCGTCTCATTGGCCTAACCGCGACCGCTTCGTGCTGTCGAACGGCCATGCTTGCGCTCTGCAGTATGTACTTCTGCATCTGCTCGGCTACAAGCTATCCATGGACGACCTCAAGAGCTTCCGTCAAGTCGACAGCACGTAAGTGCTTCATCCTGACTCGCAAATGTCGCTAATCTATCTTGCGAACAGCTGCAACGGCCACCCCGAGGTGCATCACACGGACGGCGTAGAGGTCACGACGGGCCCGCTCGGCCAGGGATTTGGCAACGCTGTCGGTCTGGCCATGGCGCAGGCACAAGTCGGCGCGACGTTCAACAAAGACGGATTCTCGCTCTTCGACAACTACACGTACATGTTTACAGGCGACGGCTGTCTACAAGAAGGTGTAGCGTCAGAAGCTGCATCACTTGCGGGCCATCTTCAGCTCGGAAACCTCATTGCCATCTACGACAGCAACAAGATCACTATCGACGGCGATACTGCCGTCTCCTTCACCGAGGACGTCACAAAGCGCATGGAAGCCTACGGCTGGCATTGTCAGACTGTCGAGCAGGGTGACGATGATCTCGAAGGCATGTACAGCGCCATACTTGCTGCTCAACAAGTCAAGGATAAGCCCTCTTTCATCACACTCAAGACCACCATTGGCTTTGGCTCGAAGCTCCAAGGCACTCATGGCGTACACGGCAACCCACTCAAGCCGGACGACACAGAAGCGATCAAGAAGAAGTTCGGCTTCGACCCTGCGGCAAAGTTCGCTATTCCTGACGCCACAAAGACCGCTTATGCAAAGATTGGCGAGCGTGGCGCAAAGCTAGAGTCTGACTGGACTGAGCTGCTGTCCAAATACACCGAAAAGTTCTCGGCGGAAGGCAAAGATCTTGAGCGGAGACTTGCGGGAAAGCTGCCGGACGGCTGGGAGAAGTGCTTGCCTGTCTATTCGCAGAAGGACGATGCGATCGCGTCTCGCAAGCTCAGTGAGACTGTCATCACTAAGCTCGCAGACGCTGTACCCGAGTTTGTTTGCGGCTCTGCCGATCTTACCGGATCCAACCTAACTCGTTGGAAGACGGCTACGGATTTCCAACCACCGTCGACTGGGCTTGGCTCTTATGCCGGCCGCTACATGCGGTATGGTATCCGCGAGCACGGCATGGGTGCCATCGCCAACGGTATGGCCGCTTATGGCGGCAATCTTATCCTCCCTGCGATTTCAACTTTCGCGAACTTCACGAGCTATGCAGCTGGCGCGATTCGCTTGAGCGCACTCAGCGGCTTCCGCGTCATCTGGGTCGCTACGCGTAGGTCTCTTGTCTACGTCGGTCCGTATAGCTAATGCGATAAGCAGATGATTCGATCGGTCTTGGCGAGGACGGTCCAACACATCAGCCCATCGAAGTGGCTGCGCATTTCCGCGCGCTGCCAAATATGCATGTCTGGCGACCTGCCGATGGCAACGAGACTTCAGCAGCATATCTCATGGCCATGATGAATGCCACGACGCCCTCGATGCTGCTACTTACCCGACAGAATCTGCCTCAGCTCGAGAACTCGACCATTGCGCATGCTACAAAGGGAGGCTACGTTGTGCACGACACGGATGGCGAGACAGATTTGACCTATGTCTCGACCGGCTCCGAAGTTTCGATCTGCATGGAAGCGGCGAAAATCCTGATGGACAAAGGCGTCAAAGTCCGTGTGGTCAGCTTGCCTTGCTTCGAAATCTTTGCAGCCCAACCAAAAGATTACCGCATGAGCATTCTGCCCGATGGTCACCCTGTATTATCGGTCGAAGCCTACTCAACTGTCAGCTGGGGCGCTCTCGCGCACGAGCATTATGGCATGAGTACTTTCGGCGCTTCCGGCCCATACAAGGACGTATACAAGAAGGTACGCAGCCAATCTGACCTCGCTCGAACTGAGCTCACCTAGATCACAGTTTGGCTTCACGGGCGAAAACATCGCTAGCGTGGGCGAAAAAGTGATCGCATTCTGGAAGGGCAAGACAATTCTATCGCCCCAGAACACTTGTCTAGTCGCTATCTAGAATGAAGCGTGAAACACCAATGCAATAGAAGTATATGCGCTACTGAATGTCTAGATTCGTGCAGCTAAGAACAAACGTCACAATGACGAAGGCAGTCGAAAGACCACAAACGAAGTATTCAGAAAGCTTGCGTTCAGCAAGGGGTCTGACTCTGCCAGCCTTGCAGATGGGCGTCGCGATACCAGTGATAGGATCACGGTGGATCAGTCGCTCTCTGCTTGGCGTGGTAGGTGGAAAGATGATATATGAGATGGGCGCCCAGCAGCCGGCAAGCACATTGATCCAGATCATCGACGGCCACAGTGCGGTGAGCAGCAGCAGGAGACCAGTCTGGTGGAGTGTCCGCGACCCGTCGGCGTAGGCAGAGATTGCGGTTGCGCAGGCATAGATGACGCTGCTGAGAACGCCAGCAAAGATGACGAGCTGGATCCAGGCAAAGCCTCGGAAGAGAACGTTGTACGAACGTAGGTGTAGCGGCAAGCGAGCCTTGACGTCACGCTCGCTAGGACCTTGACGTGCGACAGACTCGTCCTGTGTGATGAGGTAGACTTTGCTCGCCGGCTTGAGTGCTCGGAAAAGTGCTATCAGATCGTATGATGCAACAAAGGCCAAGCTTTGCAGCTTGCGTCTCATCGTAGGCTGCCCGCTCGAGAGCGAAAAGCACAAGTCGTGCAAGCGCTCGGCAAGGACCGAGACGAAGAGGCTGCGCAGAAGGAAGTTGAGCTCGCCGACTGTGAGCACGGTAACGGTGAACTATTCGAGAAGTCAGCGAATGTCAGCGGATACATTGCGGGTGCTTACCTGTCCGAGATACAGACTGACGGGCAGCGCAATGGTCGCAAGCAGGGCGAGAATCGAGGTCAGTGGCGCGAGAGCGAAGCAGAGCTTGCTGAAGCGCTGCGCAAAAGTCATGTCGGCAATGCGTGCGTTGCGCACGAAGAAGCCCAGTCGCTTGGCCGTGCGGAGATGTCCAGTGGTAGTCTGCATGCGCTGGCGGACGTGCTCGGCATACGATTCGGGCACGAGAGAGTGTGTGAGAGTCTGGTCGAGATGCTGTACGGTGAGACCTTTGCCTTGGATGAGGCTGCTGAGGCAGTCATCTTCGAAGGCCGATCCGGTAGGGAAGCCACCAATGTTGTCCAAGGTTGTGCGACGCAAGACATAGCCCGTCGAGGCACGCTCTTCGGGCTCCATGCTGTTGATGAAGCACGAAAGGGATTGGCTGACAGGTGTGGAGAGATTGTAGATGGATGTCTCGGAAGTGACGAGCGATATTTGCTGATTTTGGACCATGTGAGCGATGGACGCACGCAGGATACTTGGATCAGGCAAAGACTGTTTGCGGGAGGGTCAGCGAGGCCACCGATAGCGAGCGATAGATTCGTACACTTGCAGAAAGGACCATGACGTATTCGCCGGCGATTCTGCCGTGCATGCGTGTCTCGGTGAGACCAAAGTTTATAGCTGATGCCTTGGCATGGCGGCGACTCATGGGTTTCGTTTTGACGCGGCGATGGTAGGTGAGGTGGAGAGCGCGGTGCTCAGCGTACTTGTTGGCGCGCACCTGAAGTGCCATTGAGCCAGCATCGTCGATGAGCAAGACGCGTAGACGGTCGACGGGCCAGTCAAGCTTGCAAGCTGCAATAGCAGCATCCATTGCGAGCTGATCATCTTCTCCTGTGCAGAGTACGAGCACGTCCACGGTGGGTAAAGACATCTCGCCGCGAAGTGAGAGGCGTTGAGTCATGCGGAAGCAGCGCTTGTATGTAGTTCGAAGCATATAGACGCCTGCGGGGCTTTTCAGCACAAGTCTGGTCAGAGCATAGCCAGGCGTACCTCCGAAGAGAGCAAAGACGAGCTCGAAGGCGAAGAAAAGCCATGCAGAGAGATAAAGGCGACCGGTCGCTTCGCTCGCGGAGATCAAGAAACGAAGACGCATGCTGAGATAGAAGACAGCAGCGAGCTGAGCAACGATGGCAGTGATGGGGCTGATTGCGAGCAGGATACGTCTGATCGAGGAAGCGGCCTCGTCTTGCTCCTGTAGAACTTCAGGGCCGGCTTGCTTGATTCCGAGGTAGTGATCGACCGAGCTGCGTCTGAGGGCCTTCTCGTCGTTGAAGAGCTTCTGTGGAATACCGCCGTGGTTGATCTGGAGCGCTTCCTTCCATTCCTTCGAGCTGAGCAGAGCCTTTCCGCCCATGGTACGGTCACGCTTCTCGTCTGCAGGCATGGCGGATAGACGATGGCCTTCTTTGAGAAAGATGGGCAGACCGGCATGTGACTCGTGACGGAGCAAGCGCTTCATGCGATCAAAATCGAGTGCGCCATTGCTGAGATCGTGCTCCTCCGGGCTGTCGGTCTTGCCATCGTCACTGAGAGCAGTTTCGAGACTGGGCACAAAGGTGATCGAATTGGCACGAGGGGGTGCATGGCCGACAGCGATAGAACGGTTGGCATACTGTGATGCCAGATCGGGCATGTAGTCCTCTGCGCGCACGAGGGATTCGCGGCGTTGGGACAGACTGGCAAAGGAGATCTTTGGCTGCTCGTCATCCTCCGAGAATCGCGAAGCGGGCATGGGAGGACGTGCGGCAGGCTCAGGAGCGGATACGGGCGATCCAGCTCGATAGATTGCTCGACCGCCACGGGTATCATTGGAGACTTTGAATCTGATTTCGCCAGTCGATGACTTTGCCTCGGGATGGGGGCGTGTGGGCGGGCGCACAGCAAGTGCAGGTGAGGCTGCTGACTCTGGCTCTGCGAGTGCTCTGCCATAGACGACAGGCTCCGTCGTCTCAGCAGAGGGAGGCTGTACTCGAGGCAGACGGTGATGGGGCGAAGCGAGCATGCTGCGAGACTGATCTGCGACTGTGGCAGCGTGCAATTGCTGGGTCAGATCACGATCGTGCTCGTCCGGGGTGAAGAAGCGACTGGCAGAGCTGCCAGAGGCGCTCAAGGAGAGCGAGGCTGACTCGCGGCGGTGGTGACCTTTGTTCTGACGAGAAGCCGGCATCGTCAGATCTTGGCAGAGGGAGATGTGAGAAGCTGATCTGTCGGTCAAGGATGAGTCAAAGGAGTGTGTCAGTCCTAGCTAGGACGATAGTGGTACGCTCTGTCTGTCTGGGTGCCTGTCCTTGCTGCAAGTCCTGCGAGGTGATGAGCTGAGCAGAACCAGGAAGGAGAACATCAATACAGCAGCGGCACGCCCTCTCGGCCGCAGTGAACGTTTCGTCATGCATTGAGAGCCGCACAAGGCAAGTACTTTGGCCATCCTTCCAGTTGCCTTCGCCGGCGACGCGACACGCACGAGATGGCGAGCCACCACGAGCGCGTCAAGCTTTTTCTGCGCGCGGCACAAACCCAAAAAAAAAAAGGGTGAACGGGTCAACGGTGTAACGAGCGATGGCTGCCTCTGGGTCATTTGCGAGGCTGTTGAAGAGCAGCAAGGCGATCCACATCGATCCAGCGATACCGATCACGTCGACGACGTATGGCGGTTTTGCGCATCGACAAGATCACGGTCTCAAAAGGCCTCTGCCAAAGCTCGCTGTGCCTTTCGTCAAAGTCTCGCAGATAGACTCGCCCTACAGACAGACTGACTGGGTCGGGAGTAGTCGAGAAGCACATTTCGTGAAACGATGGGACGAGTCGGGCGTGGCTGTAGGGTCAATCGACGACGCCAGCCTCGAACACGATCTCTACGCGTCGCCAGAGATGACAGAGAGGGAGGGCAATATGACTCATGTCGAGTCTGTCGACATTGCTATTCTGACGGACAAGGAGTTTGAAGACTATCTGGCCGAGATACGCAAGCGACGGCCTCAGTTTCGCGAATTTGTAGCGCAAAGGGAGACAGATGCTCGCAGATTGCAAGCGACTCAGCTCAGAGGCAACACAGCGCCAGCGCAAGATATAAGACCCGTAGAGACGGAAGAAGTAGACCTCTACCAGCATGCGACGCAACTGCGCGATGGTATGTCACGCGTCAAGCGGTTCTTGCACGAAGAGGCACCCCTGCCGCCCAAGATTCAGGACAAGATCGATAAAGAATCGCCAACGGGCTCGCTCCACGCTCGACACCCTGCTCTCGGACTGACCTACACGCCCCATTCGCAATTCGACAACGTCGTGCTCAATGAACCCCTGCCGGGCTTCTACCTCGCACCAGAGATGCTTGAGACCTCAGCCAAAGGGTTGGCAGCCTTCTTAGGTACTGTAGCTGGTCAACAGGGCACAGGTCTTTCCGATCCGAAATGGCACCAATCACGCAACAAGAGTGCGACGCCTGGCAAAGTTGACTTCATCGTTCGCTCTGCGCCCGTTTTCCCGACCGATACTCAATCTCGAGACCGGTATACGAGTCCACAAGATCGTATCAAGGCACTCATCGAGGCAGCCTCTGAAACCGCACGAAAGAGACCTAGCCGGGCAAAGAGGCAACCGAGATCGAACCTCTCGCTCGTACCGCCCAAGGCGGTCGGCGTCAATATTGCTCCTACGACGAACATCAATCGATTGGCAAAGCTGCAATATCCCATCGGCTCGAGCGAGTGGATCGCTCAGAACAGCACGAAAGAGACGCAACCGACGCTCGATTTTACCAGGTCGAGCCGGAGTCGGCCCAGCCTCTTGCGCTCTCGAGGCTCATCCGGCGGACTGCCTACACGGCAAGCCAAAGGAGATCCCAAGCAGAGGCGAGCGGCCGATCCATGGACAGCCGTACGACAGAACAAGGCCGAAGATGCAAAAGCGCTCGAGAACCTGCTCAAGTCTTGATGTTGCTCGTATATGCATCATCTCATGCGAGTATCGCTTTTTGCTTCTGCGGCTCTGAGACCGAGACAGAGGCTCGCAAAGCAGCGGTGAGGTCGCCCCCGTGATCGGCGAGCATCTCCTGCGCTTGATAGTCTGTCAGACCGAGCTCCTTGGCCTGCTACTCGGTCAGATTGTGCTCTGCTCGCCGTACACCTGCGCACCAGAACGGTGACCTGCTCGGCTTGCAATTGCGCGGTAGCCGCTGCTCTCGCACTCTCTACGTCGCGGTCTTTGCTCTTTTGCGTGAGCTGTCGTAAATTGAGTGCTCTCAGGCCCTCATTGACCGTCCGGCGCCAGGTCATATCGAAATGACTCGGCTCATATCCTCTCTGGGGTGCGCCCGTCCCCTCAACGAAGTAAGCTATGACTGCAGACCAAGCAGCTCGTTGAGCTCGCAACGGCCGTGCTGTCGGCTTGCTGACCTTTGGGGCGAGCGGAATCGCCGAAACGGTTGCGCTGGGCTAGCAGAGCAGAGTGGTCAGGTTCGGGCAACAAGTCGTCCAACAGATTCCGCTCAGTCGTCGTTGTAGCCAGCGCATTATCCTCTGGCTCGGCCGGAGCCGCGCCTGCAGACGATATGAGCAAACGACGATGAGATGAGATCACTCAAGCTCACGAGCGACTTCCTTGCCCTTGCCCTTGTCGGCTGCTTTGACTGGTCTCTTGAGGTTGCGTGGCGGCATCGCTCGTCGAGATAGAAGCGGCCTCTCCAACAAGCTTCGGCTGTCGCGCCCAAGGGGGCAAAGTCACTCGCTCTGCAGCGCAACAGCTGACAAGGCCGAGCCAATTTTGGTGACCTCATCGCTGCAAGTGCCGTCTGGCACTGTGCTCAGACGAGATCCACTATGGGACGAGCCATAGCGACATTCCTGGTGGCTTCGAGAGTGTACGGCTGCGCCAAATGTCACGCTCACCTCGCAACGGTCGAAACGATGATCTCCAGGGTAGGGTCGAGACCTCGTCAGCGCTCAGGCTGTGCTCATCCACGTCGGGGATGTACAGCAATTCACGGGACAGCACGGAAGAGCATTCCTGTTCGATCAAGTGCAAGTGCAACCGAGCGTGTCACCGGAGAGCGAACAGAGCTGACCGCCACGTTCTGTGCAGGTTCAACATCGATCTCGGACCTGCAGAGGACAGAACGATGACAACAGGTCTCCATACCGTTCGAGACATCTACTGTGCTCGTTGCGGCACCACACTCGGTTGGAAATACGTCCGTGTCGCTATCGGTCGCTATCTTGGCATACAAGCTGACACGTCATCTTGCGCCTAGGACAAGGCCTTCGAGCAAGCACAGAAGTACAAGGAAGGGCGCTTCATTCTCGAGAAGATGCTCTTGTGCGACCAGCCCCCGCTGCCCAAAGACGAGAGTCTCGAAATCCTCCCGGCCGAACGCGTTCCCCCGCGCTCGACGGCCAACGCCGTGCACCTCTAGACCGTTTGTCCCCTCTGCATACCGAGCAGCCAGTCTGTATAGTCTATAGAACTCCGCCTGTCTCCTGTCGTCACCCATCTCTGTTGTCTCGTCTGATACAACATGCAAAGCATCTCTGATCTAGACTGCGATAGGCGCCGCAGCGTAGTGCAGCTCGCCGGAATTCTCATACTGCGTAGCCACCTTTAGCGAACATTGCTGCAGACGCGAGTGATCATCAGGCTCACCTCGTACATGTCGAGGGCGACCAGACAGCTCTCGCGAACGACACGTGGCCCTTTGGTGCTCCATTCCTTGAGCACGCTCAGAACGTCCTCGTTCGCAATGCTGCCCAGCGCCTCTGCAGCTTCGTGCCTGACCATATCCGACTCTTGCTCGTTCTGGAGTACTTTGACGAGCGAAGGAACAGAATCGGGCGAAGAGAGTTGTCCGAAGATGTAAGCAATCTCGTGTCGGAACAAGGCGCTCGAGTCGCTAAATCCGTCTGCCAAAGCGAGCACGGACTCTCTGTCGCCGATATTCCGCAGGGCAAACATGGCACGATACCGTACGAAGAGTGACAGGGACTCGTCGAGCAGCTGAACTCGTAATTGTTTTGGCGTCAGTGCGCTTTCGGGCGTGTCGTGCAGGGATGCAATGCCTTGCGTGATCGCGGGTGCAGGATCGACAGTGCTGTACGGACTAGCGCCGCAAGGTGTCAAGGACGAGTGTACAGTACAAAGGCGTGCATGCTTACTTGGCATCTCTCAAGCACGCATTGGCCGGATCATGATCCCATTCGATCTTGGCCAGTGCAATCTCGCAGGTCTCCCTGACCGATGTATCTGGATCTTGGGCGTATTTTTGCAAAACTGGCAGTGAACGAGGGGATGAGATAGCGCCGAGTGCTTCGGCTGCCTCGTGTCTGACCATCGGGTGCTCGCTCTCGTTCTCGAGGACAGAATTGAGAATGGGCAAAGCATAGGGATCCTTGATCTGACCGAGCACGTACGCTAGCTCATGACCCAGCAGCGCCGACTCATCGAAAGCTGCGCGCATCCCACAACGATCAGTCGGCCTGTCTGGCTCGGAGCGAAGGTGCCCACCCTTGCCGATAATGTCGATGGCTTCGTGCGTTGCTATGCCTTTGAGCTCAAACAGCGCGCGAAACCGATGCGCTAACGGGACTTTGCCGCTGCTATTCGTCAGGACAGCCTCTAGCCTTGCATAGCCGGCCTCAGTGATCTCTGCCGGTGCGTCCACCATGTCTCGTCTTCGTCGTTGGGTCGCTTCGTCGAAGAAATTTGTCGACAGCGCGCGACCGAAAGAGTTCCGTCGCTTGCCAGGCCTCTGACGAGATGTCCAGACCGGACTATGGAGCTGCGCCTGGTCTCGGTGGCGGCAGTGGACCGGGAGCTCAAGATGCGAGCGACAAGCTAGCTTACTCGTGCGCCGGTCAGCCATACTCTGGTATCTGTGTAAAGAGTGACTCATCCCCTCTCTCTCGACAGATTGCGGGCAAGACAACAACATCGAACCCAAGGCGCCCATCAGATGCAATCACTGTGGCTGTCGGATCGTCTTCAAGAAGCGAGGCAAGAAGATGGCAGGTTTCGCGCAAGTCAAACAGTCCTTTACATGGCTTAGCACCGCCAGGGTTTGCAGGTTCAGTTCGAAGCCCGGTGACGGCGCACATCGTGCTTAATCGGACTATGCATACGTCTATTGCTCCCCTCTATATCTGGGCAAAAGCAATGGCAGGCTGTTGTACTCTCGACTGCATCGCTCATGCAGATTCGAACTCTCTTCCTCGACAACCTTGCAATATCGATCAGCCAGTCCCAACACTTGACCATCTATGACTTGTCTCAATGCCAATGCTCTACGACTCGAAATTATGCTTTTGCGATGGCGAGGCACAGCAGTTGAACAGGCCTTTCTTGCCCGAAGCAGTTTGAGCAGACGCGCTCGCCGTCTGCGGCGTATTGCCGGCCTGTTTGACAGCATAACCTGACTTTTGCTCTTCACCGTTTGTTACTATTCCGGACTGATATCAGCTCCAAAGCCGCCGGCGTAAACGAACGACCGACCAGGTGCGGCGGGCGCAGCGACATCGGCCGGCAACGCACGAGCGGCAGCGGGTGCAGCGGGTCTAGACATAGGACCATCGCACTCAGCTTCTCGTCCACGGCTTGCAATAACGACATGATGCTACTGGCATCACTTACGATGCCTTGCCCTTGGCGAGATAGCCCGTGATCTTAGCGAAATGCTGGCCGTGCTTGACTGCGATCGTCTTCTCGAGTTCGGAGACCTGGCGTGATCCATCGCCGTTTGCGATGTTGCCTGCACCGTAGAAGCTTGCACCGTGGATCTCTGTGTTCTGGCCGACTTCTTGGGCGACAGGACCCAGAGGCACATAGACAATACCGTGATGGACGAAGAAAGGCAACGTCGTCAGAGCTGTGCTTTCCAGACCTCCATGCTGCGCTGAAGATCAGATCATCCTGAATGGAGGCTCAGTGTAAGGCATACCTGCGAGCCTGCAGAGGTGCAGATCGTTGCGGTTTTGCCGAGGAGAGCTCCTTTGGCCCATAATCCGCCGGTACGGTCGGCGAATGAGCTGAAAGCTGCAGGCGCGCGTCCATAGCGAGTCTGTAGAGCCCATTCAGCCACTTCCGGGCATCCTATGCTTCTCGACATACTGGAAAAGCAAAAAAGAATCCGTCGTATTCTGTCAGCTCGGAGACATCTTCGAGTGTTGGCAAATCAGGCTTCGGAGCAGCATGCATCTTCTGGAGCGCCTCTGCCGGCAAGACCTCCTGCAGGAGCTTGTGCGTCACCGTCGCGCCGCCCTCTTCGAGACCTTGCTTGATGCTCTCGCTCAGCACATTCTGGTGGTTGTAGGTCGAGTACGTCAGCAAAAGGATCTTGGCCATCTTGCGTCACAGAGCGTCGACTGGCTGAGAGGCACTGGTATTACGAGCTCTTATATGGCCCGAGAAGACGTGGACTTGCTTAGCCGTCCTGTCTGCTCGCCCACACTCGGCGACAACGAGCTGAATCAGCCAGCGCGGATTTAAAGTTCGAAAGACAATGTCAAACTCGGGAAGCTCGTCATAGGCCAGTCGCTCTAAATCCGCATTGTCGGCGCGAGAAGGTGCATTCTGACTCAGACGTGCAGACCAATCCTTGCTAGAGCCGCCTGGCGACAGAGAGAGCAACGATGAAGGAAGCACGTCGATTCGTTCAGGCGGGGTTGCATGCGCTGCTTGTGCTCGACGGCTTGGCACTTGCGCTTGCCCTGCCAAGCAGCACCGCGGATGTAAGTCCAGCTCAGTCTGACGGCTTCGTCCGGAGACACGAAGGCCATCATGCGTCCAAAGAGCAGAGTATGCAAGCGGACACAGTCTCGTTGGCAGAGCAGCCGGCTGCTAGCTCCGGCTCAGTTGCATCAAGTCCGTCGACAATGTCGCATTCCCAAATGTCTGGCGGACACCATCATGGCAATTCGCACGTTGCTCCGTTACTAGAGCTCAATGAGACAGACGTACTGCTCTGGCACGGCCCAGATCCAATCAGCTACTGGTCTTACGACGGGCAAGAAGGCGACCGGCACGCCAGTCGAATGACAGCTCACGTCGTCCTCATGCTCTTCGCCTTCTTCATCTTGTTGCCAATAGGTTCGTCGTGTCCTGCCATGCCCGAACGGATGCGACACTGACGCAAACATCAGCTCTCATGATGAAGACGGCACATCATCCGCTCTATCTGCCCGTGCAGATCATCTTCATGCTTGTCATGAGCGTCGGCGTTCTGCTGTCCATCTCTTACAGGGCAGCAACGCCGGACTTATTCGAAGGCAATGCACATCGGAAGATGGGCTGGTTTGTCATTGGCCTCGTCTACGTACTTTTCGGTGCAGACTTGATTAGATCAGCGCACCTCGCTCTACAGACGCGTCGATCCGGCCAGTCATGGCGCTCGGTCCTGCTCGTCCTCCTCGGTGCTAAAGCCGTCACAGCGGACGTGACTGCAGGCGAAGGATACGAGAAAGTCCAACTCAGCGAAGAGGCCAGTCCGGCCGATCGTGGTCATCTGCATCGCGCACTAGAACATGAACCCACTACCCGTCTCAGATGCGAGACGAATGTGCTCGGATCACCGCTCAGACGTTCCCACAGCCCGGACAGTCCAAGCTCGGCCGGTAGACGATCGGACGTCACTTTGCACGATTCGCACGGCAATAAAGACTTTGCGCCTACTCATTCGCCTTCCAGCGAGCGAGACGATGCAGATCTTGACGATACGGAGTCGATACCTGCCAGACGGCGGTTGCAATCTACACTCAAATATTTGCATATCTTCTTGTCGCGCTCATTGCTCGTCCTCGCTTATGTACAGATGCTGACGGGTATCATCACCTACACCGGCACGTGCAGAAATAATTACGGCAATGGATGTTTGGCACATCTTATCAAAGGCTCCATCTTCTTCTGGTACGGCTTACTGACTTTCGGTCGATACCTCGGCGCTTTTGCGGATCTCGGATGGGCTTGGAATCGCAAACCCGTCTCGAAGCAGCATACATGGCGGGAGAACTTTCCATCGGCAGAGATGGTCGAGTCCTTTGTCATTTTCTTCTATGGCGCGACCAATACTTGGATGGAACGGTTTGGTGCTGCGCCCGGCGAGCCTTACAACATCAAGACGATTCAGCACATCAGTATTGCCGTCATGTTCTGGTTCGCTGGTCTTGCGGGCATGCTACTCGAATCAAAGTCTGTTCGCGCCCTGCTTGCCACCCCAGTGCAGGAGCGATACAACCTCAATCCTTCTCAAGTCAGACCACCGCCATCGTATGCCTTCAGCTTCAATGTCTTCCCTGCGCTGGTCATTGGCGTAACAGGTCTAGCAATGGCAGCACATCATCAGACATACCAATTCCAAGTAGTCATACACCAGCTCTGGGGCAACCTGCTCGCTGGCTTTTCCGCCTTCCGATTCCTGACTTACTTCTTCCTCTGGCTCCGGCCGCCAACGTCAGTCCTACCTTCACGTCCGCCCACAGAAGCATTGGCAGCGCTCTTCCTCACATGCGGCGGCGTTGTGTTCATGCTCTCAACTGAGCAAGTCGCTTTTGCAGCCATGCGGAGTGGCTACGATGATGTGATGGCCTTTCTCAACATCACCGTTGCACTTGTCTGCTTCATCTTCACCTGGATCGCCGTCTTGATGACGCTCAAGGGCTGGTGTACACGCCGCATGGCCGCGATCGTCCGTCCACCCCACCCTAGACCATCCACACACCAACACGCTGACAAGTTCTACCGCTCACGCGTCAGCAGCACTGTCTAGACCATCCCCATCACTCTACCATGCTCATCGATGATGTAAAACACTAATGTTACTCTTAATGCACAATTAATACGAGGTTGTATGCCTCTTGCCGCCTAGATCGGCAGAGGTACATTGGCCAGGTCAAAGGCCTCGTGCTCAGCCAGACTCTCGGCATATTGGGTGAGATCCGGTGTATGATCGAGCATGGTTGGCAAAGAGGCTGCGTGCTGATTGGCGAAAGGGTCGAAAGCCCACTGTGACGATGCCCAAGGGGCATTCGCACGCTGCTGACAGGGCACGTAGGCTGTGAAAGCTTGGCCGTATTGAGCGGACAGAGAGACATGATCACGCTCGGGCGAAGGTGACGAGCTCGTGCTGGACTCATATTCTGCCGGTTGCTGCGGCAGTGATTCCAGACGGGTGACGGAGCTTGTCGTCGTGCCGGCAGAGCTTGACTCGGCGAGAGACAGTCGGCGCAAGGTCGCAGCTTGAGTACTCGATGTCCGACTCGACTCGCTTCGGGGACGTTTGGTAGGTGGCGTACGATGCGAGGCAACGGGTCCACTGATGATATGTCCCGGTCGGCGGTGGTGATTGCACGTCGGGCAAAGCTCTACGAAAATTCTGACCTGCACAGCTCGAATGCATGAGCCATGCTCTAATCGATGGGTAGAGACGTACCAGCTCTTTGGGAACCATTGCATACTTGTTGCGAACGCTACGAGCCGTCTTGTCTCTTCCTCCGTGCCCCACCTCTCGATGAGCGAGGAGGATATGATCGTAGATGTCTTCTCGGACCGCAACAGGCAGCAGCGTTTTGCGCTCCATGAGCTCGTCGCCGTGTTCGGTCTGTCGCAAGTAGTAGCCTTGCTGAGCTCTCTGAGCAAATTTCGGATCGTCGGTCTTCGCAAGCGAATCCGACCTTCCTCGGGCTTTCGACTGGAGTATGTCGACAATGGCCAGATGATCTTGTCGAGTGACGAGATGACGCTCACGAGTACGATTGCGAGAGCGATTGATGTGCTCAAGTATCTCGGCCTCGAAAGCTCTTCGATCCGTAACACCGGGTGACTCATCTGTCGGACTGATGTTGTTGTTTCGGGTACGTGAAGTAGAAGCACCGAGAGTGTTGCGACGTCTCGAAGGCGGTGCAGGTGACTCACCGTCAGAGCCCGATGTATCGGAGGCAGCGTACAGATCAGCGTACGAGCGGATTCTTGTCGCTCGCAAACCTGTCGGTCTCTGGAACATCTCTCGAACGGGATAGTCTTCTCTGGGTTGCATCGCCGCCATACCGCCTGGCAAGAACATTTATTGACGATATTGGGATGAAGCGGAGAAAAAAATCGTTCGCGCTGGACACGATTGAAGCGCTGGACCAGTTCGGTCTGGAGAGTTCCAAAAGGAAGGCGGACAAGAGACTGTTCCTGCCATGTGGGCAGTGCGTCATGAGCAGTCTGGACTGGCCGAAGCCGATGTCGATAAGGTTGACATGCGATACAAGTAGTGACAACAATTGGAAGCGGTGTCGATTTTATGCAGCGATGGCCGGAGCTCGCTTCGCTCTGGATCTTCCCCAAGCTATACTGATCGGTCGACCCTCTAGAGTGATGCCAATCGTCCCTGCAGTAGCGGCAGCAGACTCTGCAGCCTGTCTGGAGGTAAAGTTGACGAAAGCGCAATGACTCGCTTCGACGACGGTGACGCTCTTGATGCTGGCGGGCGCCAAGCCGGAGGTATGCTCGAGGAACCAGGTCTTCAGTGCGCTGCTGAGGTCTGTCGATACCTGACCGGCTTCGGGTAGACTGGTCAGGTAGAGCGACATGACACTCGTGTCTTCTGGCGGCGTGAGACCTTTCGAGGAGGCCGCTTTTGCCAATATAGCTCTGCCCACGGCATCGCTCGTGCCAGCATCTGCGTATCTCATTCAGTATCAATATACCCTCATAGTGAGGCTGGGTATGACGTACATCTTTCCTGGATGGTCTGACTTGGCATAGCGTTGGCCTGTGGAAGCTCATGTCGGTATGGACAAGCGTCGCCACGAGAGCATTCGCCCTTTGCGAAGAAGGAGCAGAGGTGAGGACGGTTGCGTTTGTAGTCTGGCGTCTGTCGAGCGAGCGATTTGAGGAGCTCCTTGGCCGCCGAATCTGACTTGCCGCCTCCGTAGGCAGCCACGCCTTTCGCCGCATTGTCGAGCGCGCCCGAGTTCTCTAGGTTCTGAATGTAGTACTGTCTATTGATGTCGGTCGAAGGTGCACCTTCGAGTCTGCCCAGTGCTGTATCTCTCACTTGTACAGGTAGCTCGTAGACCAGATCGAGGACTGGCCAATTCTTGTCAGCAAGGATCCCACGCGCGTGTGCAGTCAAGAGACGTACGGCAAGTCTGACAGACGTTCTTGATCTTGGCGCAGGACTGACAGACTTCTGTCTTCTTGAAGCGAGCGCCCGAGCCCGGATTCCATCGAAAGACAGTGAACGGTCGTGTGCAGATTTTGCATTCCTGGCCGTAGTCTTGCTTGGTGATGCGCAGGTAAGGGCTCGGTCCCAAGCAAGTCTCGCAGAGGATGGGGAAGTCCTGGAGCTCTTTGGTCAGCTTCTGAGCCTGCTTCGAGTCTGGCGTGACTTGCCGAGTTCTCGAAGCTGGCCTCTTCAGTCGAGTGATCAGTCAGCGCAAGTCCTGCAGCCACGCAACGGAAGCCTTACTGTTCAGATCGCCTGTTGGTCAGACTGTGATCAGCGTGTGCGAAGAGTGTACAGTGAGAGAGACGAACGCTTGGGCGGCATGTTGTCTCAGCAAGGCAAGCGAGCACGGCAAGGTTGTCGAGTCGGTCGACCGTCGAACGTCCAACTTGTCGCGGCAAACGGGACAGAATGGCCAAAGTGGCTAAGCCCCCAAGCTCAAGCACCACTGACTGCTCCTCACTCCATGTTGTCTCTAGCAGCTCACTGTCTTGTTCCATTCGACGAGCTCTTCCGCAGGCAGACATCTGCAGAACTCACATGACTCGAGCAAGCCACACCACCAAAACAGGGAGACAGCGATCCTCCGTCGACCGATACAAGAGCACAGCATCGAGTGTGCTCGCAAACTGCAACTAGTCGTTGATGGTCTGCAATGCTATCAGATCGCAGCGTTGACCACATTCGCTGACTTACCGGGATGTTGATGTTGACGTTGGGCACGGACGAGCATTGCATGCCAGTTCGCTCGGGCGGTATGAAGCCTTCCAACACCTCTGCAAATCTCAAAAGGACGAGTCGCCATGCGTTGATGGCACCACTGCTTGGGTCGATTCTCACATCCATCGCCACATGGTAATTTGACCCAGCGACTGCAATCCAATAAGAGCTCTTCAAATATTCATTGAGTGCTTCACTTGCGTTGGAATTGGTACTCGGACATGATCCCGCTGCTGAGCAAGACGGGCGTGAAGGATTCGGCATAGTGAAGATCGCCAGTGGGAGTGAGCTTGTAGTTCTGGCTTGCCGGATCCCAAGCAAGATCGAACCCGAACGGAAGAGGAGCTTTCTTTACATTGTACTTGATCTGCACTCCGCACCAGGTGTAGCTGCCTACATGGCGACGCTCGACAGTGTTGGCATCGCGTGCCTGCATCGAGCTGGTGTCGATGCTTGCGGCCGAGCATAGGCTTGCAAGCGTGAGCGCAAGCATGGTCAGCGTCAGCTTCATCATTCCTGGCCTTGTCCGCTTGCCGTCCAGTGGGAATACCGCATGGCAACAGGCAGATGCGACCGTCTCTACGAAACAGATTGCACCGTGTTGCTGCCTCCGACGGCTCGTGCAACGCATGCATCCAGGCCTTCGATTGTCCCTGAGAATCGTACGTGTATTACGGAGGTGATGTCAAGAGACTTTGAACACATGAATGGGCAAGAAAGGCGAATGCATTCTGGACGGTCAGGACGAAAAGCAGGCATAAGTGCTCTTGTGCGGTCAGTCTGCTTTGCCGCTCATGCTCAGTAGGCCTGTGTGTCCTGTCTCAGCACTGCACTGAAATTTCGCGATGCCGTGGCTCACTGGGATCGTAATCTTGTTGAGCTGGCCAGGATCGCTGCTGCACTGGAAGCCAAACTGAGGGGGCGACGTAGGCGTCTTGCCATTGACTTGCACGGTGACTCTTCCGATGCCTTGGATATCGCCATCAGAGTCGATCCTGAGTTCCATGGACACGCTGAAGCCCTTGCCGGCAACATCCATGATGGCGGGCACGAGCGTATCTCCGATCGTCTCGGGGGGACTGCAGCTTCCTGCCGTGACGACGTCGTTCGTGACGATGTCATAGGTATCCGAGAGCCATTCGAGATTCCATCCGATGGCCAGAGGGGGCTGAGCAGCGTCATATTTGATCTACCCAAGAGTCATCGGCATGGCGCTTCTTCGGGATAATGTGCAGCTTACCTGAATACCGCACCAGGTGTACTCACCGTCATGACGACGCTCAAGCATGTTCGGGCCACGAGCCTTGATCGAATCGGTCTGGATGCTTGCAGCCGAACAGAGGCCAGCGAGGGAAAGTACAGCCGCAGCGATCATCTTCGTGCTCAGCATCTTGTCCATTCGAATGGGTACGGTATGCAGGTGGTCGACGAGACAGGAAGTAGGGATCGTCGCTATGCGACGGATCTTGGAGAAACGGGATGATACGAGGCCAATCGGAGCGATACGAGGCCGAACGGGTCAAACGAGCCTGTTCGGTTCGCGACGGGGCAACACGCGCCAGCCGTGTAATGACCTGTCAAATAGAGGCGATCTCATCTGATGTAGACAGCCTTTCCTCGCCGACTGCGTACCTCCATGACACATGCATGGAGCGCGAGCGAGCACCCGTACAGATAGCTAGCGATATATAGTTCCTTCAGACAGACCTCGGTCGTCGATGAGACATGCTGCATCTGTGGCCTGTCGTCGCAATTGCACTTTCCGTATGCTCCAGTAGGCCGATGCGATCTCTGATTAGCCACAGGTTAGTGTTTTGCACAACGGAATGGTGGTCTTGGTTACTGCATTGAAAGCCGAATGTGGGGTTCATGGTAGGATACTTCTTGTCGACAGTCAGGCCGATGACGCCGATACCTTGGATTTCGCCGGTCGGCGCAACTTTAAGCCCGATGTAGACGCCAAAGTTGTCGCCAGAGACGGTCATCATGGCTGCCAAGTGTCCGCCCCTGACGGCGAGCGGCGGAGTGTAGGCTCCAGAGGTGACTGCACCGGTCGGAATGATGTTATAGCCCATTCCGGTCCATGCGAGATTCCATCCGAGAGCAAGTTTGGGCTTTTCCGCATCATATTCAATCTGTGAGCAGTGCCCGTCAGCAATAGATCTACGTATGTCTGAAGCTGACCTGTATACCGCACCAGGTGTAGGGGCCTACGTCTCTGCGTTGGAGGTTGTTGACAGCTTTGTCGGATGTGGCGATGCCGCTGATGCTCGCGGCTGAACAGAAGCTCATAAGGCAAGGCACGAGCGTAGCGATCGATTTGCTGAGCATTCTGTCCTCTTAGCGAGGAGAAGCAGTAATTGACGGCGTTGATAGTCAGAAGCAGGCAGATGCTGTCAATCTCGCGAGAGGGAAAATGGTGCTCTGCCTCCCTACGGACGGCTCGAGGTGATACATCGGAAAAACGCAGCAAGTGGTCCGCAGGGCAACGACACATGCTTTGCATTCGATGCACTTGTGCAGTCAGCCGATGAGGATCTTCTCGAGCGAGGCACATCGACGGGATATGCTCTCGGGAGGCCTGTTAATTGGTCGCATCGGACTTCACACCGCGTTCGCAGCGGCAACGCCTAGTGCAATGTGCTACTATTCGAATTGTATGCGTCTGATGTGACTGCGGCAGTCGGCACGACCGCGCGAACAGTCGGTTATTATTCTAGATCTCACTTGAAAGCAAGCTCAGGCTGGTCCGTATTGTGTTTGGATTGCTGTCTCAGCGATGCACTCGACCTTCATCTGTGTAGCTTGCCTGAATTGTGCAGCCTGCCTGGATGCCGCAAGCCATGTGCGCCACCATGTCATCGCTCGAGTAGAGTGGCCACGTTGCATCCGGATCTGCCTAGCACGAGCTTCGTTCTTGACCACGCCAGTACTCGAACCCGTTCGGACAGCGAGGTGTATCATCTCAGATGACAAAGCGACCAGATTCAGCACCTCAAAACATCTGAAGGTGCGCGACTGCTGCTGTGCGTGGGTATTGCTACCGCCGAAATAAAGTCAAGGAGGTCTCCAGGAGGACGCGGACAGCGTTTCATGCGGTGCGCAGCAGGCCTGTCGCGGCACGCATGTTCACGTATGAGCAGCAGACCAACAAATTTGGGAGTGAATGGGCCTTGCGAGCCTGTTGACTCGGCAGATCGTGCCCTTCAAGCCGAGCGGTCTCTTCGTGGCAGGCATGGCGACCGTGCAGAACTTCGTTAGTGATGAGAGTAAAGGTAGCACACGACATAGCTAGACAAGGCCCGCACATAGCATGGAAGAGGCTTGAGGGGAGGGTTTTGGTTGTTGCAGCGCTCGAGAATTTATTTTTCGAGTCGAGCAACGTCAGGCGTCGAGCGTACGTAACGTCGACTCATCTGCCGGACGACGCAATGAGCCGCTCACCGTCGCCGACGATGGGCTCAGTCGATGCTCCTGATGCGATCGGCAAGCGCAAAAGGCAAGTCGCACTTGCCGAAGAGGTCAGATTGGTGCTGATGCTCGACCAAACCAGGGACCTACCTGAAGATGGCACAGACGGCGAGGCATCCCTCACCAATGGCGCACGACATACTCGCCGGCCTCGTGTGTCGGCCTCACAGCTCAACGAGGACGAACAGAGCACACGCATGCCCGTCATCCGTGACAATGACCCCGAACGACGCAGGGAACGAGAAAGACAGATGGCCCTCAGGCTAGCAGAGGAGGAAGCATTGGGCGCACCGCTCGTCAAGCCGAAGGAGAACCCGGTCGTTGAGATGAAGAAGATGGCTCTGACCAAAGCAGGAGGAACTTACATACCTCCTCATCGCCTGCGCGCAATGCTGGCAGAGGCAAGCGAGTCCGATCCTGCCGGTGCTGAAGCTCAGCGACTACGCTGGGACGCTCTGCGCAAGTCCATCAACGGTCACATCAACAAGGTACGCTGCGTTCACTCGCCATGCACACTCAGACAGGCTGACACTCGCTTAGGTCAACGTCTCCAATATCAAAATGGTCATCCCAGAGCTCTTTGTGGAGAACCTCAACCGAGGTAGAGGACTGTTTGCACGGTCCATCATGCGCGCTCAGTCGTCCTCTCTGCCTTTCACGCCCGTCTTTGCTGCGCTCGTCGCCGTCATCAACACCAAGCTGCCCTCTCTCGGCGAACTGTTGCTCACGCGACTTGTCCTGCAATTCAGGCGCTCTTTCAAGCGAAATGACAAGCCAACTTGCCACGCTTCGGCTACCTTTATCGCCCATCTCGTCAATCAGCAAGTCGCAGATGCGACGCTGGCTTTCCAGATCCTGCTCCTCATGCTCAACAATCCAACAGACGACAGTATCGAGCTAGCAGTCGGCTTCATGCGAGAAGTCGGAGCACATCTGGCGGAATGCTCGGCCAAGTATAACGAATCTGTCTTTGCTCGCTTCAGGGCGATCCTCAACGAGACCGGTATCGACAAGCGTGTACAGTATATGATCGAAGTGCTCTTCCAAGTGCGCAAAGACAAATTCGTCGACAATCCAGCGATTCCAGAAGGACTCGATCTTGTCGAAGAGGCCGATATGATTACTCACGAGCTCTCACTGACCGACCAGAGTCTCAAGAATGAGGAGATGCTCAACGTCTTCAAAGTTGATCCCGAATTTGATCAGAATGAGCAAGAATATGCAGCCTTCAAGGCAGAGATCCTAGGCGAGGACGAGGAGTCTGGCACCGAGGGATCCGACGAGGATGAGGAAGACGAAGCCGCTGACCCGTCAAGTAAGCCCTTCCCGACCGATAGCTTGCGGACACAGACTAACGGACGAGCAGTTCCTGCACAAGTGGACATCCAGGACCACACCTCAACCGATCTAATCAATCTGCGCCGCAAGATCTACCTGACCATCATGTCTGCTCTCGATTTCGAAGAGGCTGTCCATAAGCTGCTCAAGGTCGCTCTGCTTCCCGGTCAAGAGATCGAGATGTGCAATATGATCGTCGAATGCTGCTCTCAAGAACGATCCTACTCCAAGTTTTACGGCTTCATGGGCGAAAGACTCTGCAAGCTCAACATGACCTGGGGCTTTGCCTTCCAAGAGTGCTTCAGAGTCTACTTCGATACCATCCACCGGTACGAGACAAACAAGCTGCGCAATATCGCCCGATTCTTTGGTCATCTCGTCGCTTCCAATGCTTTGCCTTGGTCGGCGCTCGAAGTTATCCACATGAACGAAGACGAGACGACGTCGAGCTCGCGTATCTTTGTCAAGATCATGTTCAGCGAACTCGTCGAAGATCTGGGCCTGGCTCAAGTCAAGGCGCGCTTTCTCGAGCCAGAGAACCAGCACTTCTTCAAGGGCATCTTTCCCACTGACAATCCTCGTAACACTCGCTTCAGCATCAATTTCTGGACTTCCATTCAGATGGGCGCGCTCACCGAGGGCATGCGCGAGCACCTTAAGGTAGCTGCATTCCGTGTCCTGCATGATGCTCAGACTGATGCTTGATCTCTAGAATGCTCCTGCGATATTGATGGCGCAGAGGAAGCAAATCGCTGCCGATTCATCCGACTCCGACTCATCGCTCTCGTCTTCAGATTCCGACTCGGATAGCTCCTCACTCTCGCGCTCGTCGACATACTCGTATGCTTCACGAAAACGCACCAACGGCAACGGAAGAGGCAGATCGCTGTCTCGCACGCCTCCCGGTAGGCGCTCGTACGACTCTCGCTCGCCGCCCCCAAGACGCCGTGCTGACTCTCGCTCACCACCACGGAGACGTCGCGACGATTCCCGTTCGCCTGCGCCTCGGCGACGAGACGACTCGCGATCGCCTCCTCGAAGACGTCGTCCTGTCGATGCGCGATCGCCGCCAATCCGCAGACGTGCCGGTTCTCGCTCGCCACCGCCTCCTCGCAGGCGGGCAGATTCGAGATCACCGCCGAGGAAGCGCTACGACTCACGATCACCGCCGCCGCGTCGTAGGATGGCAGACTCGCGCAGTCCTTCGCCTGTCAGACCTGCCCGGCGACAGATCAGCCCGCTCGAGCCTTCGCGTAGAAGACCCCGCTCTCCCTCGCCCGTGAGGCAGACAAATGGTGCTCAACGTCGCTACGACAGCCGCTCGCCACCGCCTCGCCGTCGCCGAGAGTACAGCGATTCGCCGCCGGTCAGAAGACGTGCAAGCCCAGTACCTGTACGCAGATCGCCCTCACCGCCGCCCGCGAGAGCATCACCTTCGCCTCCACCACGAGTCAGTGGTTTCATCCATCCAGACCGACTGAGAATGCAGCAGATGGGAGGTCGCAGATGAAGTGTATAAGGAATGCAAATAGGGCACTGCGATGTATATACAAGTGCGTGCGACATGACAAAATGATTAGGCCTTGGGAGGCGGGCCCACTGGTGGAGCATAGTACTGCGATGTCTGGGGCGGTCTGAACATGAAGTGAGCTCAAATTCAGGCTTCTTCGGAGAAAGTCACTTACGGTCCAGATGGGGGCTGATAGGCTGGCGCATTGCCATTGCCATTGCCATTGCCATTGCTGTTGTAGCCACTTGCATCATAGCCGTAGTTTTGATACGGCGCGGAGCCTCCGTAGGCAGGCTGTGCAGTCGCTGAAGTCGAGTTGCCGTTATAGTCTTGCGTGTAGCCCGTCGTCGGGGCGCCGTGATAACCGCCAGCTGGCACTGGCGCTGTAGCTGACGCAAACTTCCTCGATCTTCGTCTCCGACAGACCATGGACAGCACAGCGATCAAGACCAAAGCTCCGACTGCGATTCCCACTCCTGCACAGCATGCGATTTGATTAGCCAAGCGCTGCGGCATGATCAGGCGCAGCGTGTCTCACCAATACCGATTCGTGCACCCGAAGACAGGCCATTGCCGTAGCATCCGCTGTTGTAGTAGCTGTAGCCGCCGCAATAGTACTGTGCCGATACAAGCTGTGTAGATGCCAAGACTATGGCAGCGCTTGCTGCTATCCGCGCCATTGCCATCGTTCAGATACTTGCGCAAAGATGATAGCCTTTGCTGTGTCGCCTCGATGAAGTTTGAAGCGGATCGGACAAGTGACTCTTGCGCTGTGGATGCACCGACCCGAGAATATCGAAAGAGCCAAGATCGACCGTCGCATGGTCGTCGGCTACGTCACTTCATGCCACGTCATCATATCCACGTGGCTGTCGACCTTCGCGCAGAAGTTCTTGTTGACTGGCGGGACGAGTGATGGATCGCTTCGCAGCCTATACACAGACAGACTCTCTTCTGTCCTTCATCAAGCTGTGGGGAAAGTCTCCGGACACTGTGCACCAGAAGGGAAGAGCTAGCTCTCGAGCTAAGCTCTCTTGATTCTTTGGTTCAAAATGCTGGGCTGGGCTCCTTGTCAAGTCCGCTAGCGAGAACAGTATCGCTATAAAGCTCTCCTCGGATGTCTCCGGCTCTCTGGAAGAGTTTTCAAGGCGGCATGGCTTGTCGGATGGAGGAGAAATGCACTCCAGGTCGGGGGGTCTCGAGGAAAGCTCAAGTCTCCAAGCAGACTTTTAGCAGACCTCCTCGGTTTGGATGCTACTCCTCGCTGACATCTACTCGTCATCGTCGTTGGCCTGACTAGCCACAGAGATCAGGATCGCTCCCAAGAGGCCAGATACTTGTTCCTGACAACCCCAGGGGCTTCTTTTTCTTTTGCTTTAGTCCTTGACCAAGTCGACGAGCAGACAGTGACAATGCTCGTGCCAGCCTCGTAGCTGTCTGCCGGTCAGCCATTGTCGCCTCACAGCTCGTCGAGATTGCGTCTGCTGCTGCAAAAGGGGGGCAGCCTCACGTCCGCTTGACGGGAGCTCATGTCGCTGCATGGCACAAGACGACTCGTTCGCGCTGTCCATCTCGTGCGTCACCTGTCTTTGGTCTCTCGTTCACACGAGCCTATCGTCGCACATTCGATCGTCCGAGTTTCTGTTGCCTCGAAATGGCCTCGCGGCTAAACTAGATCGACAGCATGCTCGGCGGTGGGCTGCTTGCGAGGCAGCTGGCAATATTGGCATGGCAGTGACGGGGTCCTGATCGAGTAGGCGAAGAGACGAGCCGAAAGAGTGTCCCACTTCAACGTCGCTTGCGCTACAACATTCCTGTTGCTCAGTGATTGTCTCAAAGAGCGCGGCGGTAGGAGAGCTTGCAGGCCATCATGGTCGAGTTGCAGACTTGGTCAGACGCTCAGTGGCGTCGAATCGTTGGTCATATCCGATAGTTATGCGATCGCACTGCCTTTTTCCTTGACGGAGACTCGATCTGCTTGGATGAGCAGGCAGACGAGGTATGGCAGCTGTAACACAATGGGGCTTACTCTCGCTCGTCCTCCCATCACTCATCCTCTATGAACCCACTCACTCGAAGCCTTGGGCGAAAGGGGCGCAAGCTTACACACACAAGAGCTGCGCAACGACTAGCTTCAAAGTAGCGAGCGAGTCCAGAAGAGATCAATGATGAAACCACATACAACAACAACGAATCTCTTCAGCAGAAAGGACGTTCGCGTTCTGGTGTTGATTCACTATCTTGAAGCTTTTTAACCCTGAGATCTCTTCCTGCTGATTCTGTCAATCTATTGTTGCAATGTATCTCGCTATTCTGTCTGCAAACTGGGTCGTGTTCAGCAGCGCATCGTGTGCGCCCGTGAGCGACTCAAAGTCGACTTCTAGCTCCAGCTGAGGCGAGTGCAGGGAGGCGAGGTGCAGGTTGAAGCCCTGAGGCTGTCGCAAGGAGAGCAACTCGTCATCTCTGCTATGCAGCAAGAGCATACGGGTCTGTTCGCGCGCTAGCTGCCAATGTGAAGGCGAGATCTCCTTCCTGAGCTGGCCAAAGGGTCGCTCGACGAAATAGATGTAGCTTGGATATTCTTCGAGTAAGCTCGCGAGATCAAAGATGCCCTCGACGAGTATCCAGGCCTGTGGTAGGATGTCGACATCGTGCATCACCTGAGACGAAGAGCAAGTGCATACCTTGATTCTATGTCTCACATGAGTCGCATCGAAGAAGGAGTGGAAGTCGTGCGGAGGCTGCATGGCTAAGGACGCGGCAATGAACGCGCCGCAAGAGTGGCCGATGACGATGACGCGGTGCCGGTCCCATAGCTGTTCGTTCTGCTCGACTGATGCGACTCGATCTGCGCAAAGATAGTCTATTGCGGCGATGATATCGAGAGTATGTTCGGGGTGCTTTGCATCCTCATTGGCTTGCTCGGCATTCCGGTAAGACAGCCGATAATTCGGCACAGCGACGCAACATCGCCCGTGCGTTGCTTGCAGCAAGTTGGGTACCAGATGTTCGGCGTGCTCCGATTTATCGCCTGACGAGTTTGGCACAGTGAGCGAGCCATGGGGGGGCTTCATGGAACGCTTGCTTACCTGAGAGCCATGCTCCTCCATGAAGGAAGATCAGCAGCGATCGACCGGCCGGCACGCCGTCAGGAATGTAAAGATCGACAGTCTGTTGTGGCCCGGTGCCGTACTGCAGCTCATGGCTGACGGGCATTCGCTGAAGCGCGTCGCGTTCGCCGAAAGCGGCGAGGATGTCCCGGAAATCCCTTGCCCGTTATGGGCTGCAGTCATCCGCCTTTATCCTGCCTGGCTTTCGCTCAGATCTAATGAAGGGTCGCCTTCGACGGTGAATGCGATGCCATGGCGCGATGGGCAGGCAAGATCGCGATGTTGAGATAATTCTCCTGGCAGCTTTGCCGAAGTGAGAGAGCTGCAATGAACATGCCGGGCTCGACCGATTCCCGTCTTTCCGTCGAGCGAATGCCCAGAGGACAACAGTCGACCTGCCCATCTACCTCCAACTGGGCGCCATGCGCAAAGACGACCGCTCCAGTTGACAATGGCATTAGACGCGCTGCAGACGTCGATACCATCACTGCGGCTGCCCGGCATCGCTGCAGCGTCAGCGCCTAGCGTCAATGGCAATGTGGTAGGCCCTCTTCTGTGGAATCTGCCGGAATGTGGGCCTGACGGAGCATGCTGCCTAGTGGACGCTAGTCAGTATCGTGTCCCTCGACTTGATCGCCCTCTTTGTCGCTTTTGCGCTGCGATATGCAGCCGGTCGGCATAGAAGAGCGCTCTTCGTCAAACGAGAGACTGCCGAGGGGGTCTATGTCGTCCCACACACCCAATCACTCGGCGCCATCTGGCTGACGCTCGTCAATGCTTTACTGCTCATGCAGCTCGTCGCAGCTCGACAGACGTTCGTGTACCAGCGAGCAAGGAGTTTGCTCCAGTTCGCCTCATGCTTGATGCCATTCGCAGTCTTTGGCTATCTCTGGACCCGCTTGACCTCGATCGTCTATGCTTGCCACCTATCGAGTACAGAGGTCGCTTTCCCGCGAACATGGCAACGGCGCATCTTCCATTTTGGGCCCAGATTGCTCAACAGGTTATGCTGGCTCACGCCTCCGCTCCTGGCTGTACCCATACTTGCGCTGTCGCTCGCTTTCCCGATAACATTTGCGAAAAGCCAGTCCCTTGCCCAAGCTATTCTTGCCGCAGACACACCACAGCCTCTGCTCGCACAACAGAGCGAGCACCTCGTGTCCACTGCGGACACAATGTTTAGCATTCTCTGGTCGATCTGGGCCACCGTCTTTGTGCTGCTCGGTATAGTGCGTTGGTTGCCTTCTGCCTTGAGTTTGCCTACTGACAAAGCGCGTAGCTCCTACTGATCTACTCCGCGCATCTCTTCAGGGCGATCCGAGCTTCGAGCGCGCACGTCGTCGCAGACTCGAATTCTCGGATCCCTTCGGAAATGCCGCCCCTGCCGGTAATGAGCAAAACGGATCGGCCGGCGGTATCGCGCGATCCGTCAGCCTTTTCCAAGAGGTTCTCCGGGCTGTCTACGCGCAAGTACACTCTGCAAGAGTCGCTGCGAGAATCTAGCCTGGAGCGCTATGCGGAGGACGACCCGATGCTGAAAGGTCGATCTATCATCATTCTCGAGACTTGCGCTTCGATCTGCTTCATCTGCTCCTGGATGTATGTGCGCACTACTTCGTTTCTTCATGAATTCTGTGCTGACAGGACATCAGTGCTATTTCGCTTCTGCGTGCTTCCGCGCAGGTACTCCGAACACCGCACGTTGGCAGCCTGCGATCGTGGTACGCCCTCCTGGGTAGCGTCTGGCTGACAGTCGTGTAAGCTGCTTCATTTTCTGAGCCTTGGCCTCGCTGATGATACTCGCAATGACAGAGTGGCAGTCATCGAGACAGCCTTTTTGCTTCGAAGAAGCATAGTTGCTTATACGAATGGCAAGACCGATACGAAACCGATAACAGAGCACGAAGACAAGCAACTTTTCGATCAGATCTTTGCTCACGTACAGAGGGTCGCCTCACCCATACTTGCATCCAGCGCGACCCTGCCGAGCTCCTTCATGACCTTTTCGCCCGCATCGAGCGAAGAGGTGAGCCCGACAGCCGATAAACCTAAAACACCATGGGCATAGCAAAGCCTAGTCACAAAGTGCTTGTGATTAGTCAATATGCTTGTTGTATCGATACAATACGAATCTGCAGCTTTGTCACAACATGTACATCACTGAAACAGCCTAGAAGGCGTCAGCGTCTTTTCGTCTAGGTGCTTGATGCGGTGTGGCGATGGCTTCAGTTCCTCAAGCTCCTCTGTCATGACCGTAGATGGAATATAGTCTGCTCGAGTAGCAGGCGGGGTGACGGCACGCTGGCGTTTGGCTCTCAGAGCCGCGCCGACTAGCTCGGCGGCTTTCCGGTCATCGGGCGTCAGGCGACCGGTCTCTGCTGCTGCCTCGAGAGCTTTGCGTTTCCTGGAAGACTCGAAGAATGAATCGAGGTTGCTCTGACGAGGTGGGTCCGGTCTCGCACCGACCCAGGCTTGCTTCACTCTCGCGAAGAAGCTGGGCCGCTTCGTCAGCCTTGGCAGATCCGCGTTGACCTGATGCGAGATGCTCTCGGTGTCGACAGGTGCATCTGACTTCTGCTGAGCTTGAGCTTCAGTCTCATCGTCTTGCCAGGGTATTGCTAGTTTGTAAGATTCTTGCAAATCGGCATAGCTTTGCACGTTGCCCAGTCGCCCCGGATCGAGTTTGCGCTCATTGTGCGTAGGCCACGGTGTCATCAAAAGATGCGGGAATTGTGTTTCTTCGATATATTCATCTTCAGCAGTGCAATCTGGCTTCTGTGGCGAGACCGATGCAGATGGTGGGCAGAGCTCCCGGTCAGAGACGTCAGATCCCGATCGAGACGACGAGAACTTGAATGGTGTGGCAGCACCCACGAGTGTCGACTTGCTCTCTCGGCCAGACAAGTTGTTAGCTCGCGGACATGGTCGCGACTGCTTCTGGCTGCTCTCTAATGCCGCCGAGGCATCGGCTTTGTTCGCCTTCTGGGATTGATCTGGCGAGTGAGGCTTCTGTAATGATCTTGATGCCGTCGGCAGTGCTCCGTCCACAAATGCGCGCGTGCGGGGTGTGAGTCTAAGCACCGGCAGCGTTTCGCTGTTGTTGGAAGTGGCTTCTGGCGACGGGCTGTGAAGTGGCGCGCGAGCGACCAAAGGTGATTCGGGGGCCGGACTTGACGAGACCGATGGGTTCAGACGCTCGTAAGCACCGATGCGACGATACCTATCGATCAGCTCAGCCGGCGGTCGGTGCGGCACCGGTGTATCATCCTTGCTTATGTCTCGCAACATGGCACTCATGGGTACCTGTGTCTCTCGGTATTCACTGCCATATTGTGACTCATCGAGGTATTCGCCAGGAGGTTCGTCTACTTTTGGCGGTCTGGGCGTTGATGTGGATCTTCTGACAAAGGCATGAGGGAACTCACGAACGCACTTGAGTACGCTGCTAGATCGATCGAGGACGAAGCTCGTCGTGCTCGTTGGCGGTGTGGATCCCGGCGGATGCTCCGCATGAATGGGTGTGTCGGGTGCAGAGGATGAAGACAGCGTGATGGGATCGGAGGCAGTCGTCGCTTGCGCCTGGATTGTGCGCATGCTCGACGTTGGCTCTGACAAGCGTGCGCGTTTGTGCGCCGTCGATGTGCTTGCGATCGCACCCCAAGGCTCGCGCATTGAACCAGACTGAGTCACACTTGGCCTCATGATCGAAGAGGGGGCCGAGCCTTTCAAAAATGTGCGTAGACTGCCATCAGATGCTGACGGTCCTCTTGAGCTCTCGGGCACCGACTTTATGACCGGCACGCCCGAAGATCCGAGCGTTGTCTGCTTGAGACCTGGCTGGTGAGCCTGAGCTTTGCCACGAGCCATCTCGAAGCTCGGGCGCAGCTGGTGGCAGGCACTGCGATCGCAGCAGCTGGACTGATTTTGCTGGCTCGACGCGTCCCTTCCGGCCAAAATCAACTCGACACGCGATCGCTGGTGGACGCCACGCCTGCGAATAGCCAGCGATTCGGAGGAGGACTTGCGAGGGCAACAATAAAGCGAATCTCCGTCTGTGCACGCTCATCAAAGGACAAACGAGACGAGACAAGACCGCTCGTCATGCCTCTCAAAGCACTCATCCTCGTTGGCGGTGCGTTGGGCTGCATGCACTGCTCCTTCGGCGTGTTTGCTCATGCAGTGTGACTTTGCCATTGCTCAGGCTTCGGCACACGGTTGCGCCCACTCACGCTGACCTTGCCGAAGCCGTTGGTCGAGTTTGCAAACAAGTCGGTCTTGTCTCTGCATCGCTTTTCCGACAACGTGTAGCTCATCTCCCACTGTTAGGCCTATCATCCTGCATCAGCTGGAAGCGCTCGTCAAGGCAGGCGTCAAGCACATCGTTCTCGCCGTCAACTATCGCCCGGAAGGTCAGTCGGATGCCGCGTGATGCTGCCGCTCGAGCTGAGGCATCGCCGTTCAATGTCAACAGTCATGGTCGCTTTATTGAGCAAGTGCGAACAAGAGTACGGCATCGAGATTACCTTTAGCGTCGAGAGCGAGCCTCTCGGTACAGGTGCGCTCTTGCTGGTCGCTCAATCGTTCGCCAAGCTGATGCATCGAGCAGCCGGACCACTCGCCCTGGCACGCGAAGTGCTCGGCAAGGATGACTCGCCCTTCTTCGTGCTCAACTCAGACGTGACGTGTTCCTATCCTTTCGAACAGCTACGAGACTTCCACATGGCGCATGGCGACGAAGGTACCATCATGGTCACCAAAGTAGACGAGCCGAGCAAATACGGTGTCGTCGTTCAGATGCCCAACTCGACCGTCATCGACCGCTTCGTAGAGAAGCCGGTCGACTTTGTCGGCAACAGAATCAACGCGGGCATCTATATGTTCTCGCCCAAAGTACTCGACCGTATCGAACTCCGTCCGACTTCGATCGAGAAGGAGACCTTCCCTGCTCTCGCGGCAGACCGTCAGCTGCATGCCATGGATCTCGAAGGATTCTGGATGGACGTCGGTCAGCCAAAGGACATGCTCGCCGGTACTGCGCTCTATCTGAGCTACATCGCGCAAACGTCGCCAAAGATGCTCGTCGATCCGTCCCAGAACAAGTGGGTACATGGTGGCAACGTCATGGTAGATCCCGTCAGTTCATCGTTGCTTTCAGCATGGACATTTGCTCACCGCCAGTGGCTGAGGAACAGACTGCAGAAGTGCACCCGGATGCAGTGATCGGGCCCAATGTCGTCATTGGACCCAAGTGCGTCGTCGGAGCAGGCGCGAGACTGCAACGCTGCATCATGCTCGAAGGCTCAAAGGTCAAGGAGCACTCGTGGATCCATAATTCCATCATCGGATGGCATTCCGTCGTCGGACGGTGGGTTCGCATGGAGAATGTCACCGTCCTCGGCGATGACGTATCTGTCAAGGACGAACTGACCATCGTTGGCGCCTCTGTTCTGCCGCACAAGTCGATCAGCAGCAGTATCACGACGCCATCGATCGTCATGTAAAGCAAGAGAAGCGCTTCATGAGTATTCCCCCCTTTTGCAGAGACACGACCTTAGACAAAATCCTCGCTCTCGCATCGACTGCGAGCCAGCTCCTTTTCATAAATCCAGCACACGATCCATCTGCGCAACTAGCACGCTCAAGATTCCCATAGACAGACCCTCGCGCCCGTCCTCGTATGACGACAATGTTTCCTTTCCTTCGCCCGTTCGCAATGCCCTGTCGAGAGTCACGGCGGCCCAAGCTTACCAAAGCAGACGGTTTTATCTGAGCACTACTTTACCAACAAAGTGTAGTTGATCCCAGAACGGTCACGCAATGTATATACCCAGCTATAGCTATGAAGTTCAAGTCGACCGTCCTGAGGTTTTGTCACAGTGAAGCGGCTGCAATGCTACAGAGAGACCACAAGATCATGCCTTGACGGCATACTTGCGCTGCGGGAATGCTGCCAAGCGCTTCTTTGTCCTCTCCGTCTTGGCCGTTCGCTCGCTCTGTCCGACGTCCAAAGCTCAGCGGATGCTCATGAGTCCTTCCTGAGCGCGTGGCCTCACCTTGCTGAGTCGCCTGCGGATAGCGCGGGTCTTCTTAGGTCGCAGATCGAGAGGAAGACGCTTGTTCTTCGAGTGCTCTCGGACGGCTTGTCTTTGCTTTGCGTTGACGACGGTGAGGACACGAGCAATCGACTTGCGGACCGTCTTGCTGCAGACATCACACGTTTCTCAGCATTCTGCCGAGAGGACATCGATCGGATGGCCTACATCTTCTGCAGCTTAGACTGGTTGCCGCCTGTGACCTTTTGAACTCGCAGCGCAGTCGCTTCCTGCTTCAGTTCCTCGAGCTGCTTCATCAAGTCCGCCTTGGACTTTGAGACGAGCTCATGACTGCCGATATGGTATCAGCACATGAGCCATCTCTCTAGTCTGCCAGTAACGCACGCCTTGACCTTGCTGCTTGACGACATCTTTGCTGATGTTTGCCTGCCTGACCGCTCGCAAGTGGCTCGAAAAGGATTTTCTCACGCGTCGCGTAGAGCCACGTCACCTTCGTTGCACCAATCGTAGCCTACGATTTCCGCTCGAGTTGTCCCCCCAAAGATGCTACGGTGTGCGGCTCGGCTGCCGCTGCGCACGGTAGCGCTCCAACGGCGATCGATAGCATCGACAGCTCCACGAGCTTCGGATGCGCTCTTTGTGGTGCGCAACCTCGTAACGATCCGCTTGATGCGAGGCTGATGACGGAGCTTGCAGCATCGAGACTCGGACTATAACAACTCCAAGGTCGGCTCCTCGTCCGTTGACTCACCTGATAGCTGAGGGAATAGTCGGACGCTGACAGATCCCCTTCGCTTTCACGCCCGAGTACAAAAAGATGGCGGATGAGATCATCTCTCGCTTTCCTGCTCAGTACAAGGTGGGCACGACTGCGCCTGATGCGCCTTAGCTCATCAATGCGTGGTCTTACCACACGACAGAAAGCGGCGGTGATACCCCTGCTCGAGCTCGGACAGCGGCAGAACAAGGGATGGACGAGCATCAGCGTGATGAACTACGTTGCCAATCTGCTCGACATGCCTCCCATGCGCGTCTATGAAGTCGCTACATTCTACACCATGTTCAATAGGTAAGATCATCGTGCTGGATGCTTTGATGTATGCTCAAAGCACCGCTTGCTTTCGCAGAGAGCCAGTAGGCGACAACTTCATCCAGATCTGTACGACGACCCCTTGCGCTCTGAGGGATAGCACGGGTATCCTCAACACGATCAAAAGTCATCTCGGCATCGAGTGTGGCGAGACGACAAAGGACAAGAAGTTCACTTTGGTCGAGGTCGAGTGCCTTGGCGCATGCTCGAACGCGCCGATGATTCAGATCAACGATGACTACTACGTGCGTCTTCCGGTCTTCAACACTGATCACTGGCTGATCGGTGACATATGCAGGAGGATCTCACGCCAGAGACGACTGTGAAGATTCTCAAGTCGCTCGAGGCGGGCAAGCGACCAAAGCCAGGCCCTCAGAGTGAGCGAAGGACTTCAGAGCCTGCTGGCGGCAGGACGAGCTTGACTGAGAAGCCACCTGGCCCCGGCCAATTCTGTGTGCCCGAGTTTGCATGATGCATCCTGACTAGTAGAGTACAGACAGAATCAAATGCTCGTGTCAGCCCAGGCTCATGCTGACCCTTCTAGGCTGACATCGACGAGAGGCTTCGCAGCCGCTGCCTGGCTGAGCGAAGTCGCAGGGTTGCCTTTGCCTTCCAGACTCTCGTAGTACTGAGGACTGAGACCGGCTGTCGCTCTATCTTCGGCGTTGAAAGGCGCCTTGAGCTTGCCCCAAAAGTGTTCCTTGACCTTGCCCCGGAAGACCTGCACGGGATCCATGGGCGGATCGGCATGGGAACAGATCCAGGTTAGCCAGCGATGACCCGTGGCAACATGGGTGACCTCGTCATTGTGGATCGTCCGCAAGACTTCTGCTGTCTCTTCGTCGCCACTCGCTGCGACCTTGGCGATCTGTGTCGGATTGACATCCAACCCTCTGGCTTCGTGAACGAGATGGATGATACAGATTCGGCTGATGAGGTCGTGCGAGGTTTCTTGTGCGGACTGCCAAAGTGCAGCATGGATGGGCAGCGTGCCGTAGTGCGTCCCCATCGCTTCTAGCCTTTCACAGAGCAGGCTGAAATGCTTTGCTTCGTCTTCTGCCACCTTGAGAAAGTCTGCAAAGAAAGCGGCTGGCATCGGCTTGCCATTGTACATCGGAAACCTAGCTACGATATCGAGTGCCAAGTCGATTGCCCATTGCTCGATGGAAGCCAGAGCATGGAGCAGCTTGATGCGTGACACGGCAGAATTCGTCTTGCGTGATTTTATCTTGCCCGGATCGACGACGGTGTAAGTTGTCGGCCGTGGCGGTTGATCGGGTGGAGTGGCGCTGCCTATCCTCTTCAGCTTGCCCGCGCGATACAGTCTGATCGTTTCGCGTGTTCGTGCTACTTTGAGCGTTGGCGAGGCAGTATTGAGGGTCATGACGACCCAATCGAGCAGACTGGAGCTCTCGCTGGGCACGTCTGGATCGTCTTGGTCGATGGCGAGGACGGGCTCCGATTGACCCTGTCGTTCGCTGACGGCGCGCATACTCAGCAAGCGGTAATCGTCTTGTTCGGGCATCTCCAGGAGAACATAGCCATCTTGCTCCGTGACGGCATACGTGCAGGCTTTGAGGCCTGTAGATGATTCGCCGGAAAGGAGATTGAAGTCGTACGAGTGGAACGGACAGACGAGGATGGGACCGTCTTCGATGCCGTGATCGAGATCGAGTTCGATCTCTGCATGCTCCAGGGGTGCGCCTGCATGGGGGCAGGTCGACTCCATGGCGTAGTATTGCGGCTGACTCGTTTCTGATGAGAGTTGAAAGAGGACGAGCTCGAGGTAGAGGCTCGGATTGGTATACGATCGAAAGGTCAAGACATAGCGACGCTTGCCGAGTTCGGTGACCTTGCCGAGGCTGATCTGCACTGACATTGTCGGCTACTGTCAGCAGATTGACGAGCGCTCGACGCGAACTTTTTGTGAAAGCAAGGCAAGACGATTATCGTCTGAGACGATGAGGCAGCTGAAGCATCATGAGAAGCAAGTGAAGCCATACCGTCAGCTTGAACCATGCTGATGGCCGGCTCATCGTGATGTAGGAAGCTGCTCAAAAAGGTCGACTTTCTGCAGTGGAAGCAAGACTCGACGCTCAGAGAGGCAAAAGTGATGAGGACGTACTTCATCCAACGCAGGCACGCTAGCGTCACTCTCCGCGGTCTATGAGAGCTGACCACACCTACCAGAGAGGATTACCAGTCGTACAACAGGCTATGCGGCTCCATAAGGCAGCTCGCCCATCGACTCAGTCAACTCGACCCACGCGATCCTTTCCGAGGCAAGCACGAGGCCTTGCTGCTCAGCAAACTCTACGACATGGGCATACTCGGCTCGGAGAGCAAGATGTCAGACGTCGAGAACAAGATCACCGTTTCTGCAATGTGCAGGCGGCGGATCGGCGTCGTTATGTGCAGGCTCAAAATGTCACAGACTGTCAAAATGGTCAGCGTTGCGCTGTCCAGCACGACCAATCTCTCACAAGTATTCATCTGACAGGCTGTTCAATATGTCGAGCAAGGTCACGTCCGCGTAGGACCGGAGACAGTCACAGATCCGGCTTTCCTGGTGACGCGCAATATGGAGGACTTTGTGACTTGGGTCGACACAAGCAAACTCAAGCGGACAGTCATGTCCTACAATGTCAGTCTGATGAGGCTTGCTCTCGCACACCGGCTGACAGTCACTCAGGACGAGCTAGATGACTATGATCTGCTTTGAGCGCTCCACGCCATGCCTGTTGTTGTCCCCTGTCCCTATGCATGTGCACGATCTACACAACACCCGCTGATACAATCCCTTGCTAGTCCTCTGAAGCCGGTCAAATCAAACGCCGCCGCCGCCGACGAAATCGCTATTGAGCATATCCATCACAGCATCTGAGATATTCGTGCCGGACGGGCAAGGGTAGCCAAGCCTGGCAATCGCGTTCTGCAAGCTGATCGACCGGACCTGCATGGACTGGCTTGCCCCGGCACAGGAACATTGCTTTGTCGCACAAGCTGAGCGTTGCTGCAGCTGGCTGATGGACTGTCATGATGACGCCATCTGCCTAGCGACCGCAAGCCGCTTGACCAATGCAACGACTTAGTAAGCTGCAGTCGAGTCGAGACCTGACGTAGCTTTGTCTACATAGAGAATAGCTCGAGGGGAAGCGATCTCTGCACCGAGCGCTAGTCTTCGTTTCTGACCGCCAGAGATGCCCTTGGACAACACGCCACCGACGACAACATCCGCTTGGTTGCTCAGACCGAGCAAATTGAGCAGCTCGTCGACGCGTGCTGATTATTCTGACGAGGTCGAAGTGCCTGGCATACGTAGCTTGGCAATGTATGTTAAGTTCTGTCAGACTGTCAACGAGTTCAGGATGCCGCGTTCGACTTGCTCAGCGTAAGCCGTGTAGCCGAGGAAGGCTGCGTTGACCGGCGCCATTGGTGAAGATCCCAGTAGGATCTCGCCAGTACGTTTGAGCTTCGAGCCTTGATGTAATCGGCTGCTGTTCGAATCGAGTAGCGTCGTCTTGCCGGAGCCAAACGGGCGGAGCAGCGCGAGCACTTCGCCCGGCTTGAGCGAGCCGCTGATATTGTCGAGAATGACATGATCACCGGCTTGTACGCGAATACTCTTGAAGCCGAACGACCAATCGTTGCTGCTCGTGTCAACGCTAATGGCATCCATCGTGTTTGAGCTGCTCGTTGTTTGCGAGAGGCGAAGGGGGGAGGCTACAGATATATGTATACACACGTCTGTCTCGCAGCAAGCTTCGCGGCAGGATGGCCGACATGCTGAACGAACAGGATCTCCAAAGACCACGGCCTCGTGTGTAGAACAGAATATGGCGCCTGCCCGACGCGGCGTCTCGCCAAATTCCCAAGCAAGACATGCGTCAATTGATTTTACGGCCCGATTGCTCCGCCGAGCAGTCTAGGCGCGATCGTGCATTGCCAGCAGCAACTTTTTCTTGAGTTTCGCAGGAGATTATCATCGATGACCGTCGATGCGGAGGCTCTCAAGTCTGGCATTGACACCTCAGCAGCTCAAGCGGCGCTATTCGTGAGCTCGGAGAAGTTGCCAGACGAGGCAGTCAGGATACAAGGGCCAGATTTCAACAGGCCTTTTGAGCTACAGCAACTTCTCGACAGCTATGCTCGCATCGGCTTCCAAGCTGCCGGTCTATCTCGTGCCATCGAAGTCATCGATAAGATGGTGCGTCGAGCCTACATCCCCGTCGTGCTTGCGCTCATCGTCACTCTGTGTTGCGCAGAGAGCGTGGCGATTGTCTGATGAGCCATTGACGGGCGACGAGTCTGAAGAAGAAGCAGATCCTGCCTACCGAGCTCGAACGAGCTGTCACATCTTGCTGGGCTATACATCGAACCTTATTTCATCTGGTCTCCGTGAGATCATTCGCTTCCTCGTACAGCACAAGTACGTGACGGGCATCTGCACGACCGCGGGCGGGATTGAGGAGGATCTCATCAAGTGTCTTGGACCGACCTACCTGACACCCCAAGGGTCCTTCGATCAGTCTGGTGCCGATCTACGCAAGCGAGGCTTGAACAGAATTGGCAACCTCATCGTACCCAACGACAACTACTGCAAATTTGAAGATTGGGTCAATCCGATTCTAGACCAGCTAGTCGTCGAGCAGGGTCAAGGCGCCAAGTGGTCGCCGAGCAAGGTCATCGAGCGGCTTGGCAGAGAGATCGATGACGAGAGCTCAGTGCTCTACTGGGCCGCCAAGGTTCGCCTCTTGACGACCGATGTGTATCATGCTGACTTGCGAATAGAATAACATCCCTGTCTTCTGCCCTGCCCTGACAGATGGCTCACTGGGCGACATGATCTTCTGCCATTCCTTCAAGTCGGACACACCGTTGGTCATTGACATTGTCGAGGACATCCGCCGACTGAACTACTCGAGCATGCGAGCAAAGAAAGCAGGTACAGTCATACTCGGCGGTGGCGTATGCAAGCATCAGATTCTCAACTCGTTCCTCTATCGTAACGGCGCGGATTACTCGGTTTACATCAATACCGGTCAAGAATTCGATGGCTCCGATAGTGGCGCGCGACCAGACGAAGCCATCTCTTGGGGCAAGCTCAGAGCGGGCTCAGAGACTGTCAAAGTCTTCGCAGACGCAACGCTCATCTTCCCTCTCGTCGTCGCTGCTACTTGGGCCAAGTCACACTGGCAGAAGCAAGCCGAAAGCAAGACGAATGGCCACACGACGCAAAGCAGTGCATAGCATCGTCAGTCAGCTCGCGACGAGGCTAAGCTCTCTGGCCGCGACTTATCCGCGTCAGGCACATCTGGCATGAACGAGACAACTTGCTCCGCAGGCGAATCACCGCCAGAGTACAGCTCGTCAGCCTCGACGAGGATGCCAGAGGAGATAGGCAGTAAGCCTTCGTAGGCAGTCGTGCTCCTCTTGACACCGTCTGCCTTCTCTGCATACTGCGCCATAAAGGTATCGACAGGGATATAGTTTGTCAAGAGTCTCCGTGGCTGTACCTGCAATGCATGCCGAGCGTCGAGACTGGAATCGAGAGGCAGTGAGTGTGCGCCTTCGCTAAGTGAGATACGTATAGAATATTCTGAATTCTCTTCCGCGCTACGCTCATAGAGCTCAAAGGCCATGTAGGCCATGTAGTCGAGCTCCGGCACCGGCATGACGATCGGTAGCTCCGAAAGCACGACGAGATTGACAAGGGTTTGGATGTGCGACTCTTTTGTGAAATAGTACGATGCTGCACCTGTCTCTGTGTTCATTGCATGCCTCAAATCTGCCTCGATTTTTTGCAATAGCGGCAGCGACGTTAGCAATCCGATTTCGATCTTTTCTGCCTTGTTCAGGCCATATTCCTGTGGCGCGATGAGATCGAAAAGTTGCTTCGCGTGATGATAGAGCTGCTTGAGCTCCCTGGGCGAGCCAGCTTTGGCGTCCGACTTTGCTTCCTTGCTGAAAATTCGCTCAAGGAATACACGATTGTGTAGCGCATCGAACTTGAGCGAATCGTAGCTGCATGCAGACGCCCATGTTAGCGCGATTGGCGCATTGAACAGAGCGGACTTACAGCTCAGACACACGCGATGGATCAAACTTTTCTGGTTCGACATCACAGAAATCTTCAAATAGCTTTGACCACCGCTCTCTGAACAAAAATGGGTTCTCCCCACAGCACCATCGAGACTGAATGGCATCGACATCGAGCGTTCTCCAATTCGATTCGAGCACGTCTCTGTGTAACCGCATAAGAGCCATCGTCTCTCTGACGACTTGAGCGGGCTCGACATCGGGAACTGGCCAAGCGAACTCGGGTCGCTTGTAGGAGTCGTCGCGCAAGAGCGTTTTCAGTCTCTTCTTGACTGCGTCCATAGGCTCCTTGGCGGCGTTTGAGTCATCCAGCAGGTCTTTGCGAATTGTGAGCTGGTGTGCAACTGGCTTGGCGTTCTTCTCGTCAAGGAAGGCGCCACCAAAGACTTCGGCGGTGGCCATGACGCGACGCTCCGAGCTGCTGTAGATTGTCGTATGATCTAGCAGCTCTTTGTTGATGATGAGAAGATCCTTCCGCAGATTCTCACCCAGATCGCGAGACTGGTACCTAGCAGCGTGGGTGAACTCGCCGCCCCATTTGACGATGAGCTGGACTTTCTCGCAGTCCCCTTTGGCATCGAGCGTCGGTTTGATCTGCGCCTTCGTGCCTGCGAACTCAATCTTCTTTTCTAAAATCATCTTGATCTGCTGCAGCTTCTCTGCATCTGCTCCAGGCAGTTTCAGAGCTGCATCTGCTGCGTTGGCAATGAAATGCAGATGTTCGGTCTGGCGAAGCACGATCTCGTCTTTGCGGCCTTGTAGCAGGTCGACCATTGGCTTTGTCCATTCTTGCGAGCATTTGAATGACCACCTGATGACATCATGGTGCTTAGTATGCTGACACTATGTTCGCAGGGAGTCGGACACACTTGGCCTTCATCTTTGGCGTTCGGTCAGCATGACGGAAGACCGCAATCTGGCTCTTGAGCTTCCATGTCTGTTCTCTAGGCGATTCGGCATCGCCAGGCGTGGGCGTGCGAGGAACGCTCTGGCAAAACTTACCGAGGATCTCTGCACATTTGTCATAATAGTCATCGTTGCCTTTGACGAAAGACCAGCCATTGACATCGATGACGTATGATTTGCCATTCGCTCTGAGCAAGTCGAATCCGCAGATATTCTGCTTAAAGGCGGTAGCTATCCGATTGGCAATCTTCTTCTCGTCCGCGCTCAGTTCGGTAATAAAGCGGATCTCTTTGCCTTCCGTATTGCGTCGTACGAGGCCATCGACAACGGGCGATTTGCGTGTCTCCGCGTGGGCGAAATTGGGTCCAAGCGTGTAGACTTTGATATCCTCTGCGTTTTCGACGTCCATGAATTGCTCATAGACGTACGAAGCATCTGTACGTGGTCTGACGAGATCCGGATCCATTTCGCTCGACTTGTTGCCCACCTTGCGGAAGAGCCGTCTCGCGCCTCCACCTTTCTTCTTGGCAAAATAGATATTGACATTGTGATCCTCTCCACTGACGGGTTTCTCTACAAAGGGCTTGTCTAGTGTCCTGCTGTCTACGATGATGGTGTCGTCGCCTTTCATATCGAAGTCGACAGGTGGGACTTTCTTCGTGAGATCGAGCTTGAGTTCCGACTTGATGAGCTCGAGTACATTGGGATCCAATACTGCTGCCGGGCCACCATCCCTCGAGGCTTCGAGTCGCTTCGGAGTAGGCACGCCAATCTTGTCGAGTATAGCGAGGACGACTCTTCTGTCCCAGAACACTTTCTGCAAGGGCAAATCGTTGATGCAGATTGGGGCGCGCAGCTTGACATAGGCGATGGCTTTATCGAGGGGGAATCCTTGGGAGAAGAAGGAGATGAGAAAATCGCAGATCGGCCAGTTCTCGATCGGTTCGTCGTGGATGACCTTGTCACCAAAGACGATGGCGTCAAACTGACCGGTCGCCAATAATCTCGAGAGGATATTGCGCATGGGCTTGCTGCGAGCCTTTCTGTCGAGCGCGCATATCCCCAGCCGTGTCAGTGCGGGCTGCTTCTCCGCACTGCTCAGCTCTGGCAGCGGCTTGCTTGCCATCGAGGCTCGATTGTCTAGGCGCCAGGCGAACGTTGCCGACGATGTCTCGCTGCTCGCCGACGCGTTTTGTCGAGCGTGGAGTGCACTGAGCAAGACGAGCTTGCCTGCGCTGGTCGAGGCAAGATGGAGGTCGACTATGCCCGCTTCGAGCGCAAGCGATCTCGAAGCACACCTCCGCCCGAGCGCACGCCGGTAAGCCCGTTGATGCGCATTCACAAGCCAGCTGGAAGTAGACGTGGATGAACAGAAGCGACCCTCCCTCAACTGGTCCTCGAGCTTCACTGAGCTCAGGCAGCAGCCGGCCGGATACCCCGAACCCCCTCATACGGCTATACCTCTGGCACAAGCGGAGAACGCGCAAGATGAAGCTTACCAGCGCGACCAACTGGTCATTGATCCTGCAGACCTCGAAGCATCGTCCTCCTCTTCTTCTTCGTCGTCGTCCATCGTCATGCTAGCAGCACAACAGCAAACACATCAGACCGCTCAACATGGCGTGCGCAAGCGTGGACCGGCTTACCTCCAACAACGCCAGCTGGGATTTCACCAGCAAATTCACACGAGACCGGGCATGCCCGTTCGACACTCGACAGCCGAATTCATCAAGCAGACCGAAAGATTAGGACTCGCATCGCCGAATGACGAGATACTGCAGTTCTTCCCGCCCGAGACGAATGCGTCCAGTCAACCGACGATGATGGACCGGCTTTCGTCACAGGCGAGTCACTCTGGCAGCGTACGCTCGAGCAGTCTGGCCTCTCGTCATGTCGAACGTGTCCATTCGAGCGCAGTCTCTCACTCTGCGCCAGCATCGCCAGTTCTGCCCCCGGCATCCGCACAAGAGACGGCAATGCAAAATCACAACTGGCTAGCCAACGGAATGACCACCTCACGTCCAAACACGTTCGCCGGCCAGCAGGAGAGACCGGATGACATGCAAGATGCCACCATGTCTGTCGATGTGGCGCCCTCATCACAGCCAGAACGACGAGTGAGCCCACGGAAGCACAACTTTACGATGGGCTACCGAGCAGACTGCCTCAAATGTCAGCAAGGCGTTGAGGGTCACTATGCACATGTCTACTAGAGCAGAAGGTCCATTGTGGTTTGTAACTAAGCAGCAAGCACACTGTTGTCGTGCCAACATTCGAAATCTGTGTACAACATCGGTGTCTGCGGCATTGCGAGACGACACAATCACAGAGCTGTGCCTCTCTCAAAGTTATCCCTCAGCTCTTTCGTGTGAGCGTTGTAGAAGCGCTCGAGCTTCTTGTTGTAGACCTTGTTCTTATCATTGATGTAGGTCACCGCTGCATCTTCGTCCTCCGCACGGCGTCTCGATCTCGTCTTGCGTTTGTGCATGTCGAGATTCATCTTGGAGATGACGGTATCGATGGCGTCCTCTGTCGGCTTGTGGTCTGCATACACAAAGCTGTTCGCATCACGATACAGGAGCTCTGCAGCTGCCTTTTGCGAGACTGCACTATCGCCCGACGGGTCTCCAGAGGTAGAGGCGATGATGGTGCCCATGGCCGCCGCCCGTTGAGCGTTATACGACTTCAGATCAGGCTTGAGGGCGTCGATATCCCGCTTGTACTTCCTCCTGCTCGCATCGTCATACTCTGTGAACTGGAAGTTGGCCCTGCTCTTCTTGTGCTTCTGCTTCTTGTCCCAATTCTCGTTATCCTCGATGGAATAGTCCCAATTCCTCTTCCTCTCGAGATCCTCGCCCGTCTCTCGAGCTTCCATCTTCTCTCCCATAGCGAGAGCCTGTAGACGCTTCCTCTCCAGTCGGGCAGACTCCTTGGCGCTCGTACGTTGGGCGTTGTGTTCTTTCTGGACATCCTTTCGGTTCGCCAAAGCAGACTCACTCTGAGGTGGTGTCCTGTCAGCTCTGGCATGCACTGATAGACTGACAACTCGCCATGCGCTGCTTGAGCTCGTCTAGCTTGGCTCTCCGAGCCTCCATGGCTTCAGATGCGTCGGCCATCGCGCCGGTCGACAAACAATCTGCTGCCTGCTGACTCGCGTGCGGCAAACCTGGCCAGTCAAATTGCGCCCCATCAAGCTGCTCTATCCATCACAGCGCTCACTCCTCACGAGCTCCCTCTTGATCTCTCGCAATCCCAAAGAATGGACGCCGCCCAGATAGCGTCATCGTCCCTCGAGCACGCTCAGATTCTGGATCAGTCAAGACAAGGAATGCAATAGGCCTGCTGGCCTGGCAGCGGTGCGGTATCGAGCACTCCCACCTTCCCCATTGTCATCGTGCTACAATGGAACGTCATCGATACAGCCTAGTCTGATGGTCTGCGAGCAGCCGGGGTACTGCAAGGGACACTCTTGGTCACGTGCATCTTTGTACGTCGCCTGACCTTCTCATGCGCGAACCTGGCCAGCTACACAGTGGAAGACAAGGCAGAAGAACCTCGGCATAGACGACTGGGGCCGAGATCTTGACAGTGCTGCGTCAGAGAGCGCCCAAGAGACGACGCTGCTCCAGCCGGCCCCTGGGACACAGTACCGAGCGAGCCCACCGACCTGATGCCTGAAAGCATCTTGGAAACGCTCGTATCGATCAGCACAGCGGGACGATATCCGACCTCAGTCGGCACGATGGGGTTTTTTGTCTCCATCGCTCTGATCTCGCAGACATCACTCTCGAACAGCCGCAGAGATCCACTTGCGCATCCGGGCAGAAGCAGACGATCAGTCTGTAGCATGGCCGAGCAGGCATCTGCCTTGTGACTCGTGCATATCATTCTCAGTCCCGGTCAGGCCAACGGAGCATAGCTCAAGGCAAGACTTCTTTGTCGGTCGTCGGTAGTCTTGAAGACGTCTGTCATTGGGTTTGGCGAGACCATGCATACGCTATCGTAGACGTTCAGACTGCTTCGAGACGTGGACAGTGACGATGCATGCTACGAACGTGCTCCATTATCGTGTTTCTAATTTGTCATGTGCTACTTATCTGATGCTGCCTGTGCGGAGATCAAGGGTCTCTCTCTTCCTTCGACATTTCCTCGAGCGTGCGAGCGTCCCATTCCGTTTGAGCGCCCTTGTTGGTGCGATGGATTCTCATGAACGCAGAGTGTCGAGCTGCTAGTTCTGCGAGGGAATCAGGATGAGCTTGGTCGTGGCACAGAGCATGCAGAAGACGTCACCCTTGAAGATTCGGACAAGGAGCTGTGCCGTTTTGCCACTATTGTTGTCTGATAGCAGGCTCATCAGTCGAAGCAATCAGTGAAGACTTAAGCAACTTGCCGTGTGCAAATTTGGTGGTTCCCAGGAATCGTTGGAATACCTGAACTGCTTTCTGGTCAAGCGAGAAGACGCCATACGTGGAGATAGACTCGGAACTGTGCCGTCGATGCGCATCGAGCGCGTGTCTCCTTGTCCGTTGCGAGTTTGTAGACATTCGTGTTGAAAGAGCGCAGGAGGAGAGCCTTCTTCCGTGTATAAACTCGCAGGGAGTTGCGTCTGACTGTTGTCTTGATCGATGAGACTGCAAGACCAGCATGACATTCCTGAAGCAAGGCCAGCAGGAGGTAGCCGAGGCATTTTGACCAGACTCGCCAACAACGAAGCGCATTGTCGACTCCGAGACTCCGCCGCAGTCTGCGCAGGGTGCCTGAGACGATGCGGTAGCAGCCGGAAGCACCGTTGCCGGCGTTGGCTCCGGATCCGGCTCCGGCATCGTTCCCAGCGAGACCGCAGCGTCATCACCCGCGCCGGCGTCGTCTGCATGCTCGTGTCCACTTGTGCATCTCAATGTGAGCGTGAGAGGGTCCCGATGAAGTGGGTCGAATCTGTGTGCGTCGCCGAAGGGCGAATTGAGCTAGGATCTGAATCGTCTTGACGGCGCGCTTGGCCGCATTGGGTCTCGAAGAGAAGCAGTACCTGGTGAAAGTCTGCATTATGGGTCAGCTTACTTCGAATGATGGTAGCACGAAAGGACCATCGCCGAGATAATCCTTGCAATAAGACGACGGCGGGGTCGAGCCACCTAGGACGACATAACCGTCGGGTGGATAGCCTCATCAATGATGTCAGCTCAGACAACGCCGAAGAGGACGGTCTGGCTGACCAACTTGAGGAGGGTCGGCTACGTTGTCTTTGATGGAGTCAGAGCCGGTATGCAAGGTTGCTGCGTGTCCACCCGTGAGCGCAACTACCCGTACATGAGCGTGACGCTTACCCTTGCTTTCAGTGTTCGTGAAAAGCAGCTGCTCGGGCAGAGCAGTCTTGCGAAGCTTCGCAGCAAGCTCGAGATCTGCTTGCTCGGCCTTGAGTCGTGCGAGTCTCGATTTGGCTGCCTTGAGGGCCTCCTTCAAATCGTCGACAACGAGTTGTGCCGCGCTGACTTTGTGACGAGCGTCGAGGAGCTCGTGAGGCTCGGGGATTTCCAGTGAAGTGTCGCTGTCGTCGACGATCTCCTGATATGTCGCCATGACGCCTGGAAGCGTGACGCGCGCAAGGTAGACAGTCCTCGAGGGCGCAGCCTGGCTCGCTCGCTCGTGAACGCGCATCACGTGGATTGTGGTTTTGACATGTCACCGCGGCAGAGGACAATTTGCTGCACTCTTGCATCTGTCATTCTTCCCTTCTAATATCTGCGCGAATAGCACTCTCTTGCGCAACGCGCCTTGCCGAACGAGTCGCAAGAGCGGCTATCTGACATGTATGGCCCCGACCGACGTTTCGACCAGCAAGTTTGGAGGTCTTGCGTTTGATTAGCAATAGAATAGCTGCTCCTGGACCGCTACAAGGCATCTTATCTATCCATCCGTAGACCGCAGCGAATCGGCATCTGAAGGACGGCAGACGACCAGTATCAAGCTATCGCGCAGCCATCCTGGAAGGAATATCTTAAGCCTCAAACCGCCAGTCGAGCCTTGCAAATCTGATGCATTCATGTTCATTCCCAGCCGTCCACGCATAGCTGTGTCCGCTGAAGCGCATGCGATCGATCGAGCAAAAGGCGCGTACAGGACAGAAGAAGGCTCCTGCCATTGGTGAGTCTCGACGCGATATATTCCGACACTGTGGCTGCGTTGATCTGTCTGCAGTCGCCTTGACGTTCGAACAGTGAGCAAGAAGCAAGGCGGATGATTTGATAGCCACTGACATCTCGAGCGGACAGCGGCGGGCTATAGCGGACTAGCGCGCTGGCGACGCGCCACATCTCGCTCGAGCTTGCTCACGCTTCGTGTGACCAGATGTTCAGCGCAAAGAGCACGAAAGCTAGCTCAGCGATCGATGCCAAGGGAATCTCCTGAAGAGCTGCGGGACACTGTCGGCCCTCGGACATTGCCAGAGTAAGGGGCAACGGACCGGCTTCAACTTGAGACTCAGCTGAGCCCGCCCATAAGAAGCCNGTCAGCTGGTCTGGTCCCGATACGAAGGTGCTCAAGGGCTTCTTGATCACCACGACCGAGCATCATCCAGTGGTCATCGCTAAAGCTCGGGTCCGGCATTTGCACTCGTCGGATCGGCCTGATCAGATTCCCCGTTTGGAAGTCAGACTGGGTCGGAGGGTGGGCCTCAGGCTTCACGGCTCATAGCGCATTGCATTTGTACGTCACCGAACGAGCCGCGAGCCTCGAGCAGTTCGCTCGCCTCTATATGAGTATCTCGTCCCGGATGATGTCTGGAGGAAGACTATCAGTCTCGCTCAAAACAGACAATGCTGGTCATACTAAATACTTGGACTTCACCAGAGTGCAATTCGACACGCAAGCAAAGGCAGCATATCCGATTGCTGGACAGCTCACTCAAATCTCGTAGACGAACAAAGCACANCNTTGAGGAGCCTGGCGCGCTCNANTATCACGCGCGCAANGTAAGCGCACAAGCAGACGAANGGAAGCGCATNNTGCATGTNGCAGTANTGCGAAAGATCGTCCTGAAGCTGTCTNAATGGCCGCCAGAAGCTGTACGATNGCGAGCGTATAAGCAAACAATGTCTAAGTCAGATTGCCCCTCGTTGTCGTACAATCTTTTAGAATTAGCGAAAGCTGAGTTGACTGGGTCGCCAGAGGAAGTGCTGGCCTTGCAACCTGAGCTCGCATGAATATCGGGCCGTCTTAGACCCGTGGCGCGACCACAGCCTCGAGCGTGATAGTGTCATGGATCGCTAAAGCTCGAGTCACAACACTTCTTGCCGCTCGACTGACGCCTCATTCGGTCAAAGACGATACGCAACAGAACTGTAGCGAGCAGGAGTTGTCTTAGTCAAATGCTCCCCCATGTTTTGCAGTCTTGTCTGTCGGCGAGGGCTGGGTTGACTAGATCGCCAAGGATGACTATAGCTGAAGTCGAAGAAGCGCGGGGTGGAGTGCGAATTCTTGAGGCGGAAGTTGACCGGCGCGATTTCTTCGAATCTCGTGACTGCAGCGCGCCACATGTTCCCCACTTTGGCCGATTGGCTCCCGCGCCAGACGCCTCCGCGCCTTGCCGACCATGAGCCAATGAAACCTAAGATCGCCTTCTCATCGTTCCTGTGCACTCGACATATTCTTCAGCGGCTGGTTGTATCGTCGCACTTCTCGTGCAAGAACTGCATGATAGGTAGCGCCGAGCTCCCGCGCTCCCCGAATCCTCTTCTCGAGACTGATTGCCGCTGAAGCCGGATGGCTGCTGCACGGCAGGCCTCGTGCATTCTCGTGCATGCCCTCATGTACGTCCTTCCCGCCGTCACGATGGGTTCTGCAATTGAGAAAACGGCCCAGACTTCCCTAGGCTCTTCTGACACAGAAGGACCGTCCTGCCGGCGTCACTCTGGTCCCCTATGCCACACGCGGAGAGGCTTCGGGATCGATGACGCCCAGCGGCAGATCAACAATGTTTGCCGAAGTATGCCGACACGCAAAGTCTGCCATAGCAGGGAAGACGCCAGAGCAGAAGGTGCCGGGTATCGATTTACCATCTGCAACGGGACGCGATCAGCTCCGTGGCAACCCTAGCAGGGGGCATGACTTACCGGGCACGCAGCTTACGGACAATGCCTCCTCCTGAAGGTCGAAAACGGCACGATGTTCGAGTATGCTCAGCTCGACGCCCCAATTGAAGCGAGCGTAGCAGCAGCGCTTATCAATTTCAGACCATGCCGGCTGATTCGGGCCAGCTCCTCTGCTTAGCCCGTAAATCTGCCGCTCGTCCCATCGAGGCAAGCCTACCGTGACCATACTTCGAAGAAAAGCGCTGGATTTGATCCGGACAGTCTACTCGAGAGGTAATGGACTCTCCTTGCATTGACCAGATCAAACTAGCTGCAACATGAGCTGTTTCATGAGCAAACGGCCGAGGACTGACTGTGAGCCATTGCGTGAAGTAGGGCGGGTCAGTATACTGCACTTTGCTGATGAGAACAATAGTGACTGCAGCAGGATCGGTCTCCGTGCTATCGTATCGCGATTGGCCGTTCGCGTGCACGATCTCACACATGCCAGCAGCTCGAGCCATGCAGGAGTAGGCCTGAATGATCGGCAGACGGTCTTCCGGCACATCGTGTGCGCTCACTGTCGCATGGACTTCTTCGCACCCCAGGATCATAGGCCTGTAATCTTTGCACTCCGTCGAGAGCTGAAAGTAGCCATTGGGTCCGCAGACGATCCTGGACTGCGTGGGCTTATCGATGGTGAATGAGTCTGTGCTCACGCCGAGGGTGACGCTGACGGTAGTGACACTGCGACAGCAGGTACGTTCTTCCCGAGTCCAAGCAGGTTGTGCCCAGCCTTCTGGACCGATGATGTTGACATCGAGCTGGGCAAAGACGTGTTGGCCAAAGCGAAAGACGTTTGTCAGTCTGACTGGACCAGTGTTACTTCGTTCGAGGAGCTTCCACTCCACTTGATCACCCTTGGCGACGACGACAACATCAAGCGTTGTGCCTGGCACGAGTGCTGTTGTACGAGTCTGGCAGATGCCGTCTGCCTGTGCGACAAGATGGTAATGCATCGCGAACAGGTCATCGCTTGCCGTGGACGATGTTATAGCCAGCTTCTGACCAAAGTAGGCGGAGGCGACATGCACAAAAGTTGTCGAGAGTAACGAGGACAGAAGAAGAGGAGGGTACATCGAGCGGGCTCGGAGCGCTCGCAGGAGGTCTGTCTTCAATCTGAGGGAAACTGCTAAGCGCGCTCGAATTCGCCTCAGAGAAATTCTGTCGATTGCTTGACGACCTGAGAGCAGTCAAAGGTAGACCGACGACCATGAGCTCCAATCACGAAGATGAGGACGACGATGGCATCAATGCCATGCGAGCGAGGTTGCAAGAGATGGAAGCAGAGCGAGCAAAGATTATGGAGATGACCAAAGCATCCCATTCAGCTGCACCCGTCGCCGGTTCACCCGCTGTTGCGCCAGCTCAGACGTCTCAAGGCTGGTCGACACGTTGTCCAGCTCGAGTAGCGAGCTGACACCAGTGACCAGCAGGACAGGCGACTGAAGACGAGACGGGCGATGCCAGCATGACCGAGGAAGAGCGTGAGGCTATCGATTCGAGGAGTATCTACGTCGGCAATGTGAGTCACCCCACACCTTTTGCAGATCTGATAGCTCATGACGCATGGACAGGTCGACTACGGTGCAACACCCGAAGAACTACAACAGCTCTTCAAAGACTGTGGCACCATCAATCGAGTGACGATCCTGTGCGACAAATTCACAAGGCACCCCAAAGGGTCAGCACACGTACCTCCTGTAGCATGTCAGGTGCTGATGAAGTATTGTAGGTTCGCATATGTCGAGTTCTCAGAGCCAACATTCGTAGCCAATGCCATCTCAATGAACGAAACGCTCTTCCGTGGTCGCATGATCCTCGTCAAAGCGAAACGGACCAACGTGCCCGGCATGTCTGCGCGAGGCAGGGGACGCGGCCGCGCGAGAGGCTATCGGGGCGGTGGTCGGGGAGGCTACTACGGCTATGACCCGTATTATCGGCCGAGAGGGCGAGGAAGGGGCCGAGGAGCAGCATTCTGAGAGAGACTCATCCTCATAAAAGATCAGAGTTTGCTTGTACAATGTATCATCTCAGCCCGCTCAGCTCGCCATCAGACCTGACCGTCTCGACAGTGAGAAAGGAGAAAGCGAGCGCACGACAGAGCGAGCTCAGGGCATGCTGCATTCCTGACATGATTCTAGTACGCATTACGCTCTGTGAACGTTAGTCGGAGAGTTAGCGAGTGGTATACGAAGCGCTCAATGAGCTCACGTGTAAGTCGAGGCAGACACATTGCCTCCTCTGCCGGTCCAGTTGGTGTGGATTGCAGTGCCTTCCTTGTACTTGTCGCCGCAGAACTCTGGCAGGATCTGGTAGGTATGCTGCAAACCTCAAAATCAGGACCATGACTGCTCGTGATATCATCCTACATACTGCGCCAAAGTAGTCGCGCTGGGCTTGCAGAAGCGAAGCAGGCAAACGCTCGGTGCGGTAGCCATCGAAGAAACTGAGCGCAGTGCTAAACGCAGGCGTTGGGATTCCCCACAGAGCAGCCTGGGCGGCAATTCTTCGCCAGCCGGGCTGTGCCTTGTGGATGGCAGAGTTGAAGAAATCGTTGAAGAGCAAGTTCTCTAGTTCGGGCTCTGCCTTGAATGCCTTTGTGATATCGGCCAAGAAGACGGATCGGATGATGCAGCCGCCTCGCCACATGAGCGCGATGCCGGCATTGTTGAGCTTCCAGCCGTATTCCTTTGCAGCTTCGCGCATGAGCATGAAGCCTTGGGAGTAAGAGATGATCTTGGAAGCGTAGAGAGCCTGCTCGAGATCGTCGATGAACTGCTGCTTGTCACCTTTGAACTCTTCCTGTGCAGGTCCGCCGAGCTTCTTGGAAGCGCGTGTGCGTTCTGCTTTGATGGATGATAGGCATCGAGCAAACACAGCTTCGCCGATGAGCGTGACGGGCATGCCCATATCGAGCGCATTGATAGCGGTCCATTTGCCTGTGCCCTTTTGGCCGGCCACATCGGCAATCTTGGTTACAAGCGGTGTGCCATCTTCGTCGTTGTACTTGAGGATATCGCGTGTGATCTCGATCAAGAAGGAGTCAAGGACACCCTTGTTCCAAGTAGTGAAGACGTCGGCAATCTCTGCCTCCTTCATGCCGAGACCGCGCTTGAGGATATCGTAGGCCTCGCAGATGAGCTGCATGTCACCGTATTCAATGCCATTGTGGACCATCTTGACGTACTGTTCGCCGCGAAAATAGGCACGTCAGCGCATGCTATCGACTTTCGAATACGGACGGACGTGACCAGCGCCTTCTTGGCCGACCCAGTCACAGCAGGGCTCGCCATCAGATTGAGCAGCAGTCTTCTGAAAGATCTCTTTGATCTCGGGCCAGGCGGCATCCGATCCACCGGGCACTGTTGCTGCATATCAATATAGTTTCATAGCACGTACGCAGAGACTGACTGAGTGATGGGCCATGACGAGCGCCTTCTTCGCCGCCAGAGACACCCGAGCCGACAAAGAGCAAGCCCTTGGCCTCGAGCTCCTTTGTACGCCTGTTCGTGTCCGGGTAATGCGACTGTCAAGTCGTGACTACTTGAGCTCTGCTTGTGCAGCTGCGCAAAGGACCCACGTTGCCACCATCAATGATGATATCGCCCTTTTCGAAGACCTCAAGGAGCTGGCTGATGAAAGCGTCGACGGCCGGACCTGCCTTGACGAGGATGATGACCTTGCGTGGCTTCTTGAGCTTGTCCGCGAGCTCCTTGATGGCTATCTCGACCCGAGCATTCAGCAGAGTTGCTAGCAATGACGCGACATGGAAGCTCACAGTGAGCGCCGATGACGTTTGTGCCCTTTGCTTCGTTTCCGAGGAAGTCGTCGACCTTGGAGACCGTACGGTTGTACGCACAGACGGTGTAGCCTTTGTCGTTCCTGATTGCGTATAGACATGGAGATTAGCTCGCTCGGACTGGTCTGAACCGTAAGCTCACATGTTCAGAATGAGGTTCTGGCCCATGACGGCCAAGCCGATGAGGCCAATGTCGGCACTGGCAGCATTGACATGGCACCGGCAGTGGCGGCGTAAAGTAGAGATGCGATCAAAATGAGGTCAGCCGAGGTGCATCGTCATATTGAGCGAATCAAAGGACACAAGAAGGCGGAGAAGCAACCAGTCAGCTCTGTCATGCTAATCCTGACTCCGGATCGGCCACTCGAGAAGGGACCACAAGCGAGGCAAGCTTGAGAGCGGGCAGCTCTTTGCCCCAAGATATGCTCCCAACGCCCGACCGAAGCGAGCGAGAGACTCACACTGCAGTCTCTGACATGATGAGCTGATTCGATATCGCTTTAAGACGCTCTCCGCTCGGTTTATTGGGGTGCGACAGGTTGAAGCAGGTCTTCTCGCTCTCTCGCTCTCTGACGCTATCGCAAAAGCGCGAGAACAAGATGACGTGGCATCGTGTTCATCAGGTGACAACAGTCGGCGGAAAGCTAAAATCTGTCTGGTCCTGATGAGCAGCCCCGTCGACGTTGTAGGCTAGTCGTATGCGTAATCGTATCGCGCTCTGTCTGACTGTCAGCGGTGATCCACGATACGAAGTAAGACACATACACCTGGCGGTGCCATAATGCGCATCTGCTGCGTCTCTGATTGGCCTGGGCTTATCTCATTGCTGGACATAGGCATCAATTGTAGCTTTTGTGTCTGCCAACGAGACCGCGTCAGATTTTAATATGATCCTGAGACGATGAACGGACCTTTGGCACAGCAGCTTGGAAGACTACGCCGCTAAGCTCTGATGTCGTTGCAGCAGTGAATGTGGCGGTAATGTTCATGACATTGGCACGTTGAGCGTCCTTCTGCGCGGTGAAGGATAGCTCGAGGCCGTTGGCGTTATATGCAGGGTACGCCTCTGGCGCTGCCGCAGGAATTTCGTCGTCGCCGCCGAACAAGCCCATGACGTCTGTGTTCGCCTGCTGTCTGCCAGTCGGTGCCGCCGTTGGAGCGGGCGCATCGTTTGACCCGAAGATGTCGGCTAGAAGGTCCTGGGTAGCTTGCTGACTACTTTGACCAGCTGCAGATGTCTCTCCGCCCTGCTCGTTCAACTGACATTAATTGATCGGTCAGCATGGGTGCCTGCTGAGGGGTCAAGGACGCACATCTGCTTCCGGCCGTGTAGACCCGACTGCGCGCTTCTCACTGACGATCCCGATGACGGTGGCTTTGAGCTCGGGCGGTGGCATCCGCTCCAGAACGCCCGAGCGAACGTCGCTCGTTGCGCGTAGCAAAGCACCAAACTCGACAGATCGCTGCTGAATCTCGACATCCACGCTCTGATCGTATCGCTGCATGAGCGTGCCGATCCTGATAAGCTGTGACTGATCTGTCAGGCGCGTGCTGAGTTTCGTTAGGGATGCGAGGACGAATTGTCGAATAGTCTGATTGGCGTAGGGCGATTGCAGAACGATCTCCTCCAAGTCAATGATATCCTGATCAGTCGCCTGTCCACGGAGTCTAGAGGTCAGTAATCACGAGCGTATCGATAAGGCTGCACAGACCTCGCGTAGGACATCGTCCTCTTCAAATGCGCCACCCTGAATAAGCACATCACCAAATTCGCCGATGATCCAGACGCCAGCCAGAGTCAGAGACTCTTGCGAGACGTCTTGCCTCAGCGCAGAATAGAGCTTTTGGACCGTGTAAGCTTGCAGCTCTGGTGTATGCGAGACGAGACGGATGAAATTGCTCAGTACTTCCTCGCGTACGTAGTTGCCAGCCTGTGTCCGTAACGTCAGGGCTGTCAAATTAGCAACGCGAGGGGCGTACCAGTTTAAGCACGCGTAGGACAGTGTCAATGTGCCACCGCCTGTTGGGCGCGAATCGTTCGGCAGCAAAGCAGATCTGAGTCGTCATGCCGAGCTTGAACTCATTGTCTGCGACCTCCAGGAAGGCAAGCAGTTCCCTCGTGAGTACCCGAACGTTGGCGTCATTGATAAGCGCGTAAGACAGCTCGAGCGCTCTCCGTCGGATTGAGATGTCCCCATCGCGTAGACAGTCTAAGATGATGGCGCGGTGCCTTTGCACGGCGTTGGTGTCCATCGCGACAACTTTGTTCAGCGTGTTCAGCGCGACATATCTGCGTAGCCGTAAGCAGTCACACTGGCAGCAGCGAGCATGGAACCCACCGGATATTGTTGTCTCTGTTGCCTAGGAATTTGCCTAGAATATTGATAGCCATCACACGCAAGCCAGATTCCGCTTCGATATCGAGGATAGTGAGCACCGCTTCGTAGAGAATCGAGTTGCCGACGTTCTTTGTCGATTCTGTATTTGTAGCCACTTGCGCGAGGATATCGTTCATCGCTTCGGATGAGACAGGATCATCCTTCCCCAGGAGGCGCAGCAAGCGCAGTATTTTGACCTGCAGGAACGGGTCGGTGATGCCGCTGACATCGTGCTCGGGCGAGTAGCCCGTCGTGACGAGGGCTTTGAGATGTCGGACAAGGAGCGGCACTGTTGCTCTGAAGCTCTCCAGCGCGTTGGGATCCAGTGCACACATATCTGTGACGAGCGTGACGCCGCAGAGTAAGACGCCGTGATTGCGATCGGAAAGTAAGGCGCTGGCTCGGTCTATGAAGTGATCAAGCAAATCTGGCACTTTGCGCACAATTCTCATAGCACATAGCGATGCCTTCAGGCTCACGTAAGTCCTCTGGGCAAGTCCTGACTGTCGCAGCTTACCTTCTTGCGTATGTAAGTGTTATTGCCGCCCATAAGCTTTTCAACTTCGTTCGATAAGTCTCTTGCCATCTCTTCTGATGAAATGTTGGCGAATGTGCAGAGCGCGAGACCGACGATGTACATGTTTGCATGGTTCATGTCACTGTGAGCGGGTCCAGTCAGCTGATGTGAAGCCTGATGAAAGGCGCGTCGCTTGCTTCTTGAGGGAATTGGTGACCAGCGTCAGAACCTCTTGATTCTCATCGAGCAAGAGCATGATGCCGAGATAGCCAAGTCGCTTGTCTGCAAACTTTGGACTCGCAACGAGCTTGAGGCATTCTATTTGACCGAAATGGGCAGGATAGCCCAGCATGTGAATGTACAGCAGCTGTCGCGCTCGTGTGAACTTTTTCAGCGGTCGGGGAGGCTCATGCTGACCTTTGCTATGTTGTGATGACGGGCGAAGCTATCCTCTTCCTTGAACGAAGTACGGATAGCTGCCGATTCTTTCTGTATGACCGCCCGCTCATCTGCGATCGTCTTGGTCGCGCGCTGCACCGACGTAGGTCATGTCAGCTATGCGATGCGAACAGACAGAGCATGAGCAGCTCACGATGGCCTTGATCAGGGCTGCAGGAACACATGACACAGGTCGCTTTCGTTAGCCACGCGTTTGCCGGCGATAGGAAGCTCGAGCTCACCCTTGAGGTTGTAATACATCCTGACGATGAGATTCTCAAGCCGCCCAGTGGATGAGGGCCGGTCGACAGCGGCGAGTCAGGCGAGCGCAGCTTCGCACTGTTGCAGGCAATCGCAGGCGCCGCGACGAGCTGTCTTCTCCACTTAGCGGGGAAAAAGCTCGCGTCGCCCTGGACTGCTGGACTCGAGCCTCCGACAGGCCAGCTGGAACATGGCGCCAGCTCGCGGACCGTCGTCTAGCGTATGGCCTGCCGATTCTGTCAAGGTTCCTCCTCAGGTGCTGCAGCACACTTCACGAGCTGACGCGGGCTAGCAGGACGTGGCAGAGTCATGCGGCATCGCCAATCTGTCCGACGAAGTGGCTGCTGCTCTCGCTACGGATGTAGAGTACAGACTACACGAGCTCGTCGAGGCAGGTGTGATGGATTGATACAAGTACCGCTGTAATGAGTGTCTTTCTGCTCGCAGGAAAGTCTCAAATTCATGCGACATGCTAAGCGGACGAAGCTGCGGGTGGACGACATTGACTATGCGCTCAAGGCTCGCAATGTAGAGGCATGTCAACCTATCTGAGTATCAGGGCTGTGTAGACTAATAAAGATGTGGTCATGCAGCCGCTCTACGGCTTCCGAACCAATACGCCGCTTGCCTTTCGAAAGACGACGACAGCGACGGGCACGGTCTATTACGTCGAGGATGAGGAGATCGACCTCAACAGGATACTGCACGCTCAACTGCCACCAGCGCCACGCGATGTGAGCTACACAGCACACTGGCTTGCCATAGAAGGGGTGCAACCAGCGATACCTCAGAACCCGTCTCCTGCAGGCAAGGCTTCATGGCAGCACAGCACGAAGCAGCGGGCTAATGCAGTGTTCACTCGCAGAGATACGAGCATTGCAGACACCGCATCTACATGCCAATGCCTTTGGCAGTCGAGCCGGCGGCTTTGCATCCCAAGCGCCGAAAGTGCCGACAGCCAATCCAGACGATGTGCGACCACTCGTCAAACATGTCCTCTCGCGCGAGCTGCAGCTCTACTTCGAGCGTCTCGTTGCCGCTGCGACGTCCGAGAGTGACGAGACGATGCGGGAAGCTGCACTCGCCAGTCTGCGAGGCGATACCGGCATCGGACCGCTCGTGCCTTATCTCGTGCAGTGGAGTGTCGAAAAGGTATCTCCAAGTCTTACGACTGTCGTTTCGTCTGACATAGCGAAACCCAGATTGCACACAATTTGCGAGATCTCGTGCTGCTCGATCAAACACTGTCTGTCATTCATGCACTCATCGATAACCCGAATCTTTTCATAGAGCCCTACGTACAGTGGCCGACCTTAGCTCATTACAGAGCTGACATGGTGCGATGCTGCAGCTGCATCAGATCTTCCCAGCGGTCTTGACGCCCTTGCTCACGACCGTCCTCGGCGATGGCTCGGCAGTCGCATTTGGCGCAGCTCAATTGCACAGTACAGACCTCCGTCAGCACGCAGGGTCACTGCTCCGACTGATCATGGACCGCTACGCACATGCTTATCCCGCCCTGAAGCCTCGGATATTGCGGGCACTTGTCCGTGCATTGACTGAGCTGCCCATGCTGCCCTCGACCGCAGAAGGCGAGCTCAGCGAGCGGGTGAGCGTAGCCGCCTCTATCGGCACGCGGTATGGAGCAGTCTTGGGCATACAAGCCATGGGCACGCAAGTCGTTCAGAGTATCCTGGGCAACTCGCAACATCTCAGGACAGTCAGCCAAGCCCTCGGAGATGCCAGTCAGGATGCTACGGCTGCGGTGCAAAGCGACATTGAGCACTGTGCGACCGCTCTACAAGGGGCTCTCAAAGCAGGCTTCGAATCAAGCTCAGAAGAGACACAAGCCAGCTCAAAGAATATGCTTGACTACTTTGGCGCATTTTTAGGCAAATTCCTGGAAGAGCGGGACGGACAAATGGCAGCTCAGCTGTACAATGCCATTCGAAGCCATAACGATTCGCTTGCTCAGCTCAACCAGATCACCCAGGCTGCCAAGCCAAATGGCAACGCAGCAGACGAGGAGGAAGATGCGATGGAGACCAGCTAGACTGTGCTGTATCGGCCAAACGTGTTGCTTGTAAGATACAACGTGACAGTGTGACGCAGTCCGGACGAGGGTGGCAGTGACTACTTTGCGGATCCTGCCGCACCGACAATTGCACCCTGCCACAGGAGTCTGTTAGCTCCATCATGCATAGGACTAGCTCGGATGTACCATTGCAATGATGAGCTGATTGATCGTATCGAGATTGCCAAGAGGTTGTGCGTCGATCTGTGCAGTTCTCGCGTCCTGCGTGACTTGCGGGACGGCGGACGAAGTAGACGAGGGTACGACAACAATTGATGAGGAAGACGCTCTGGTGCTCGTCGTGGGAGCAACATAGACGCTCGAAGGTGCTACGTAACTCGATGTCCATTGCTGTTGCTGTTGTGTCGTTGCGGGCGGCGTGTAGGTTGACGAAGGGGGAGTGTAGTAAGATGTGCTGGGCGTGTAACGTGGCGTGGTCGAGCTGGCAGGCTGGTCGTCGCCTCCGCCACCCGCTGACCAGGTGATCTGGATGACCCCGACGGATTGATCGGCAAAGTAGGAGAAGAGCGAGGGCGAGAGGTCGAGCGCGCCATATGGACAGCCCGGGCAACTGTTCTGCCTGTATTAGCTCAGTCCACTCTGAGATTGCTCGAGTATACCTGTCTATATCAGCAAAAGTCAGCTCTACGTTCACTTCAGCGGAGAGTATGTGCTCACCCTGAACGGTGGCCTGAGTAGACTTGCCGCCGTAGGAGATTGTGATTGTCTGACCGCACCAGCCGTTGTTCATCTGCTGCTCGTTCATTGCGACGACCTGTATGATAGATGTGACGATCAGTATCACCAGAAAGCCATCATAAGGCATCACCCACGAATTCTGAGTTGTACAGCATCGAGCCGCACGAGCCTGCACTGCCAGTCTGAGTATTGTAGAACGTCCCTCTGTCCTCTCATGGGGTCAGATAGGTCCCATGTCCTGCGCATATGAGCTCGCCTTCCACTGAACGCAAACGCAGTCGGTAGTAGGCCGGCAACAAGCAAGATGCCCGTGTTATGCCTCATGTTTGCCTTTGTTACTTGATCGTCAGATCTAGCGCCAGTGAACCCTTCGTGGCCAAACTTGGTCTCACTCGAGCGTGAGGCTGTGGTGCCCTATGTGCTGGGCCTGCTTGTAATGCTTCTCGCTTGTCTCTTGCCTCGACTAGTTCGCAATGCGGCCGAACGACTTGGTTGATATTTCGATAGTTCAGCCGACGCGCGGTCGCGCTTTTGCTGCTCGTTCCTGTCCCCGCCGACTTTGCGAACCTACTGAAAACACTCTACATTCGATACAACGGAGGTGCTCGCAGGCCACTCAAGAATGACGATGCCTGATCAAGCGATATCTTGGGCATTGACGGGCAACTCGTCGACGAGGGTACCGTAGTATTGTTCGATATCGCGCAGGATCTTGACATCTTCGTTCGTGACAAAGTTGATAGCGACACCCTTGCGACCGAACCGACCAGATCGTCCGATGCGGTGCAAGTAATTCTCACGCGCGTTTGGCAGATCATAGTTGATGACGAGCGAGACTTGTTGGACGTCAATACCGCGTGCCCAGACATCTGTCGTGATGAGTACTCGGGAGGCGCCCTGTCGGAATTCGGCCATGATAGCATCACGTTCCTTCTGGGGCATCTCGCCGTGCATGGATCTGGTTGCAGCTGACGTCAGCCAAAGTCTGGGTCGAAGCAAGCAAAGACGCACGAGACAGTAAAGTTAGCCTCGCGCAACTTTTCGGTCAGCCAGTCGACTTTTCTTCGCGTGTTACAGAAGATGACAGCTTGAGTGATCGTCAAGGTGTCATAGAGATCGCACAGAGTATCAAACTTCCAATCTTCCTTCTCGACAGCGACGAAGAACTGCTTGATGCCCTCGAGTGTCAACTCGTCACGCTTGACGAGAATTCGGACAGGATCGGTCATGAACTTGGCCGTCATCTCGAGCACATCGTGTGGTAGGGTAGCGGAGAGCAGCACGACTTGTGTATCCGGTGGCAGGTAGCGATAGACATCGTAGATCTGGTCCTTGAAGCCTTGGTTGAGCAATTCGTCTGCCTCGTCGAGCACGAGCATTTTTATATTCCTCGTTCGTAGCGAGCGTCGACGGATCATGTCGAACACTCTGCCCGGCGTGCCAGAGACGACGTGCTGACCGTGCTCGAGCTTCCTGATATCCTCTCCGATCGAAGTACCTCCAATGCAGGCCCAAGCCTGGACGTTCATGTAGTCACCCAGCGCGAGGACAGTGGAGACATGCTGAGTCGCCAGTTCACGAGTAGGCGAGAGCACAAGCGCTTGAGTCTCACGCAAGTTGATGTCGATCGTCTGAAGAGCAGAGATGGCAAAAGTGGCAGACTTGCCGGTACCAGACTGTGCTTGGGCAATGACATCGTGTCCCTTTGTTATCGGTATGATGGCTCGCTGCTGAATAGCTGACGGCTTCTCAAAGTTATAGGCATAGATACCTCGTCTGTCAACCTCACGTCAATACCTGCCGAACTACGAGCGAGAAGTGGGACGAACAAGAGGTCTTCCTTCAAATTGAGAGCATCAAACGTCGGCGCAATCGTCACGCCCGCAGATGTCTCGAACGGCTGACTGCTTGCCAACATCAGGTCAGCAGACTTGGCAGAGCGCAACTGCCTACTCGTCATGAGTCGCCATTGCACGAAGCGGGCTTTGGCGTTGACATTTTTCCAGCCAGATATCGATTCAACTTGCCACGTCATCAACTCATCCGTGTAACAGCCATTTGCTGACAGCGGCGATAGCCAGAGCTCGAATGGTCTTGACGCTGCTATCGCATCATGCGTGATACCAGCACGTTCCACACTAAGACTGGCGCTCGCTCGGCTGTCTCGTGCATGTCGAAGGAGCACGTCTGTCCACCTCAAGCTCTGCGATCGTGCTCAGGCGGCGGATACAACATCAGCTGGATATCTCACTGTATAGCCTCTGGTGTGCACGCCGGACACACGACGTGCGTTGACTGCGACGCGGGCTACGTAGCTATTGCGCCATCCCTCGCCAGCTGCTTATTCCTGGTGTCTCGATGCCGGTAACGAGACAAGTCAGCGCACACTGGGTAACCTTATTAGGCAGCTAATGTGATCATCGCGAAGAGAAGGAGAGAGGTATGGATGAAAGCCACCGACCTTATTACGACAAGCAATGTCGCCTGGCGCGGGAGCCAATCGGCCAAAGTGGGGAACATGTGGCGCGCTGCAGTCACGAGATTCGAAGAAATCGCGCCGGTCAACTTCCGCCTTAAGAATTCGCACTCCACTCCGCGCTGCTTCGACTTCAGCTCTGGTCATCCTTGGCGATCTAGTCGACTCGGTCTTCGCCAAAATAGAAGACTGTATGCCAATGAGGGAACCACTGACTAATGCGACCACTGCTTGCTACAGTGTAGCGGCGTATGGGAAGCGAGTAAGGCTGCAGTCGATCGACAAGGAGTGTAGCGACTCGGGCTTTAGCGATCCATGACACTTTCATGCTCGAGACTGTGGTTGCGCACGGATCTACGACGGCCCGATATTCATGCGAGCTCAGTTGCAAGGCCAGCACTTCCTCTGGCGACCTACCTCTGACAACCCAGTCAACTCGGCCCCGCCAAAAAGAAAGACTGTATGCCAATGAGGGAACCACTGACTAATGCGACCACTGCTTGCTACAGTGTAGCGGCGTATGGGAAGCGAGTAAGGCTGCAGTCGATCGGCAAGGAGTGTAGCGACTCGGGCTTTAGCGATCCATGACACTTTCATGCTCGAGATTGTGGGGGCGCACGGATCTACGACGGCCCGATATTCATGCGAGCTCAGTTGCAAGGCCAGCACTTCCTCTGGCGACCTACCTCTGACAACCCAGTCAACTCGGCCCCGCCAAAAAGAAAGACTGTATGCCAATGAGGGAACCACTGACTAATGCGACCACTGCTTGCTACAGTGTAGCGGCGTATGGGAAGCGAGTAAGGCTGCAGTCGATCGGCAAGGAGTGTAGCGACTCGGGCTTTAGCGATCCATGACACTTTCATGCTCGAGATTGTGGTTGCGCACGGGTCTAAGACGGCCCGATGTTCATGCGAGCTCAGGTTGCAAGGCCAGCACTTCCTCTGGCGACCCAGTCAACTCAGCTTTCGCTAATTCTAAAAGATTGTACGACAACGAGGGGCAATCTGACTTAGACATTGTTTGCTTATACGCTCGCAATCGTACAGCTTCTGGCGGCCATTCAGACAGCTTCAGGACGATCTTTCGCACTACTGCAACATGCAATATGCGCTTCCTTTCGTCTGCTTGTGCGCTTACTTTGCGCGCGTGATACTTGAGCGCGCCAGGCTCCTCAATGTTGTGCTTTGTTCGTCTACGAGATTTGAGTGAGCTGTCCAGCAATCGGATATGCTGCCTTTGCTTGCGTGTCGAATTGCACTCTGGTGAAGTCCAAGTATTTAGTATGACCAGCATTGTCTGTTTTGAGCGAGACTGATAGTCTTCCTCCAGACATCATCCGGGACGAGATACTCATATAGAGGCGAGCGAACTGCTCGAGGCTCGCGGCTCGTTCGGTGACGTACAAATGCAATGCGCTATGAGCCGTGAAGCCTGAGGCCCACCCTCCGACCCAGTCTGACTTCCAAACGGGGAATCTGATCAGGCCGATCCGACGAGTGCAAATGCCGGACCCGAGCTTTAGCGATGACCACTGGATGATGCTCGGTCGTGGTGATCAAGAAGCCCTTGAGCACCTTCGTATCGGGACCAGACCAGCTGACNGGCTTCTTATGGGCGGGCTCAGCTGAGTCTCAAGTTGAAGCCGGTCCGTGGCCCCTTACTCTGCCAATGTCCGAGGGCCGACAGTGTCCCGCAGCTCTTCAGGAGATTCCCTTGGCATCGATCGCTGAGCTAGCTTTCGTGCTCTTTGCGCTGGACATCTGGTCACCCGAAGCGTGAGCGAGCTCGAGCGAGATGTGGCGCGTCGCCAGCGCGCTAGTCCGCTATAGCCCGCCGCCGCCCGCTCGAGATGTCAGCGGCTATCAAATCATCCGCCTTGCTTCTTCCTCGCTGTCCGAACGTCAAGGCGACTGCAGACAGATCGACGCAGCGACAGTATCGGAATATATCGCGTCGACACTCACCAATGGCAGGAGCCTTCTTCTGTCCTGTACGCGCCTTTTGCTCGATCGATCGCATGCTCTTTAGCGGACACAGCTATGCGCGGACAGCTGGAACGAATATAAATGCATCAGATTTGCAAAGCTCGACTAGCGGCTTGGGGCTTAAGATATTTCTTCCAAGATGGCTGCGCGATAGCTTGATACTGGTCGTCTGCCGTCCTTCAGATGCCGATTCGCTGCGTTCTACGGATGGATAGATAAGATGCATTGTAGCGGTCCAGGAGCAGCGATTCAATTGCTACAGTTAAACGCAAGACCTCCAAATTTGCTGGTCGAAACGTCGGTCGGGGCCATACATGTCAGATAGCCGCTCTTGCGACTCGTTCGGCAAGGCGCGTTGCGCAAGAGAGTGCTATTCGCGCAGATATTAGAAGGGAAGAATGACAGATGCAAGAGTGCAGCAAATTGTCCTCTGCCGCGGTGACATGTCAAAACCACAATNCACGTGATGCGCGTTCACGAGCGAGCGAGCNAGGCTGCGCCCTCGAGGACTGTCTACCTTGCGCGCGTCACGCTTNCAGGCGTCATGGCGACATATCAGGAGATCGTCGACGACAGCGACACTTCACTNGAAATCCCCGAGCCNCACGAGCTCCTCGACGCTCGTCACAAAGTNAGCGCGGCACAACTCGTTGTCGACGATTTGAAGGAGGCCCTCAAGGCAGCCAAATCGAGACTCGCACGACTCAAGGCCGAGCAAGCAGATCTCGAGCTTGCNGCGAAGCTTCGCAAGACTGCNCTGCCCGAGCAGCTGCTTTTCACGAACACTGAAAGCAAGGGTAAGCGTCACGCTCATGTACGGGTAGTCGCGCTCACGGGTGGACACGCAGCGACCTTGCATACCGGCTCTGACTCCATCAAAGATGACGTAGCCGACCCTCCTCAAGCTGGTGAGCCAGACCGTCCTCTTCGGCGTTGTCTGAGCTGACATCATGATGAGGCTATCCACCCGACGATTATGTCGTCCCAGGCGGCTCGACCCCGCCGTCGTCTTATTGCAAAGATTATCTCGGCGATGGTCCTTCCGTGCTACCATCATTCGAAGTAAGCTGACCCATATGCAGACTTTCACCAGGTACTGCTTCTCTTCGAGACCCAATGCGGCCAAGCGCGCCGTCAAGACGATTCAGATCCTAGCTCAATTCGCCCTTCGGCGACGCACACAGGTTCGACCCACTTCATCTGGACCTTCTCACGCTCACATTGAGATGCACAGGTGGACACGAGCTCGCAGACGATGCCGGCGCGGGTGATGACGCTGCGATCTCGCTGGGAACAATGCCGGAGCCGGAGGGTAGACAAGGACCTGTACTCATTGCGACCACGAACCCATCAAAAGCGGCTTGCTCCGGCTGTGGCACGCTTTCGCAAGCTTGCGCAGGCATGCACGAGGAGAACGGCAATGCGGTCCCCGCAGGCCTGTCGCCGCCCTATCTAGAGACAAACCCGGAGCTCGAGCCAACGCGTGCCACATCGCTCACTATGAACACTGAACCCACGCAAGCTCCATGTATCGGTTGTGGCACTATCACAACATCTAGAGCCCGCTATTCGGCCGAAGCAGGTGGACAGTCTACACATCTAATCTCATGCTCAGATTGCTATCAAGAAGTGGTACAAGTCTTACGCTCGCATGGCCGTGACAATCAAGAAGCCTTCCAGGCAGCTGGCGATGCTGCAGGGGCAACGAATACTGTGAATTCGATCGAAGACATGCAAGCTTACGGAAGAGTAATGTTTCTGCGCGAATTCAACACCAATGTATTCAAGCTCGCCACTGACAAGATGACTCGTGCCCGCAACGCCAGTACAGCCGAGTACCAGTGTCTGCTTTATGAGTACGCACTCGGCCAATTTGCGCCTGGCCCAAAGGAAATCGAGAAATTCGCGATCCTGCTTGGTGATTGCAAATTCGCCCACGGCAAGTCTTCCATTGCATCATCGTTGGCTGAGGCTCATGCGTTAGCCATCAGATCAAAACGGTCCAAAGACCGCTCAGCTCCTCGTCCGTATCTTCAAGGGTGACATCGTCTGCAGATATGATCGCAACGCTCCATGCTGATCTCAGCTCGCTTCGCAGAATTCTCACACCGTCACACTCGCTTCTTGAGCGGTTCCCGCGAGAAGCGTGCTGCCCAGGCAGCATGGGAAGTTCGCAAGATCGAGGTCATGGTGATGGAGGAGCGAGCAACCTGACACTTGCATTCGAAGAGGGATTAGATCGATGGCGTTTCAGCCAGTCAGAAGCATTAATCTAGATGTAAGACAACAGCACACTAGTAATTCACGAGCACGTATCAGCATGACAATGCACCATTACTGTATAATCTGTGAGCGGTCGGTTGACCCCATGAGAGCGTAGCACAGGTGAGTCGAATCCGCATCCACCTAAGGACTCGTCTGTCGCCTGAGATTTGCAAGGAGGTTCGATGCGCATGCTGGATGAGCCTTGTCGCCGATCACGTGCACACATGCGCAGCGTGATATGCTTGTGGGCGTTCAGACGCAATCTGAATGTAGTCCAGCAAGCAGGGAGCAACATTGTGTGGCGCCGAGATCAGGTCGGGTCTCCATCCGGAAGCATCGGTATTGTTATGCTCTTGATGTCGATACGAGCGGGTTCCAAGTGCGTCCAGGCATCACAACGGTCCGCTTGCATGACTGTGCGTCCTCGTTGGAGGCTGCAGGAGTCGCGTCCTCTCTTGTGCGCTCTCTGATGCGGCACTGTCGAGATCTCGGCCATAGTCGTCTATGCCGAGGTTCTTCTGCCTTGTCTTCCACTGTAAAGCTGGTCAGGTTCGCGCAGGAGATGGTCAGGCGACGTACAAAGATGCACATGACCAAGAGTGTTCCTTGCAGTACCCCGGCTGCTCGCAGAACATCAGACTATGCAGAGATGCGCATGTGATGAACTGACTGATGAGAAAGACCGCCCAGGAGGTCCAGTTGACGCCCGGCCGAACGGCGAGTGAATAGACAAAGATGAAGCTTCCAGGTGTCTGTATGAGCATCATCGGTATGCTCAGGCTGCCGACGAGCCGTGTGCGAGCGGTATGCCAAAGCTGGGGCAGATACTGGCACAGCGCAAGCAAGGTGGCCATGACGCCCAGGAAGGTCGCCCAGTGCCTTATCAGACGAGCAGAGGCGTGTTCACTGTTTGGCGGACTCGATGGCGGTGTATCCTCGGGTATGTCTGAGCTTCTCGGCAAAGTCGACAGCAGCAGAATGGTGACAATGGCACTGATGATGGTATATACTAGCGTGACGACGCCCAGCAAGACAGACAGCCTGTACGCCGGCGAGTAGCTCAACATGGCACCTCGAGACGCAGATGGTAGCAATGCTGAGCGTGGATCGAAAGATGAGCCATCCGACTCGTCAGAACTTGCCGACTCGCGTCGGACGCGCAAGCCTGTCGAAGGCCAGAACAACGCAGACAGGCGTGTCGTCCAACCGCTCTGTATCTTCGGCGAGTGTTGCGCGAGATAACTTCCGAGCGGGTCATTGACTTCTTCAGAAGGCGAGACGGGTATGACGCGAACCCACTTGGTGCGCGTGGGAAAGTAGATGAGAAAGAGAACGAATCTACATGATATTTGACTAAGCTCCTTGCTGTGATGCAGAGGGAATAGACTGACATGAGACTGAACATGATGAACTGAAGGCCGACCTGTATTATGCCGAGAACGCTCTCAAAACAGCTTGACGGCGACTGCAACGTGCCAGTCTGATCAGAGCACATCGCGCGCAGAGCCGAATGTACACGCACCCAGTATTCGCAGCATCTCACGACGCTCCATTGTAGCACGACGACATTGAGAAAGCTGGAAGCGCTCGACGTTGCGCCGAGCAGTAGGAACCTAACCCAAGTCATCAGAACGGTGACTTGAGCGTTCCGCGAGTGTCACTGACCAGGGTGAGATGCCCTCGCCTGTGCCCGTACTGATGATCCGATAGTGCTGCGGTATATAGCTGCCCACGAGACCGAGAATGATGAACAGAGACAGGACGAAAGCGACTGCATCGTGCTGAGGTACACAGTGAGATGGACTTGGCAATTGCGAATCTGAGCTGTCATAACCGAGTGACAGCATCACTGCCACGAGCTGCAGTGCGTTGTACAGCAAGCTGGCCGCTTATGCGTGGCGATATGGTCAGATGAGCTGATTGCGAGGCTTCGAAGCGCGACACTTCGTTCACGCGTTCAGCGCCAATCGGCAGCACGTGCATCTACTACGGCGCATTGACGGCACAGATTCTCGTCTACGAGTGCACCATCGCCTTCAGCACATGGTACACCACATGCATCTCATACAAGACTCAGACGAGCTCAGTCTGTCTCGCACAATGTCAGACACGTCAGACGATAGCAAGGTGAGACACTCACAGTCATCGCCGCGCGACACGACTTCTTTGCAGGTAGGTCGTAAAATTATAGTATGCTCGAACTGCGCGGTCATGCATCTGTCTCTTCGTCAGCTGTGTAGTCCCAAAGGAGCAGGTTCCGATATACCCTTTGATGTCACTGAGAGGTGGGTAGTCTTGTACGATACCTTTGCTAACGAGGTCGTTGAGCTGCTCGCACCGATACATTAGCATCTATGTGTGCCGCTCCGATTCTGTGAACGCACAGCTAGTAGATGATGCGCCTCGCCCGCACGCTCGAGATAACGTCGGCAGAAGGGCAAAGTGCCGAAATGCGAATTGATGACGTTGAGGAGATGCTTTGAGGATTGCAGCCTGAGCGGCACATGCCTGGCGTCAACCTGCTTTGCAAAGTGCGAACATGCTCCCTGAGGTAGCCATCGCGTTAGCCGGCATCTTGCTCGGTCGTCTACGAGTCACGCACGTCATCAAAGACTTCTCCACGGCCCGTGCTGCCGAATGTCTCGATGGCAAAGTAGTCTCCTTCTTCCATCTTGTCGCCCCTCTGACCTCTCACGATGGGCACGTTCTTGCCGCCGTGGATCTGATAAGGGTTGATAGAATGCCCAGACAGATTTCTGATCGTTTTCACTGTCAAACGGGTTAAGCTCGTGCTTTGCCGAATCCGCGAGAAAGCGAACATACCTGGAATCATCTTGCCTTTCAACTCGACCTCGTAAGACTCCATGACTTCCTGAATTGCCGCGCCAATGTCGTTTGTGCGGACGTCGATACCGGCTTCGCGTACGCCAGTATTGGTGGCATCCTTGACTGCTTCCAGCAGACGGTTGTACGTCGGCTCAAAAGTCATTGTGAAAGCCGAATCGACGATACGGCCAGCGACTACATCCACGATCAGCTTCAGCGCGCCTGTACCGAGTGACTGCACAGACCATGGATGCCAAAGTCGACCTTGAGGACGTTGGAGGCCTGCAATACGGTCTTGTCGCCCGGATTGGGGGTGTAGTGAGCAGCACAGTGGTCCAGAGAGAGGCCGGTCGGAAAGCCTATACCGCTCTCCATGCCGTTCTCTTCGATCAGTGCTCGTGTGCCGTCCTCGACCATATGCGCGATTTCGGTCATGGTCATGCCGGGCTTGACGTTGGCGCGGACGTATTGGCGTACCTGACGGTGTGCCTCTGCCGCTCTGCGAATGGCGTTGTAGTTGAATGCATGCGTTGAAGGCTCAGACATGATCTCTTTCTCTTTTGCGCGCATCTCCTCTGACGTCGTCCTGAAGGCATTGCTGATCGTCCAAGCCAGCATCAGCAGCGGCTTGATGGGTGTGACGAGCAGACTGACGCATTGAGATACTCATGGCATTCGCCAATGGGGAATTGCTGGTTGGGGAACATCTTTGTCAAGCCGACTCGAGGAGGCTCAGACTGAGCGAGCGCAGGTGCCTGAGGCACTTTCGAGACGGCAGCCTTCTTCTTCTTGGGCTTCTTCTTCTTTTTCTTCTTCTTCTCTGCCTCGCCTCCGCCGTTCGCACCCTCTTCACCCTCGCCTTCAGAGTCATCGTCCTCCTCGGCATGGTGGCCATTGCCGTTTGGAGCTTCGCCTTCTGCGGCAGGGTGCTCTGCTGCCATTGTCTTGAGCTTGACTTGCTCTGTGCCGTGCCCGTTGGCTGCTTCCAGCTCGACGACACCGGCTTCGACCATCTTGCTTGACCCTGCCGCCAAAACTTTCGTCACTCTCTTTGCTCGGCAGGAAATCAAAAGGCACGCGACTCCGCGAACGAGCGCCAGTGCGGACCGGGCAGTCTCATGCCATGGACGGGCCACAGCCGGAGGCGCCCAACTATGACTCGCTCAGCATCGAAGACAAGCTCTCACACAAGGTCAGACTCGGTGCAGAGCGACAAGCGACGAGATGGTGCTGACATGTTGTTCCTGTGCGCGTCAGGCGTGGAGCGGTCGTCAAGACGGCTATATAGCGCTCGCCAAGGTCCGACTGAGCTTTGTCTACCATGGTCGCCCACTTATGCTCCTAGCGCACAGAGTTTCAGGCTTTCAGCATCAGACGATGATCCCGTCTTTGACATCTTCAACCGCGACGCTGGTCTCATCAAGCGCGCAGTCTGTGACGCTCATGCTGCAGCGCAAGAGCGCGCACTCGAATGTGTACTTGCCTATCTCACCTATGGCCCCGCACAAGCGACTGCACGTTCCCGCGAAACCGTCGTCACCGCGCTCGTCGAGAAATGCCTGGGCTCGGCTCGTGCAGGCACAAAGCTCAAAGCAATAGAACTGGCGCTCGCATACGTTGAGGTCGATGATGGCGCAGACGGCGTCATCGCGGATCTCACGCCCGGACTGAAAGCAAAGCAACCCAAGACTGTTGCAGCGACAGCTGCCGCGCTCAAAGAGATTGTCAAGTGCGTCAGCGTGAGCTCAGCTCGAGTGACGTGCATGCTGATGCTGTTCGGCAGGTACTTCGGTGTCAAGGGCATATTCGCTCCCAAAGTTGTTCTTGCCCTTCTGCCCAGCATCTTTGAGCATCCAGACAAGAATGTCAGGGCAGAGGGTACGCTCCTCGTGCAAGAGCTGCATCGCTTCAGTTGCACTGGTCTCGATGCTGCTCTGTCGTCTCTCAAGCCTATCCAAACGAAAGAACTGAGCGAGCTGTTAGCTACCATGGACTCTGAGGGAAGTGGAAAGGGCTCAGGGCGCGCCACCCGCCTCACACGGGCAGAACAGCGCCAAAGGACGATACGATCAGCCGAGCAAGCCTTAGAAGGCTTTACTGGTCTTGCGGGGAGCATAGACGAGAGAGCCGCATCGCCGGCCATCGTCGCTGCAGCTGAAGAAGAAGAAGACAGCGATGAATGGGAAACAGCCGAGCCTGTAGATGTGCTAGCAAAGATACCCGAGAACTTCGAGACTCAAGTCGTTGCGGTCAAATGGGACGAACGTAAGGCAGCTCTCGAGCCCGTCCTTGCGGCAGCAAAAGTCGTACGCATAAAGCCACTCGACTATAGTCCCGTCATGCGCCTACTCGCAGGCCGCATCAAGTCCGACAGCCAGTACCTGTGCCTTCAACTCTCTGCACAGTGCATACAAGCTTTCGCAGCAGGCTTAAGAAGCGATTTTGCGCCCTACAGACCCATCGTCATGCCCCCATTGTTCGAGAAGCTCAAGGAGAAGAAGCAGTCGATTCTCGATGCTGTCACGTCTACACTCGACGCTATCGCGCTCATAACACCCCTGTTCGAGCTTTTGCCCGATCTGGCTACATACATCAAGCACAAGGTTCCCGCTGTTAAGGAGCAAACGGCAAGGCTCATCGGCAGGACGCTCGCAAAGACGCTGTCGCTGCCATCACCGGGCGACACGAAGACTCTCGCGGCGCTTTTGGTCAATGCCATGGAAGACAGCTGCGAGCCATTGAGGGCAGCTGCGGCTGAAGCCCTCGGCATACTGCTGAAGCTAGTTGGTGAACGGCCCCTTGCAGCTACGATCGACGGTCTCGACGATATCAGGAAGAAAAAGGTCAGAGCAGCTCATGACGAAGCTGTCATCGCCTACAAAGGCACCGGAGCCAAGTCAGCTCCAGCAGTAGCTCCAGCTGCTCGAGCCCAACCTGTAAGAGCCGCGCTGCCCCCTTCGAAAGCGACGAGCACACTCGCGAACAAGGAAAACGTTGCGCCTGCAGCAAAGTCAAACACGGGTGATTTCAGATCAGCCCCGGTTGCCAGGCCGACGCAACCTACTGCAATTCGCCCAGCGGTCAAGGCAGTGCCTGCTATGAGACCAGCAGCTAGCAAGTCGAGCGCGCCTGCCATCGCCGCGAAGCCTGTCGAGCCATTGCGATTCAAGTTCAGCGCTGACGATGTCGAACCATACGCCCAGGACAATCTTCCGCAACAGACAGTAGCCGGATTCTCATCCGCAGCGTGGAAAGACAGAGTCGAAGCGCTCACGGAACTCGAAAAGCTGGTAAAAGAGCAGTCTACCCTCGAAGCCGAAGCCGTAGTGCGCATATTATCCAAGAAGCCAGGCTGGAAGGAGAGCAATATCCAGGTCTGGGCCAAGATGCTGGCGGTCTTTCAGAGCTTGACAGTATGCGAGACATTCAGCAAAGCTTGTATCGCCCTGACCGTGTCCCACGTCTCTGAGAAGCTCAGCGAAGCCAAGCATAAAGCAGCCTTGAGCGCCCTCTTGACGACTTATGCGGAGAAGACTTCGCTGCAGTATGTCTTGGGACAAGCTTACGAACCATTTGGCAAGCTCAAAGCGCCGAAAGCACAAGCAGATGCTCTCGCATGGGTCGATGAAAGCCTGCGTGATTTCGGCATTGACGGCATCTCGCTGCGAGAGCTTATTGAATACCTCAAAACGGGTTTAAAGAGCGCAAACGCAGCAGTGCGCGCTAACGCACAGAAGGCTGTGGTCACATTGCGCCTGTACGTCGGACCAGATCTACGTAGCCGCTTAGAAGATCTCAATGCCACGCTACTCGCCGCGCTTGACAGCGAGTTTGCCAAAGTGGCAGAACAGCCTCCACCAGAGCCTACCCGCTTCAGCGCCGAATCGCAAGGGCCAAGCAAAGCTGCAGCCCCGAGTTTAGCACAACTGGATGCTGAGGAAAGCGAGGCAATACCAAGAGTTGCACTTGATAAGCTCATTCCCGCTAGCGCTCTCGCGCAGCTTGACGATGCTAATTGGAAAGTCCGCAAAGAACAGCTCGAGATTGTGCAGCAGCTCCTAAATGACAATCCCCGGCTACAGCCTTCTCTGGGTCCGTTGCCATTTTTCATCTTTATTGGGTCTGACGCGGCGTATACATATACAGGCGGCTTGCCTGCCGGTCTCAAGCTGCGCTTATCCGATAGTAATCGAGTCGTGCAGCTTCTTGCCCTGAGTTTGCTGGCAAAGCTCGCTATCGCCGTAGGAAAGCCATTCGAGCGGCATTGCAAGATATTCGCGCCACCAGTACTCGCAGCGACTGCTGACGCGAAAGTCAGCGAGGCCAGCTTGGCTGCACTCAGTGCGATGTCAGAATCGTGCGGCCTGGCCGTACTTCTGCCAGCAGTCACGAAAGCTTTCGAGAATCCTAACCCGTCATTGCGAAAGGAGCTCCTTGATTGGTTGCAACCCAGAAGTGCAGCGGCACAAGCCGATCTCAAGCCACTCGTGGCGCCCATCCTGGCATGCTGTGAAGATCGCGCCCCAGAAGTACGCAAAAGCGCGCAGGCTCTGCTGCCTGCAGTCGTCAGTGCCGTGGGACCTTCTTACGTGCACAGTCAGACGACGTCGATGAAACCTGCCACACGATCCACGCTCGCGCCTCTGATCGACGCAGCTGCAGCTAGCAGCAATGCGAACGCTGAGCCCCTCGTAGCAGCGCCGCCCGCATTGGTGCAGATCTCCCCGGTCGTCAAAAGTCCTCCGCGATCGCCAACGCCTGGACCTGTTAGATCAGGTTTGTCAACCCGGCCGGCGTCGATGTCGACCAGACCGCCCCGAGCCAGCCTGACTTCGGGTCTCGCGCCGCCCGCGCAGTCGAGCTTCAATGAGGAAACGGCAGCAGATTTGCCCTGCTTTGCGAGCGGCAATGCCGATGATAAGCTTGCTCGAGCGACGCGCGACGTTGGCTTCGCGAAATGGGGCGTCGATGGTCCATCGAGAGCCGATTTGATCGATTCCCTAAAGCAAGCATTAGCGGGCTGTCTCGAGCCAACTCTCTATGAAAAGCTCTTTCGAGCAGATCATCACTCGGAACGCGATACTTTGCTCGGCCTTGACCTGCTTATCCGACCGCTGGTCCCAACCGAGAACATCATGCAAAGAGACAGAGCTACCTTCCTCGCGAATGCCGATCTCCTCTACAAGTACATTACCTTGCGGCTGGCCAGCACGAGTACGAGCATCATTCTGCGCTGCTTCGACCTATTCGATGCTTTGCTATCAATGACCTCCGCTTGCGATCAAACGTTGTCGGACTATGAAGTCTCTGTTTTCATGCCCAGCCTCGTCATCAAGGTAAGCTCGCGCGAGATGCTTCCGATTGATCTAAAGACGCGTGCAGATCGGGGACGGCAAAGAGACAACGCGCCAGCGAGTGCATACGGTGATAAAGTCGATATGCACTCTACATCCGAACAGCAAGATATTCACGACATTGCTCGAGCACGGTCTCGAGAACAAGAATTCGCGCGTACGCTCGGAGACATTGGAGGAGGTTGGACATATCCTCCAGCGAAACGGGATCAGTGTCTGCCAGCCTGCGCGCGCGCTTCCTCGCATCGCAGTGCTGATCGAAGACAAGGATTCTACCACGCGGTCCGCGGCACTCACAGTTCTTGCAATCGCATATCCAATGCTAGGCGATACACTCTGGAGCAATGTAGGCAAGCTATCAGACAAGAGCCTATCTTTACTCGAAGAGAAGCTCAAGCGAACTCCGACGGGATTGGTCTCGCGAGGACAGAGCTCAAGTAGTGCTCCATCGACGCCGTCGCGCAACCCTACTCGTGCCATCAATGGCACGCCCGCAAGCATCAGGCAGGCATCAGTGTTGCCGGGCTCCTCGAATCGAATGCCGTCCGTCAGCCGCGCAGGATCGGGCTCTCTACCCAACAGCGGAGCTGTGACGCCGCAGCGACGGCAGTCGGTCCAGACAGAGCGCGCAGCGACAGGAAGCTATCAGGAGACTATCCAGCAGGCTCGTCAGCCTGATCTCGACCTCTCGGACATGGACACTTGTGTTGACTGCATGCTCAATCAAGATCCTCAGATTCGAAACTCTGCGCTCAAGGCAGCAGCCCAGATTGCTGCCAACCGACCGGCCGAGGTACTGCCATACGCCGAAGTCGTTGCTGCCTCGTCGACGCGCATTCTGCGCGAAGTGTTCGAAGACTTGTCTGACGAATCGCCCCTACTGACATTGAAAGGCGCCAAATACGTGCTCACATTGCTGAACAGCATGTTTGACAAGGCTATACTCGCTCAAGCTCTCACAGTTGGCACACTCACAAGCATCATGGCAGAGCTCATTCGCCGTCTGCTCGAGACCGAGCCATCTGTCGCTGCAGGTACCGCCATTGCTGGCCTGCATAAAACGTTAAACACGCTCCTTATCCGCGTTTTGTTGCGTTCTGAACGTACCGTGTGTTTTGGGTAAGCGCAGATAGCTGCGACGTTGCTCATATGCTGACACGAAACGTGCAGGGCGCTGCTCGCACTTCTGCTAGACGCTGCTCAGCCCTTGCGGGATCTCGAGGGTGTGGAACTCGAGTTACGTGCCGCGTATGCGGAGCTCGCAATGAAGGTGAGTTCTAATGCTGTATTCCTGATACGCCCCTTACAATGCTGCAGTGCACATGGCGTATAACTAAAGGGCTTGAAGACGACATCAAAGCAGGCAGAATTGACGTCAGTCAGCTCCTGCTCGATGTGCATCTCTTCATGAGCGCGATTGGTCAAGACGAGTGGCGCAGGCGAGCAGCTGACGGGGTCAAACTCGCTGACGGTCCACAGCGTGCGGTCAAGACTATCATCGCTACTACGCTAAGAGTACTTGGCACATCTGTGTTCCAGCAGACTCTACGCATCCCAGATGCCGACTCTTCGCCGGTTCTCGAATATCTCACCCGACAAGCAACGGCCGCAAAGCTCTTGACGCAACCGCTCCCTGTTGCGAATGGCGTCGTCGGTCAAGCAAGCAGCGAGAAGGCTCAAGTAGATCCTCATCTCGAAGCTGAGCGGCAAGAGCTCAAGCGTATCTTTGACCGCATTGGCGCAGCCGACACTCATGCAGCAGGAATCGCGGAGTTGTACGACTTCAAGCAGTCTCATCCGGGCGGGGCTGCTCAGGAGTTCCTCGACAAGACCCAGCCTCATTTCCAGAAGTACATCGCACGGGCGATGTCGAATCTGGCAGACAGACGCGAACAAGAGCGTTTGAGTCGGGACGTAGACTAGATGCATGAATGTTGTCAACAAAACTTACAATGTTGCAAAAGTGTAGAGTCGATAACACGTGAAGCCTCCGAGGAGGCCGATGCCTACAAATACGCCTGCCATCTCTGCTACCAGCCACTTGAAGCGCGATTTGATGCTGCGGCCAGCTTCCGCGCCCAAGACGACTTCAGTCGGCTCTGAGCCATCGGTATCTGTAAGTTCCTTCTCGTAATTGGACGGATCGCGCATCGCAAAATGGGTACGACGAGAGCCAAGCTGCCATGCGACGATACACTGAATGACAAGCCTGAAGAGCGAGACGCGCTCTGCATCCCAGCCAGGTCTCCAGTAGCGACCGAATTGGATGAAGATGCGCATCGAGAAGCGGTCGTACCTGGCAGCGAGCTTACACTTCCAATCCCCTCGAGGCAGACCAAGCGTGTCTGCTAGTTCGTGTCCTATCTGTGTGCGCGAGATCTCACAATTATACTCGACAGGCTTGTAATCTGGCGCACGATTAGATACTGCCGAGAGGATCTTGTAGGTGCTGTTGGTCTCGAGCGAGCGCGAAGCGGCGGGCTCGGTGAAGAGATGGAAAGACATTGACGCGAAAGCCTTCTCGGCCGAATTAAGCGAGGAGAAATGTCTGGATAGCTTATCCTGATCGATGCCGAGATAGAAACCGATGTGTCGCCAAGCAGCCAAATAGGCGAGCTCCTCTGCTGGTGTGAGGGACATGCCATGTTTGCGGCAGACCCATAGAGGAGCTATTGCAAAGCTGCCGAGCGTGGCGCAGAGATCCTCTTGGTTGATGGGGATCCCGTCCGCCTCGCGATCGTATGTCGTGGCTTTGCCTAGTCCGCTGAGAATCTTGACGCGTACCTGCGCATGGAGCAAGCGCACCTTGACAGAGCTTCGCCAGCCTTGTCCACCAGGAAAAGTGCCGTCTGAGCTTGCGGGACGCATGTCGAGCATCGCGTCGAGTATGAATTGCGTCGTCTCTAGCAATCGACGAAAGCAAGCGTCACGGTTGTGATGGGTGAGATAGCCAGTCTGCTGTAGTACGCCGACGAGTCTATCTGATGAGAAGCCTGCGGCTAGGCTGAAGTGGAGGAAGCTCGAAAAGAGGGGCGCCGAGTAGCGCCAAAAGACAGCTTGCCCGGCTGATAATGTTGGCTCGGGTTGGCGTGAAGCGTCGAGAGAAGGTCTATAATCTGCGTCTATATGCTTTTGATGCTCGGGAAGTGCACTGATGTCCTGCGGTGGCTCTCTCGCCACTGCAGCCCAGAATGCAGTCACGTCGGGATGTCGTTGCTCGATCGGGGTATTGGACAGATATTCCTCGATGATCTTGAGGCCGTCTCTCCCTGGTCTGAGCTGGAGATAGCGTACAACATTGTCGGCCAAGTCATCACTCAATCTGCGCCAGGATTCGAGCGTAGGAAAGACAATCTCGTTGCCATCGGCACTGGCTGCATAGCCAAATCGAGTGGCTATCTTTCCCCGTCGCTCCTCGGTATTGAGCTTTCCTGATAGGAGGACCCTGCCGTCTATGGTCTCGCCATGTCGTATGCTGTCGCCGACGAAGAAGAGCTCCGACATTCGGTCGTCGTGCTGGCAGCGATCGTCGTCTCGTCGCGACTTTTGCCACCTCCAGAGAGAAGCCGACAGAGCATGGCAAGGGGCGCAAGCAAGCGGGTGGGCAGTGAGAACCAACAGGCAGTGCGAAATCTGCAGATTGGCACGCTGGTATCGAATGGCGTCATCATCGTGACGCTACTGCTGCGGCCCTCGACACGCTCTGCGTGGTCACTCTTTCGTTATGCCATTACTTCAGGGATAGCACTCTTTCTCTGGCGTCAATTGGCCGGCATGGGCACGCCTAGATACAGCGCTGCCGGGACACTCATCTCTCCGGGTGAAGACCTGGGTCAAGCGGGTCTCACAGCGTCAGTCCATCTCTGACGCGCTCGTGATGACGAGAAAGAGCTGACAAATGTACGCAGGTACATGTTCGATATCATCTGGGTCACATGGGCAGTGCACATCGGAGCGCTACTCACGAGCAAGATCTGGTATCTCTACTTGCTCATACCCGCCTACGTCACGTACAGGCTTGGTAGCTTCGTCCTACCGCGACTGTTACAATATCTGTCGAGCGCGAGTACGCCTGCAGCCGAGCAGGACGGCCCTGCTCAGACGAGCAGCAAGCGACAAGAGAAGTTGCGCAAACGCTACGAGTCAGGCAATGGCAAAGGACGGATACAGCAGCGAGAAGTAAGAGTAGAACGGTGATCTGCATGCATTTTGGATCCTAGACAGCTCTGCCTGTTATGTCGCTCTCGGCTGGACTCTCGATCGCGGCTGCGCTTATCGTAGACGTGAAGCTGGGACAGTGCGATGGCTTTTCTGTCTTTGCTACTGACCAGCTTGTGCAAAAGTCGATGGCCTGCTGGATTTGATCGCTTTGGGGCGAGCCTAGCATATCAGCCGAAGCGCCGCTTGATCTGGCTACTTGGCGCGATCTGTGGTCTGACTCTTGTGTCAGCTGAGGAGCTTGAGCGGACTGCCTGCGCGTAACGAGACCGATGCTGTAGCCCGAGAACCGCTGCACGGCAGGCGAGGGTCCCCTTGCGAAGAGATCCGCGAAGGAGCTCTGATCGATTGATAGGCGTCCGAGGAGAGAGGGCGGCGTCGCGGAGAGGCTGTCACGAGCGGCCTGAATGGCTGTTTGCGAGGCTTCGAGATAGAGCGATGCGAGTTTCTGTCTGAGCAAGCTATTGCGGATCGATACCGGCTCGACAGGGCTCATCGTCGCTTCTCGGTACGTCACAGTGTCCGACGCGAACGGATCGTGCAATGGCAGCACAACGAGCGCGTCCTTCTTGATCAGGGACGACCTGAGGCTCATCAGCAGAGCAACGCTGCGATGTATGCGCGACGTACAGGTAGATGCAATCTGCAATGGCGGCAGATGCTGAGCCGAGCCACATCAGACGAAGCGTCAGAATGATGGCAAAGGTAGGCTTCAATAGGCTCAGAGCAGCCGCTGTGGCTGTCATGAGCGTGCCGAGCGCGATGAGATCGAAATGATAGCTGATCGTGCAGTCCAGGTCGATTCGACCCCGCACCAATGCAACGACGGCAGCTGTGAGTGCACAAAGCAGCAAGAGTAGCACGCTCGTCAAATTCGATAACGCTTTGTGTGCAGCCGGGTTGCTGTACCAGGCCAGGAGACGATCTTGATTGGTGTGATAGTGCACTAGAGCGATGCTACAGACCTGAGCAGCGATGAGACAGACACAGAGGCACAGGACGAGCGACAGGAAGATGATACGTCTGAGCATCAGCATGGGTGGTCTCGTTGCCAGTTCGGTCGTTGCGCCAGCTGACATTGCATAGGCCAGCAGCGCAAGTGGACCAAGTATGCTCGATGCTACATCAGTACTGATACGGTTCGTGGAGGGCACAGCGCCCATTCTGACGAGACCGTCTAGCATACCGGCAAGCCACACGAAAAGGCATAGACCTAGTGAGCCCACGGCGCGTACATAGATGAGCTTGCGTAGCGCATCTTGGCTCGAACGATCTATTGCACTGCTCCCGCTGTCCTGCGCGTGTACTGGCTGAGCATTGTGAGCTTGACGGAGTATGACGACGAGGGACAAGAGAGCGAGCGCCCCAAAGGCTTGCTGCACGCCGAACAAGCCAGCGATTGGAAGCTCGGCCGTCATGGCGCATTGGAGGCCCATGATGCCATTGAGACAATCTGATTGAGCAGTCTGCATCTCTGTCTGGCCGATGATAGCGAGGCTACATGGTCGAGACGGGCAGGCGAAGAGGTCGTACGCGCCGAAGGCATCTCCTCGTCGGTTGCCGCTGCTTGTGGCGTGCGCTCGGTGAGATCGATGACATGACAAAGGAAGGTCCGGTGTGTTGCTGAGAGGGGCACTGCTTGGTTCAATGGCCGTCTAGCAACCATTCGCTATCAGCATGTCGTTGTCGTCGTCGTCGTCGCGTCGCGCGCGCGCAGGCCAGCAAAGCCAGCAGATACACACGCCGTCTACGTACACGTGGGCCATGGCCACGCTGGCGAGCCGAGCTCGGCAGTACAGGCAGTCTCGCAAGCTCATAGAACAGGATGAGCTGCTCAGAGAAGTCGTCTTCACGCTCCAAGGGGCAGACACGGTTCATGTCAAGTTTGACGACTCTACCCTGCCCAGCAAGGCTGGCAAGAGGCCTGGACGACCATTCTCGGGCCACAAAGATGGCATTGGTGGATACGGAGGTCTTGGAGACGATGACGATGACGGCTTGAGCGATACCGAGCTGCCGCTTGACGGAGGCATCACTTTCGTCTCGCACAAGGATGTCAGTTCATGCATGGTCTGCCCTGGTGCACGTGACTGAGAAGGCACGGAACTGCAGCGGAAGATCTCAGCACCCAACGCTGCTGTACTGCACAGACTGGCAGAGCTAGGCTATCTCTATCGGTCCATCACGAAAGCGCTGGCAGAGTCTCAAGAGCGAACAGAGAGATTCCAGAATGATGCGACTGGTCTCGAAGCCGAGCACAGCCGAACAGAGAGCCGACCGGGCGGTCTGATCGAGCAAGGTCTCTGTCATGCCTTACAAGCCCACATTGGCCAATATCAAAGCAATATTGCCGCTCTCGAAGCTCAGATCAATGCCAACGTCGATTCGCCCCTCTTTGAATTCTCGGCCCCTACCGATCCGCCTGACGTACGATCGGAGACCAGCGATGTCGTGACGCTGAAAGGCCTCTTGGCTCGCACGGATTCTCTGGTCCTCAAGACGCGGCTCATGAAGCTCTTTATTGATGCAGCGCAAGGCGGGTCACGCGCTTCATGCGCGGGATATCAGGCTCACTCCTCTTACATTCGAGCAGAGAAGCGAGGCAGCGATCTTTTGACATTCATACAGAGCTATACGACGGGCGGTGACCCGTTTATCGCCAACTTTGCTGCCACCTTTCTCGCAGATGTCACCAGGCCGTTCTTTCGGATGCTGCAGAAGTGGATCTACAGCGGCATCTTATCTGACCCCTTCGGCGAATTCTTCATCCAGCAGCTCGGTATTCAGCCAACTGAGAAGGCTCATCGCGGTCAGAGCTCGACAGCACGGCTCGTCTTTCGAGAGGATCGCGTGCCAAGCTTCATGACAATCGACTTGGCGCGCAAGGTGCGTCCATCTATACCAAAGGGCTGCCACACCGTTGACATGAATCGCTCGCCAGATCTTCTCGACGGGCAAATCTCTCTTCTTCCTGCGTCTTAGCTGTACGGACGATGACGCGCTTCTGCCTGCGCCTCAGGCAGGCGACGAAAGTGAGGGACTTATTGCGGACATGCTACCGAGCTGATAGCATGTATGCAGTTACCTACGCCAATCTGTCGAGGCTAGACGCGCAAGTCGCGACTGCATACGAGTCAGCCAGTCGGCGGCTCTTCACCATCTTTTGCGAGCGGTTCCGTTTGCCCGACCATCTTCGCGCTCTCAAGAACTACATCTTGTTGGGCAGAGGCGACTTTGTCGAGCTTCTGATGGAATCGCTCGGCGCGAGTCTCGATAAGGCTGCCGGATCTCTATATCGACATACTTTGACGGCAACGCTCGAAGCTGCTCTGCAGGGCTCAACAGCGGTCAACGATTCGCCAGAGACGCTCAAGAGGTTAGATGTAGATATGGTAGATACGACGCGATCCGTTATCGGCTGGAATGCGTTTGTGCTCAAGTATCGCGTTAGCCCACCCATCGATACAATCCTCAGTCCTGGCGTGATGCAGCAGTACACGCGCATCTTTACCCACTTTTGGAAGATCAAGCGGGTCGAGTACAGTACGAACATGATATGGACGAAGCTCGTTAGCAATGCGAAAGCCCTCTCGCGGGTCACTCGTCAGTTCTTTGCTCCTCGCACTGGCCACATACTGACTCGTCGTGCATGCAGAGCTACGTAACGACTTTCACAAGGCAAGGTTAGCGGTAGCAGAGATGATTCACTACATTCGCCAGCTGCAGTACTACAACCACCTCGAGGTTGTCGAGTGCTCTTGGCAGCAACTGACCGAGTTTGTACACCGACAAGAGGGCGACCTCGACTCGCTCGTTGCTGCACACCAGACCTATCTTGACCGTCTGTACAACAAGGCACTCTTGCAAGTCACACAGCGACCGACGAGCAAGCTAGCGCCCAACGTAGGCTTTCTCGCCCGTCAAGCTGTGCCATGCTGATTTCGCGCGTCTAGCCCAACGCACTGCTCAAGATGGTCGAAGACTCATTCCTTCCGATCTTGGCTTGGAGGGACAATGCCGTACGCTCTTCCTCGTTGAGCATCATTGGTCGTCCTGATTGACTGTATACAGGAGGCATTATGCGAATGGGCAATGAGGGAGGCAAATTGGGAAGTCAGCCAGGGCGATCATGCTCGAGTGCGCAGTCTTCATCGCGTTTCGTTGCTTGCTGCTGATTACATACATGCAGGGCGTTGCGACACTGCCCGTCCAACGACCATCAGAGGGTGATCTGGCGACTTACCGGCGTCGACTCGACCGGTACTGCCTCGTGTTCAGCAACGCTGTGTCTGGCCTCGTGGCGAGCTTGCAAGCCCAGCCGGACAGCGAGCTGCGCTTGCTTGCTATCCGCATCGATCACAACAAGTTCTACCGCAAGACGTGACACGTGTAGACTCTCTCAAGCCTCTGTTGTCTGTAAAGTTAGGGGGGGGGCGCGACAGCAGCAGGGGGGCACTCGCTCTTTGATCAGCTCGAGAAATTGGCATTTTGCCTTTGCGGTCGTCCCTCTTGTCGTCCATCTAACGCCACCTATGCTTGAGCTGCGGCCGACCTACATCGCTGCAGCATGCAACCGATTTTCGGGAGCAGCCGAGATCAATGCGTCAGGCGAAGTAGCATTCGGGTCTGGCAAGCTCCTCGCGCTCTGGAACGCTCAGGACGAGCATCATGCCGGCGTTCATCATGCTCTGCTCGGCCACAATGCAGAAGTGACCCAGGTCTGCTCGCTCGGTGACGGATGGCTCTCCGGGGATGCTTCAGGTGCGCTGCTCGTTTGGCAACAGCCTTCGAAGGCAGAGGCGAGCACGAGCAACGGATGGACAGCCTTCCCCGTGCTGCCTTCGCGTGGCTCAAGTGTGTGTACATTGGCAAGCTTGATGCTGTCGGATGATATCTGGCTCGCTCTTGCTGCGCACTCTGACGGCTCAGCTTCTGTGCTGTCGTTCACCCTCAGTGCGTCATCAGCTTTCAGTACGATGTTTGAAGCTGAATAGAAAGCAGAGAAGGGCGAGAGACTTGCGCACGAGCTAGTGCAGGAGATCAAGCTGGGCGACAACTTGGCATTGTCTGCGGTCATCGGCACACTACCAAATGGCGCAGGACTGTTGCTTGCGCTCGCTTGCACGGATAATCGCATTCATCTCTTGACGCGACCTATGACGCAAGGGGCTCAGGCAAGACGCTGACCACTCAGCCATCACGCACGCTGATGCTCCGGGGCAGTTTGTGCCTAGTACAAAGCTAGAAGGTCACAAGGATTGGACGCGCTGCCTATGCACCACAGTTGCCACCACCTCAGCCGGCGACGTGCGTCCTGGAGACGTCTTGCTTGCCTCGGGTTCGCAAGATCACTACATCCGCATATGGAAGATCTCGCCTGCACGAATGCAGACGGTCAAGACAAGCTTGCTCGATGACGCAGATTTGGATGAAGAGGACGGTCAGCAAAGGTTGTCAATGAAATCGCGTCTCCTGCACGTCGCAGAGAGCGGAAGGTACAGTCGCTACTGCCGTAGTTACTCTTCATCATGCTGAATTCTGAGCAGTCGCTTTACGTGCACGTCAGAAGCCGTCCTGTTCGCGCATGAGGACTGGGTCATCGGGCTACACTTCAGTCATGTCGCTGCAGCAAGCTATGGACAGCTGCCCGAGCTGCTGTCGGCTTCTGCAGATCGCTCTATGATTCTCTGGCGCTTCGATCAGAGGTCATCGCTCTGGACAAACGTCACGCGGTTTGGCGAGATGTCAGGCACCAACCTCGGCTTCTTCGGCGCCTTGTGGTCCGCAGACGGTCTTGCGGTCCTGGCTCATGGATGGACTGGCAGCTTTCACGTATGGCGGAGGCAAACGTCAGCCGAACAGTCATGGCAATCCGGCGTAGGTGTGTCAGGTCATTTCAGAGCGATCACTTCGCTTGCTTGGGAGCCTCAAGGTCAATTCTTGCTTACCACAAGGTTAGCCGTCGCTGTGACAATGAGTCTCGTTGCTCATATTGATATGTAGTCTTGACCATACAACGCGTTTGCATGGTCCATGGCGGCGCAATGTCGACGGAGCCGCAATAGAGACCTGGCACGAACTGGCGCGCCCACAAGTCCATGGCCATGCCATCTTGACGCTCAATATGCTATCGGGCTTGTCTTTCCTCAGCGGATCCGATGAGAAAGTCGTTCGAGTCTTCGATGCGCCTCAGCCGTTTCTCGATTCGATGCGAAAGCTCGGCACCGTACAAAGCTTCTCAGGGCCAACCCAAGCCAGACAAAAGGGCGTAACATTGCCACCTTTGGGTTTATCGAACAAGGCGAGCACAGACGATGTCGTTGAGCCCGTCTTGCGTGATGCGCCGCCGCTGGAAGAAGACCTGCTCACCACGACACTATGGCCAGAGATTGAGAAAGTCTACGGTCACGGATATGAGATTGCCACGACGGCTCTGTCCCACGATGGCAGATTACTCGCGACTGCATGCAAGGCCAACAGCGCAAAGCATGCGGGCGTCAGGCTATATGATACGTCTACGTGGGCCAGCGTCGAGCCAGTGCTAGACGGGCATGAGCTCACCATACTCGACATGGCCTTTAGTCCTGACGACACCAAGCTGGTCACCACATCGCGAGACCGAACCTGGCGGCTCTACCAGAAGAATGACAAAGGCCAGTTTTCGCTTCAGGCGGTCGGCACCACTCACACGCGAATCGTTCGCGCTTGCGTCTGGAGCAAGGATGGCACATTGTTCGCAACAGCTTCGCGTGACAAGACAGTCAAGATATGGTCATCAGAGACCGCTCAATTGGTTGAAAGTATCAGACTTGCTCAAGCGCCATGCGCAATCGCGGTCTGGCCAAATGCCATAAGCTTCGCCTTGGCGATCGGCTGCGAAGACGGCAGCTGTCACTTCTTTGACCGCGGAAGTCAAACACTGCAGTTGAAGGAAGGCACTGCTGCCGGGCCCATCAGCATGCTAGCATTCTCACTCGAAGGCACTCGTCTTGCAAGCTGCTCAGAGGATGGCATCGTGCGGATCTATACAGTCAGGTCGCTTCAATCTACATAGGTCTGTGATCATCTCAATGCAACAAATAGTGCGCAAATGTCACAGCTCGCATGGGCAGTCAAAATAGGAGATTGCAATCATATTGGTGCTATCGCATGCTTAGCTCCGCGTGATGATCTGGAGCGGTCCAGTTGCGATCAAGTCGATGCCGATGTTGGGTCGAGATGATCCGAGTCGAGTGCCGCCAGCGTCAATATCGGTGAATGCAGTGCCTCGAGCACCTGGCCAATCATCGGCTTGCGCCTAGGCGGGGATACTTCCGACGAGTTGCAACTCAGCTACATGCAATTGGTCATGCCCGAGCGCCCGCAGGCTTGCCGGATGCTGAAGGCTGAGAGTCTCGCCCAGTCCGAGGGTGGCATGAAAGGCGTGGCGCAGACGTGACGAGTGCGAGTGCGAGTCGATGCCGATGTCGATGCCACCCCGAACGGGGCACATTGAGCTGACAGTGTGTGAAGGCGATGAGCAGGTCTAGGAAGAGCATCAAGCGAGTGGTTATGTGCCAACAGTTTCAATTATATCATGAGGCGAGTTGCTATTGATCGACGAATAATATGAGGCGACTTGCTATTGGCCTGGATACGTTCGTTTTTTTTTTCGCGTCGTCAGCCCAATTTGCTAGGGGACAAGCATGTTGCGATTCACAACAGGATACACTTTACAATGCGCCGTGCCAATCGCGCTCACTGTAGCGCTATCATCGTACGGAGCTGCGTCAGGGCGCGATCAAGCCGATATCGCCTGCTTCGCCGGTTCTTCCTTGACCGTGACATATTCGTCTTGAGGTTCTGCGCTTGCCGGCAAGAGTGTGGCAAAAGTAAGATATGACGTATGCCCTCGCAAGAGCGGAGCAGGCTTAAGGTCTACTTGAGCAACCTTTTGGCGTGAACCTGCTCTAGCGACTGTGAATGCCTTGGGCGGCAACTGAGGCATCGCTTTAAGCACAGCGTTAGCAGTGCCGACATTCGGCGCTGGCGGTAAAGACGTGCTTGCGGTTGTAGTGCACAGCGCGCTCTCAACGTCAGAAAGAGCAGGCGAATCTGTATGCCCGTCTTTCGCTCGCTTTGAGCTAGGTGAGCCATCCTCGGCATGGCCGGTTTCTGACTGTTGCCTGTCTTCTCGTTTTCGCTTGGCAGCCGCTATTTGGTGCTCTCTCTTTACGCTCCTGCGCTCCTCTATTGCTTTGATGCGCGTGATGGTATCATCGATGCTTGGCGCTGCCGCCGGACTAGCCTCCATCATCTGTAGCAGTGTCTCGTACATCATCACGTCTAACGCGGCTCACGATCAGCTGTATACCTTCCACAAGTAGACTCGGCACCTTACCAGAAAATCCGTGGGCATTGAGCGCATTGACAGTCTTGGTAACCTGCTCCATGCAGGGACTGTAGCAACAGATACGGCCAATACGGTCATGCTGGACACCAGGTGAGATCCTGACAAAGAAGGATGACAACCAGCATACCTTCATCGCCACTTTGGCAGAAGCGAGAGCTTCCCATGGCGCAGGGAGATCGAGAAAGATGCTGTCGACAGCATCGTTGAGACCAAAGCCGTCCTTGCAAACGTCGCGATGCCGTAATCTGACGCAATCGAGGTTGTTCTCTGCGAATTCGGCTCTGTACGTCGTTGTCAGCCTTGCTTGAGTAACGCTAGCGGTACGATAGACCTTGCGGTTGCGTAGCGCTCTGCATGAAACTCAAAGGAATGTAGCGCGCCCGATTCGCCAAGGATGCGCGCGGCTGTATGAGTGAACGAGCCGCTGCCCGTTCCTACGTCGTCTACTAAGTCTAGCCTGGTGCGGAGAGCGATTAAAGCTGCGCACCTGCTTCGATCATGCTGTCGCCTGGTTTGACGTTGAGCAAAGACGTGACGAACGCCATGTCAGGCATGTAAAGGATTTGAGTGCGATGCTTCAAGCATTGTGTCCTGCTGGTCATGCATGAGCTTCCCTTCGATGATCCGCAGCCAGCCAGGTGATCGCCGACCATAGCTCAGGCGTAGGTCTGAGCAGATAGACGAAACCATTGTTGCGCACGCTAGAGAGCTGCATAGCTTGCATGAGCTAGTCGCTCGCTCGCAAGGCACTGGTGTGAACAGCGTGCCTTCGTTCCATAAGGCTGTCCGATCATGTCTGAGTGTCTGAAAGCGCCGAAGCGGGCCTGTAACTCTGTGCCGGCGGCAATCTTGACATATTGTAGATTCTCGCGAGACTGAGCTGTACAGAGTCAGTCACGACTTGGTGAGCATCTTCGAGCACGCACAAAGTACAATATGACGAGGTCACCTTCTCGCACGAGCTCACTGGTCGATTGGAATGGTTTGACCGCCATGCGAGATGCAAGACATTCACAGGACAGAGCGCGAGCGCGATATCAAAATTGCGGCCATGGGCATGACTACTTGCGAAATGAAAGCGAATACATACAACATTGTCCCATATGAAAGTCTGCTGAGGATTTGCGTGGTCGTTTATTGGTATCGTGGGCCGTCATAACAAGCGCAGAGGGCGGGATCAGATGCTTCAAAATCGCAGTCAAATGCGATCTGGTACTCATCGCAACCAAAGATGATCTGTTCTTATGTCAGCTTCGGCATGCTCTGAAAAACGCACAAGCGTACCGGCCAAGCTCGCTCGACTGCGTGCACGAACCATGGATCAGATGGGTCGCCTTTCTTGTGATCCCACCATGGCGGCACTCGGATGTCAGGACTTGCGCGATCAGCCTGCTCGAAGATTTTGCGACTTGCTTACTGTGACCTGACCGAGTATCTTTCTGTAGGCAGACTGCGCATTCCGCATGATCGCCTCGCGCGATGCAACGACTTGGGCGGACCACGAAGCCTGACAAAGACAGAAGTCGGTCTGTGAACAGAAGCGGTGCAAGAGCGAAATGACCAGCTGAGATGAGCCGCCTTGCCAGCCATGGCCAACGAAGATCCGATAGATTTCATCAAAGCCTGGAATCTCGAGTCCATTGCCGATCACCTGGCTGCGGCTCATCCTGGCCAAACCCCGGATGACGATCGATACTATCTAGATCTGGTCAGTCTTGGCAACGGGTCAGCGGTCTCTGCTTCATTCAGTCACCCTTCGCGTTAGCAGCATTCGAAAGTCGGCGAGGCGCTCGCATCAGAATTCCCTTCGTCGTAAGTATGAAGAAGCTGCTGCGCATATTCGTTATTGTCAGTCGCAGGAAGGCTGGGGACCAAGCTATGTAAAGTCGTGCAAAGGCATCTGCCTGCATCTGCATTGTACTGCTCAGAAAAAGATTGGTAAAGGGGGTCGCTGGCCGCCAGTTTGACTAACAATCACGCTTTGCTATTTCACCTGACATCGATGACGTGTCAGTCTACGTGGCGATCGACACGTGTCAGCAGTAAATGCCGGCAGTGCTGCTGATTCAGTCACACTTCGCGCCTGCAGCATACGAAAGCTGCGACAGTACCGCTTTGACAAGTCCGTCACGGCACGATGATCGATCAGGGCGAGGCGGCTCAGCATGAAGCTGCGATCCGCCTCGCCGTCACATACCGCACTGTACAGGCGATCGTCGCTTAGCTCAACAATGAGTCTCAGCAACGCGTGCCACAGGCGAACGATCCGCGTTGCAGCCTGGCACATCGACTTCGGCGCATCGCGACTGTCTTCCGCGAGCAGGGCATCAAAGTCTCGGCAGCCCACGCACTCGATCCTTCGCCCTTTCGTATGCCTGTCAACCACGTGCTGGTTCCGCTGGAGACGGACCCGAAGAGTGAGTCGTACGCCCAGCATCAAGAGACAATCCGCCTTCAAGTCGGCACTCACCTGCACATCTTCATCGACGCGAGCTCAGACGCCGTTCGCCGTTGATGAGATGTGCGGGTGAGTGCCGACTTGAAGGCGGATTGTCTCTTGATGCTGGGCATACGACTCGCTCTTCGGGTCCGTCTCCAGCGGAACCAGCACGTGGTTGGCAGGCATACGAAAGGGCGAAGGATCGAGTGCATGAGCTGCCGAGACTTTGATGCCCTGCTCGCGGAAGGCGGTCGCGATGTGCTGAAGGCGATGTGCCAGGCTGCAAGGCGGATCGTTCGCGTGTGGCACACGTTGCTGAGACTCATTGTTGAGCTAAGCGACGATCGCCTGTACAGTGCGATATGTAACGGCGAGGTGGATCGCAGCTCTATGCTGAGCAGCCTTGCCCTGATCGATCATCGTGCCTCGACGGCAGCTCGGACGGTCTTAACGGCGGCGCTTCGGTCATCATTCGAATTGTCTCCAGCGTAGGAGTTCGATGGCATTGCTACGCTATTCCTCTGAAGCCAAACTGCTCGTCAACTCTGGCGGAGTACGAGGCGCTTCCGTATGCGCTTCGCATGCTGCTCAAACCGGACCTGCCTGTCGAAATTGACTCAGTCACGATCTACACAGATCTGGCGGCTTGCATCGACAGAGCCAGGAAAACCGGCTTTGTCGAATTGCATAAAGAGGTTGCCAAGGTCAAGCTACTGCTCAAGAAGATCGACGCTCATGCTGATCGCCCAGGCAACGAGCTCAGCGATGGCTACGCTAATCATGGTCGTGCACAGAAGCGCAAGAATGACGAGAAAACAGATCATGAGGCGAACGCCTATCTCAAGGCTAAGAGTAACCGAGGGCGTCAGTCAAGTTTCACGCGAGCCCGTGGCTCGTCTTCAAAGATCAAGCACAGCGTCGGCATGGCGTCAAAGGCGCGATCGAGCGTTGGCACTGGCAGAGGTCATCGTCTCTATTTGTTGCGCTGAGCCCCGGCGCCTTTCAAGGCTACGCGCCGATGGCCGATCCGGTCGTCTCTGCACACACCACACACCCCACACACCACACTTCAAAAGCTCACGTTCGTTTCTCTCAGCCACATCATAAAGCCGTATAATCTGTTGCCCACAAATGAACAAGTGATAGCGAGTGTCTCACATCGAACTGCTACTTGCACGAGCTCATTGGTCGATTGGAATGGTTCGACTGCCATGCGAGATGCAAGACATTCACAGGACAAAGCGCGAGCGCAATATCAAAATTGCGGCCATGGGCATGACTACTTGCGAAATGAAAGCGAATACATACAACATTGTCCCATATGAAAGTCTGCTGAGGATTTGCGTGGTCGTTTATTGGTATCGTGGGCCGTCATAACAAGCGCAGAGGGCGGGATCAGATGCTTCAAAATCGCAGTCAAATGCGATCTGGTACTCATCGCAACCAAAGATGATCTGTTCTTATGTCAGCTTCGGCATGCTCTGAAAAACGCACAAGCGTACCGGCCAGGCTCGCTCGACTGCGTGTCCGAACCATGGATCAGATGGGTCGCCTTTCTTGTGATCCCACCATGGCGGTACTTGGATGTCAGGACTTGCATGATCAGCCTGCTCGAAGTTTTCAGTGTTGCAGAGAGACCCTCCGACTTGCTTACTGTGACCTGACTGAGTATCTTCTTGTAGGCAGACTGTGCATTCCGCATGATCGCCTCGCGCGATGCAACGACTTGAGCGGACCACGAAGCCTGACACAGACGGAAGTCAGACCGCGAATAAAGCGATCAAAGAGCGAACTGACCAGCTGGGATGAGCCGCCTTGCCAGCCATGGCCAACGAAGATCTGATAGATGTCATCAAAGCCCGGAATCTCGAGTCCATTACCGAGATAGCCTTCGACACCATCCTTCATTTCGATGTAGGGCCCAAATGACATGAAGCGCGTATTCTGACGCAAGAGAGCGAATCTGGCGCCCGCCATGTTGTTCCAGCCAAGATGAGCTTGCAGGAAGATGGTATGCTTCGCCATTGCGCCCGAGTGCTGTGCCGACCGAGATCGAGGGATGTCAGGATTGAGCCAGCGCTCGGTGGCATCATAGTGCTGCAATATGTGTGAGAGATACGTTCCGCCTTCTCTGCCTCTGTTCTCGAGTTGCTGAAGCTTGTGAGGATGATATTCCATCGCTAAGGCCGTCAAGTTTGCATCTGGCGCCTTGACATAGAGATGTAGCTTTGGATTGCGGAGGTAGATGGCAGGCGCTGCGTTCAATGCAGCCCACAAGACGTGTATTCTATCGAGCGGCTCGTCGTAGTATGCTACGACGACATCGAGACTGTCGTCATACCCGTTCACCCAAGCGCGGGTTGTCCAGAGCGCGACAGGAAGCAGCGCAGCTATGAGCAGTGTAGCGAGCGCAGGCCATAGCTGCTGACTGGGACCGGATGCCAAGACTGAGCGGGCCGAATCGAGCAGAACGAGGAGTCGTTGCCTTGTGGCTGATGCGATACTACTTGCTTGCTCCAGCCGAGTCTGCCTGGCGGGCCTCTCGCCAAAGTCCAGAAATTCCTCGCTTGCATTGGGAGTCTTTGGCATCTGACTGAAACTGGTGACAAGCACAGTATAGACTGGCAAAGCCTGCGCGATGACGAGCAGGCCGGCTAGCTGGGTCGACACAGAGCTTGGCAGGGCATGCTGCAAAGCAGATATGACGATTGCATATGCGTTGGCGGGTAGCACAGTTGCAGCCGGCCAGGCAGCAATGACAGCCAGAGGTGCAAGGAGAACAAATAGCCCGACTTCGAGGCTGGCCCATTGCTGTAGATCAGCCAACACGGGCACGTTGCGATCGGCTAGATATGCGTGCGGACCGTCTGCTATCTCTCTGTTGTAGGCTTGCATGCCGTGTATACGCAAAGCAGCCACAACGATCCCGAATCCCTGTCAGGCATGCCAGACCAGTCAATCGTCATATTTGTTCGATGTGACGTGAGCACGAACCAGAACGAATGGAACAAATGAAAACGGACGGCGACCTACGCACTGAGACTCGCCGTTGAGAAGAAGTATTGAAGCCGCTTCACAGCAAGCTGCACATAAAGCGAGAAAGGTCCCGCCCGCATAAACACGACTGACGAGCAACAGTGAGACAGTGAGCGCTCCGACGAGCAGGACGATTGTCTTTGTAGCTCTCGTGACGTCTCTGTAGCCGTTGCCGGCCTCGAAGTTCTCTCGGTGCGATCTGAGCGAAATGACGAGACAGACCGACAAGGCCTGTGCATCAGCATGAGCGCGGCACAAGTGACCTTCAAGAGTGACGCACCTTGAAGCTGATCCACGTAGGAAAATCGAGCCTTGTGGCTGCAAAGATCGAGCTCGCGAGCCAGATCGCTTTGAGTATGCCGGCGAGTGCGACCCGCCAGGAGATGAGGCTCAGCACTATGTCCTTGAGCAGGACTAGCCCTCGTTGCTGCTCATCAGTCGTCGAGCTGTAGGCCATATAGACCTGCACAAAGACCGCGGGCACCGAGGCTACGAGCAGCCAAGGGAAAAGCAGCTTGTAGACATCGCATCCTTGTCTGAATAGAAAATGGTAGCCTAACAGCGATGCGCCTTTGTAAATCGCGAGGGACGAGTGCGCACTGGCGGCGACATAAGCAGACGCCAGTAGAGGACCATAGGATCCCAGCACGAGGCGAACGACTTTGGCCGGCAGAGTCGTGGGGTCGCGGCTTGCTGTTGGAGACAGCCTGACACTGTGACTGGGAGAATAGCCGTTGGTGTGGGACCCGGGCGATTTCTCACTGGAGAGGCTCGTCGAGAGCAAGCTATAGCTGCCCATGCTCGCCGCTACGTCCTCTTGCTGCACATGCCGTTGATCGCGCAGTGTCAACTGCGCGGCGCCGAAGAACAACTTTGTCTGCGATCGTATTCACACGCGACGCGGAGACGTCATCATACATTGCCGGCTGGCCCATTACAGGCGCAAGCTTGCAAGGACACGCATGCCGCTGTCTAGCTCGTCCTGTGCGAGGGGAATCACGCCCAGCAGGCTAGACCTGAGACTGATCAAGTCTGGTGCCTGGTCTGCACTCGCTTCGATGAGCGCGACGAGCGTCATCTGTCCTACTGTCGTGGAACTGAAGCCAGCATCTGCCTCTATGAGATCAATAGGTGCACGCTGACACCACGAACGATGCTGACCGTGTGTAAAGAGTCTGATATTGTGATGAAAGCGTCTACCGATAGATGACCAGACGGAGGCCTGAGTGAGCGACAGCTGCTGAAGTTCGGGGACAGTGTTGTAGATTTCGTCGCCGTAGGCCTGTGGGGTGGGCTGTGTCAGGATAGCATAGCCGCCCAGAGCGAGTAGCTCGCGCTCAATGACCTGTTCCCAAACCTGTCAGCGAGCGAGCAGACGACGAGCCGAAGAGAAGCTACTGACGGCAAGATGATGCATACGCGTGTTTGCGGCCGGACAGATAGTTGCGAACCAGCGCAGCTCGAGCGAGACGAGTGGTTCGCTAAAATCGAGGATGAACTTGCATGACAGCGAAAGACAGGCTGTGGCCAGAAGCCAGAGTGCGGAAGATCTAGATCTATTGTCGTGTGCAGAGGCGCAGCGAGCTGCGAGCCGGCTGAACATCCGATTCGCAAGCCAGCGTGCCTCGTGCGGCACCCTGAGCCAGCCTCCAGAGGCAGGCCTGACGTCAACCTGCGATGACTCACATAATCAACATGCAGCTAGCACTTGCTCTTCGCGTTAACGCACCTCATAGAGCCACTTGGAGATGATCAAACGCTCTCTGTTGGTCAGAGCAGAGATGGCAGAGGTCTCACTGGAGGTGCCAGAGTCGACGCGATCTCGACGGATGAGATTGACGATGCGCTTCAGAGATACATTGCGTTGCTCTTCTGCAGATTGTTCCGACCCTGCGTATGCCACGATCTCAACAGTCTCGCCGGACTGGTGGACGCTCGACGGAGAAACTCCAGCAGTTTGCGAAGCTTCTTTCGCTGAAAGGCCGGTGCGACCTTTCCTGGGCGCTGTCGGGAGCAAGGCTTCACGAATGATCTTCTCCGCGGGTGTCGTTGGCTCGTGCAGCGACAATGAGCTCCTCTCGGGGAGTCTAGAGCATAGCTGGACATTGAGAGAATGAAAGCGTTTCTTGCAGAGAAGACGAGTCTGCTTGGCTGCCCGCACGGAGCTGAATCGTTGGGTACAGACGATCGTCGTACGCCGTCTTGGGAGAGCCATGAATGCAGATGCGTTGGTCGTGGCAGGAGTGAGAGACAGATGTCTTTCGGTTGCCTCAAGATAAATGGAAGACGCGCTTTGCCGCCTCCACAGCTTCAGCCGTGCCGGTGATCTGCAATACGCTCGATCAGATCGCGCTGAGATTCTATTGCGGGATCCTCGCCTACCTTGGACGTCTCATCAGATATCTTGACGCAGGGCTTGCCATCTGCCGTCGCGAGCTTGATGACAATGTTGAGCGCGGTACTCGGCTCGCCTTGACGGATATTGCCTTCCCCGTACGAGGCGGGATCTCTAGAGTCGGATGCCACTGCGACGAAATCGTTGGTGAAGTATGTGCCAATGCCAAAGCTGCATCTGATGCCTGCTTCCTCAGATGCTTTCTGTAATCGGACCGCTTTGTCGATATCGAGCGAATCGGAAAAGACAATCACTTTGTTGCTGAAGTCTATGTCTGCCTTGCGATATGCCTCTATTGCGAGAGGAATGAACGCAAATGGATCCCCAGAGTCTTGTCGAAGCCCGGTCCAACGCTGTACTCGAGCAGGCTCCCCAACGAAGGCCTCGAAGAATGCAGCCGAGGTGAACGTATCCGTCAGAGCGATCGAGAGCTGTCCATTGGGATAGACCGTCTCCCATTGTTCCAGTACGAGCGTGTTTGCCTTTTCAAGTCCTTGCATTGCTCCAATAGCCATGAAGAGTTCGTGCGCGAGGGTGCCGACTGGCGTCAGACCGAGCTTATGCGCAAAGTGGGCGTTCGAGCAGCCCGAGAACTTGCCCTTGAAGCCCTTGTCCTGGAGATCTGCCTGTGCGGCCATCAAGCCGCGAAGGACGATCTCCTGAGACTGGTAAGAGCGTCTTCGGCGCGCACCAAAATCGCTGACTGCGAGACCCATCGTGAGTCATGCGTCAACAAGATCTGAAGGAGGAGAATGCGCACAGATGCAGCCGTTCTTGATGAGTCGCTCAGCTTTCGAGTACGCAAGCGCTGATATCAGCACATCAGCATCTGCTCGACAACCGCGTTCGAGCGAGTCCACCTTTTTGGCCGACGAGGTCCCAGTCTTTGTCTACGTGCAGAAAGTAGCCTTGAGAGATGATGGAGATGATGGGCACTTCGTACAAGATCGTGTCCAGCCAAGTGCCGCGTATCTCGAGATCAATCGCGCCCTTGTCCGAATTGGAGATTGGCTGCCAGGCCAGCTTGATCTGCTCACGTGGACGGAGCTGAAACGTCGCAAGCCAGTCGAGATAGTCGGACTGAAAGAATGGCAGTCGAGACAACCATCCTTTCTCTTCCGTTGTGAGACGCAATGACTCCAATGCTATGTGTGATCTCTCCTGAGCCTGGTCGAGAACAATCAACACTCCGGCTACGGACCATTGATCTTGTCCTCTATCCATGCAAAGGCCTGCTTGGTGAATGTTCTATCCGAAGTCCGGTTGGTGAACTTGTAAGACACTTGTACGTCGGGATAGAGCCGATAGACAAATTGTGACATTGTCAGCTTGTACAGGTCCGTATCGCTAGCCAGCCAAGGCCTGGACATCAGCCCCGAGTGGATCGCATGGATCTTGGAGCGTACATCAAGCTGACAGGATAGTCCGCCATGGTCATCATGAGGGGGGGGCAGATCCGATCGGTTCTTTGGCTTCGAAGCGAGCGAACGGCCGCGTCGCCGGTCTTGCGCACTTGCACGAACGAGGCAGGAACTGGACTCGTCAAGGCAGTGAGCTCATGGGCACGCACTCGGACTGAGGCCGCACGCTACCCTCGCTCCTTCTGACGGGACAGAAGGATGCAACAGCTCACAAAGTAAGCCACAGGAGCTCATTGGCATTCGACCAGTCGCACAGCACAATACGCTGACATAGCTGCCCTCGCTTGCTCCCAGTGGTCTCGGCGGAGCTCGCAGATCACCGATAGATCACCGCGAAGCTGTCCTGCCAGCTCACGATGTCGGCGTGGCCGAACCTGATGATCCCGTCGTCAGAGTAGCCCGACATGGCATGCCTTTGTCGCCTCCAGGCTCCATTCCAAGCTCGAGCGTCGTCGGCAGACCACGCGCAGGCACACTGCCTTCCTCTTTCTTCTCGGCCGGTTCCGGCTTCCTCGAGCTGCCTCCCTCGCACTCACGTGGCCGTTCGCCCGTCGGACTGCGCGTGGACGATGCAAGCTCGAGCAGGGATCCTTCCCGCTCGCCGTCAGTTGCCCAGCAGACACTCAATGCCCTCAGATCAGATCTCGTCAGACCAAGCTCATCCGTCGACTTGACCTCCATGGTCATCACGAGAGACCGTTCGGGCTCCGTCGGCAAACCTACCATTGGGGCAGTCTTTGGCGACGGACTCTTCTCTGGTCGTTGGACGCCGCAGACACAGCCGTCTCCTCTCGTCCCTCGGAGCCGGCAGGAAAGCTCAGAGGACCCCATGCCGCTCAATAGCGCACTCGAGCCGGAGCCAACGCATGTTCATACTCTTGACTATCTTGGACTCAACGACGCGCCGAGCCAGCCAGCGAATCCTTCACCCGCTGAGGATGCTATCCTGGCACAAGCAGCGCAAGACCTCAGCCAGGAGATCCTCGCTGCCGCGCGTCAGAATCGCTTGCGTGCCCAAACAATGAGCGCTGCCGCCGCCTTGCGCGCCATCGAGGACGATCTGAGACAGACCCGCATCAATGGCACCTCGCCCGAACTCGCGCGTCAGCATCGCACAGCTGTCTCTGCCGACTTTGTCAATAGTCGAGAAACTTCACCTGTAGAGGAACGTCACAGATTGCCCAGTCCCGCTAGCTTGCTGCCAGCGCTACGCGAACAAGTCATGGTTGCAGAGGCGCGCACAGGGAATGGTTTGGCAGAACCGAGGCTTCTGCCTACCTCTGTCATCTCTCGCCCAAGGGCAGCTACTATGCTGCCTGATGGTCCCGTTCAGCAACAAGCGATCACGCGTCCCAGAGCGGGCACGGCTAGCGCACTTTCACCCGAAGGCAAACGTCGAATGATGCAAGCACAGGCTATGGCTGCTCAAGAGTATAATCTCAGCTCGAGCGAGGCATCACTCAGTCCGACAGAACCTGTCTCTGGCTATGCAGACGAAGACTATCTTCAGTCAGCGCCTGAGCAAACATCATTCTACGAATCAGACCGGCCAACCTATGATAGCCAGGATCGAATAAGCTCAGGCCACTCACCGAGTCCTCAACCCGGCAGAACGCTTTGGCTTGGGTCTCTGCCATCAAGCGTCAGCTCGGGCGAGTTGACCCGCATCTTGTCAAACTATGGCGCGCTCGAGTCGGTCAGGGTATTGCCTCACAAACAATGCGCATTCTGTTCTCTGTCGACCGCCGAGGAAGCTGAACGAGCAAGACTAGCGCTCAATCAGTCAGAAATCTTTGGGCGAGACCATGGACCGATCAAGGTCGGGTATGCTAAGAATCCGACTGCCATGCGCCCCTCGAGATCACAGTATGAGCATCTGGAAGTAGGACCACCAGCGATGATTCACCGTGTACCCTCATTATACGCATCGGACTCGTACGGCCTGCCCCTGGTGGCTATCGATATGAACGCGATGCCATTAGGTCAAACGTTCAGCGATCGGCCAATCCAACAAACGCGTCTGAGCCCTTCGATCGTGCCATCGCGGCTTTCGCCTGCGCCTAACTCATCCCACGCGCAGCAGCCGGCCAGAACCGACATCGTTTCATCAGAGGAGCTGCATCGCATTGCTGTCGGCCTCGCCGAAAGTCCTACCGAGCTGAGCTTGCTCGAGGTCCAGCCCTCAAAGGCATCCTACTATCCTTCAATTACAGCCAACATGCTCGCAGAGCTGCAGCAGTCTAGTAGGAGAGCACAGATGGATGCTACGACTTTGCGCGAAATCAGACGATACCTCGAGGCCCCGGAGGCGACCGGCGAAGATGCAGACGAGACAGCTCACAAGCTCATGCTTGATGCGGTGTCGATCGCGAGCGACTACATAGGTAACACGGTCACGCAGAAGCTGTTCGAATTATGCTCGCTACCTGTGCGACTTATGATGCTCGAGAGGATTGCGCCTCATCTCGCAATAATCGGATCCCACAAAAACGGCACATGGGCTGCTCAAAAGATCATCGCTTGCGCGACAACGCCTGATGAGAGGACGGTCATCTGCAGGCATATGGCTGCCTGGATTCCGGCTCTCTTGCTCGACCAGTTCGGCAATTACGTCGTCCAAGGCATCGTCAAATTTGGCGCTCCAGCCAATGGGATCGTCTTTGATGCGATGTACGATCGCTGCTGGCAGATCGCACAGGGACGCTTTGGCGCGCGCGGCATGCGCACTTGTCTGGAAAGCTCGATGAACACACGCTTGCAACAGGTAAGTCTATCTTCCGGCCAGCTTTCTACCGAATGCTGATGTTGAAGGACCTTACCTTGCAGAAGCGAGTCGCACTTGCCATTATCACGAATGCCGTGCCACTTGCAATGAATGCCAACGGAACCTTGTTGCTTACTTGGCTACTCGACTCCTCTTCTCTAAGCCAACGATATGCATTGCTGGCGCAGCAACTTGTACCTCACTTGTCCCAGCTCTGTACACACAAGACTGCTGCATCGACGCTCACTCGCATCCTTTCGCAACGGCTTGACCTCACTGCGCTTCAAATTGTCGTCACTGGTTTCCTGCAACTGTCGCCTGCCGCGCTCGATCAGGTCCTGTCAGATCAAGTCCATGGCGCTGCAGTCGTTCAGAAGATTCTCTCCCAAGGACTCGCAGAAGACTACCAACGCAATGCTGCCGTTGCAGCTGTTCGAGAAAGCATGCAGCGCCTCGGCATTAGCGATTTGCCAGGCTACGCCAGATTGGCAAGCGAGGTCGGCCTACAGAGTGCGCAAACGCCGCGTCAGCCTACTGTCCGTGCCGGCAAAGGAGCTTCTGGACGGTCAAGTCCCGGAAGAACCGGTTCGACGCATGTGTACCATGCCGGCCAGAGCTTTCAGCCATTCTACACGCCGCCGCCAGAGGCGTACAATCATCTCGAAGGGGCAGCTTACCATCATCATAGACACGCTGCCCCGGACCATCTTTACAGGCACACTTGAAGCCTACTAGACTGCCAGAGCATGCGCCGGCCGCGAGCACAAAACTTGTACACAATCAGCCTCAGGAACGGCTCATCTGCAAGCTGACGAAAAAGAACGACGAAACCATCTGAACTGCGAGAGGTCCTCATAGAGACCCATCGAGACAGCATCATTACTCATCTTGTACGAAAGCAAAGCTCTCATTGCAGCATGTTTGGACGAAGTGAAGACGTGTGGGTGAAAACGAAGACAATGTGATGCTCGGCTGACTGTACAACGTTACGAGAAGCCTTGCCTAGGCAGATGGCTCGCTGATATCTCCTCTCATCCATGCAACCTGTGAAGTCTGCTTAGGACTATATGAAGTACAGGACCCAGCGACAGACTGACGTGCGGAAGGGGGCGTTGTGAGAATCAGAAGACTTTGCAGCCTTTCTTCTTCTTTGTCACTGGCGGTTCTAGGGCTGCCACGATGGCTGAGATGACAAAAGAGCCTGATGAGCGATGTCAAGCGATCTAAAGAGGCAGGCGCTGACCTTCGTCAAAGACGTTCTTGAGACCTTTCTGGGTCAACGCAGAGCATTCGACGTATTTGACGGCGCCCAGTTCGCGAGCGAGTCGTTCGCCTGCCTCTGCACTGACGGGACGCTGACGCTGCTTTGCCAACTTCTCGAGCACAGATGGGTCGTCTCTCAGATCGACTTGAGTACCAACGATGAGGCAAGGGACGCCGGGGCAGTGGTGATGTACTTCTGCGAACCACTTTTCCCTGACGTTCTCGAACGAGGAGGGCGACGTGACGGAGAAACAGACGAGGAAGACGTCTGTCTGCGGGTATGATAGTGGCCGAAGTCGATCGTAGTCCTCTTGACCTGCAGTATCGAATAGGCCGAGCGTGTACGGATCATCGCCGATCATGACTGTGACCGCATAATTGTCAAAGACGGTGGGAACGTATTCGCTCGGGAATTTGTTTGTCGTGTAACTATCAGACGAATCACAAAGGTCAGCTCACCCAGGGCGCACAGGCTCGAATGACTTGCGAGATCAAGAGACATGTCTGTCAAAGCTCTCTGCTGCATCAGCGCTGAGTCCTTCACTGAGTGAGAGAGCAGGGAGTGACCTTTCCGACGGCACCGTCACCAACGACGACACATTTGATGGTCTGCATACCTCGTATGTCACGAGATTCGGCTGGTGCGCTCGCTAGGCAAAGAGGGCAGTATCGAAGTGTCGGCTAGCTGCAGATCGCTCTGACTGTGTGAAATGCCGTGCGACTAGACAGCACCTGATCGCTAAGTAGATGGTGAAGAACCAAGCGACTGGACGGTTCGTGTAGATACTGCCACGATCTCGACCGAAATTATGAAAGGCGTCTCACTTCTCGCGTCTTCTGCTGTCCAGTACAGGCCGAAGTGGATCTAGAGACGTAGGAGTTGGCCTACGAGGCAGCAGCGAAGACGAGATCGGTCGCGGAACACAGCAAAAGGCGCCAAGATTGAGCCGAATGCTCAGGCCGTCCGAGACCTCGCGAGTGAACAGCTGACGCGACCTGGAGCGTCGTCTCTCGGATACGGCCTACCGCTGTCTGTTCTTGGCTGGCTTGATGTGACTGTGACCCCTGTGAAGCGTTGCTGTCGTAGCCGGCGACGAGGGCGCGATTCAAGTGATATTCAAGATTTTCGTCAAACGGTGGCTGCTCGGCAAATTCTCGCGAGGCAGAGGCAAAACCGAGTTGCTAGCTTCTGTTGCTCTCGCTTACGAGATAAAGACGATCATGTCGGCTTCAGAACTCGCAACGACCTATGCTGCCCTCATCCTTGCCGATGACGGCATCGAGATCACGGCAGACAAGCTCACTGCGCTCGTTCAGGCGGCAAAGGTCGATGTCGAGCCCATCTGGTGCACTCTGCTCGCAAAGGTCCGCCAAAGAGCCCAGTAGATGCTACGAAATCTAATATAGAAACCTCATGCAGGCGCTAGAAGGCAAGGACGTCAAGGACATGCTGTCCAACGTTGGCGCGGGAGGTGCTGCTGCGCCTGCTGCTGCCGGTGCCGCACCTGCTGCCGCGGGTGGTGCCGCTGCTGAGGAGGAGAAGAAGGAAGAGAAGAAGGAGGAGGAGAAGGAAGAGTCCGACGATGACATGGTAAGCTCTTTTGCGCAGTACTTGCACGCCCGGCGGTGTCTCATCCCATTGACAGGGCTTCGGTCTCTTCGATTAAGCCTCAAGCTTATGCTCCTTGTATACGATGCATGTCGTTCGTATCCTCGATCACTAACGTGAGGCTTGCATTCCAACGCTAGTCTTTCAAATCGGCTAGCATGGCGAGGGTACGCTCAAAGACCCGACTGGCCCTTTCGTGCTCCTTCTGCTTCGCTTCCCGCCGGTCTTGCACATCGAATTTGACATCTTGGACTTCATCAAGACGGGCAGTCTGCTCTCGCGCCTTCACGGGAGGCCCGGAAATCAGCTCGAGATCCGAGTCGCTATCCTCATCGACTTCGATGGGGCCTGCAGCGCTTGCTTTGTCGACATGATTTTGCAAAGGCGCAAAGCTCGCTATGAGCATCTCGCGTAATGATATGACGAGGTTTAGCAACCTCACCCGATCAGTGACCGTCAGACCCGGCCCACGATCATCCACCTCAACCGCCTGACCCGGCCGTCGCGTCCTGTCACTGCTCGTTCCTTTCGCTACCGCCCAGGGTGCTCCTGGCATGATGGCATCTGACCATGCAAAGTCAAGCTCGTCCAGAAAGTCGAAGAGGGTGTCGCGTTCGCGCTCAGGCTCAGCTTCGAGTACGCCGGGATGGGAAGTCAGCGCATCGGTGAGATCGCCGAGCAGCCGAAGCAGGTAGGCAGAGCGCAGCTGACCTGACCTGCCGAGCGCGGGGATGCCGAGTATAAAGTCAAAGAGTCGCTCGAATGCAGAGATGAGGTTCATCAACTGTGCCAGTGGCGCGTCAGGCAACTGCCTGATGGACACATCTTCAGCGCGCGTAGCAGGCTGGTCTCGGCGATGATGCACCTCTTCTTGAGCTTTCGGTTGAGCTGAAGGAACTCTGCGTCGAGATAATCGATCAGCCGTGTCTCTTGCCTTGGCGTCAGAGCGGCTCGTATCGGCGCAACCGCTGGCTTGATGTCGTCGCTGATAGCATTGCTCGGCTCTGTCTGATCATGTCGACTTGCTCTGAGTGCTCGGCTGTCGACGATGAAGCCGCCTGACATTGACAAGCTCGACGGCACGCGGAAATTTGGCGCCTGGCTCGTCTCTCTGTGTCGGACCTGGCCAGCGCTTATGACGCTACTCAAGTCTCGCATAGCACCCATACTGCGTGTGCGACCGACCCTCCAACCGCTCGACAGTACGAGAACCATCGGCAGCTCGGTCAGCAGGCGCAATGTTGACAATGACGCAACCGTCGCCCAGGCATCTCACAACGACGTCAAGCTCTTGCCTTGGAATGAATACCTCCGCCTGAGGCAAGCATGTGTTCTCTGTAGGAGTGATCGGCTGCTCATGTACATAGCAGGAAGAGCCAGAGACGCTTCAATCTGCTAGCATCAATACCGACAACAGGGCTAGGTTTGGCCTCTGGCGTTGGCTACTTCGCCTCACGTGAGACCGACCCGTCAACGCTGATCCTAGGCCTGGAGCCCGTCTATGCCTACGCGATAGCCACAGTAGGATGTGTCGCTCTCGGCTGGCTGAGCGGGCCAGCGTTCGGCACGTTCATCTGGCGATTGACACACTCGAAATTGATCCAAGCCATGGAACTGCGAGATCGCGACTTCTTTGCCCACATCGCCAGGAACAGGGTCGATCCGCATGGCCGCCAGAGTGTTTCCAATCCGGTACTTTATCTGGATCTGCTTGCATTGCTAAGCTAACGCGCTCTGACAGTGCGCAACACAACTTGATCGCTTCCGTTCGCGACGCTGACTGCATTTATACAGGACACCCGACTATTACGCGGAGAAAGTTGGCTCCATCAAGGACTATCGTAGATGGCAAGTTGCTCGACTTGCACCTGACAGAATGCTCATTGATCGAGCAGGTTACGGGATCAGAACGCTTTCAGGAGGAAAGCCTTACATGGCGCAGAGGAGGCAGGCCTGTAGTGTCTTATATCATCGATGCAATGTATGCGACTCTCGTGTCGCTTCAGAAGGACTCGGTGCTCAGGACACTTCGCTGCGCATCGAGCAGGAGTGCGATACCTCTGCCTCTCCATACTGCAGCATGTCTGCCTGATGTGATGCCGCCCGACCAGAGTTCATAGCCCGGCATGTAACGCTCGACGAACAGCTTGACCTGCTCGTCCGACATACCTGCGCCCTTGGCAGCCAAGAGTGAATGTTCTTGCTCGATTCGCCAGAGGAAAATATCGTCCAATTTGCTCGCTCGGAGCTGTACGAATGCGTGGAAATAAGGATAGATTGCATCGGCAGCTTGCGAGAGGTTGTGATTGAGCTCGCGCAGGTGCTCAATGGCATATCGCTTGTAGTATGACCGCTCTGCGTTCGCTTCGTTGTAGCGCGATTGCAGCTCACCCTCGCTGAGGGGTGCAAAGCCCATGCTCCAGCCTTCGAGCACAAAGATATCGAGAGGACCGGAGACGTGTCGCGCTGATGCTGATCTATCGCCTTTGCCGGAATGCAATGACTTGTCGAAGAGGGGCAGCTCGAGCGAGTCTGCGCCATTCTTGACCTGGTCGAGTATCTGCCGCGCCAGGCTCAGATCATGTGTGCCAGCCTGACCACGTCCGGATAGCAGTGGATTCCTGCTACGACGGGCAAGCGCGTCGAGTTGCTCACGAGGCAAATAGAGATCTGTACCGACATTTTTCAAGCGAGCTCGCGCTGTGTCTCAAAGCGTGACTGACCGTCAAGAGAGAGCGTAGCGACTCGGAGCGAGTGAGGCGGAGAGCTGAGCGTCCGTTCGAGCTGGGCGCACAGAGTCGTCTTGCCGGAGCCTTGACCGCCTTGCATGGCTATACAGAGACAGCGAGAGCTCGACTGAGTTTGCCGCCATTCAATCAGGACTTCGAGGACATGCTTGACCACTGTGTCTCTGGCGAGCGGCATGTCCATGTGAGAGGTTGAGCAGCTCTGAAGATTGACATTGGCCTGAAACGCGTCGGCCGACCTTGCCGCCCTGCGCATTGATATCGACCATGGCCAAGGCGTGCCCTCGTATGTGGCCCCACAAACACATCAGAAGTATGGCTGACGTATGTGCGCTTCTTCAGGATGGCGACAGGCGCTTGGCGAGCTGGCAGGCATCAATCCGTGGCCCGTCAGCCTTGCGCTCGACAAGAATCTCTCCGGCAAGGTCGCATTGATCAGCGGGGGCAATCAAGGCATCGGCTATTGCGTAGCTCAAATGCTACTGCGCATGAGAATCTCTCGTGTCTATATCTGTTGCCGAAAAGGTCATCCCAACGAGCCTGAAGAATCACAAGTCCTTGCGGGCCTGGTTGCCTCGACAGGCGCAAGCAAGGAGCAGATCTTCTTCGAGCATGTCGACTTTGCAGACTTTGCATCCGTCAGAGACCTTGCAAAGCGTTTCCGCGATACCCATCAGCCGCTCGACTTGCTCTTCAACAATGCAGGCATCGCATCGCCCGTCAGAGCGAAAACTAAGGACGGCTTCGAGCTACACTATGAGATCAACTACCTATCACACGCATTGCTGACACTCGAGCTGCTACCGTGCCTCAAAGCAGCACCTGCCGCTCGCATCATTTCCACTTCATCCTGCTTGCACTGGAAGGGCGGCGACATTAACTTTGACGATCTCAATCTGGATCACTTCCCTGACAGCGAATGGAGTTTTCCCAAAGGCCGCTTTCTCGAGGCTTACGGTCAGGCCAAGCTTCTCCTCGCTGCATTCAGTGCCGAGCTGCAGACGCGTCTGCTAGAGCAAGACCCAAATTCGAGGGTCCTGACGTTCGCCGTGCATCCGGGTCACGTTCACACAGCCATCTTTACTCAGAATTATTCACGGGATGCGATGGTCCTGACTGCTTTCATCTGGATTGCCACAAGAGTGGCGATCACACCCTACGAAGGAGCCAAGTCGCTCGTCAAATGCGCAGTCTCAGACGAAGACGATAGAGCAACACGAGGCGGACGTTATTTCAACCGTGGCTGGGAGGCAACGCCTCGCGCGGAAGTCGAGATACCACTCTTCCGGCGAGAGATTTGGCAACAGACCATCAAAGACCTTGGCTACCACCCCAGCACAAGATTGTTGCATTGACATCGTAGCAATCTAGCGACAAACGGCGCGCCAATGTACATAGCAACACGAGATCATGGAGACAATACAAGCAACAGTTTACATAATCAGAAGCCTTTGGCTCTCTTCCTTGGCTGTCGCGCAGCGTGTTTGCCTGGTACGAATTGAGACGCTATCTGCAACGTAGAAGCTTGCTGAGAAAGCTGAGCAAATTGACTGGCTGACTCTTCAGGTATCTGCGTGCTTGCGACACCATTGCTCTGCGGCATCTCTATCGGCAGATCTGGCAGCTTTGCAATCGCAACAGGCAAAGGCGTCCGGCGAAGGGGGCGCGTCGGCTTCCGATCCTCTTGCATGCCCTCGCTGGCTTCTCGCGTGGCAGGTGCCGAGCCAGGCTGCCATTCTGACAGCAAAGATCTAGCGAGTAAGCCATCTATGCGACGCCGATCTGCGAACGTATCGCTGTCTTCATCTTCCGAAGGGATTCGCGGAACGAGCGCTCGGAAGTGGTAGGGCGCCGCTTCCTCGCCCCGAGCGCGCTCTTGATATATCGTCGCAGGACCTTCCGGCGCGATCGGCGTTACACCGAGCGCAGAGAGCTCGAGATCGAGTTGGATATCCTTCTCTAATCTATCGAGGACCACAGTCGATCTAGTTTCCTTCTCCTGTCTCGCACGCTTTTGAGCTATGCCAATGCTTGCAGACAGTAGCGAGCTGCTATCCGAGGCTGCCATCGGGATAGGTCGAGGCACACCTACGTCCTCGTTCTCATTGAGCTGCCTTCTCCAGTCCCACGACGTCGAGCTGAGCAGCTGCGTCGAATGCAATCTGTCCGAGTTCGTCAGAGCAGGCTGCTGAGACGCTTCCAGTCGACTCGCAAGCTCATACCAGGTACTACGTCCGCCATATGCGTGAAGATCCATCCTTTCGGAAGTCTCTCGCGGGGTCCTCTCTTCTGGCTCGAGATAACATTCGTCGCACATGCCCGTCGAGATTTCATACAGTCCGCGCAAGTTGACAAGGGTGGCAAGTCGACGTTCTTCGTTCGTTCTCGCCAGGTTGCGCATCCCCAGTTCGGTCTCTGTGTCAGCATGCAGATCGTTTACAGGTGCGGGAACGCTGTGGCGGCGATGCGGATCGCGCGGGATTACTTGAGCTCTGGTCACTGAGCCGTCCTTGAAGCTCTCGTAGAGATGAAGCACGCCATCTGAGTCAGACAAAGTTGTAACGCCTGTGCGCAGCAAGGATGTGCTGACACCTTCGATAGCTCTGGGTAACGAGTCGATCTGGAGCATCATATCGGAAGTACGCTCGACGAGGTAGGTTGTCATCAGGCGGCTTGCCGGCGTCCAGAGTGCTATCTTTTGCTGTTCTTGCCGCTCTGTGGGTATATTGACGAGGGACCAGATGGCTGTAGGCTCCTTGTGATGCTCGCAGCTGAGCAAGGGACGTCGAGACATGCGCTGATCCAGCCAGAGAATGTTGCGGTCGCTCATGATTGCGATTTGAGCCCGATCTGCATCTAGACTCATGTCATGCAGCTTACCGCACTGGTCAGCAGCATCGAATAGGATCGTGCCACTGCCGGGACCAGCACGCAAATCGTAAGTTCGCAGGCTTGAAGCTGACAGCATGAGAGCTCTTTGTTCGTCGGCATAGGCAATTCTACGCGTCGGCATGGCCGAATCGTCCTGCTCGTCTGCTCGACACAGCAAGGTAGCGATCCCGCTTGAAGGCGCAGTTGAAGCAAGCGCAGGCAGCCGCTGGATGTTACAGGCATGCGCAGAGCCATCGAGCGCCAACACAATCGCTTCACCAGAATCAGCAGCAGACACGGCAGCGTCTGCATGTGTCATCCCGCCCAGCGTGGCACTCTGTCGCAAGTAGCGCGGCGGTCCCTGATCAGACACAAAGCAGGTACCACCATGAGTGACAACGGCAAAGGTAGGCTGTTCTGAACGGTTGACGACGACGCGACGGATTGGCAGTCTGAGCTCGAGGCTCGTCCGGACACACCGGGATGATTCTGCAAGCGAAGGCCAGTTGAGGAAGCGGAGAGATGAGCCTGATGGTCCGCCATGGGAAGCAATGACTCTGTAGCCATTCGCGCCTTGCCAGCTGGCTATAGTCTGCGGCGTAATGTATTGCTGCCGCTGGGTCTCGAGCTGATCCTCGAGCATGTACTCTGCCAGGAGATCGTCCTCGATGAGCGCACTACCGATGCGAGCTTGGACAAAGTTTATCTGGTCTCTGTCGATTGAGCACAGGCCAATGCAGATGTACGAGAGCGCACGAGTCTCTGTCGATCTCTTGGGCGATTCAGCAAGGCAACCTGTGCCGAGATGGGCGGGAACTGTGCTATCGAAGCGGCGGAGACCTTTGCTGGAGCATGAGCGTACAGCGCACGATCTACAGCTCTACATGAGCCCTGTCGGGCGCAGTTGACATGCAATAGCTCACCGTTCAGCTCCGTCCTGATGTGATCCCATCTGAGCCTTTGTTTGCCGACGCCGCTCAGTGATAGCCTTGCAATGTTGTTGGACAGGCCGACAGAGGGGCTGTCTGCTGGCCATCCGTCCATGTGACCTCATTGCGTCGTTGTCATCGAGCAAGCTCAAGGGCTCAAGAGCAACAGGCGCGTCGTCTCTTCCTGTCGTCCTGCAGAGCGTCATGTCGAAACTCAAGAAGAAGGCGCTGCTCATGGGCCGCTCAGGTACTTGATCCACGACAATGGCTCAGCTGGAAGCTCAGAGCGAGTGTCAGGCTCGGGCAAGACGTCCATGCGGTCCATCATCTTTTCGAACCAAGTTGCTCAGGACACTCGCCGTTTGGGCGCCACAATCGACGTAGAAGCCACCAACATCAAGTTCCTCGGCGAGATCTCCCTGAATCTGTGGGACTGCGGCGGTCAAGAGAGTCAGACATATCACCTCATGCGCCGAGGATCAGCATTGATGGAGCACGCAGGTTTCATGGACTCTTTCCTGTCATCACAGAGGGACAGTATCTTCAGAGACGTTCATTCGCTAATTTACATCTTCGACGTCGAGTCCAGTCAGTTTTCGACACTCGACATGCACTATTTCGCAGAATGCCTCTCTGCCCTGCGCGCCAATAGCGGCGCTCCCAAGTCCACGTCATCAGCAGGACCGATGGTCCACGTACTCATACATAAGATGGACCTCGTCCCCACGACATCTAGACAGGAGGTCTTTGCCAAGCGAAGCGAAGAGATCCGATCGAAATGCAGAGAATACGACTGGCAGGATGTCAGGATATTCGCGACCAGTATCTGGGATGAGACGCTCTACAAGGTTCGTTCGCGCCTCAGCGTGAGAATTCTCTTGGCTGACTTTCGAGTGGAAGGCATGGTCACATCTCGTATCGACCTTCATACCCAATGTTAATTCGATCAGATCCCATCTGACTCGATTTGCCGGTTTGTGCCAAGCCGACGAAGTCGTTCTCTTCGAGCGGACGACGTTTCTCGTGATCAGTCGTTCCACCCTCAACTCTGACGAGCCCGACTCGCTCAGTGTCGCCCAGCGACGGCCGCCAACATCCGAGCAATGGGAGGCCGAACGATTCGCAAAGATCAGTCAGTTCGTCAAGACTTTCAGGTTGAGCTGTTCGACTGCCTTGCGGTCTTCCTTCCAAACGATGGAGATCAAGGAAGCGTCCTACTCTGCCGTCTTTGAAGTCTTGACTGCGAATACATACATCCTCGTCGTTAGTACCAATCCAGATGTGCAGCCCGCCGGCCTCTTGCTCAACATCAAGCTAGCGCGGCCGCACTTTGCCCGCTTGCAGGAGACATCATGGGGACTGCGTCAGTAGTACTGTCTGATCTTGTTGTTGTACCTTTTGTCGTCATATATGATCTCAACTTTGAGAATGTCAGGGCCCGGCTGGCCAGGCCGGCCAGGTCGCGTCGCGTGCTTCTGGCGACAGCAAGCGAAGAGGCACTACTCACTTTTGCGAGAGTCACTCTCGCGCTCATATGCTAGACAGAGGGCCTCAGCCGCAGCCTGTTGATCCGTCTGCAGTATACAAGCCATCTCCATCCCAGCGCATCGAAGCCTTTTATGCTGTCGCCAGCGGGAGCGCGCCCAATGACGGCATGCAAGCAGAAACCGGTCCTGCTGGGGCTGGAAGGACGGCAGCGCTTAGCTCGAGCGATGTGCAAATAAGCATTGACCCCAAACGGCAAGCGACTGGTGGCGCGGAGACGATCAGCAACCGAAGTAGCTCTGGAATGACTGACGAGATAGCGGACGGTTCAGACCAGCCTGGCCAAAACAGACATGCTGATACTTCCGTCACGACGTTGAGCTCGAGCACAAGCTTGAACACGACGAATCTACAGACTGCCCTGTCTCCTCCGCCTCTGTCTGCGTCAGGTTCGACTTGGTCGCAACTGTTCAGCCCACAAGGTTACCAAGGTAGAGAGATGTCGCCATTGCCCTCGCCTGCCGTCGGCGGTAGCTCACCGCATCAGGAGTCATTCGGCACTCGCTTCTTTGTCGATACACGGCCCTATAGATCGGCATCCGTCACATCATCGAACGATCAGCCCGAAAGCGAATTACTCAGTTCAGCCAGCAAGTCGAGATCGATCAGCGGCAGCGCTGCACCGCCATCAGGCAAGAAGACCCTCGATTTCTTCTCTTCGTCGACGACTTCTGCTGTCATGCCACCGCCATCAGTCTTGAGCGCGTCCGCTGGCTCAGTCGCCGTGTCACCTGCTGTCAACCATGGCACTACGCGGTCCTGGACAGAGAACATCGAGCCGTTCATTGTAACGTCGAGGCCCAATTCGCCATCGCTCTCGCAGCTCTTTCTCTCGCAATCGACGAGCTCTGCGACGGAATTGGCGAAATCGCCTCTGTCATCATCTGCCTCGATGCGCGGGTCCGCATCAGACTCAAAACCGTTGTCATCGAATAGTGCGCGATCTAGGAGAAGCGGGTCTCCTGATGGATCATACGAGTGGCAAGCCAGCGCCATCACTCATCCCCCGTCTCGTATGCCGACTCTGCTGCACCACAGTCATACCAGTACCCCTGGACGGAGGAGCGCGCATGCGCAATCGCTCGCAATCGCGCCAGACGATGTCTTTACTAGCAAGCCCACAGCCAGCCGGCCCATGTACAGTCAAAGCAACGTTGCAACGGGCTCAGCTGTCACGCCCGGCACGATGCTCAACAAGCGCTTTCTCGTCACGAGGCTAGCGGGGAAAGGCGCTTTCAGCAGGGTGGTCATTGCCGACGACCAACAGAGCAATGGTAGCAGCGTCGCCATCAAGTTGGTCGACCGTCAGAGCTATTCGCGAAATGAGCGAATGAAGATCAGTGTGCAGCGAGAAGTTGAAGTACTAAGGGTGCGCGCAGACACTGCTCGTGATTCACATGCTAACGATCGCATGTCAGCACATACGCCATCCGTCCTTGGTCCATTTGCTAACGACTTTCGAATCGCCTACTGACACTTGTCTGGTTCTGGAAGCCTGTCACGGTGGCGAGCTCTTTGACTTTCTCAAAGATCATCACGTCCATACCTCGGAGGCTCTCGCACGGAGGATCGTCGGGGAATTATCGGAAGCGGTACGATGGATGCATAGCATAGGCTTGGTGCATCGGGACATCAAGCTGGAGAGTAAGCCCGGCTCATCGCTGGCTTGCCTCAACTCAACAGATCTGCAGATGTACTTTTGACTTGCCGGCCGTTCGAGAGTGTGCCGGGTCTGCCAATGCCGCCACCCGACATGCTGCCTGATCTGCAGACGCCCTTCGTCAAGCTCACCGATTTCGGGTTGTCACGGTTTATCGACTTCGATGCGCCTCTGCTCGAGACTCGGTGTGGCAGCGAAGAATACGCAGCGCCCGAACTCATCATGGGCAAGAAGTACGACGGTCGCCAGACCGATGCATGGGCTCTCGGCGTGGTTATGTACGCCATTTTGACGGGCGTGCTGCCATTTGTCGAAGAGAAGGACACCGATGAAGCAGCCAATCGAGGGAGGAGAGCCTATCTCATGAAGATTGCAAAGGGTGACTATCGCTGGCCGGAAACGACATACGAGGGCGATACGAGCGACGAAAACGATGTGGACGACGCAAGCAGATTGGCCACTCCAGAAGCGCGACAAATCGTCGAGGCTCTACTTGTCCGCAACCCTGGACGGCGATCGACTATCGAACAGATCATGGCATTACCATGGATGAGCCGCGGCGCAGGGATGCCGACGCCGATAGAGCCTGACGACTGTCTGGTCATGCGCGCCCCGTCCGATCGGCTATTGCGCGAGGAACATGCGTGAAGAGCAGGACAATATGTATGACTGTGCAGTGTACGTAATCCGTGTCTGTAGTAATATGTATGCTGGAATGTGCCACATTTCTATCATCACCCATCCTTTGTCCGTGTCACTCGCCGTCGAAATGGCGCGCGCGCTTGATAAAGTTTATCGAACGCGAAGCCAAAAGCGAGCGGCCATCGAATGAAAGGCCAATAGCTCGGCGAGCAAGGCAGTGCTAGACGCCTGTCGGCGCTTCAGCTGCTGCAATGCCCCGTACGCAGAGACTGGTGCTGGTGCTAGCGGTGCCGATACTGGTTTGTTTGCTCACTTATGTAGGCTACACGGACCACGCTGCGCCGCTCCGAAGCAGAGGATGGGAAGTCGCTACAAGGGTGGACAAGCAGCGCAAAGCTGTGTTTGGAAGCCTTGGTATCGGGACATTGCCCGAGGTTGAAGCCATTGTCGAGCAAGACAAAGCGACACCCGAGAGCAAGCACGGGAAGAATCCGGGATTGACGGCCGAGCAGCAACAGCGTCAGGACAGCCTGATGCATTACTCTGACGACAATGGTCGAGTCAGCTTTGCCACGTCTGGACAAGGCGCCAACATGCCTGAGCATCCCGTCAGGACGCTCATCCGCCGAGCAAAGGATCAATGGCAGGCCAAGCTTGCTCGGCAAAGCAAGACATTAGCCGAAGCTGTGGAGCAGTACGAGCAACGCTATGGCCGCCTACCACCCCGAGGCTTCGAAAAATGGTCCGTCATCATCTTCATGGTCTCCTTGCAAGACTGAATGAAGACGATGCAGGTACGCGTTTGCAAAGAAGAACGGCGTCATCCTCATAGATGAGTACGATCGGATCTATAGCGACATCGAACCCTTCTTTGCGCTGCATGCAAAAACAATCCGCTACCGCACCGACGAGCTCAGGCGGAACATCCCGAAGCACACGAGCAGTATCACCATTGATCCTTCGTTGCCTCGAGGCGAACGCGTCATCTGCGACCCGCCGCGCAAGCGCAGCTTGGAAGCTTTTGCAGCACTCGACGAATACGCAGACATCCTGCCAGGGAAAGTGCAATTTACAGAATCGACGAGTGACGTCGGCTACGGCAGTATCTCATACGAGCATCGCGAGTATCTCGTCAGATTAGCGCGGAATGACTTCTTCATCGCGCGGGAAGAGCAAGATGGCTTCCGCAACGTCGCCTCAGATCCTGCCAAACCAGTGCTCGATCTTTGTGCAGGAGGCTCGCCGCTCTACTCTGCTGTAGACCAAGAATGGTTTCAAGCTGAATCCCCTGCACAGACCGGCATGCCGCCCTTCAGCTCGCTTATCTTTGATCACGCCAAATCGATGGATGTCTGTCAAGCTCCGAGTCTCTATTGGATGCACCCGCAAATTGCTAGAGTGCCGCTCATCGGTCGGCTCGAGCCCATGTTCAGCTGGTCACGGTCTGCACTTCGGTCGGATATTGGCCTAGTGCCCCACGAACAGTCAGCTACTGCTTCTCGAAGCAAAACTTAGCGCTGATCACTGAAGTGCTCAGATACACCTTGGGAGCGTACCCTGACGAGCCGAGCTTTGAGCAAAAGACGGACGGGACAGCGGTCTGGCGAGGATCGTTGACAGGCGCTCTGTTCAGCAATCAGAGCCCTAAAGCTAGGCGCTCTTGGCTTTCGTCACCTCGCTACCGGTTGTGGAAAGCGGCGCAAGACAAGCGAGGGCAGCGTAATATGCTCATCGAGACACCCGAGGGAACAGTATCCGTCTCGGCACCTCTGAAGCAAATTTCGGAACGGCTGGTCGATGTCGCCGTCGTCGGTAAACCGATCCAATGCGATGTTGATGTCTGTGAAGAGCTCAAGAAGACTGTCAACTTTGCGCCCTTTGTTCCTCTGACGACATCCCTAAAGCATCGCTACATTATCGACATTGATGGTAATGGTTGGTCGGGCCGGTTCTATCGCCTCATGAGCAGCAACAGTGTCGTGCTCAAGGCAACCATCTTCCGGGAATGGTATACCGAGCGCATCATGCCTTGGCTTCAGTAAGCTGCTCTCGTTGCTCGAGTCACCTGCTTACCGTTAGCCTGCAGCTATGTGCCGCTCAATCCCGACTTCTCGGATCTATATGACATTATGGCCTTTCTTCAGCTCAATCCGGACCTATCAGCTGAATTGGCAAGGGACGGTAAGCAATGGGCGCAAGACCACTGGCGATTAGTCGATATGCAAGCCTACACGCTACGGCTAATGCTCGAATGGGCACGACTGACCAACCGAAGCGAGGACGATATGTGGGACTTTGAGATGCCTATCGACTAGCATCGCACGTCTTGGCAAGCATGAGTACAGCATTCATACACTGTTGTATCACACTACAACACAGCGGATGTACAACCGTCATTTGCGTCATTGTGACTTGCTCTTTGTGGCCTCCTGCAACACTGCTGGTCTCGCGCCAGTGCTCTCACTGGCCAGCGGTGTGTCTGCTGAGATGCTATCCAGGGAGACTTCTTCTGGCTCTTCGACTTGCGTCTCGCCGTCAAGTGACGCGCCATTGACGCTGGGCGAAGTCGTGCCGCCAGACGAGCGATGCAGATCCTCCAGCTCTCGTCTCAATGCAGTCAACTCTCGATCGAATCGCTTGTCCTTGAAAGCGTAGAAGCAGGCACCGTTCCAGACTGATACGCCGAAGCAAGAGATAAGCAAGCAGCCGCTGAAGAATTTGGAATCGTATGCGAAGAGCGCGGCTGGCAACATGGTGATGATCGTGTAGATGAACTGGCAGAACATGAACGTGACTTCTCGACGGGGTGGAGGCACCTTTGCGATGATCTTGCCGATAGCGCCTGCAATCCAAGTGATCAGTGATCAACATAGCACGAGAATGCACAAGTCAGTTGACTTGCCCTTTGTGTCTGCTTGCAAGTAGGTGAAGCTCGTGACGCGGCCTTGCTTGATCTTTTCCTTGCGGGCTACGACGATGAGCACGTAATATGCGACTTGCCAGACGAGATCTGCGCGCAGGCATGAGCATGCCCTGCGTCTAGGCGTCCCTGCGAGGACTGACAGATGGCAGAAGACAGCACGAGGCTGCGCGAAGGCTGGAGTGCGGGCATCTCTGCTAGAGCAGAGTACCTCTGATGGGCTGTAGGGTCAAAGTGTCGCAGCGAGGTGAGCAGGAACGGCGGGAAGATGTGGATGTAGAGTGATGTGATCTTGTCGAGCGAATGCAGAACGAGCGAGTTGCGCCAGGTTGGTATGGCCAGAAGAAGCGGGCCCATTGCTAGACAGTATGTAGACTCGAACAGGATCTTGCTATGTGGCATCAGATACAGGAAGACGAGGACGAGACTGAAGCAGGCGCGTGAGCAACAATCTCTACGGAATGCTAAGCCTCACTGACACGTTGACGTAGTAGCAAAAGTCCAGGAGAAAGTAGTGGTAGTTGCGTTTCTTGTACGTGTAGAGTCTGACGGGCAAAAGCCATGCTGCCTGAAGCGAGTACCATGTTGGGATCCAGGCTGGCTCGAAGCCCAGCAAGAGGCAACTGGCCATGATGTTGAGCACGCCAAAGCTGAAGGAGAGCTTCTCTCTGAGCGAGACGACATGCGCGTCATTCCATTTGGACGACATTGTCGAGACCCTCTTCTGAACCTTTGCGCGAAACTTGGCCACCTCAAGCTCAACGCGCTCCGTGATCTTTTCTCGCTCGATGCGCTTGCTGTCTTCTGCAGATCCAGCGGTCGGGCGACCAGGATCGAGCCAGCGAGTCGCTTCTCCGAGCTGAACATAAGACTTTGAACGAGCGACCAAAGGACCCGTGCGTTTGGAGATGACATCCTCTGCCCGTGTCCTCACCTCTATCGCTTTCTCTTTCCAGAGTGACGTCCGCGCGCGCATCCGACGGTTGAGCAGGTCGAGGTGAGCGTCGAGCACGACGACGAGGTCGAGAAGAGTGGTGAAGCCAGAGAATGTGTCATCCTGAAGCGCAGGCGTAGCTGAGCCCGACGAGCTGGCTTTGAAGGAGCTAGACCGTGAGAGACCTGCGCCTGTGGGCGGACCGTCGAAGACTTGCTCTGTTGCCAGTGTCGCCTCTTCCTCTGGGCTGTCTGTCATGACGTGGCAGGCCGGTGGGGAGGGCAGGCAGCAGCAGCAGCAGCAGCAGCGAGAGACGGGTGACGCGCGCTTTCGTGTTTGTCCAAGCCGACGGTTCCGACGATCTCTCGAGCCTCATGACAGGCGGTAGAGTGGCAACGCTGCTCCATCAGACCAGTAGACTGCGCCGAAGTCACCAGTGTACACACGCCTTGGCTAGCACGACTCAGGCCGACCCAGGCTCCAGCTTGGCCATCTCGCGATGGATCACAACATCTGTCTCCTGCACCGGCTTGGGCAGGCCGATAGACGCTTGTGTCCTGACGAGTACATCGTCTGCCATCCAGTGTCAGCGGTCAGCTTCGACGGCCCCGCTCAGGCGGACACGCAAGGCCTCTGGAACGAATCGAAGCACGATCACACGCAATCAGGCTACTACCGCTTCCACTGCGACTGCCACGCCCGGCAGTGACGGTCCGCCTCCTTCGGCGCCCGTGTCGAGTGCCCGGAGTAAGGGCAAGGGCAAGGCTGAGCCACAGCAAGAAGCGACGCCTGCCCAGCCAAGTCTGGAGTCAGAGACCAAGACTGAGAAACGTAACAGCTCGGCGAGGAAGATACGGGACGCAGAAGGTCCTGCTACAGCGGCATCGTTCGCACCGAGTACAGAACCCGAGCCAGCGGGACATGCAGAGACTGGGCAGGCAGCTCAAGCAAAGGCCGACACAGATCCCCCGCGCGTGATTGAGATTGTGCAAGGCGAAAGGCCAAAGTCTGACACGGACAAGCAAGTTGCGAGCGACTCGACTTCGCTGGCTAGAGTACCTTATGATCCTTCGAGAGACCGGAGACGGTCTACCGGAGATTCTGCTGCCGATCAGGAATCGCTCCGAAGCGCTACGGCGAAATACGACCTGCCTCTGCCGAGCACGCATGACTCTCTGCCGGCTGTACGGCATCCGTTCAATACGCATCGCTTTGTACAGAAGCTGGAGAATGCAGGTTGGCCGAGAGGCGAAGCCGAAGAAGTCATGCGTGCGACAAGGGCGCTGCTGACGATGAGCGAGAAGCAAGCCGCTCAGAACCTTGTCGGTCGAAGCGATCTGGAGAACGTCAGTGAGATTGCTTCAGTCGCTTTGTGAATGTACTCATTGATGCTTCCGACCGGACAGGAGGCCTACTTGTTCTCTGCTGCGCTGTCGGAGCTGCGCACAGAAGTGCAGGTCAAGGCACGCAATGATGGCATATCGCTGCGCAGTATGGGCAATCAGGTCCAGCGGGAGACAGACAGTCTCAATCAGAAGCTAGGAGAGGACATCGCTGGGCTGAAGAACGAGTAAGCCAGTAGCCTGGCGCTAGATGGCATGCTCACATTTCGCGGGACAGAATCCAGCTCGACATCAACGCACGCAAGGAGGAGGCCTCTGTCGATCAGAAAAGTCTCGAACTCAAGATAATCGATCTCAGTGCGTCTTGCTTGATCGCTCCGAAGAGCCGCGCTGAACCAACAGAGCAGGCAACAAGTTCACGGTACTGCTGGGCGACGTGCGGACAGACCTCGAAGCGCGGAAATGGCTGCTCACACGACGCTCGATCACGATGATAGGTGCGCTCGTGGTACTCGTCATTGCGTCCAACGTGCTCGTCGATGCACCCAAAGAAGAGCCGCCCGCGCCCTTGCCATCCGTCTTCGATCTGGGCGTCGAGCCGGTCGCCAATGCACCCGCCGCGGACGACGGATTCCTGTCTGGATGGTTCCGAAAGTCGGATAATCAGCAAGGGTCTGCGCCGTCGGGCCCAGATGAGAAACGGCCGCCGTCGTCATCATAGATGCATCGCGTCGCGTGACTTCATTGACCCGAGTGTCCGTGTCCGGCTGTCGAGCAGTATGTCGTAGACTGTGCATGGGCTTGACGCAAGAGAAGCTCGGCTCCCTCTTTGCCTCGCTCTGGACACGCCTAGCGACACTCAGCACGGATGATCGCCCTGCTGAGATCTTGCGAGCCTCTCTCGAGCTGCTCTCAGTCTACTGCGTTGCGTTCGTCTCGCTCTGGCCTCAAAGGCAGTCAGAACTCACCAGTAGCTGCAGAAAAGCCGTGCGGGGCAACCAGCCTGCCCTCGTAGCGACAAAGTTGCGACTACTTGTGGTCTATCTCAGTGTGACGTAAGCGATCCATTGACGAGCGTAGCCGAGTGTACGCCTGCTCAAAGCGGCTGGACAGGGGTCATAGAGCCCTCCTTGCGACGCCGGACTTCACGGCGGCTTACATGACAGTATCACGCAATCTCGAGAGTCAGCTTGTGCGTGGCTCGCCGCCCGCCTCTGCGGACTCGATCACGACGATGACGACGCCGGAAGGGATGAGAGCCTTCAACGAAGCAAGGCGATCGAGCGCAGGACGATGGCATTCGAAGACCGTCGAAGTGCCCTGCTTGACTTGTGCCCAGCTCATGACGATCACCACCCCCGTCGTCGCGGTCCGAGACGAGGAGGAGCACCTGCCGATCTACGAACCACGTTTGCAGCAGTGACAACACGCCCACCAGGCCCACACGACATACTTTATCCTCCTCTCCCGAGCTTGACATCTATTGCGGTTCCTCGAGCGTACCGGTCGTACGCAAGTTGAACTCGACGTTTCTTTGGTAGTGCGACCACATGTCGGATAGTGCAGTGATGTTGCTGTTGTATGTATTGATCTCCTGTCCATCACAGCGTCAAGCAAGCAAGTACATCTCACGACCTGTGAGTTCACCGACCGCGAGAGAGGTACAGAGCTCTATCATGGCATCGTTGAGCTTTTCCTGTACACTCTTGTCAATTGACATGGCAAGGGCTGTCAGTGTCGTGACGCACGACATTGCCGATGACTCTGCCGAGCAGGATCGTCTGCTGCTCCTCGTAAGGGTTGTCAAGCACTCGGCTCGTCATCCCTCCGGCGCACCGCTCCCGTCACTGGGCCGAGTAGGCGCGTGTGGTGAGAGTGGTGAGACGCGCCACTGGCGCACTGGCGACGACGCAGGGCGACAAGGACGAGATGGGCTTCCTGGGCGTGCTGGCCTCCTTGACAGCCCCGCTGGCCTACGTCATCGTCCTATTCGGGGGCCTCTCACTCTTCTCAAAGATCTACAGACGGCGAGCAGCAGGTGAGAAAGCCTGGGCCAGTGTCGCCTTTGCAACAGTTGCTCACCTCTTCATTGGCACAGCTTCGGCGACTTATGAGCCTTGGTACCCTCCGCACCACGATCGTGACATCTATGTCTCACTTCTCTCGCTCGAGCCACCGCCTCAGCTGCCGATCCTCGTCGCTGCATTGCTCAGGCGAGCTGTCTTCGACGTCAAGCTGATGTGGCAGAACCGGGAGACCAAACAGGCGCTCAACCAGTTGCTACTCAAAGGACAGATCGGAGACGAGTTGTGGAACCGCTTCCTGGTCGCAGAGAAGGAGCTCGAATTGGAATTGGTAGAGGTCGTAGAGGAAGCCAATACGCTCAAAGAGGGCTGGGGTCAAGTCATCTTTGGCCTGGCGAACGAGATGGCCATGCACGAGAAGCAGAAGGAGATCTACGAGCAAATACCGAGCTTGCGAGCCCAAGAGAGCAAGTCGCTCCCTCGCAGACCAGCTCGACGGGTGACTGACGTGTTGACATGTAGAAGCGCGCCTCGAGGAATCTCTCATCAGTGCGCCCAAGGAACTTCAGATCTCAGGCGCAGTACCGCTCGGTGCCTACAAGCCCGTGTCGCCCAGTGCGAGACAGATCGCCCTCAACGCTCAGGCCATGCAGGCGATGCAACAGCAACAGCAAGCCATGCAACAAGCTCAAATGCAAGCCATGCAAGCAGCGCAAGGCAAGGCAACGCCCGGACAAGGACCGCTTCTTCAAGTTGGCCCTGCACCGCCTGTGACGAATGGCACGGCGAATGGCAAGGCAGTCAAGATCGGAGCGTTGACCAATGGATCACTCGCACCGCCACCCGCCACCGGCTCACGTGCCACGTCTTCCAACGGCGATGGCGACGAAGACTCTGATGAGGACAGTCCGGAAGAGAAGCCGTCTGGTCAGCCGCGCAATGCGGCCAGCATGGCCGCAAAGAAGGCTCGCAACAAGAAGAAGAAAGCTGCAAAGGCAAAGAAAGCAAAATGATGATGTCCCGGATCGCTCGCTAGTCCTCCTGTCTTTGCGCCTTTTACAATGTGGGTTGTACAACACCAATTCGCATGCAACATTACTCGTCCCTTTTGCGCTTCACTGTGCAGACTTGGGCGTCAGCTTGAACCGGCTCGAGATGATCGCTTCGAGCTTCGGCCATGTGATATCGCTCGTCTCGCCTTGCACAGTCACCAAACGATCTCCCGCCTTGGCGTAGTAGTCCAGCAAAGGCTTGTTTTCCTTGTGATACCTCTCGAGCCTCTTGGCAAACGTCGCGACATCATCATCAGGCCGCTTCGATAGCGCTTCTCCCGTCACGTCATCCTTGCCTGCCACTTTTGGCGGATTGAAGGAGAGGTTGTACGTCCTACCCGAGGGCGCGTGAATCCAACGCTCCTCTATCCTCTGAAGTATGACGCGATCAGGCACGTCGAGATTGACAATGAGCGTCAATCGATCGCCAAACGACTCGAGCGCGTCGTCTAAGAGCTGGGCTTGCCGTGCTGTGCGTGGGTAGCCGTCTATGAGCCAGTCTTTTGCAGAAAGTGCCTGCAAGTGGGGTTGCATTAACCGTGCGATCACTTCGTCAGGCAGCAATCCTGCCATGTCTCGTCAGCTCAGTGCAAGTCGCAAGCTCAGATTCACACCTCCCGATCTCATGACGGCTTCGGCTTTGAGACCTAGCTCGGTGCCTAGGCTGACCTCTTTGCGGAGTAGATCCCCCACAACGACGCTGGCGAGCTCATTGCGCGCGAGCAACCGGCTCGACAGTGTGCCTTTGCCAGAACCCGGTGCTCCCAGTATTGTCATGCGCAATTGCGCAGCTGCATGAGATGCATATCGCCGGAGCATTGCTCGCTCTCGACAGCGCTCGCTCGGCTTCGCGCTTCGCGTCTTGCGGCATTTTCGAATTTGCTAGATGAATTATGCTAGCCATGCGCTGAGCCCCAAAGCGACCCAAACCGGCGGTTCCGTCTGTTGGCGCAGGATCTCGGCCCAAGCTGGCGCAGCCGTGAGGTCTGCTCGCGTATGAATCATACTGATGCCATGGAGACCGAATTGTGAGAAGAAGAGGGGTTGTCAAGACAGGAGTCCTGCGGGGGTGTAGCATCGGTCTCTAGGTTTTCCACAACAGGCCGACGCCCACGTCGCAGATCGTCGGGTCGACATAGGCGGCTTTGCGGACATAGACCAGCATGTCGACGACCTCCAAGCTGCTCGGCAGCCGTAGCAAAGGCGTACTGGCAAGCTCACAGTGCATCTGTTGAGGCGCGTTGACTGATGGCTCTACTCCCTTTGGACAGGCTGTTGCGATATGTGGTTCGGTCAGTCGAGCTCGCGGGCTATACTTAGCATAGAGCTCATGTAGGAGCAGATCTCCGCTACGGCCACGCTCGTCCTGCTCGTCGGCGCAACCTATCTGCTACTCAGGCCAAGGATAAAACGACTCCGGTCTGCCACGCCAGATAGCTCGAATGACCATCACGATTCGTCTAGAGCGGAGCGCTTCTTGCGCAGTCAGTTCGGCGTCTTCTTCCTCAACTTGATCTTTGCCGACCTCTTGCAAGCCTTGGGATTCTCGGCGTCTTATCATTGGGTCATCCTCAAGCAATTCAGCGATAACCCAGCTGGCCTATGTACTGCTCAAGCTGTCGCTATACAAGTTGGGGATGGTCAGTCCTTGGCTTCACTGGCACTACTTCCTGCTGATCATAGTCCTCGAGTACAGTCGCGGCGGCCATCTGGTCACTCTCAATCGCGATACACACAACAATGATTCTCGTGGCGCGCTATCGCCCGACTAACAGGGTCGTCGCGATATGGATGTTCTGCAATTGGGCGGTCACCATCATCTTCGCTTCCGTCGGTCCGGGCGCCGTGGCCACACCCGAAGGCGGCCCATTCTGTATGTATCTCTCTATTTGGCAAGCGATCAGAGCTGACTTGCCCGACAGACAACGTCGCCGGAGCTTGGTGCTGGATTGACAAGTCATACGAAGATTATCGGCTATGGTTCCATTACGTCTTTGTCTTCCTGGCCGGCGCTGGCAATCTTGTGCTCTACACCATCGTCTTCTTCACCATTCGACATCGCCTCGACTTTAGGTCGATGCGAGGCAATGGAACGAACACGCAGACGACGATGGTCGAATCTGGCTCGCAAGCACAGCGGAAGCCATCCATTATACCCCAATCGTCGAGAGGCGTAGCAGAAACATCAAACAGTCGAGCCATTGACAGCATAGCTCAACGGATGATGTACTACCCGCTCGTCTATCTGATCGTCATCACCCCCATCTCGGTCTATAGAATCGCCGGTATTGCTGGCCATCAGTTCAGCTTCACCGCTGCGGTCGTGGCTGGCTCGTTCTATACGCTGGGCGGATTAGCCGACGTAGTACTCTGGCTCCTCACGCGAAACTTGATCAGTTTCCCCAGGAAATTCGGCCTCGGCGTAAAGACTTCACAGGGCGATCGAACTCATCTCGCCTCCCTGCCGCTCGTGACCCAGCATGCCAGTGTGGTCAGCTCGAGAGGTCACAGAACAGATGTCGACACGGGCTCTGGCAGCTTCAAGCTGCCCTTTGATTCGCCCTTTGATGATCTCGAGCGGACAGTCACTGGCAGTGAGCAGCCAAAGTACGATCTCGTCGATGTTCCCTACTTCACGAAAGAAGGGACGTATGTCAATGACGATTCGCCGCCGCATTCGACAGCGGCGTTACAAAGAGTGACGTTGAGCTCCAGCGAGCACTCGCACGAATCAACGCATACTGGCAAGTAATGCTGCGTCTATCGACGCCTTGGGAGATATTTGTGGGGAATCCTTGCATCTTGTACGCTTGTAGACTTTCGCAATGCATTGCATCGTTGAGCATCTATTTGTAGCCTAATTCTGCGAGTCTAAGTAATTTTGCTTTCTCTCGGAGTTCTCTACGCCATTGCGGTGTCTCGAAGAAACGGCCCTCTTCGTCATGATCTCGATCGTCATCGTCGTGTCTGCCCTCACCGACAGACAACATCAGCGAGTCCGAGAGATCAAACTCGGCAGGATATCCTAGTACATGCGCCTTTGTTGGCTCTTGTACTCTGCCGGGCTTGAGACTGATGTCATTGACGTTTGCAGCAGCTCGCCAGGTTCGAGCGACATAGCGCGCTTGTGCATCCGCCAGAGGAAAGGGAACGATCATCTTGGCAAGGCAAAGAAACGCAAGGCTCGGATCGGGTTCGTAGAAGATGTCTCCCTCTGCGAGATGAAGTACAGATGGTCCTCCCACGGCTCGGGCTGCTGTGTCGACGAATGAGGGAGGCGGGGGCACATGAGGATGCGGTCGTTCACTCGTGAGCGGTGCTGCGGAAAATGGCGCATCCTCCGTATGACAGAACGGGAAGTGATAAGAGTAGCCTGTCGCGAATAAGATGAGCGTGATGTCGTCACGATGCGTGCCGTCTATAAAGTGGATGCCATTGCCCTCTGTGCGTTCTATGGGCGGTACGACTGAGATTCGAGAAACCCAGTCTTGCTCGACGCCATCCCTTGCTTCTGTCTGACCACCGTGACAGCTCTGGACTACGCGTACATCGGGCGAGGACACGGCGATCTCTCGCAGGACATCCTGCGCTGACGGGCCAGCGCCGACGACGAGACACCGTTCATTTGCAAAGTCTTGCGCGCGGCGGTACCACCGGGCGTGCGCTATCTTGGGGAAGGTCCACAAGTTCTCGATGGGCGGTATGTATGGCACAGTGTAATGACCGTTGGCGACGCAGACCCAATCGTACTCTGTTGTCGCCTCGACTTCCTCCGAGTCCAGCCTGCGCGTCGTCACTTTCCAAGATCCCTTTCCCCTGGCATGCCGCAATCTTGTGACAATAGTGTTGAATTTGACGACATCGCTGTCCTTCCCAAGCACTTTGCAGAGGTACGACGTCACCTCGTCAGGCCCAGCAAAATTGGTTGCAGCTTCAAACCGTTGCGTACGAAACGACATGAGATCTTTCGGCAGGTTGCTCCTCAGACCCGGATACATGGGCGTCGCAGGTAGACTGATCGAGCTGCCCCGGGCGACTGCTCTGCCAGCAGCATCGAATGAGATCTTGCAAGGTCCAGGATCGCGATCGAGGATCCAAGCGCCGCCAGGAGATGATCGAGCTTCATATGCCGTGACGGAGAAGCCGGCAGCCTTGAATTGACGTATGGCAGCGATGCCGCTGGCGCCGCAGCCAATGACGCATACTCGCGACATCGACACTGCGCTGCACGCTTCTGCTTGCGGCGCTGCGAAGACCATCAGCATGTCAAGTGTAACAGAAAAACTATTGACATCAGGCGCGTCGAAGAGCGTGCGCGCTTTGCCGTGCCACGCCGCCGCTAGCTCGGGTCCCTCTGGCTCTTGTATACATTCGTTTGGGTGAGTCTGCATGCTTCGCGCTGTCAGCTGATTGACTCTGATGGCAAGCACAGTGTAGCAAGACTGCGCTGGCGCAGCTCGCTTGGACCTCTTTCTTGTTTTCAGGCGCGGCATGAAGCAAGCCATCGAGCTGGACTTGCAGAGGCACCATGCATTACCGCGAGCGGCGAAACATCATCACTTTGGCGAACATGCTATACGACATACGTACGAAAAGAGTCTCAAGCGGCGTGCACACCATAGCAGCAGCTCGCAGCGTGCTGCTAATACAGCAGCAGCCGCAGCGGCCGAGGCTACGGCCACAACATCTGCACGACACCGCGCAAGTGCAGCGGTAGCCGAAACAACGGCAGCTGAAGCATCAGCGAGCAACAATGTTGTCGTCGTGACCGTTGCTGGCACTTCAGCAATGACAGTCACGCGAGGTGCAGCGGCAACTGCCACCGCCGCTTCACTCGCCCCTACTACACCGCCAGCATCAGCACCTTATGCGCTCAATACAAACAGTACCCCTACGCAATATCCCAGCAATTTCGCCAAGCAGGCCAAAGTGGATAGTGCGAGCTTAGTCGCACTGACCACGTATCAGGCCACAGGGGTCGACACTGTGCATCCGAGGCATGCTCACTGCATTCTCGCAGCTAGCGCGGCTGATCTAGTACTGTACAGTCTGACAGCGACGGCAGAATCAGCTCAGGCCGCCACAACGCATCCGGTCGCATTGAGTAAAGGTGCTCTCATCGCTATCATCGCTGCAGGCGGTATCCTCTTCGTCACCTTTGTGGCTCTGGCGCTATGGTGGTGCATCTCGCGGTGCCGTAAGAGGAGGAGAAAAGACAAAAATTGGCGAAAGATCGGCGAACCCCAGCTACGCCCGACGGGATTAGACCGCACACCGACGGACTCGCCCACCGTCTTCGGCTCAAACGGTAGCATGACACGCGATCTCAGTTCTGGATCGATCGAGAGTGACGAGAAGCTGGCCGAAAGGGGCGGAAGGAGGCCAAACAAGGCGACACTTTCCACTGCGCAATGGTCATCGCCTGGCGCGACACCATCAGCTCAATTTTATCCCATGCCAGTCAGTCATTCCGCCTATTCGCTCAACACGGCACGAGAGAACGAAGACTTTGGCCGGACGGCAGATCCGGCAGAACGGAACATGCCGCAATCGTCCTCTCAACGTCAAATATGGCCGCCACCAGCGCCGCCGATACCCACCATACGAGCACCTGAACCTACATCCTATAATCGACCACCATTTCGGCATCTGACCCCGATCAGCGAGCACAGCAGATCAGAAATCTCCTATGCTCCCTCTAGCGAGCCCGACACAGACACCCATGACTTTCGGGCGGTTACTCGCGAGACAATGTCAGAACCCAGAGCACTCCAGCGGCCGCCTGTACGGCAGAGCTCTTATGGCGATGTCAGCAGGACTGCACCTGCGCCTGTGCGTAACACAGGCGGCCTGCTCTCCGTCCAGCCAAATCGAGGCCCCGTCGATTCTGTCTACTCGATGTACTCTGACCAATGACGAAAGCACGCATTCTGGCACGCTTGTACCCGCCGTTCACGATGCATTAGACTGTCTTTCAGGCCCTGCGTGGCAATGTCGAGCGACGCGTCTGACTTTCCATCGTCCGGCCGTGACTGTGCTGATCATGGACAGATCGAGCCTTGCTCACCGCAGAGACCTCGAACCTGACTCTCGCAATGTATACCATCCATCGGCAGGCTTCAGGGCACCTGCAACGCCTATCCGGACGCCCACAAGCCTCAGCCGACCCTTCACACCCAAGCTGCCATGCTACAGATTTCCTCAAGTCTTCGCGAGTCCTTCTGCTCTCTCCATAGACTGCCAGGTACCCACTAGAGACAGCTCTGAGACGCATACGCCGGACGCGAGAAACATAGGGACCTTCTCAATCGCGCAGCCTCCGACGCCCTTCACTCTTCGCACAAGCTTGCATACTCGTTCGGGCATGACCGGAACACCCCAATACGCACACAAGAAGTTCGTTCCAGCGCCTTACACTCGTCCTCCTTCTCAGCAGCCTTTGCTCATACCTCAGGCTCGCCGTGCCGATCCGAGCGACGAAGCGCTAGGAGACCGAAGATACAAGGCTCAACTATGGCAGGGTCCCGACGCTGCGCGGTGCTTGGGACCGTGCCAGAGTCATGTCGGGATCCTAGCCAGAGCTGCTCAGAGCGCGGATTGGCACCATCAGCGCTGCGAAGGGAGTGAGCTAGAGCAGGACGAGAATCACTTTGCTCACGAGCGAGCACATTCGCCTCTGTCAGAGGAGCAGTACTGGTCAGATGACGAGCAGCTCTCGATGGCATTGACATCAGACCCGCTCACTTCCCCCACGCCCGTGGCACTGCCTGTCGATCGCAACTCAGCGGACGCGGCTGCTGCTGCACATGAGCGTGATGCTCTGGGCTCGCCCGACGCGTGCATTCATACCTCGAGAGGTTGTCAAGCAAATCCTGTGCAGCGAAAGACGTCTGGCATGCCCTCGCGGGCAGATGAAAGCCGGCAGGCAAGATATCAGCAAGGCCAGGCGACGCCTCTTTCAAGGTTGCCGACCAAGCCTGCTGCCGAGCTGAGGTCCACGACCGCGCTGCGTAAGTTTGCCGATAAGCCTTGGAGGCTCTACTGATTGTTGCGCGTCTAGCTGACGCTCATCGAAGCTGCTTCCCATTCACGACCTTCAACATCATGCAGAGTCAATGCTATGAATCAGTCTACCAGAGTGACTCGAACGTAGTGGTCAGCGCGCCCACGAGCAGCGGCAAGACTGTTTTGTTCGAGCTCGGGGTTCTGCGAGCGTTATCAGCCAATGGACGCGCGCGTGCGATCTACTTTGCGCCGACCAAATCACTTTGCGCAGAGCGACTCAACGCTTGGTCGCGCAAATTCCTCCCGCTCGGTTTCGCGTGCGCCGAGATCACCGGCGATACTGACGTGCACAACCTGGCAGTGATCAAACAGGCCCGCGTGATCGTCACTACGCCGGAAAAATGGGACAGTATCACTCGCCGATGGCCCGAAAACCAAGCCATGCTGTCATCGATTGCTCTGATCTGTATCGACGAGTGTCACACACTCAACGAGAAACGGGGCAGCACGCTCGAAGTCATCGTCATGCGCATGCGATCTCGAGTGCTGGGCTTGCGCGTCATTGCCGTTAGCGCGACGGTCCCTAATGTCAGCGACGTCGCGCAATGGCTTCATGCGTCCGACGGCAGTCCCGCCATATGCCTCTCATTTGGCGACGAGGTCAGACCGTGTGCTCTGACTCGCGCAGTATGCGCCTATCCACGAAAGCCTCAAACGAACGACTTCGTTTTTGCTCGGTCGCTCGATAGCAAGCTGATCGACGTCGTGCAAAAGTACTGCGATCACAGACCAGCTCTCATCTTTTGCAACAGTCGCAAGGCATGCGCACAAGCCGCAGAGACGCTTGTGGCAGACATCGGCAAAGCAAAGGCGAAACCTTGGCCTCGATCCAAGCCGATGCAAGCCAGGCCGGAAGATAGCACGCTGGCCTATACGACAGCAGCGGGCATAGGTTTTCATCATGCTGGGTTGAGTCAGCGCGACCGTCAGCTCATCGAGCAAAGCTTCCTCGACGGTGCGCTTCACGCCATCTGCACCACTTCCACGCTCGCTGTCGGTGTCAACCTACCTGCCTATGCCGTCATCATCAAAGGCACCAGGATCTACAGTGAAGGCTCTATGCAAGACTATAGCAATCTCGACATGTTGCAGATGGCAGGACGAGCAGGCCGACCTCAGTTCGACAAGTCGGGAGTAGTCGTCATCATGACAGATAATGACTCGCGCAGCAAGTATGAGCATTTGACCGCGTCCAAGACGACTGTTGAAAGCTGTCTACACACGAGTCTCGCCGAGCATATCAACGCCGAGTGTCAGCTCGGCACAATCACGAGCTTTGAGACTGCAATCGCATGGATCAAGTCCAGCTTCCTCCGCGTACGCATTGGCAAGAACCCTCGACTTTACGGCATTATCGATGACACAGTCTCGCCGGATGCCAAGCTGGAGGAGATCGTACGCGACTGTCTTCTCTGTCTTGTGCGAGATGGGATCATGAGCGATCAGGCCGGGCTTAAAGTATTCGCTTGCACTCGTACGTTCGCAGCTCGCTCGTGAGTATGTGCTGACGCGAAGAATAGCATACGGCGGCATACTATCAAAGTTCTGCATATCACACAAGACGTTTGCCAAATTGCTCGCCGCATCAGATTCAGGTACTATGCGTGGCCTTCTCGAAGCTATCGCCTCCGCTGACGAGTTCTCCACGATGCGACTCACGACGAGTGACCGTCAAGCTTATGCGGAAGCCGCAAGGAAACACAACATCCGCTTTGAAGTCGCAAAGGTCGGCACAGTCAAGGACAAGATCTTCGTGCTCGTACAGCTCGTCATCTCACGGGTATCGATGCACGAGTCAAAGTCGAACGCCAGCTTTCATTCGGATCATCTGCAAGCTTGGCCACACCTGTTGCGCATCACAAAGGCTCTCGTCGAAATCTGTCTCGTCAGTCAGCACGGCGCGAGCATCCGAGCCGCCCTTGAGCTTATGCGATCTATAAACGCGCGCGCATGGGAAGGTTCCAAGACCGAGCTGCAGCAGATCGACGGTATTGGTGACAAGTTCGCTGAGAAGCTCGCGTCTGCTCGCCCTCCGATACACAACCTGCTCGCTCTGCGACAGACTGATTCGTCACGCCTCGAGCTATTGCTGCATAAAAATCAAGCGATTTGTCATCGCATGATACAGCAAGCTCGCTCGTACCCGCAGCTTACCGTCGAGTTCGAAAAGCCGCGCGAACAAGTCAGGGAAGAAGGAGTGGTTGTGGATGTCGATGTTCGCATTGCGAGAGAGGACACGTCTGAGGCGGCACAGAGACCAAAAAAGGCAACGCGAGACGACTCTATCTCTTTGCTTATCACCACGACCGATGATCAATTCGTCTACTACAGCCGTATCAAGTAAGGTCTCTTGCATGTCTTTTAATGCCGCATCGAGCTGACACGCGACAAAGGTCAAGCAAGCTCGTCGCACCGCGCGTGTGTCACATCTCTACGAAGCTCGTGAAAGCGTCACAGAAGCTTGTGGCATATGCTTCCTCGGACGTTGTCGTTGGTCTCGCCGTCAGGTCGGTTTATACGCCCCACACGAGACATGACGACTTTCCCCGGCGCCATTCCTCGCCGTCCGAACTAGCGGGAGACCATCTAGTCAGCCGTCTTGGTCGCTATTCGAGGCACATGCTGATCTTTGCCGTAGCGCTTGCTCGAAGGACTGGAAGCAGACGATTTCACAAGTGAGCTCGATGCGCCAAGTGCTACTGCCGCAGCAAATGTGGCAAGCTCGTCGTCCAAAGTGAGCACGCCAGAGAGACTACCCAATGGCAACTATCGCTGCGGTCACTCCTGTGTCGATCGCAAGAGGTGCAGGCATCTGTGGTGCGTTGACGGCCTGTGTGCTCGTGTGTGCTGATACAGGACGCGCAGTTGTCGCGAAGGAACGCACAAGCCGCCGGCTGCTCACGTCCGCGCTGTCGCGAGCAAGAAGCAAGCTCACAACGCCGAAAGAAAGTCGCAAGCAGAAGGACACGTCAAGATCAAGGCGCCGCCGCTAAGACAGCTGGATATCGCCGAACAGCTCAAGATCGCTCGAGAGTCGAAAAAGGCCCAAGACGCTTTGCGACACGCTGTTCTGAACAGGGTCAAGATAGCCGACGATAGTGACAAGGCTATGTGCGACCTTGCCGACAGCGACGGCTCGCTACCGGGCGTATACCCTCTAATGCTGCCGCCTTCCACGCCGGCGCAAGTGACTTCTCCAGCGACGTCGCTTGGTGAAGACAATGCGCATACGCAAAACTTGAAGCGCAAGCGAGTCGCCATCATTGAGGACTCGGACGATGACATCGAACTCGTGCACAAGTCAAATAAATTGATTGACGAGGGCTCGCGTGATAGGCCGCACGAAGCGCCCCTATTCCTTCCGAGCTCGTCGGCAAGCATACAAGACCAGTATGACATCCTCTCTGACGCAGAAGACGATCTTGCTCCAGATCAAGCAGCAGATGAACTGACTGAACTCGAAGAATTCGAGGCATGGCTGCGCGACTGTGTACAGATCATCTGATGCATGCATGTATGATCGTGGGCCTAAGTGTCTGAAGCTGATAGAGCGTCTAGCAAGCGAGTGAGCTCATCGATGGAGTCCACTTTCGCCTTTTGCTCGGGCAAGAGGGTAGTCTCTTTGGCCTTGTCTGCCAATTGACGAGCTTGCCGCAGCTTCTTGGCTATCTGTCGAGCTCGCCTCTCGCGTTCTTCTGGACTGAGCGAGCTCGGGTCTATGTCCTGACTGGCTACATTCAGGGGCGCGGAGGGAGCCGCGTTGGCCTCTGACGCGACGGGCGCTGGACTGTCCTCTTCGGCGTCCCAGTCGTCCGGTATGTCAGGCTCTGCAGCGGGGACGGCTTCCTTCTTCTTTGGCCGCCTCCTGCTGGTCTTGTGCTCGCTTACAGGAGCCGAGCCTACCGGAGCCGGTCTGGAGATGCCAGGGACGATGTTGGACCGTTCCCTCTCGTCCATGTCGAGCTGCCTTGCCGAACGAAATTTGGATTGATCTTCGGCGGGCGTGAAGCCCGGACGGATCTTGATCTCCTTGCGTAGTCTGGCGAGGAGAGGAGGAGCTGAGCTGGAGCTGAGCCAAGGGAGGGGGTGTCGAGCGACTTACGATCCATCTGGCCGGCGTGAGACGGGCACGACTCTCTCGTCACGCAGAGGGTCATGGACGATGCCGGATGTCGTTGGCTTGCTTCTGGTCTGTCCGAGCAATGCCTCTATGCTTGGCTGAGATGGCATCACTGCGAGACGACGCCGGGCAAAGCTGGCAGAGGCGCCAAAAGTCGCGAGTGCGGGTTGACCGGCTGACCGGACAGAGAAGCGAGCGAGCGCGCGCACAGATCGAGCAGGATGAGTATGAGCATGCTCGGACAGGCAGTCGCTCGGTGCAGAGCATGCCTGCAGATGCAAGCAGCCCGATCAGCAGTGTCCCGAGGCAAAGCGCGCGATCTGAGCAGCAGTGCCGTCCATCCTGCTTCACCTACTTCGATCTCTTCAGAGGGTGCCTCAGAGGCTGCACCATCCTCAGGCTCGACGCAAGAGCTGGCATGGGATGCTTCGCTCGATCGCACCGGCGTGCTTGCTCGCAAGACCGGCATGACCGCTCTCTGGGATGACAAGGGCCAGAGGATACCCATCACCGTCCTGGCTGTGAGCCCACCCGATCGTTCACCTGCATGCCGACAGGAGCTGATCAGAGGAAGCTAGTTGGACGATGTTCAGGTCGTTTCGACCCAGTCTGAGCCCTACCCGGCCGTACAGGTCGCTTGCACGCCCAGAAGTGAAAAGACCACACCGAGAGCGATCAGAGGCATCTTCCGCAAGGCGGGCATAGACAACAAGATGCGCATCACCGAGTTCAAGACCTCGCTGACGGGTGCCCAGCTCAGTCCTGGTCAGTCCTGCCGCGCAAAGGACGGGTGAGTTTGCGCTAAAGACGACGGGTACAGGCACGACTCTCTCTGCTGCTCATTTCGTTCCGGGACAATATCTCGATGTGCAAGCCAAGACGTGAGCGCCCCTCGTGGATCTTCGTTTCTCGGAGCTGACGTGCGGGTACCTACAGGGTCGGCAAGGGCTTCCAAGGCGGCATGAAGCGATGGGGTTTCCGAGGCCTACGCGCATCTCACGGTGTCTCCGTCTCGCACAGATCGCACGGTTCGACGGGACAGCACCAAGATCCCGGCAGAGTGTTCCCGGGCAAGAAGATGGCAGGCCACATGGGTAATCGCACGAGAACACAGCAGAACCTCCTCCTCGTCCGGATCGACACGGCCCTCAACTTGCTCTTCGTCAAAGGCTGCGTGCCTGGCCACACGGGTACCTTTGTGCGAGTGTGTGATGCGCTCAAGAAGCGACCCTTCCCTGGCAATGTCATGGGCGTGCTCAGGTTGCCGTTCCCAGCAGGCACGCCTGAACTCGCGAGCACGATGCCGGCTGTTGTTCAGCTCAAGGAGACTACGACGACGCCTGTTGTCATTGGCTGATTGCACGCCATTGTCGTCCATTGTGCGGATGGCCCATTGAGGAGCCTTTCCTCCGAGTGAAGCCCCCTGAATAACCGACGCGTCGCGCCTCTTGCCTTTCACACAAAACAAGCCACGATTCAGAGCCAAGAAACAGGCTCGGTCCGGCTAGCGAGAGCACGCATCAGGGCGTGGCACTGATCCTGCTGACGAGCGAGACGACTCCAAGGCGCGCTGAGCGAGCATCGCGCCCACCTGAGAACGCTCGTCGATCTATTCACAGAAGCATATAGCCAGCCGAGCGCATCCATAATCTATCTCATAGGTGAGCTATCGATCTGCTTCCTTGGCCCGCTGTCATCCTCTCGATCTGTGCGACCAGTCGACGCGAGAAGGAGGACCCGGCGATCCAGCGTGCATGGACCTCTGGCCGAAGGAGGCTCGATGGGCGTCATCTCTGGCGAGCCTTTGCCCTTTGACGACGTCCAGTCTCGTGATCCGAAGCCAAGTCGCTGCAGCCAGCTTCTATCCGTTGGACTGAGGACCACATGAGCAAGAGCTGACAAGGTTTTGCTGCTGCTGTACAGTACAAAGAGCACTTGCCCTTTGACAAGGACGTTCCCTTGCTCGAGCTGTGTGGGGAGCAAGCGCACGCACAACCACACAAGATGAAGTCCATAAGACGGTCCCTGAACAAGGACAAGATTTCCACGCCCACCAATTTCCAGACGACCGCATCTGGCGCGGGAGCCATGCAATACTCGTCTTTTGTCCCTGCCGGGCCACAGAACCAGTCTGCAGCCGCACGATCTGCCGTGCCTATCGCAAGTGGCCAGAGCAGATCACTCGGTGCTTCTTCTGGCGCTAACATGTCTGCCATTGTCGCCGGACCGCCCAAGATGGTCGTCAGATCGATAAGACCTTATAGAGCGCGAACGCCCCAAGAGATCTCATTCGAGGAGGGCGACTTCTTTCATGTCGTCGGCACCGGTCCGGATGGTTCAAGAGAAGGCTCACTGCCGGGCACTGCAGATGCGGAAGACTGGTACGACGCAGCGAACCCATCGACCGGCATGCGTGGCCTCGTACCAAAGTCATTCTTTCAGGTTCTTGCGCGTAATGAACGCGATCAGCGGACTCAGCCTGCTCAGCAACAGAGGCCATTACAGAATGCACGCTCGATGGGGAATATGCGTGGCGGTCCAGCCCAGCAGCAAGAGACAGTACCGCCAATGCCCAGCAACCCACGAGCGAGTAATTCCCGCAGGCTATCGGCATCTGGTCAGCCTGGCAAAGGACCTCTCTATGGCGTCGTACAATATGACTTCAAGGCCGAACGAAGCGATGAGCTCGACGCTAAGCGCGGCGAGCCCCTCATAATTATGTCAGTTGCTGCCTATCCCTCCTTGGATGATGTTCACTCTGAAAGCCAGTGCACAATCTAATCACGAATGGTTCGTCGCAAAGCCGATAGGACGTCTCGGCGGGCCTGGCCTCATCCCAGTCTCCTTTGTCGAGATACAAGACATGGCTACGGGTAAGGAATTTGCGCGTGCACAACAGCATGGTATTGATCGACTTGCGCAGGCAAAGCGGTCGATATCGATATCGTCAATGAGATGATCAGAGGAGGCGCTCTGCCGCCTGTTGAGGAATGGAAGAAGAATACAGCCGAGTACAAGCAGAGCTCTATCCCGCTAGGTCGCTTTGACTTCAACAAGAGCGCGCCCGCTTCCAATGGTTCAGCAGACAGTCGGACGAGTACTACACTCAATAGCCGGGCTCCAGGGCCCAGCACGAGTAGGCAAGCCAACTCACACTACGAGACCTCGACGGCTAAGCTCACGCCGAACGAATATGCTCAAAACGCATACTCACATTCTAGTCCGAACCTCGGCGCTCAAGATGCTATCTCGCGAGCTAATTCCACTACGCCAAACGGTCTATATACAGACCAACGCGAACCTGGCAGGCAGTCCCAGCAGAGCTCGAGCAGACGGTCCATGCCGCGCGACGAGCTCACCTCTGCTGGCTTCAATCAGAGATACGGGCTCGTGACAAAGGCAGCAGTCGAGTCTTTCCACTTTGAGGAAGGCTCATTCTGGCTACACGTCCGAGCGACTTTTGCATCCGGTCTCTCGCTCGTGCTCTACAGACTATACGAACACTTTTATGACTTTCAGATCGCACTCATGAACGAATTCCCGGTAGAGGCGGGGAGGGAGTTGCCGCTGCATGCCAGGCCAGGCGATCGACCTCAGCGAATACTACCGATGATGCCAGGCCCAACATCGCAGGTTGACGAGATCGTATGCGCACAGCGAGTTGCAGACCTGACGATCTATCTGGCCGAGCTCTGTCAGCTACCAAAGTATATTAGAGAGAACGCACTTTTCTTTGACTTCTTGTCGCCTCGCAAGGGCGATGTACAAGTCAACCAGCCCAGCAAAGCGTCAGAACCAGCAGACGGCATGTCGAACGGCATGGAACCGACAGGCAGCGGACGCAGTAGTAATGGTAACGGCCTAACAAATGGCATGTCGTCAATGCGCATCAGTCCGCAAACGACAAGCGCACAGCCGCCGCGAGCGATACCGAGTGCGAGTTCGACGGCGAGCTCGCGTTGGACACCGCCCTCGACATCTACTGCCCACACCTCGGCATCGTCTGATCCTCGCAGCTCTCACGGGCGATCGGGTCTCGTCTCTGCTGGCTCGATACCGCCCGTGCCGCAAACGAACGGTCGTACCTCACAGCCGCTCGCGCCGCTCACTGCGAGCTTCTTGAAGATCAAGGTCTTCCATCGTAACACAGACGATCTCATCGCGATCAGAGTACCGCCGGATGTCAATTTTGTGGGATTGCTCGACAAGATTCGCGATCGCTTGGGCGACAATGTCAACAGGATCCGGTTCCGTGAAGAGGCAGGTATGGGCGTACCGCCAAGCGGGGGTCAGGTGCTCGTGGCGGGTGGGGCGAGATTGATCGAGCTCTGCGACGATGATGATTTCAATTGGTGGACGAGGTCGGGGTGCAAATACATCTTATATGTCGATTAGGGAACGACGTCATCCGCACGATCATGATCTTGTCGGTCTGTGTGTAATCCACGGTTGTACAACACTCTGCATATCACCTCTTCTTGTACACGCACGGTTTCAGCAGGTCTGAAGAGAGCTTCATCAAGTCGTCTTCATTCTCTGTAGCCCTGCCGGTCTTTCGAAATTCGAACAAGATAAAGTGAGTGTTGCTTTTGTCAGTCTTCGACAGCGTAAATCCAGCTTGTTGAACAAGCCGCAGAAAGGCCTTTACGTCTGTAAAGCGCGAGACGACTTCTGCCATGTGAAACAGACCGCCTTGCTTGAGTATCCTCGAGGCTTCCGTGACGCTCTTGATCCAATCTGTGCCCATCAGACTGAGGCAGCAGACGACAGCATCGACAATCTGTGCTCCTGGCGTGTCTCGTGCGCCAGGCAGAGGCACATGACCATTGCATTGAGCTTGTATGATCCAACCGGACTGGTGCCGATCAACGAGGTCAAACGACAAGACGGTGTAGCCCTGCGGAACGAGCGTCTGCGCTAGTCGCGCATCGCCGCAGCCCAAGTCTGCGATGACGTATGGCTTCGAGGCGCTGCGTACTTTTGCTAGTATGAGATCGAGGGGATTGGTCGGCCAAGATGATGCCTGTGACCTGAACCCGACGTGATACTCATCAAAGAGCGACGGATCATCTTGCACGAGCGATAGCGCAGCATCGCCTGTGGTGGTGTACTGTAGCAGCGCGTCAGCACAACGAGCCTCGACAGCTTGAGTAGCGCACGAGTTGCTCATTGATCCAGCGAAAGCGGGCGCCGCCTAGCTTTGACTGCAGCGACTCGCTTAGCGCAGATGGTGAGAACACTGCTTTTGCAGGTCTGGCTGGCTTCTGAGGCAGAGAGGAGCCGCCATTCGCGGGCGGGCCAAGTTTTGCATCTGTAGGCAAGGACGGCTCTTTGGATGACTGAGTCGCGTCTTCGGCGGCTTGCCGCTCAGCATTTCGCTTCCTACGCTTGTTTCGCTTGCTTGTCGAGTGCTCAGACTGCGTTGGGGCATCTGAAGGCTTGGCCTGACGCTTGAGATTCGCCAGAGAGGCTTCGACGTTCAGCGTCGCGGTCGAGGAGGCTGCGTCTGCTAGGGTAGCGTTGGCAAGCGATCCTTTGGGGCGCTTTCGCTTCTTCTGCTTATCGCCTACATCCGCCGGCTCGCCGACTGACCAGCCGGGCACCTCGAAGAGCATCAAGGTCGAGGAGAAATCGAAGAGAGCGAGAGAAGTTTGTCGACGTGTCATTTCGCTTGCTCGCGCTGACGACGACTGGCGCTCGCCTGCCAGCGTGAGACGACATGGTGAGGCGTGCGAGTCTTTGCTGGCCTACTGTCATGCTGACGCTCTATGCCTCATAGTTTCGTAATACGTACGATTCCGACAACACCGTCTTCTCGCCCCAGGGAAGGCTACACCAAGTCGAGTACGCGCTCGAGGCGGTCAAGCAAGGATCTGCTGCTGTGGGGCTGAGGAGCAAGACCCATGTCGTCCTGCTCACGCTCAAGGTCGGCTGAAGCTTCAGTGCAGCTGTGTACGCAAGCTGAGCCTGGTCTTGCTCACTAGCGCTCGACGGGCGAGCTGGCGAGCTACCAGAAGAAGCTGATCCGTATCGACGATCATATCGGCATTGCCATCGCTGGTCTCACGTCAGACGCACGCGTCCTCAGGTCAGCTTTGCTCCTTCCTGCGCGCTTGTCACGGTCTCATACGGGGACTGGGCTACAGCAATTTCATGCGCCAGCAAGCGATGAGCTCGAAAATGGCATACAACCGTCCCATCCCTGTCAAACGAGTCGTCGACACCATTGCAGATCGTGCGTCTCTTCGAGCTACTAGGTTGGCCGTGCTGACCCATCTCGTGCGCGACTGTAGGCGCGCAAGTGAATACGCAAATGTACGGCAAGCGGCCTTATGGCGTCGGCTTCCTCGTCGGCGGACATGATGTCAGTGACGGACGCTTTCAGCTTTCGGCTATCACCTTGCTGAGTGTCTTCGCATTGATTTAGGCGACAGGTCCTCATCTCTACGAGTTCTCACCATCCGGCACGGCGTTTGAGTACTACGCCATGTCGATCGGCGCGCGCAGTCAGAGTGCAAAGACGTATCTCGAGCGCAACTTTGAGGCTTTCCAGGACTGTAAGTCGTTCGGCAGAAAGGATTCCATTGTGCTCATGCGATCGGCCAGGCGATCTGGACGAGCTCATCAAGCACGGTCTGCATGCTCTGCGCGACACGCTGCAACAAGACAAGGAGCTATCTACGCTCAACACGAGCATAGGCGTCGTCGGCGCTCCTGCACCGGCACCACCCGCTCAGCCAGAGTTCGAGCCGACGGGCACGACATCAGATCCGAGCAAGCCCGTGCTGGGCAAACGACCGCCGCCCAACTTCCGCGTCATCGAGGGTGACGATCTGACGCCTTACCTGGCCAAAATGGATCCCAAGGAAGATCCAGCGGCACCGAGAGGGAGTGGAGATGCACCGATAGCACCGACAGGGGACGCAGCGGCGCCGGCAGCGGGAGGGGATACGATGGAGACGGATTGATTGATGATACAACAATCGACGATGCACTGTTACCCTCTGCCTATCATCAATGTGTGCTACATGGGCGCCGTCTTGAGTTGGATGCCGTGCCAATTCTTGACTTCTTCGGCTAGGGCCTCGTTGACGACCCGGTGCTGCTTGATCGTCGAGAGGCCCTTGAAGTCCTTGTGCGCGATCGAGATGGCAAAGAAAGAGCCACAACCTCCTGCGATGGGATCGATGTGTGAGTAGCGTGCTTGCACAGACTGACCCTCGAACGCCTCACCCGACACATCTTGTACCTCGATCCTGCCACCCTTAAAGATCCCCTCTAGCTTCTCCATGACCGCACGCTCCTCCTTGCTGAGCAATGTCGCACTCTCTGAGCTCGTCCCTTCGTCCGTCTGGGCAGATCCGCCCATCCCTCTCGCTGCAGTCTGTGTCGAGCCATCCTCATCCGCGCTGCTGACGCTCGAGGAGGAGTCGACGGGTGTGTAGGCTTCCGAGGGCTCCAAGGGACTCCGATCTGGCGAGTTGGACGGTTGCTGGGTCGGCGGGATGGACGAGCGTGCGACGTAGCCTCTGACCGGCATGGTCGACCTCGCGCTCTGCCTGGGCACGAGCCAGCTTGGCCGGATCAGCATCCTCATCGCTGCCTGGCTCCTCAGCATCGTTTCTCGACGGATCGACTTGTACTTTGCCATCCATCGCGTCGGCGTCATTGTCCCCGATACTGTTGCGCCCCAGAAGGCCAGCGTGTCTGCATGCCTGATGACTCGCTGCAAGCGGCAGGCATCCTCCTAGCCTCTGCAGCGCTCAGGCTGTCCCTCTTCGCCACTTCGCTCCCCGAGAAATTGGCCCTCTGGCCAGAAATATCGACCCCTCTGACGAGCTTTCGACATTGTATGCCACTCTTTCGTCGACCCATATAATATACCGAAGCTGAGCCCTGGAGTAGTACGAGAGGGCGCACATCTTCGTCAGCTTGGCATTGATCCCTATGGCGGCTCAAGTTTCCATCAGGCAAGCTAACGAACCACGTGTACGACAATGTCTGAGCGTGTACCTTGCAGGCACCCGCTCTGCTGGCTCTGTTCTCCAGCGAGTTTCTAGCCTCAAGATGGTCGACAGCTATGGCATGGACAGTGGTAGACCTACTCTCGGCTCTGATTGTCTGTCGACTCGCGCAGCAGAGACCGACGCCCACGCCATTGCGCGTTCTTGCAATGCAAGTCTGCCTCCTTCGCCGTCGCTTCATTGTCGCTGAAGATAGCGATGGTCTGCAGAGCTAGCTTCCATCCCTTCACAATCGTCAGCTGTCTCGCGCGCACCACTGCGCCGCTAGCCCACGCCATCACCCTTGCATCTATCCTTGCAAGCAGCTCAGGTGAGTCTATCCCGCGTATTGCAGCTCATCCGTCTCAAGCAACGCCCAGGACATGGCTACGCTAGCATGATGCTATTGGCTTTGGCTTGTCACGTCTCGCCCGTCGCGATCCTCTTGCTTGCACCCGTCAGCATGCTGTCCCTCAGACAAAGCCCAGGGTCTGTCAGGGTCAGCGCATCCTCCCGTTCATCATTCCTTTTGCTGAAGCCGTAGCGAGCTGGCAGGGTGTGTCACTGATACATTTGAGCATGTTCTTCGTGTCGACCGCAGCGCTGCTTGCCTTCTCACGACTCTGGCTTGGCTCATGGAGTTTCATGGACAGCTACATCGTCTTGTGAGCCCATCATACAGCCTGTTGACCGCAGCTGACCAACTTGGAAGTCTGACGGTGTCTGATCTGACCCCCACGATCGGCCTTTCATGGTATTTCTTCATCGAAATGTTCGACCACTTTCGATCATTCTTTGTCGCCACATTCCAGCTGCATCTGCTCATCTACGTAGCACCCGTCTGTATCAAGCTCAGGTACGCCAGTCACCACGCGTTCAGCAGGACGAGGCTGACGCGTTTCACAGACGCGATCCTTTGTACGCATGTGCGACGATCATAGGCATCGGAAGCCTCTTTCAGAGCTATCCCAGCGTCTCAGACGTGGCACTCTACCATTCGCTTCTGCCTCTATACCCAGAGATAATGCCTCGTACGTAAGCAAACCTTCCGTATGCCAGCTCGCTCACAATGATCGACAAAGACTTGAGGCATCCTATGTTGACGGCTTGTCTGCTGCTCTACGCGACTGCATTACTCAAATCGTTTCATCATCTCTGGCTCTACGCAGGGTCGGGCAACGCCAATTTTTACTATGCTTCCACGCTCGTTTGGAACCTCGGTCTCGGACTCGGTCTGATCGACAACGTCTGGGCTTTCCTGACGCACGACTTCCTGACCAGACACAAGCTGGACAAGGATACCACCGTCGTATCACAGCGGTGACGACCAAAGCAGCCCGAACGACCTTCCCATGCCACTCAAGCTCGAGTCGCTTATGCCGCAAGCGCAAGGTAAGATCACCTGGGCACCGAGACTGTGCATAACGTTACAACGCTCGCGAGTCCAAAAATGCTGCTCGCTCTAGGAAGATCGCTTCGGCTGATGTCGAGCGTGCGGCGCAATGCAAGGGTCTCGCTGGGCTTTCTTGATGGCTCGAGCTCGATGACGACCATGCGACGCTACCGGCGTGCCATTGCAGCTCGTGTAGCAATTGTGGAATGTAGTGCTTTTCGAAATCGTCAGCAGATGCATTGTCGAAAATGATCAGACTCACAAGCCAAGACCAGCAGAGACGGCGACATGGGCACCGGCTCCGACGCCGGTGCCAAGTGGACTGACGATTGCGCCTGCTGCTACATTGGCAGAGACGGCAGCGCCAAAGCCTGCGCCGAAGCCGAGGGATGGAGCGCAGTGCTCAAAGCATTCTTTGGGGCCGCCATTGCCTCGCTCTACGTGTCCAGATGCATATGCAGTCGGCTTGGCTGTCGCGCCACAGATGAGCGCAAAGCACGTCATGATGTATGCTGTCTTCATGCTGACTTGAACGGTGGTGTAATGAATGTGGGGGTCCTACTGCCAATTGTCTGCTGAGATAAGTTGCTGCTCTTGCTCACACATGGCCAGGTTATGTATCTGAGCAGGCAGAAGACAGAAGACTGCGCAAGCATCGAATGACAGATGGAAAGCCGCAGCAGTGGCAGTGGACGCAGCAGAAAGCTCAGTAGGGTCCGTGCGAAAGGCCAAGTCCAGCGATAAGCACACAGACGCGCAAGAGTCAATGCAGGATCTATACGACAGCTTGCAGACGAGCCTGGGGCGATGACTGTTCTTGCTGTTCTTGCACATGCTTGAAATGTATCTTCCGATGTTGAGCGAGCGCGGTCGCTTCCGAGTATGAGCCCGAGCAAATGTCACACTTGAAAGGACGGTCCTTCACGTGGGCTTGGAGATGTCGCATGATCTTCTGTCTCTGAGCGAACGGCTTGCCTTCCTTTGCTCGCGTACAGCCCTCCCACTGACAGGAGTAAGTCGACTTGCCACACCCGACATGCTCCTCGCCGAGATGAGCCATGAGTTTGGCGGTAGTCGAGAACTTGGCAGAACAGCCTGGCCATTTGCAGAGATGCTCTTCGCCCATTTCGCCATCCTTCTGGTCGGCTATATCGACCAAAGCATGGTGTTGAGCGCAGTGAGGTAGACTCTTGCCCCTATGAGAGCATGGCTTGACATGTAGATGACGACGGAGCATCGTTTCTTCCGTTACGGGAGGATTGCGTCGGCGCTTGGGACCGCCTTGAGAGCTTGTCGGGGTAGTAAGAGGTGTCTGGAAGCTTGAGCCGGACGTAAAAGAGGCTGGAGTACTGCCAAAAATGGAACGCGTATCTGTGCATTGCGTCAGTTCAGGATGCATATGCCAGGATGAAAGATTTACCGGAATCGAGACTGGGGGTCGAGGGCACGAAATCGAGCTTGAACTTGGAGAGATCGTTGACCGGGCTACCGCGCTGCTCAGGCACTTGGGCGGCATGAGTTGCGGTGCCGTTTGCCAATGTGTGATGGCCAGCCACGCTGAAGGGCAGTCCCTGCTCGATATGATCGTGCAGAACATGCTGCATGAGAATGCTTGCGGGCGGCGTGGCAGTCGAGCTTGTCTTGATTGTCTCCTGACGGGTCAGGCTGCCAGGCACAGGCATGCCGGCATCACTGGCAGGAAAGGCAAGAGGAGCCGGAAGCATGTAGCAGTCGTCCCACTGGCATCGCAATGCGTCCGTTGGCAGGACATGCTGCGCAAGCGGGGTCGGATCACGCCTTGTATCGATGACATTTTCCTGCTTCGAGGTTGGCAGTATCTGTGTCGGCCATTGCGTCGTCTGGAGCGGCACAAAGGTCTTGTCGGGCGAAGAGGGCGTCGGCCAGGCTATAGCCTCTGGTGTACTGGCGTCTTGCATGTGCGACAGATGAGCCTCGTTGACATGAGCGACGAGCTCCTTCTTGTGGGTAAAGGCAGCATGACAATGAGACCATTCGCAGACAAAGGGCAGATGAGGCGGATGGCAGACAGCAGTATGCGAATGGGGCACCTCACAAGGCTCTTCGTGGCACAGCCACCGGTAGAGACTGTCCTGACTGGCCGGTCTGGCGTCGCTCTCTGGCGGACTGGTCGAGGCGAGCGAGCTCCTGCCGTGTGTGATGGGCGACAGTCGCGTCAAGCCGGGCAAGGGCTCCTGGAGTCCCTCTCGAGGATGGGCGAGGTTGGATGTAGACGGAGTGGGATGATCAGCAGCTGCTGCGCAACAGCAGCAGTCGAGGATCTCCTTGAGCGTCTCTTCGTGCCCCCAATCGATGCCCGACCATGACGGAGGCATGGCTTGATCTGACGGGCCAGTGCCGAGTGGATGGACTGCATCGAGTTTTGAGGAGCCCTGAGCGAACCAGGCAGCGTCACAGGTCTCTTGAGGCTCGCAGCAGCCAGTAGAGGGGCAGCATCCGCCTTGTGCGGTAGCCAGTCTGCAGTCAGGGCAGCCCTCTTCAAAGTTGGCCTCCTCGGACCGAGCTTGGACGAGCATGCTGTCCGACTGATCCTGGGCTGATCAGGACGTCGTGCTCACCTGTCCGAGGTGCAGCTGTAGCGAGCGAACGCTGCACGCTGGGAGGATGAGGAGCTTGCACGTGATTTTTCCGACAGTGCCAGCGCCTTTCGCCCGAGTGCTATTGCGACCTTTGACAAGCCTGTGAGTCCGACCTTGCTAGGGCGAGCAGCCGCTGCATTTGCGCAAACGGCTGCCGACGACGTAGCGAGAGCGCTCGGCGGCTGCAGCGCCCGAATAGAGAGCAAAAGGCTGACTGCCTCCTTGTGCGCCAGATATCACAAGAGCGAGCAAGCATGGGAGGCCTGAAAGATATCGTACCTGTAAGCGAAATCTTGCATGAGGGGTCTATGCCCGTTCTGATGAGACACACGGCTTGACAGGCGTGAGTCAGCTCGGCAGCTCCTCCTCTCCCAACGCGACAGCCCACCGTACCTCGAGAGCTCTACGTCGCCTTCCCTTCTTTCTCGACCGCTCCTCGCAGACTGATCTCGAGCGTTGCTGATCACATGCTCAAAGGGGTGTCGTCACCGGCGAGAACCTCGTCAAACTCATGGCACACGCCAAGAAGGAACAGGTTCGTTCCTACTTGCATCTCCAAAATGTCAGCTGACCCGTGTGCTGCGCAGTATGCTATGCCCGTGAGCTGCATGCGCATGTTCTACCTCTCGTCTGCTGACTGACTGGCCTTGTGCCCTCCCTACGCTCAGGCATTCGTAGGTGGCGCTCGTGCAGCGCGCCGTGCCAAGCTGACTTGAGAGCTGCAGAACTGCACCTCGTCATCAACCGTCGTCGCAGTCCTCGAGGCTGCACGCGACGCAAAGGCGCCCGTTCAGATCCAAGTATCTCAGGGTGGCGCTGCTTTCTTCGGTGGCAAAGGTCTCAAGAACGACAAGCAGCAAGGCTCAATTGCAGGCGCCGTCGCTGCAGCCCACTACGTTCGCGCCATCGCACCCGCGTACGGCGTCCCCGTCGTGCTCCACTCGGATCACTGCGCAAAGAAGCTTTTGCCCTGGTTCGACGGCATGCTCGAGGCAGACGAGGCCTATTACAAGGAGCACAAGGAGCCCCTCTTCTCGTCCCACATGCTCGATCTCTCCGAGGAGAGCAAGGAGGAGAACATCGAAATTTGTGTCAAGTACCTCGAGCGAATGGCAAAGATCAACCTCTGGCTCGAGATGGAAATTGGCATCACAGGTCAGTCCGCCTTACGCGAGCCCGCTCCGCGCTGACATACTGCTCGCATGCAGGTGGCGAGGAGGACGGCGTCAATAACGAGAACGTCGACAATGCGAGCTTGTACACGCAGCCAGAAGACATCTGGGATATCTACCAAGCCTTTTCCAAGGTGACCAACATGTTCTCGATTGCCGCTGCCTTCGGCAACGTTCACGGCGTCTACAAGCCCGGCAACGTCCGCCTCCATCCCGAGCTGCTCGCCAAGCACCAGGCATACGTCAAGGACCAGCTCAAGACTGATGATCCTCGTCCCGTCTTCCTCGTCTTCCACGGTGGCTCCGGCTCGACCAAAGATGAGATTGCCACCGCGCTCAACAATGGCGTCGTCAAGATGAACGTCGATACAGGTGGGCCTCTTTCGCCGCTGACTGGCTTGTGGCTGATCGCATGGCTTACACAGACACGCAATACGCCTACTGCGTCGGCTTCCGTGACTACTTCAAGAAGAACGCCGACTACGTCGCCACTCAGGTCGGCAACCCAGACAAGCCAGATGGACCCAACAAGAAGTACTACGATCCTCGCGTATGGGTCCGCAAGGGAGAAGAGACAATGAAGGAGCGATGCACAGAAGCGCTCAATGATTTGCGCTGCGTTGGTCGTCTCTAAAGATCTTGTAGCTAGAAAAGCACAATGAAACTGCTGCGAGTCGGAACAACATGACTAGTCAACTCAATCGCGTGGCTTCTTCCTGCTCGCCTCATCCTGATCGAGACCGCGCTTGCTGCCCTTCTTGGCTTCGTCAAGGAAAGCCGACACGCCAAAGGGATCTGCCGTCGTGTCCTTCTCAAATTGAACTGGACCCGTGCGCGTTTCTTGCAAGTCTGCACCCTCGAAGCCCTTGCGGGCGACGCCGAGACCGAATCGGTCGTTGTTGAGGGCCTTCTTGATGCCTTCTTCGTTGCCGCCGCCGTAAGCCTCGTCGTCCTGCGAATCTTGCAAAGGCTTATAGATTGCTGCTGCTGCATTCGAGCCCTGGAAGAGCGGTCGGTCATACAGATTATATGAGTCATCATCTGCAAAGCCAGATGGCAGTGATTCTTGATTGAACAAGCGAGAGTCGAGCATGGATTCTTTGGACAATGTCGGTTTGGCTAGACCGAGCGCAATCTTTTCCGATATATCCCTACCTTGTGCTCTGCACATCAAAGATATGTCAGCGAAGGCTGCTGACGATACAGAAATGACTTGCCTGGCCATCACACGCGCCCGCTGTTCGGTACCCATGTTGTTCATCCTGAGCTCGCGCTCGCGCTCTTTGCGTCGCTCTGCTCTCATTTGCTCTCGCTTCCTGATCTCTTCCTCATCCTCCTCATCATCGTCTGACTCGGACGCGGCACGGGGTTTGGTAGCAACGGCCTGCTCTGCTTCGTCGGAATCTGAATCGGATCCATAGCCCGCCAGAGCAGCAGGTAATGCGCCTCCTGTGCCTGCTACACGACCAGCCGTGCTTGTCGCGGGGAGTCCGGATCGCTGATCCCGTGCTCTCTGAGCGAGCTGTCGCAAATTCTCCTCTTTGGCCTGCTTCTCCTTTTGCGCAATCGCTTGCTGGAGTTGTGATCGCTGCCGGACCTCCTCTCTCGCGTGACGATCGGCGAGATAGAGCGATTCCGAGAGTGTAGCGAAACGATCATTGATATGTACATCTTGCAGACCTCTGCCGTCTGCAGCCAATCGCTTGTCGAGCGGGATGGTGTAGCCCTTGTTGTTCTTCCAATTGGAGATACAGGGAGGTATCATCCAGTCTGAGACATCCTGCGGTGTGATCTTGCGTGGTGGCGAGCGTAGGATGGGCGCAGGAGGCGAGGGCGGCCCTCTTGGGATCTTTCTATGCTTGAACCGTGGCGGCTCGAGCGGATCCTCGACGACCTCGGACATCCTGATGATACGCTGCTGACCGGCCGTGCCCGATGCAGGCGTGTAACGGATGAAGGACTCCTTGCCTTGCTTCTGTATGCCGGAAGCTGGCTGGGCGGCTTTGATCTTTGACTGGGTAATCTTTTCGAGCGCGAGTCTTGTCTTTTCGGCCGTCGACAGCACTTCCTCCTCGCTCGGTCGCTCCATCTCGGCATTGTTGATGTCGGTCCGGTGTGCCATCGGGATGAGATCCTTGAACTGGGACTGAATGATCCGGCCATCGCGGTGGCCTTGGTGGGCGATCGCATCGTATCTCACCTTTCCCTCTGCGTCAACCTGTAGAGCCAGCGTGTTCCCACTGGAGGACTGCTCAACGTGCATGAGCAGATGCGTACTGTCTCGTGTCAACAGTGTCGGCTCACATGTTTCTTCCGCCCAAGGTCGAGAGGAAATTGAGCGATGTGGCATTCAGGATAGGCGCCGCCATCGCCAAAGTCGTCTGCTTTGGAGGGTCGCCATGAGGCACGATGACCGTAGCTTGGTACCTGTGATCGTAGAGCGAGTGTCTGCTCTATGGCTGCGGGCAGAGCGTCGTCGACTGCCGCTGGCTCGCTTGATACATACTTGGGCGCAGGCAGGAGACTGATGTACGGGCAGAGCATGAGCTGCTGCTCGCTGACTGAGCAAGCCTGTACACTCACCTAGCTAGCACGCTGGTCATGTCGTGCAGTCTGATGCCTGCCTGGCTGGCTGACGATGATTGCCCTGCTGCCTGCCGCCTGACTGAGCGACTCGTCTCGGGAAAAAAAAGGGTCTCGCGCCGCGACAGGCAGCGACCCGAGCTGGCGTGGCAAAGCGCACGGAGCAGCTCAGAAGCAGCCCAAAGCGAGCACACGACCCCTTGCTGGCTCTACAGTCCCACCGTACAGCAGCTCGCTTGCTCAGTGCAAGCAAAGCGCACTCGTAAGCGGGACCAGCGCGCAGTCAGCAACGCGCTCACGACCTGAGCGACTCACAGCCTTGTCTCAGCAGTCAGCCAGCCGGAGCATGTCAGCCGCGAGCGTGCCAGAGGGCTCTGCGTACGACGCCCCCGACGAATCCACTGAGACACCCGTTGGCAAGACGAGTGGCCGACAGAGTCGAGATGCCTCTCTGAGCAAGAGCGCGGCTATCAGGCATACACTGGAACGGCAAGGTGTGCCTGATAGCGACGGAGGGGAGCTTACCACACCTACCCATCAGTCAGACTTGGCTAGATACGAACAACAGAATGGCATCGTCCGGCCAAAGGCCCTCCAGAGATCGATGAGCTCCCAAAGGTCTACCGACCCGCTCGCGTCGCCCTCTGCCGATCCACCGAGCAGGCCGCCATCGACCTATTTTGAGCATCTCGATGGATCAGCCCATCAGGCCCAGCTCGACAGATCTGCCAGCAGACGCGCTTCGACTGTCTCTGTCTCGTCAGATGCCAAGCCGGATGTCTCGTCTGGCCTCACAAAGTCTGCGCTCAACTCGCCTAGGTTCGAGCGAGCGGTCTCCTCCTCGTCCGATAGCAGTCGCTCTACCGGCCTCAGTCAGTCTTCGCCTTTGCTGAGCGCACAAGCCCCAAATGACAGCCATGACGACACCCTCAGTCCCTACGAGGAGGGCGAAGCGTCGAATTCCGTCCTGACGCTATCCGCGCCTGCGAGGGCGATCCCTGTGCGAATACGAGATTTCGCCTTTCCGTCTGACGATCCAAGATATGTCGGAAAGCCCCATCCTGATATGATAGAACACGAGCGCAGACGGGCTGCTGCTGCCCAAGCAGGCTCGAGCGATTTCCCCAGCATGGACTTGAGCTCACGGCTGCCCGAAGAAGCCCTGGCAGAGGACAGCGACGAAGAGGCTGCAGGCGAAGAAGCCAGACGGTCAGGCGCTTCTCCGGGCGCATTCTATTGGGGCTTCACTACCTCTGCAGACAAAGCTCAAGGCGACGAAGCGTTCTATCGACCGAGATACAAGCTCGATTCAAACTCTTCGCAAGCAGACGACGACGAGCTAGATTCGCATTCTGAGCCTCTAGAGGGTCAAGAGTCTGAAGAGTTGCCTGCCATCGAGCCCGGCAGTCTCTACAAGGCCAATTATGCCTTTACTGCAGAAACACCTCAGGAGATGTCGTTGATCGAGGGAGAGATCGTCAAAGTCTACGAGCGACTCTGCGAGGGATGGGTCATCGCCGCCAAGATGACCCCCGCAGGAGATGAGAGTTCGTCTGCTTCGATGGGCTCGACCAAGGAAGAGGCGGAGGAAGAGCAGGGCCTGATACCAGAGAGCTACCTTACGCTTGTCGGCTAGCTGGCCTAGCCATATGAGCCATAGCTAGCTTAGCGCGGTCAGGTGAGCCTATGCTGCATTCTGATCAGACAACCAAGTCTGATATGCGTTTGGAGGCCACGGCTGCGTCTGCTGCCCGCCTGATCGTCGTATACGCCTCATCGATATGCTCAGCTTGCGTTTGAGGCGAGCCAATAGCGAACCGGATACAAGTGCGGCCACTCAGAACTGTCTGCGTGAGCATGATGCTCCTGTCTTGGCTCAGCCGCTCGACTAGCTCTGCGTTGAGCGCATTCGTCTCTTCTGCCGATTCTTGTGCTCTCGCCTTTAGCCGGAAGACGACGAGAGACCAGCGACGAGATGTCACGAGCTCGAAATCGGCATCTTCGACAAGCAACTTCTCGAGTCGTTCGGCGAGGGCGATGCCAGCTCGAATGTGGCGCTGGAAGCCCTCGACGCCGTAGCTCTTCAGTACAAAGTAGATCTGTTGAATGAAGAATGAGTAGGTGTTGACGACCATACACCCCTTGTACAGACCTTGAGAGATCGGAATCGCCGCCCGAGTGAGATCTGCATGTTCCTATAATCGATCACTGCCCTCGCCATATCGTCAGTGAGCGATGCAAGGATTGTTGAGCGATCCGCGCACCCGAGTCTGAGAACTGATTGCGCAAAAAGGGCGGCGTTATGTCGAGCGCATCTGTCAGCTGAGTTCTGTCCCTTGTCCAGAGACAGTTCGCGTCAAAGGTGACGAGGCCCCATTTGTGCATGTTTGTAGAAAAGGATGTGACTTCGCCATATGCGAATGATCTGGCCTTATTGGCCGCCTGGACGGTCAAGCCCGAGCGACAATTGATTGCCGACAGTCCAGCTTCGTCTCTGTGTTCTGGACAAGCGAGGACGACGCCAGCCCAGGCAGCATCTATGTGAATATACAGTGTCGGACAGGCTCTTGCTGCTCCGAGTATGCCCTCGAGATCGTCTATCGCGCCAGAGCTGGTCGAGCCGAGCGTGGCAATAAGTATACATGGAACCTCGTCTTTCGCCTTCGCATCCGCCAGGGCTAAAGCTAGCGTCGACTCTGTGAGCGCATAGCCGTCTTGCGCGCGAGTGGGCAGGGTTCGGACGGGCAGACCCAGGATGAGGCCAGCCTTGGCTCCTAGCGAGTGTGTCTGATCTGTGACCCAGATCGAGAGCCGAGAAGAAAAGGCAGAGACCTGACCGCGGACATAGCTTGCATCGACGATCTGCAAAGCTCGCTCTCGTGCTGCTATACATATGGTGACTGTGCTCTCGCTGGCGGATCCCATAATGATGCCACCTCCGGGCGCTTGCTCGTTGGTGAAAGAGAGATCGAGACCAAAGAGCAGAGCTGTCCAGCGCATCATGAGCGTCTCTAGTTCTGTACAGACGGGCGAGCAGGACCTGAACCTCAAAGAGTCAGTAGGGTGATCGTGATGATCAATTGGACAAGCAGGACCAATTGAAGCCGGGGTTGCTGACTGCTCCGACGAGCAGGTCTGCTAGGATAGATTCAAAGGTCGTGTTGGCTGGGAAGTAAGCGAAAAATGAGGGGTGTTGCCAATGAGAAATGCCGGGCAGGACGAGGTGATTGAAGTCCTTGAGCAAATCAGAGCTCGGCTGACCCTTGGCGGGCGGCTCTCGAGCGAACGAGGCGGCACAATCGCCGGGCTTGACACTTGACTCGACATCCCTCTCTGACAGGGTTTCAAAGTAGGAAGCGATCTGCTCAATGGCTGCATGTCCAACCTCTCGGAATCTGGAGAGTGCTGTTTGAGCAGCCGATCTCGAGCGGGTCGCTCAGGCTCACTCGTCAGCGTTCATCGATGTCTCTGGCGATGTTGCGTCGATCAACACGGAGGGGGGAAGCGGATGTCTAGGCTCTTGCTGCCATCCATGGTTGCCCGGTGAGGACGATCGCGTCGCGACAGTAGCGAGCGAGCCAGCTGCCAGCCGCCCAGAGACCTGACGAGCAATGGCGATGCTGACTGACCAGGGATCGATACGCTGCACGCCTCACTACAGCTGAGCTTGTGATCGGCACCTCTGATAGGCTGGCTCATCGTCACAGGCACGCTTGGGATGAGCTTGCACCGTCACCGCGAGCCAAGAACAGCAATTGTTGACAAGCCCAGCCTGCCGTCTGCGTCTCGGACACTCCTCAATCAGAACAGAGACCATAGGCTGACCCTCGACGGCGAGCCGCTCGAGCAGGGCAAGCCCTTCCGGCCAGACTCCGGCGCAGTGAGCTTTCCCGCGCAGTCGCCTGCCTTTCCGCCTCCATCACTGGACGGTCTAGCACCTCTGCCTGCCCCCATCAAGGAAGCAGGGCGACACAAACGACACGCCTCTGCTGCATCGAGCTTCCATCTTCCCACAGCCCGAGCCAGCGCGCTCGCCCACCGGATCAGCCTCGAGTCGGTCGACACCGCCAAGACTGCTGCCCACGGCCGCGAGGAGGGAGCCATGATTGCTACGCGATCGAGCTTGCCGCCCAAGTCGGCTCGCAGACCGAGTGCGCCTCAGATAGATGGGCCTGCAGAAGCGAGCACGTCTGCCAGCTCTCCGAGACTAGCAACTGGCGATTACACGAGCAGGCCGACCTCCTCTTCGGCCGTTTCGCCGAGTCAGGGTTCCTCAAAGGTCCTTCTGACGACTGCATTGCAGACCGCACAAAAGGCAGTCGAGTACGATGGCGACAACCGCGTGCACGAGGCCCTGCAGGCCTACAAGACTTCCGTCGATCTCTTGCAGGAGGTCATGACGCGCGTCGAAGAGACGGCGCTCACTCGGCGGGCGAAGGCCATAGAGCGGGAGGACCGGCTTGCGCAGACTGCCCTTGCCAATCCCGAGTCGGAAGAGGCGCGTCAAGACAGGGTCAGAGCGGCGGAGAAGGCAGAGAAGCGCGAGAAGGACCGTCTCGAAGAGGGTCGTCGCCTCAAAGTGATTGTGTGTCACGCTTCAGTCATTTCAGGAGAGTCGCATACTGACGAGTGATCCTCTGTCGCGCAGCACGACACTTACACGGAGCGGATCAAGATGCTGCAGATTATTGTAGATACACAGACCGCCGAGCTTGTGCCTGTCAAGAGCCAATCCACACAGAGTAGCCGAGACTCGGTAGATCCGACAGACACAAGCGCTATCGGACAGGCTATGCTCATGCCTGCTTCGCCGCAGAGGTCCCTGCAGCCCATCAAAGCCAACGAAGTCATGCCGCCTATTGCGGCAGGCTCGAGCCTCAGGTCCAGTGTCACAGTCGATGCGCCTCGGTACGGGCATGCACACAAGCGCTCGAGTGGGCTTTCCGGCCGGTTCAAGCGTCGCAGCAAAGACTCGAGCCATCGCGAATCACAACTGCTAGGCGGTGCTGAGAGCAGCGTGCCCATGTCGCCCGAGGCCAGTCAGACGCCCAGTATGGCATCCGTCGGCGAAGCGCAAGATGCCGTCATGATGCGCACAGAGAGTACAGTCACGTATACTTCAGTGACTGCAGTGCAAGGCACAGACGACGAGCGGGGACCGGCCACAACCGTCCGGACAGCAAGCTATCCTAGGCGCAAGCCCCCGCCTCTGGGTCCGCTTCCTCGACCGGGCTCGGTGGCAGGCTCAAGGGCGCTTTCACCTCATCCTTCAGAAGCTTCCTCCCTGTCACGCAAGTCTTCGATCTCGGCCAGAGAATCAATCACGGAAGAGCAAAGGCGCGAGCTGTTACTAGGTCAGCAGGAGCTTCACCAGGCAAATACTGGATCGTCGACTGCAATGGGACGGACACGCTCTTTCTCGCAGCCGATCAAGAAGGCTGTTCCGCCTCCTGTCGGACCACCGCCATCTGCTCCACTGCCCGCGCCGAAAGTCTATCCGGGCCTCAGCATGGAAGGCGTCGATTCTCGCAGGGCTCCTTACGACAGCCTTACGCACGGCAATGTTCCAGAAACGCCGACTTCGGATCCTTTCCCTTCTGATCTGGGCGCGACAATCATCGAACAGCGCTCTGCAGCTGGACAAGTGGCGGATCTGCTGACGCTGCCTAGCAGTCCCCTCAGACGGCCACTACACATCTTGCGTTTGCTAGAGATGTCCATTACTGATGGCGGCTTCGTCACGCCGAGGCTGTTCATCCCGCCGCAGATATGGGCGCAGTCTAGGATCAAGTTGACCGCAACAGAAACGAAACTGAGGATACTCGAAGCTGTCTCACAAGGACTGGAAATACTTGAGAAGGAAGGCCGCGATATGCTCAAGCCGTCGAGTAACAGGACGCCTTATCAGGCAGCAAAAGGATTCGCGAAGGAGCTAGAGAGCTTTGGAGACTTGCTGGACGAGCTACAGGGTGACTCGGCGAAGAAGCTTGGCTTCACGGACACGAGTCGGAAAAAGTCTTTTGGCGCTTCGTGGAGTTCGAAGCTGTCAAAGTCGATTGCTGGCATGACGAGCAGCAAGGGGTATGTATACGGAGCCTCCTCTTCGACTGTTCAGCTAATGGTGCCGGATCAGGCTTGAGTCGCCTGGCGCATACACGAGTTCTCTTGCACGGTGCTTCGCCCAAGCGCAATCACTGGGTTCGTGAATCGCTTGCTGATGACGAGCGTCACTCACAGTCGCATGCACAGATCCTCACTGTCAGTGCCTAGAGAGTCCGGAGAAAACACGGTACGCCGAAGTACCGGCAGATCTGCGGAAGCAGATTGACGCGCGACTCCGACGAAGCTCAGATTTCTTCGCGAGCATTGTGATACCGTTTGTGATGCAAGATCTTGCGCTCATGCTCGACAAGTATGCCAAGCGAGCGGCGAGCTGGTGTGCTGACTAGCCTCGCCATTCTTGTTGTACATTGCAAGTCTTTTGAACTCCCTCTGGAGCTCTGCGCCTTTGCGCCTTTGCCTCCGTCGCGTCTCACTTTTTGCCAAAGCGCCTCAGCTCGACGGAAATTCCTCAGAGCCAGACTGTCCAGCATGGCGAGCATACAGGCAGCCTCGACTGCCGGGCGAGATGCGCGAGTGTCGTCGCACACTCACATCAGAGGACTTGGCCTGGACGAAGAAGGTTTCGCACCTGACGACGCAGCAGGGTTCGTCGGCCAAAAGCAAGCGAGAGAGGTGAGCGAGACAGCACTGTAGGCCAGCTTGTGGCCTGATCTGTTGTTCGTAGGCTTGCGGTATCGTCCTCGACCTGATAAAGACGAAGCGCTTCTCGGGCAGGGCTCTCTTGCTCGCCGGTGGTCCAGGCACAGGCAAGACAGCGCTCGCACTTGCCATCTCTCAGGAGCTGGGCTCGAAGGTACCCTTCTGCCCCATGGTCGGCAGCGAGGTGTACAGCAACGAGGTCAAGAAGACGGAGGTGCTCATGGAGAACTTCAGGAGAGCGATAGGTAGGCCTGATGCCTCTATACTTGGCTCACTCGTGCTCACACTGCGGGCGTTTGCAGGTCTGCGAGTCAAGGAGACCAAAGAGGTCTACGAGGGCGAGGTGACGGAGCTGTCGCCTGCAGAGGCAGAGAATCCTCTCACCGGCTACGGCAAGACGATATCGCATGTCATTGTCTCGCTCAAGACGGTCAAGGGTGTCAAGCAGCTCAGACTCGACCCCAGCATCTATGAAAGCATCCAGAAGGAGCGTGTCACCGTTGGCGACGTCATCTACATCGAAGCCAACACGGGCGCTGTCAAGGTCTGTCTGTCTCCTCGCATTTTTTGGCAGTCGCACTGATGTAGAGCCACACAGCGCGTTGGACGGTCTGACGCTTATGCGACCGAATTTGACCTCGAAGCCGAGGAATATGTGCCGCTACCGAAAGGCGAGGTCCACAAGAAGAAGGAGATCATTCAGGATGTCACCCTGCACGATCTCGACATGGCCAACGCGAAGCCGCAGGGGGGTCAAGACGTGATGAGCGTCATGGGCCAACTCGTCAAGGGCCAGAGGACGGAAGTGACCGACAAGCTGAGGGCTGAAATCAACAAGGTCGTCGACAAGTATATCGATCAGGGCATCGCCGAACTCGTACCTGGCGTTCTGTTCATCGACGAAGTTCACATGCTCGATATCGAGTCCTTCACCTATCTCAATCGAGCACTAGAATCCACAATCTCGCCTATTGTCATCGTAGCTTCCAATAGAGGCCTTGCGACCATCAGGGGCACAGAAGGCGACGGATCCAATGCAGGCGACGGGATCGTTAGCCCTCATGGCGTGCCCGTCGACTTACTCGATCGCTGCATGATTGTGCGCACGATGCCTTATGTGCGAGCAGAGATCAAGAAGATTCTCGAGCTACGCTCCCGAGTGGAAGGCCTTACTGTGCAGCCTGCCGCAATAGAAAAGCTTGCCGACGAGGGCGTGCGCACTTCACTGAGGTACGATGGCATGTCGCATTGTTTCATTTCATTCCCTGATGTACTGCTACGACAACAGGTTCGCGCTGCAACTGCTTACACCGGCATCAATACTCGCAAAAATCAATGGACGTTCGGAGATACAGCTGGCAGACGTCGAGGAGACGTCAGGCACGCTCTTCCTTGACGCTCGCTCGTCTGCCAGACTGCTTGCCACCCAAGCTGCTTCTGAATCAACAGCGGGGCGATCCGAATATCTCAGGTGAATACATTCAATGGACCTTGTTGTAAAGCGAGTGCAAATGCTCGTCTTGTCACCGGCTAGCTCGACGCGAGCACCCAGTCCCCATAGAGCGCTTTAAGTCGGCTCTCTACACGCTGAAGCACGCTGAATGGATATGAGTGTACTGAGCGTAAGGTGAAGCTAAGAGACCTACGCGATAGGTAGCTGAGCTGCATCTGCTGCAACAAGGACATCGCGCCAGTCGCTCGGGGTCCGGCTTGCCATATTCCGCAGACAATGAGCAGGGTTATACGCGAGCGGCATGCCTGGCACGTCATCGCCCGTCGGCGGAGCGATATGCATGCTATCGTCTTCCAAGAGCTCCATCTTGACGCGCTTCGCTCGTCCGGATCTGTACGCGTTGCGAGGCGGATTCTCGATGAGCGAGATCCGTCGAAAGGCGAGATGGTCTAGCGTGAGCGTCAAGGCGCGAAGGATCGTCTCACTTGCGCTCTGGCTGACTGTCTCGAGACTGTCCAGAACGTCATCGTCTGTAAGGTCGGAGAATGCGGGCTTCAGCCGCAGCTGCTCAGTCGCGAGGGTTTCCAATTCGTCTTCTAGTGAGGATGCCGCCTGATTGTTGCTCAGTGCGTACGTCTCCTTTATGCCAGGCCAAGCAGCGGCACTTGGCGCAATATGTTCGTAGCTTCTCCCATCAGAGGGCATCGACAGTCCGGTCGCTTGGCTGTTGCTCCGTCTGATAGCGCGCTCTTGCGTTGGAGTGAGCCACTGCAGATTCAACGGCCATGTCGTGTCAAGTCGCTCGATGACCTCAGCTGCAGTAGGCGGGATGAAGATAGAGAACCTCTTCTGCCCTCTCTTTGCGCCAGACTCTATCCGCACAGGCTCTGCAGGTCGATCAAAGACGTGCAGGCCCCGTTTGAGAGCCTCTCTTCGCGCGAGTCCTGCATGAGGGCGCGCGTTCACATCAATGGCGCCTCTGGCCCACTCGGCTGTCAGAAGAGCTTTGCTGAGATCTCTTGTCGGCTCTGCAAAGCAGGCGGCAGCGAGCTTGCGCTCAAAGTATGTGACTGGATTGCGCTGGGCTGCGTTGTCATCTTCCTCATCAACACCGGGAGAGACAGAGCCGATGGAGCTCGAGCGTGACGAAGGCTGTCGGAGGGTCTCATCGAGCTCTGCTGCGCTCATCGATCATCGATGCATCCTTCTCGCTGCCTTGTCGGACCTGTCGCCCTGAGCTCGGGCAGAACACGTCAACAGTTCCGGTCGACCGGCCCGCCATCAGAAGTTGCTGCTCCGATCGCGCGCCTCGGTAGTTTCCGCTTTCAGCAGCACACCTTGCAGCAGATGATCGGCAAGACAGCAGCACGACTGAGCGGTACAGCGACCCGAACGCTTGCAGCAAGGCAAAGGCAGGCAGCATCAGGCCTGCCTGTAGCCAGAAGGTCCGCCGTTTCCACCGACTGAGCATGACCCTGTCCCCTCGAGACTGATGCCGATCGAGCGCACAGATGCCTTGCGACAGAAGCCTCACCACTTCAGCCGACATCTCTGTTCACTTTCACCGAGGAAGAGAACATGCTGCGCGAATCTGGTCAGTCCCAATGCATTTACACAGTCACGCCACGCTCATCGTTCATCACGATTTAGTACAAAAGTTTGCGCAAGACATGGTCGTTCCCAGAGTGCGAGAGATGGATGAGGCAGAGAAGATGGATCCTGCAATCATCAAGGGTCTCTTTGACCAAGGCGTGAGTCCAAAAACGATCGCTGCTGCGCACTCGCGCTTACGTGCGCGTGGATCAGTTCATGGCTGTCGAGACGGCTGCAGACCTAGGCGGTGCCGAGTGCAGCTTCACCAGTGCGATCATCGTCATCGAGGGTAAGTCCATCACCGGCAGATAGCGCGTGCATGCTGAAGAGGTATGCAGAACTGGCCAAGATCGATGCTTCAGTGTCTGTCCTGTGTGACGTTCATAACACGCTCGTAAACACGCTAGTGCGCAAGCATGCCAGCGAGGAGATGAAGAAGAAGTATCTGCCAATTCTCAGTACAGAGAAGGTGCGCTTTCGCGCTGGCAGTGGATGGCAGCTGATGCAGACCCATAGCTCGGATCGTTCGCCCTTTCTGAGCCGGCCTCTGGATCAGATGCCTTTGCGCTGCAAACGCGCGCCGAGAAGAAGGACGACCACTACCTACTGAATGGCAGCAAGATGTGGATCACCAACGCAGGCGAGGCAGAAATCTTCCTCGTATGTCTCGCAATCTACAGAATGTGGCCTCACTGATATCACCTATAGGTGTTCGCCAATCTAGATCCATCGAAAGGCTACAAGGGTATCACTTGCTTCCTCGTCGAAAAGGAAATGGGCGTGCAGATCGCGAAGAAGGAGCAGAAGCTGGGTATCCGCGCCTCGTCGACTTGCACTCTCAACTTTGACGACGTCAAGGTCCCGCTTGCCAATTTGCTCGGCAAGGAAGGCGAAGGCTATAAGTATGCTATCGAGATCCTGAACGAGGGTCGCATCGGAATAGCAGCTCAGATGGTCGGTCTTGCCCAAGGCGCTTTCGAAAAGTCCATTGGGGCGACCTATCAGCGCAAGCAGTTCGGCAAGCCAGTTGGCGAGTTCCAGGGCATGCAGTTCCAGTTTGCCGAGATTCACACCATGATCGAATCCGCGCGTCTGCTGACTTACAACGCCGCGAGACTCAAGGAGGAGGGCAAGCCATTCACAAAGGAGGCCGCCATGGCAAAGTGGTGGTCATCCGAGGTAGCTCAGAAGGCGTCAGGCTCGGCTATCGAATGGGCAGGAGGTCTCGGCTTTACCCGCGAGATTGGCATAGAGAAGTACTGGCGTGACAGCAAGATCGGCGCAATCTATGAGGGCACCTCAAACATCCAGCGACTGACGATCGCCAAATTCCTTCAGAAGCAATACGGCCAGTAGCCCGACCAGGATACGCTCAGCGCGGCTTGTATGATGCAATGCATCTGGTAGCGCCTCCTGATTATGCCTTGGTCTGACTCGCTTGCCAGGCCGTGAAGTCTTGGTGAAGAGCTCTTTGGGTTTCCTGGCCTTTCTTGAGCTTTTTGAGTTGGCCTTTCGACAGCGGCTCGCCGGCAGCGTCCTGTGTCGGTATGCCATCGCTGTCGAATTCGCTGTACAGGTCCGTCTGTGACCTGTAGAGCTGCTCAGGCGGTATGCGTCCCCGCTCGAGCTTCTCTATCCGTTTGCGCTCCGTCTCTGCAAGATTCGCAGCTTTCGCTGCTGCCTTATCGGAAGCTGCTTTCAGCTTTGCATCTCGATCTGCGCGCAATGACTCCGCGGGCACGAGCTTCACGAGGGCCTTGCCGTCTTCTTGGTCATCCAAAGCTACGCCCAAATCGATGAGATCGTCGTCGCGCAAGCGATCACAAAGTGCGAGAAGCTCCTGGCTCGGTGCGCTACTTCTTGCGAGCTGCCGGATCTGGTCTCTGAATGTCGATAGGACGCGCACATACGGCATCGCAACATCATCGGCCTGAGGAATGTCAGCTGAATCGCAGACAGCCCAAGAAGCTTACATTGGCGCCACTCGTCGAGTCTGTTCCCCAGCCAATCTGTACGAGCTTATCGTTCGATAGGCCGAGCATTGAGACCATGTCAGTGATCCAGATCGCGCAGGCCGCTAGTGTGTCTATGTTGATGTTTCGCTTGCCCTGGGCAATGTATTCATTGCCATCACGTAGGACATCTAGCAAAGTCTTGAGAGCAGTTGTGGTATCGAAGGAGTCGGACAGCGCCGCGCGAAAGCGAGCTTGCGCATGGGAGAGCCTGCAAATATGGATGAGCATCGCTGTGCAGCAGTATGCAGGAGCGTACGAAGACATCAGACGCCTTTCCGGCTCATTGTACGAATGCCGCCCTGTATCACTTGGGCCTACAGACGCTTCTGCGACCAGGGCCTTGACATTCGTGAAAAACTTGGTAAAGGTGCCCTCTATCGCCTTTGCCTCGGTCATGGCGCTCTCTTTGAAGTCATAGCCAAGATTCCACGTAGACATGAGAAATGCTATCCGCATCTGCCGAGCAGTGTAGCGTGACAGAGCCTCGTCAATGGTAATGAAGTTCTTGAGAGACTTGCTCATCTTCATGCCTTCGATATGCAGATGCCCAGTGTGCAAGAAATAGTTTGTCCATTGCCTGCAGCCGTGGTAGGCCTCGCTTTGGGCGATCTCATTGTCATGGTGTGGGAATGTTAGGTCGATGCCTCCGGAGTGGATGTCCATTCCCTGTCCGAAGACGTGATCTGCCATGACGGAGCATTCGATGTGCCAGCCTGGCCGGCCTTTACCCCAGGGCGAGTCCCAGGCTGGCTCGCCTGCTTTGGAAGCCTTCCAGAGGGCAAAGTCGGATGCCGCTCTTTTGCCCGCCGAGCCCGTCAATGAGCCCTCGCCATCGGCAAGGAGCTTGGCGTTGCCTCGGCTCCACGGGCTTAGCTTGGCGTAGGAGTGGTTCCACTGCTCTTCGGTATGTGTGCCATTCATCTTCTTCGGCTTTGCATCCGCGAGGTCGTTGCAGTTGCAAGGCGCACCGTCAAAGCCGACAGTGTCAAAATAGACACTCCCGCCTGCAGCGTATGCGAACCCACGGTCGATAATCTGCTGTACATAGTCCACGATCTCCTCAACGAATTCGGACACTCGCGTGAGAGTTGTAGGCGGCTCGACGCTGAGCGCTTGCATGTCCTTGAAGAACGCCGCTTCCCACCTCGACGACAGGGCACGGAAGATAGACTTGTCTGTGACGGACGCGCCTTGCCGCTTGTCGAGATAAGGTCCAATGAGGTCAGCATTGGCAAGTACGAGCTCTCGCGCGTTGGGTGTGTTCGTCGTGAGGGCTTGCCAGGCCTGCATGCCTCTCTGGGCTGTCGCGATGTGCAGGCCGATCTTCTCATCGCGTTGTCGCTGTGCTTCGAGCCAGGTGGGATCACTCGCTTTGCTCGCGATGCTTTGTAGCGATGCGTCAAGGTCGACAGAGTCCGCGGTACGGGTCAGATCATTTGGAAACGCACGCTCGAGATGCTCGGTCAGTGCAGCTGCAAAGATGTCTGGAAGAGCATTGGATGGGCCGGAAGCTTGCTGCTCTGCCAGCTGGTCGACAAGGTAGACTTGTCGGGCTCTGACGATGATCTAAGCGACGCATTAGCGCGTCAGGCGACCGCGAGCCAAGCCGACGTGCCTTGTCGTCAATGTCGGTGATGTTCATGACGAAATGGACGTCGTAGCCAAAGTAGTCCCGCATGATTCTCCTGAGAATGTCTTGGGTGACATAATTTCTGCCAATGTCAGCCAGCCAGCTCAAAGTCAGATGCCTGCAACCTTTGATCATTGGGGCGACCGACCTTGCATGACCCATGTGGGAGGCATCGTAGACCGTCGGCCCGCAGCTGTACCAAGTGACGCTATTGCCGTTCTTGGGAACAAAGTCGACCTGGCAAAGGACGCTTGAGCTGGAAGCGTGCGCCAAAGCATTTGGGCATGCGCTTACCTTGCTTCGTGTGAGTGAGTTGAAGACCCGCAGTCGGACAGACTCGCCGGCGGACGACACAGGAGCTTGCCATTCTGTGCTGGCGGCCTTGCCCTTGGCCTTTGAAGCTTCACTGGCCATCTGTCGGGCGATTGTCGTTGGCGTCGTCGTCCTGCGCAGAATGCGGCAACGGGCTAGCGACGCTGTGGTCAGGCTTGCTGCACCTCTTGTTCTTATGAGCTGGTGCAGCTGACTGGTCCGGCGCATCAGCTAGCTTGTCGTTGCAACATATGTATTGGGAGCAGCAGCAGCAGCAGCAACAGCAACAGCAACAGCACTCAGGCTCCTCGTGTTCAAGCGACACGCGACGACGATATGAGCACATGCTGCATCTCAGTTGGACAGGTAGTCTTTGACCTCCGCCTCGGACAGCTTGCGGAATGTCGGTACTGTCCCTGCCTGACTCGCTTCGGCCGCTCTGTGTGTCCAAGCTGAGTGGATTGTGACGGGCAAGATGGCGTGCCACTCACGAGCCAATGATGCCAATCTCGACTGTCTTCTCAGACATCTCGCCCTCCTGGATCGGAGACAGGTCATCAGATGCGAGGCTAGGCTGCGCGGCTGAGGCTCACAAAGCCTTCTTTGAGTGTCAGCAGCGCGGTCGTAATCGCATCGTCGAGCTGCATCGAATCTTGATATCGCTTCTCGAGGTAGACCTGGCCTGACACGTCAGCGTTGAGGCCTGTCGAGTTCCTGCAGAAATCTCGCCTTTGCATTGTTCTGGTTCTTGCCGATCGCACTCGCCTTCCAGGCAAAGAAGCTCCCACTGGGATCGACTGTTGGGTGACGCGTCAGTCTTGAGGGCTCACGATGGACTTGTCTGGCATAGCTTGCCTTGCCATAGCGTATGCCCTCTTGCTGCGTCGTAGCCTGCGACCAGTAGACTCACGCCGAATGGTCGTACACCTCTGCGCCTCGTCAGCGGCCTGGCCAACGTCGAGTGATCAATCGTGTCACTGACCCTGATTGCGTGGCTTCTTGCATGATCGTCGCAATCTCTTGTACCATGACCCGTACCGGGCTGTACTCGCCGTAGATCTTCCAGTACGCCTGAGCGCTCTTCCTCGCCTTGGTGACGAGCAGTCTGAAATCAGGGCCCATGCCAGAGTAGACGATCCCGATGTTTGGGCAGATCAGTGAGACTTTCTCGATCATGCTGTCGTCTACGAGCACAGAGGCAGGCTTCTTCTCTGTCGCTATCACTACGCCGTTGGCTGCCTTGATGCCGAGCGATGTCGTGCCTGCCTGGACTGCTGCAAGTGCGTGCTCGATTTGTACCAACTGCGCGGCTCTTGTCCGCTTCAGTTTCGCTTCTCACGCAGGACGGACGCTCCACTCGCCTTGCCGGACGGACTGAATGTCGTCAGAGAGAAGCTGTACGCTCCTCCGCCTCCCGGTGCGGCCATTCTGTGGCTAAGCTGTCGCAGCACTCGGCGCGCGCGCAGCTCGTCCGCGTCATTGGACGATCGACTGACCTGCTGCAATGCTCAGATCAAGGCCAGCCACCGCGCTCACACGGCAGACAGCAGGATGTACATGCAGTCGATCGCGTCCGAGCATGACAAAGCCGTTCGTCAGTGCATTCGCAACAGCATCAGCCGGTCCATCCTCATCATCGACCCCTCATCCTCCTCGAGCGAGACGCTTCAACGACACGGTCGAGCTGCCAAGGGTCCAAGTGAGACTTGTCCGCGTGCCAGCTCACCTCCTTGTTGACCGCGCGCATCGCAGTCACGCTTTCCAGTCTATGCCGGCTTCGCGATCGTCTTTGTTTCCTCATGGGTCGCCTTTGTCATGTATGCGATGAATGCCGAAAAGGCAGCTTCATCGGGCACGCTTCATCTCTGCTCGAAAGCTTGCCTGGAATCTGAATGGCCAGCCGCTGCACAGTGGTACGAACGCTCAGTTTCAACCTCAAGACGTCGCCAGACGTCAGGGCCGCCCTCGGAGACGATGTCAGGCCTGTCAACAGCATCTTCGGCGAACCTTGGATTTCAGGTAACATTGGACTCCTCAGCGGATCTGTCGACATACATTTCCGCGTCCAGGGCAGCCGGGACGGAGGGACGGCTTACTTTACTTCAATCAGACGCACACAGTCGTCACCCTTTGAGATCCTCACGTGGAAGATCATCAAAGACTCGGGAGAGGTCATCCAATTGATACAACAGTAGTGATGTTGACATACATAAACTTCTGCATGCCTCATTGTTCGAGTTCGTCTGCGATCGCCTGGAAAACCAGAGGCGGGTAGCCGCGCTGACGAGCGAGCTCAACCATCTCGACAGCACGCGAGCGCTCGCCAGCTTCGAGTTCGGCTCGCACAGCGGCCTGGTAGGTTGATGGCTCGCGGAATGTCGTGCTGGTCTGTGCAGGACGAGCTTCGGCAGAACGGTTGGGGTGCCCTGCCACCCCTGTCGGCGGATCGCAAAGACCTTCAAAGACTGCTCTTGCTTGAGCAATCTGTCCAGCAGATGCGTACAGCTAGCCAACAAATGTCAGTGACGCTCGGCATGAGCAGCGAAAGGCTGACCTTGATGAGCTTATTGGCTATGTAAGCGGTCACCGGCACGCCCTCTGATCGCATCATCTGAGCAAATCGTTCGACGAGGTCGTAGCGTTGATGTGCCTGAAGCACCTCGAACAGAGTCTCGTAAACGAGCTCATCGCGCACATCCGCTACGCGACGTCGCCCAAGCGAGGGATGCGATGCTATGCTTTCGAACGTTTCGACTGCCTTATCCAGGTCGTTTTGAGCGATACCGTAGCCTCTTATAAGCGCCGTCCAGTGGATCGGTTGTACGCCGTAGCCCCCTGGAGCACAGAGCTCGTCGAAGATGCGCAATGCAGCCTGATTGTCAAAGGGCTGCAGGCCCGCGTGAATATCAATCATCAGTCGGTAAGTATGAGCCGTTGGCCTGAGACGAGCATTCAAAAGGCAATCGAGATACTGCACTGCGCGTTGCCGATCCGATTTGCCGATAAAATGCTGCATCAGTGAATTCAGAGGCGGCACGGCAGCTTTGTAGTGGCTGAGCGACGTCATCTCATCGTAGAGCTCGAGAGCACCTTCCTCGTCGCCCGCTCGGAGTTTGCCCGCGATAAGACTGCCATACGTCACATGGGTTGGGCGGAGACCGGCGGCTTTCATCTCCTCCAGTAATCTAGATGCCACGCCGATCCGCTTTGCCTTTGCTGATTTTGAGATGACGTTATTGTAAAGGAATGCGTTGGGCACACACCCAGCGGCCTTGGCCTCTTCGAAGATAGCTAGAGCAACCCGAGCATCATCTGTCGTACTGTGGGCGTGCTGAATCAGCAGGGCGTAAGCGTCTGCGCTCGGTCGAAGTCCTTCTCGATAAAGCCTGTCGCGATGGAGGATGGCATCGTCTATATGTCCGGTGCTCGCGAGAGCTATGATCATGCCACTCTCCAGTGATTGCCATAGCTCGATCATCGTCTGATGCGGCAGTGTCACATCAGACAAAAGCTCGTATGTCTGCAGATACAGCTCGCGCAAGGGCATGTCAGCCACCTTGTAGCGGCTCGCGCCCGCGCCCAGAGAGTCGATCAATTCGGTCATCGTTTGGACATAGGGCAGCTGTCCGCGGGCCAATGCGGTCTCATAGACTCGTAACGCGGAAAGCGATTGCCGAATCCTGCAGAGGTCGCCAATACGGTTCGACAAGTCACGGTTCGGCGGAGGAGCATCAGCCGCGCGTATCAGTCGCATCCTGGAGGATCTACAATCAGCGTGTGCAGGAGGCGGCAATTCTCGCCGCTCCGCCAAGCTTGGCGCGGCCACGGTTCCGACCGAGGAAGGCAAAGTGGAGGTTGGTGAACCTGTAGAAGGAGACGAGCTGACTGCGATGGTCGAGCTGCCATCTAACGTCTTAGATATGCCGGAGAGGATGCCAGCACGAGCGACCGGGTCAGACAAATCTCTTTTGAGTGATTCCGCGGAAAGTGTAATTTGGAGCGCATCTTGCGACGCAAGCAGGTTGGTCGCGATCGAGGCCGTATCGATTGACTGGTCATTTTCCAGAGCTGTGAGATGCGCCGCAAGGAGAAGAGCAACCTCACGCTGGCCGAGGCTGCTGTGCTCGTGCAGGTGAATTGCGCTTACAGCTGCTATATTTCTAGCAATGTCCGACGAATCCGGCGAAGCACGAACGACGTCATAGAGCATCGCTAGGGCCGACGGCGAGGCCGTGTAAGGCAACGCGCGCGTCGCGTCGGAGATGACAGCGAAGACTTGTTCGGGTGTGGAAGCGGCTGTCCAGTACGAAACTACATTGGCAAGCAGCTGTTCCGAGTCGGGGACCAAGACGAGGGCTCGTAAGATTGCGACCGCACTATTCTGCCTGGCATCGCGAACGAGAGCGAGGATGACAGCGCTTGTCGGCCGAGCCGTCGCTATTACGACCTCTTGCCATAATTGCATGGCAAGCGTCATAATCTCCGCACGCTCATGACGGGGAGTCGTGTCTTGCAGTGCATAAGCAGCTGAAAAGGCGATCACGTCGGCAGCAAGGGCAAAGCGCGTGTCATGCTTGACTAAGCCATGATCCCATTCGGGAGTGTTGACATTGTACGAGTACAGCTCGAACACATACTTGAGGCTTGCCAGAGTATGTTGCTGAATTGGCAGAGTCAAAATCTGTTCGACTATATAGTTTCGGACCGTGCGATCTCGAGATGGCGACATGAGTCCGAATGAATTGAACTGTGAGACACGTTGCTTAGCTGCATCGATCTTCCCGTCTCCAACAAGCGTCTTGGTAATAGCAGCGAGCATGCGACTTGCGCCTTGCAAGCGATCCACGGCTGCCACGGCGGCACTGCTCAGTGCAGCATCAAATCGGGACAAGCCCTCTGCCAGGTTGCCGTGACGGAGATGATAATCGATGAGAGAGGCATGCATGAGCTCGAATTCGTAATGCGCTAAACGCGCGCGATTATTCTGCGTTTTGGGATTCACAAGCTCATGTGAGGAGACGACGAGCTGGCATTCGTCAAACGCCTTGCGACTTGCGTCGGCTCCCGCCATGTCGTCGGCTCGCGTCTGAGCAGCTGCTAAGTAGGCATATAGTTTTTTCGAGGCAGGCGCAGCCTTGCCAGGCCCGAAAATGTCGAGCGCGCGGTAAGCAATGTCGAGCCGGTCTTCCCTGCAGGCAAGACAGAACACCTCTTCGAGGGCGTGAGGCTGAATGTTACTGGCATGGCCAGCAAGCGCCTCGATGAGCTTGAAAGCTGACTCGAGCTCGTCGTTGTGATCCAGTCGGGCATATTCTGCTTGCCGAGCATCCAGCGTGGCCGAGTCGACAAGGTTGGCTTCAAGCCTAAGCTGCTTTGCAAGAACCGTTCTGACGTTCCGCCGCAGATTAGCGGCTCGGATGTACGCCGTGATAGCATATGCAAAAGCACGATAGCTTGGCTGTAATTGATATTCAAGCATGCTTTGAAATATGCTTATGGACTCGGCTGGCTTATCCGGCAGTAAACGAGAGTAGGCGATGAGCAAACGCTCGTGTATAGCCGGATGATACATCGCCCGATCGACCATGTAGCTCTGACATATCTTCTCGATCGAGCCAGGATCTGGATGCTCATAGTCGTCGGCTCGAGCGAGAGCGGCGCTGATTCGGGTTTGCTCGGTAGACATTTGCAGACGTGTATCAGATAGGAGATCGGAACTGGATCGACGGCGCTCAGCAGTCCGTCGCCTCGGCCTTTGACCAACGGTCGAAGCTCTGCGGGTAAGCGCCGGCGGAAGCTCATTTGCAGGATGATCCTCATTTGCATACGCGGTCGTCGAATTCCGTCGACGTTGCTGTCGTGATGGCTCGGCGAGCATGTCCGGCCATGGCGTGCGTGTGCTTGAGCCGGGAATTATCGTCGGCTGAGCAAGCTCAGTCAGAGCAGACCGAGGTGTCTGCGTATCTGATTTGGCGGAGTCCGGATGGATAACGGTACGAAGTCGATCGTGCAGCAATCGAGAGACTTGTATGTCCGTTGCTGCAAGATCGCCGGCATTTGACTGCTGTCGTTGCGACGTGGATGCCAAGAGGCTTTTCGGGCGAATGGGACGCCATACCGTCTGCTGACCTGTCGAACGCCAGATGAGATTATCTATCCGCTGCTGCTGGCACTCTTCACGCTCGTCGTCCGAGCGGCCAGTCTCTTGACTGCTTGAAGAGGCCGACGTGGGCTGATTTGCAAGCTTTCCATGCTGTCGAAAAAGGCAGCGATCAGCGACTACAAACTGACTCAGACGAGCACATACGTTGTACGAGAACGTTCGCGAGCCTGCGTGCCACTTTGCACCTCCTGCGCCTCCGCTCGCGCCGCCAGTAGTCTGACTGCCCAAGCTCGATGAGCTGCTAGAGGCGTTGGTAGGACCAGCCGTCGTGGTACTGTTGCCCAGGTTTAGCGCCGACTTGAGCGCTTGGAATTGTTGGTGCGAGCGGTTTGCTAGATGGGCTAGCTTCCATGGCGATGCGCTGATCGCCGCTTTATACAGCATCCTGTCAAGTATTCTGCAAGAGAGCGCGGGTCAGCCTTCGCTCGGAGCCTGCACCACCTTGTCTTACCAGAAGCAAGATGCTCAGAGTCTATGTGTCGCCCATTGCCGCTGTTCGCGGCAGAGGATAGACCTGGAAGCCTGTGCCAACTTTTTTGATCGGTATGAAGGCACGGCACGGAGATATTCGGCCAAGTCGCGACGCAAGCGCCCGGCCGATCCCTGGACGACGTGGCAGTCCAGTCAGCGTGACGGGTAGAGCGAGCGAGGTCACTCCGAGGTAAGTTGCGCGATAGACTCGAGCGCCATGGTAGCGCCTGGTGATATGCGCCGAGAGCTCTCGGGCTCGACGGCTGCTCCTCTGACCAGGCGGTCCTCGGCTAGCTCGTCCACGACCAAAGTAGGGAGTGACTATTCCAAAGATGGCTACAGCTCGCTCTCCGGCAAGGCAGCGTCTGCCAAGAATCCCTCAACCTTCTGCCGTTGGGTCACGCGAGCGAATCAGCAGGCCGCGCCAGGATCGATCACCGGCCTCGGACGGTCATACAGTGTCGCAGATGACCCGGACCATCACTTCTTCCAGCGCGGTCTCGGCAGGCTCGACGACGGCGAGTCCGATTATGAGGACGACGACGATGAGGAGTTTGGTCTCGTCGATCTCGGCTATGACGACGGCATGCCCGTCCACGCGAACAACAACCTGAATGCGTTTCCGACAGGTCAAGACAAGGCGCCAGAGGACGAGGAGGTTGGCGCAGAGCTCAAGTTTGCCCAACTCGCGCAATGCATCTACTCTCGCCCTAATCAGTCTTTCGACATTCGACGTGGCTCCACCGGGCTCGAGACGCAGGATGACCAGCAGGGAACTGATCCTGAGAATCTTAGCGAGACCGAATCCGACGAGACGGACGCGAGTCTCAACGACGCTGCCGAGCGGTACGAATGGCAACACCTGCTCGGCCATGTGCTCGAGGGAGAGGTACTCAAATCTGAGAAGTCCCGCATACAGTCTAAGCTGGCCGACCAATCGGAAGACGTGGACAAGGAGAAGGAACGCATCGCAGATGAAATATGGCTCAAATTCAGAGCTCATGTTCGGGGTCGATCCATCGAGCAGGAGCTCGCGTACCTATCCGAAGCGCGTCTACAGATTGACGAGGTCACTGCGGACTGCCTCAGCTTCCGAGTCAGCGACATGCCTGGCTCAGATCCGGATCGACAAGTGGAAGCCTTCATCCGTCGTCTGGATTGGTGCGAGTCACTCTACCCTAGCATACGTCGACTGCAAGAGGCGAAAGCAGTGCCAGATCAGGTCCACCAGCGTGTCGATGCCTTGCTGAGTTGGCGCTCCATTTCGACACGGCTCAAGACTCAGATCCGCATCCTTCAGCGCTGGACAGGCAATGAACGCCTTGAAGTCACGCGACCCCGGAGACAAGCTCACGACGGCACAGAGTTTAGCCCAACGGGTAGCATGAGCATACCAGATACTTCCGTGGACTCTGATCGCAAGAAGATCATCGACACTTCTACCTTTGTCGAGCGACTGCTCAAAGAAGACTCACTCACCAAAACCTTTGGCACACGCACACTTCAGCTGCATAACAGTCTGGTGACAGCAGCCCGAACGACGCTTGTAGCGCATCACGAGCTGATCGTCGAGATGAATCTGCCATCCTTCATGGAAGACCTCGTCACCGTTGCTGCATTTCCTGCTTCACTGATATATGAAGCGCTACGTTTGCGACTGGAATACGTGCAAAAAGTCAATTTCAACGACAACCCTTCGATCGTCTTGATCGATCAAATCACAGACGGCTTCAGGACTTCGCTAACGCTCGCCTGTCAGATCAAGCAGCTCTACATTGCCAGCTCGCAACCCTTGCCAGAGATCGGCTGGAAGTTGCCTGATCTCGAGAAAATTTACGACGAGACCTTGTTAGAGACACTCCGATTCTTCTGCAAGCTGCTCCATTGGAAGCTCAAGTCCGAATCAAAGTCGATGTATCTCAAGGAGACGGAAATCGTGGAGGGCGAATGGAAATTTCTCACTGATCTCAGTGGCTCGCTAGAGCAGATTCAGGGCGGTGATATGCTTGTTGCAGAGCATTTCAGGTCAGCCTGGAATCCAATCTTGACGGATCGTGCTAATGCCATACCTGCAGCATGTTGACACACCGACTTATGCAGCGCGTAGTCAGCTACTTCACAGAGCAGCTCGAAGTCTTACGCAGTCGGCCAATGACGGACACTGATATGACGCGCTGGTTCAGTCAGACCCTTGACAACGTTCGTGTGCGCCACATCAAGCTCATGCGATTCGGTCGCTCGATGCTCCAGAGATTCACCAACAGCTCTGAATACTACCTGGACGCAGTCGATGTCAAGCTGTTCATCAATGCGCTCACAGAGACAGACCATTTCTTCGTCTACACTGGTGTCTTTGAGGCTCAAGGCATCTACATCGTTGCCACACCATCCCTGCAAGACCGACCGGATATGGTTCGGCGTATCTTAACGCGCTGCTTCAGCGTCATCAGTGCATCAGAGTCTGCCGCTTTGACGCCGGAAGGCGATGAGTATGCTGACTCACTGCCTGCCGGCCCAGCCTACATCCTACTGCTCACGCCGCGCGATCCCTTCCTTTGGTCCGGCCGAGTGATGAATCTCGAAATCAACAAGCTCGATTTGGATCTACCAGAGCGCCGCGTACGTCTCGTATGCGACGGCAGACCGGAGAGCCTGTTCCAGGCTCGCCTGCATCTGCTCGAGCAATTTCCGATCTTCCGGTCACAGGTTGCTTGCGAGCGCATGGCTCATCTTGCAAATGTCAACCGCGAGCTCAAGAAAATCCGGATGGCCGGGGCAAAGCTCGTGTCCGGCATCGTCACCGCCGTCGACCGTGTTCGTGAGGTGACGAAGCATACAGAGGGTCAAGAAATCTTGCTGGCGAACTATTTCTCATTCGCTGCCGATCTCGGTCAGCGCTCTGTGCGCAACATGGAGCCTCGCTTCAAGGCGAAACTCATTCCGCAGCTAATCGAGCTGGCCATCAAATGGGTTGCCTTCATTTCAGCCGATTGCACGCCATCCGATAGCAGAACGTTCAAGTGGGCGGTGCAGGCGCTCGAGTTCGCGATGACAATGACACGCGGCGACAATATTCTGCGCTTGGACACGGATGATTTTGCTCGACTGAGAAGCGACGTCGCCAACTGCATGACGCTGCTCATCTCGCACTTTGATATCCTTGGAGCCAGATCAAGCTTCGAGATCAAGAAAGACAAAGAGAAGGAGTCCGCGGCGAGCGAGGAGATGAAAGCTCAGATGCGCGAGAGATTGCTTCGATTGAAGACTATGGCAGCGAAGTGTGAGCTGACGAATTCGAAAGATGCCCTACGCGATGCCGGTTACCGATCGCTCTTCGAATCGATGCACATCGTCGCTGACCGGTGGGCCGAGAATGCCCGCGAGCTCGACGAACAACGGCAGGCGGTTGACAGTGAGATGCGCATGATCGGTCATGTGCTCGACAAGAACCGTGCAGAAGATCGCGGCCTACTATTTCTTGCCGCTTCAGCTTCGAATATCTCCATTCGATGGCAACAAGGCCGGTACATTGGAGGTGGTACCTTTGGGTCTGTCTATGTGGCAGTTAACCTCGAATCCGGAGATCTCATGGCGGTGAAGGAAATACGCTTTCAGGATCTGGCGTCTGCACCTACGGTCATCAAGCAGATTAGAGACGAAATGCTGGTCATGGAGATGCTGAAGCATCCCAATATCGTCGAATACTACGGGATTGAGGTCCATCGCGACAAGGTCTTCATCTTTGAAGAGCTCTGCCAAGGTGGCTCCCTGGCAACGTTGCTCGAGCATGGTCGGATCGAGGACGAAAGCATCATCCAAATCTATACGTATCAGATGCTGGATGGCCTCATGTATCTACACACCAAGAACATCGTGCACCGCGACATCAAGCCGGACAATGTCCTGCTCGACAAGGCCGGCGTCATCAAGCTCGTCGATTTTGGTGCTGCAAAGGTGCTTGCTCAGAATCAAAAGACGATGGCAGCTCGGTCCAGGGTTGTGAATCCCAATCCGACCGGACCTGGCGCCCTTGGACCTAACGGCATGCCCGAGCCCGGTCTGAACAGTCTGACAGGAACGCCCATGTGGATGTCTCCAGAAGTCATCAAGGGCGAGAATCGTGGTCGAAAGGGCGCGATGGATATCTGGGCGCTTGGTTGCGTCGTCCTGCAATGCGCGACTGGCAAGCTGCCATGGGACAAGCAGGATAACGAGTAAGTCTGCCGATATAGACGAGACAATCTGCTGACGTCTCCTGCAGATGGGCCATTATGTTCCAGATTGGCATTGCGACTAAGCATCCGCCATTGCCCGAGCCGCACGAATTATCCGAGCTTGGGATCAATTTCATCAAAGAGTGCCTCAATCTCGATCCCGAGAAGCGCGCTTCGGCTGCAGAGTTGATGCAGCATCCATGGATGCGGCAATTCGAGGCCGAAACTGGTCAAAGCTACGCGGACGAAGTAGGAGAATCAGAGGATGAGGAGTCACCACTGGCTCGGCGATCAAAACGAGCGGAAGCATCCGCCTTAGAGGTCGTCGGGGAAGAGGACGAGGAGTATGTCGATTCGTTGAGCGAGGAGCCTGCATTTTCCTAGGGCGGTACCACGGCGTGTAAAGGCATCTGTACATTGCACACAATTCATACGACACGGGCAAATTGCCGAGCTGGACCTCGTGTGCCTCTAGAGATTGCAATGTGTGCTGCTCGCATGTCAGAGAGTTCTTGCGCTGGCGTTCGAAACGCTCACCATGCTTCCGTTGACGGCCAGTTCCGCCAACTCGAGCCGACTTGGACGCGCTTGTCTTTGCGCGACTGGAGAGCAAGGATTTGCGCGAGAAGAGCCGGTTGCGGACGAAGTTTTCTGCTTGTTTCGGCGGCAGCGAGCTGCCCGCGAGCGGTCTGTTGAGACTCGGGTCATCTGGCAAGTGCTGAACGCGGATATCGCTACACGAGGGCGTGCATTAGCGTATAAGACTTATGAGCAGACGGGACTTGCCCGACTTGGCGCGCATCGGGTCGAAGCAGGGGAGGCTGTGGTTTCCGGTCGACGGCTTTGATCTTCTGCTGACGCCGCTGCTTGGCCTGTATCGCTTGCTTTGATTGCCGCGCGGCTTCGTGCGCTTTTGCAGCAGCCGCAAACAGGCTGGGATCGAGCTGTTCGGACTTGCGAGACCGAGAAGCCTTCGTGGACACTGCGTCGACATCCTGCGTGACTAGCCTGCGCTTTTTCGACGCCGCTGCGGCTTGCTTCAGGCGAGCATCACGAGCCCTGTTGGCCTCCTTTCGCTGTTCCTTTGCTAGCGCCGAGGCAGCAGCGTCTGCCTCTGCACGAGCTTCTTCTATAGACCGGTTGCGAGCAGAGAAGACAGTCTCGGGCGGAGCATCTTCGTCGTCGTCGTCGTCCGAGATATCAGGAGCAGCATCGTTGAGACTGGAAAGTCTTTCCTGGGTCTGCAGTGAAGTGGACGCAACCGGGCTGCCGTCATCGTCAGTGAACTTGAGATGCTTAGGCGCCGTCTCTGCCTTGCTGCGTGCGCTTGAGGTCGATCTCAGCGTGCGAGGCATGTTGAAGAGCGACGGCCTGCGCCAAAAATCTCTCGACGACGGCGAATCTCAAAAGGCTGACAACGACGACGACGACGACGACGACTGGGACGGCCTCTCGTTGATCGCCGCCCTCCATAGACGTGCGGGTAGAGGTACAGACACTCGACGGATTGGCGACAAGCAGGCCCGACCATGTCGAGCAGCTCAGCACCGACGATACGATCGAGTGAGATCAAGCAATTGACGCTTCATAGAGGCTTGCCGAGCCTGCTTCACATCTATGTCCTGCCCTTTCTCGCCGCCTATCCGTATGCGATACACATCTACACGAACAGGCCAGTGCTGTGTGCATCTCTGGATGCGCAGGAGCTTAAGCTGCTCTTGGCTTGCGCAGATATGATCAGGTCCTGGGCGATCAGGCGAACACCTTTCTGCTCTGTCTAGTGCTCTTCGGGAGCCATGCGCTCAGCTTCCTGTCGACGAGATGGTCTACAGGCATTCGTGCACGAACAACAGCCTATCCTGTCCGTCGCTCAGTGAAGCTACTGCAAACGCTCGCGCTGACGTGGCACGGTCTTTGCTCTTCAGGCATCCAGCGTGCAGTCAGCCGAGATCGTCAGAGTCATCCCTCACTTGCACCGTGGTCCCGGCGAGCTGTGCAAGCTGCTGAGATCCCGCAGACCGGATGGATCGCAACAGATTTACTTTGTCTATCAGCGCGACAAGTTTACCTACGATCCTCAGTCGCATTGCTTCGTGCCCCTGGAGTATCCTTGTGACGTCGACAAAGAGCTGTCCGGATTCCAGAGTTCGCATGGCATCGATGCACAAGACAAGCTGGACGCTGCACAGGCAGACTATGGCAAGAACATCTTTGACATCCCCGTGCCGACATTCAGAGAGCTCTTTGCCGAGCACGCCGTCGCACCCTTCTTTGTCTTTCAGCTGTTCTGCGTCGGTCTCTGGTGCTTAGACGAGTACTGGTACTACAGCATCTTCACGCTCTTTATGCTCGTCGTCTTTGAATGCACCACCGTCTTTCAGCGGCAGAAGACCCTGGGCGAGTTTCGGACGATGTCCATCAAACCGTACAACGTCTACGTGCGACGGCTGACCAGATGGGTCGAGATCGCATCAGACGAACTTCTGCCTGGTGATCTCGTGTCTATAGTCAGATCGAAGGCCGACTCGGGCTCGCCCGCCGATCTGCTGCTCCTTGCAGGCTCTTGCATCGTCAACGAAGCCATGCTGTCCGGAGAGTCAACGCCGCTGCTCAAAGAGTCTATCGAGCTCCGGCCCGGCTCAGACGTGCTTGACATCCAAGGCGCGGATCGCAACAGCGTACTCTTTGGCGGTACGAAGATCCTGCAAGCTACGAGTCCAGACGAGCGACAGGATCTCAAAGCGCCAGACGGCGGATGTCTTGCCCTCGTTCTCCGGACCGGCTTCGGCACTTCACAGGGTCAGCTCATTCGCACTATGGTCTTTTCGACCGAGACCGTGTCTGCCAACAATTTCGAGAGCTTCATGTTCATTGCGTTTTTGCTGGTCTTTGCCATTGCTGCCAGTGCTTACGTCTGGATCAAAGGTGCGCTCATGCGCTCCGAGACAGATTGATTGCTGACTTGAAGACGTAGGTGTCGAGATGCAGCGTCCCCGCATGAAGCTACTGCTCGACTGTGTCATCATCATCACTTCAGTGGTACCACCGGAGCTACCGATGGAGCTCTCACTTGCAGTCAATGCCTCACTTGTCGCGCTGTCCAAGTATGCCATCTTCTGCACAGAGCCATTCCGCATTCCGTTCGCGGGACGAGTGGACGTCTGCTGTTTCGACAAGACTGGCACCATCACCGGCGAGAACCTCGTCGTCGAAGGCGTAGCTGGCACAGTCGCTGATAACTCCCGCTCGCTCGTTGCTGTTGGAGAAACATCCTACGAGACCACGCTCACCCTTGCGTCGGCACATGCGCTAGTGTTGCTCGACGATGGTATCGTGGGTGATCCGATGGAGAAGACCACGCTTGATGCACTTAGATGGAAGGTGTCCAAGGGCGATCAGATCTCGCCGCAAGAGAAGGACGCGCGTCACAGAGCTGTACTCAATGTCAAGCGTCGCTATCAGTTCTCTTCGGCGCTCAAACGCATGTCGACTGTCTCGACTCTGGACGTAAAAGGCTCTCGTAAGACTTTCGTCGCCGTCAAGGGCGCGCCAGAGACTCTACGTACGATGTACAGCAGCGTACCGGCAGACTACGAGGCCACCTACAAATGGTTTGCCCAGCGAGGCAGTCGAGTCCTTGCGCTTGGCTACAAATGGATCGATGGCGTGTCAGAGAGTCAAGTCAGGACACTGGACAGAGAGCGGGTCGAATCTTCTTTGATCTTTGCCGGCTTCCTTGTGTTCCATTGTCCGCTCAAAGCAGATGCAGTCTCGACGCTCAAGGCTCTCAATGATTCGTCTCACCGATGCATCATGATCACCGGCGACAATCCATTGACGGCAGTTCATGTGGCCAGAGACGTCGAGATCGTGGATCGCGATGTGCTGATATTAGATCTCAAGGAAGGTGCAGCTGGGCAAGACGACTTTGTCTGGCGGATGCCCGACGAATCAAAGATCATTCCGGTCGACATCGAAGCGCCAATAGAGCAAGATGTGCTCGACAATTATGATCTCTGCATGACCGGCACGGCTCTCAAAGCCTTTGCTGAGCGTCCCGCTTGGCAGCAACTCGTCCAGCATGTCTGGGTCTATGCTCGCGTATCACCAGCGCAGAAAGAGTTTATATTGACCTCCCTCAAAAATCTCGGTTTCGTTACGCTGATGGCAGGTGACGGAACAAACGATGTCGGCGCGTTGAAGCAAGCCAACATCGGTGTCGCGCTGCTTGACGGATCGCCGGAGGATTTGCAAAAGATTGCTGAGCATCAACGAACCGAGCGTCTGCGCAAGGTTTACGAGACGCAGCTCAATCTCTCTATGCGATGGGGTCAGCCGCCACCGCCTGTGCCTGCGGTCGTTGCCGCAGCCTTCCCAGACCTCGTCAATGCGCAGAAGGAGCAGCGCGCAAAGTATGACGCAGAGCGCACGCGCAACCCTGGCAAGCGCCCTGCCTTTGATTTGAGCGCTTTGACCGGCAAGATGGCCGACATCGATGATGAGGAAGGCCCGCCTCAGATAAAGCTGGGCGATGCATCTGTCGCCGCCCCCTTCACTTCTAAGCTATCCAACGTTGTCGCTGTAGCCAATATCATCCGACAAGGAAGATGTACTCTCGTTGCGACCGTGCAAATGTACAAGATCCTCGCCCTGAACTGTCTCATCTCTGCTTATGCGTGTGTTAACGGCTCCTTGCTGCGCCTATATTTGTGCTGACCATCAAGTCAGGCTTTCGGTTCAATATTTGGACGGCATCAAGGCCGGCGACTACCAGGTCACGGTACAAGGCATACTGATGAGTATCTGCTTCATGTGTATCTCGCGCGCCAAGCCAGTGGACGGCTTGTCGAAGAAGCGACCGCTTGGCAATATTTTCAACTTCTATGTTGCTATGACGGTCCTCTTGCAATTCGCAGTCCACATTGCTGCGCTAGTATACATTACCAGCGTCTGCAAGGGCATCGAGCCTCACTATCAGAAGGTTGATCTGGAAGCCAAGTTCGAGCCAAATCTGCTCAACTCTGCTATCTACCTTCTGTCGCTGTCTCAGCAGATCTCAACATTTGTATTCAATTTCGAAGGCCGCCCATTCAGAGAAGACATCTCGGAAAACTCGGCGCTATATTATGGCCTGCTCGGTGTGGCAGCAGTGGCTGTCAATGGCGCAACGAATTTTCAGGAAGATGTCAACAAATGGCTTCAACTGACCGACATGACGCTCGAATTCCGCTTGAAGCTCATCCTCACGATGGCATTAGACTTTGGAATTGCCTACCTGATGGAGGTGCTGGCGAGGTACCTGTTCGTGTCAAACGCGCCGAAAGATCTCATCACTCGCGGTACAGAGAGGCGAGAGGCTCGCAGGGTCGAGGAGAAACGCCTGCTGGCGATCGAGCTCGCGCGAATCGACAGCGAGCAATTGCTCATAGAGAAGAAAGAGCTGTAGCCTGCATTGCATACGCAGATAGAGTCTGACAATTTGGAGATGCGTCTGATTGCCGGTGCGGACAAGAGGAAGGTGCGATTAGGATCGAGGCGAGTGCACAGCCACATCGTGGCCACAGCTCGGCCAGTGGTCCATATCCACGCTTGAGCTAGCTGCAAGGATATACCGACCATGGTCCCCACAGGGCCAGACGATGGTCGGTAGACAACTTTACTAATTTCTCGAGACAAGCCACGGCTATGGGAGTAGGGAATGCATGCATTGACAAGCCGGGGTGCGCGATTCGTCATCAGCGAGAGCAATGGCGAGAGAGATGCCGCGCAGGATTGTATCGACACTGATCTGCCGANTCGAATCTCCCGGGGTACGTATCATCCAGGTTTCCGTTAGCTTGCTCTGTCTGATGCAGACGATGCGAGGAAGATCGGTGATGTCAATGAGGGTGAGAATGTATATTCAAGGTAGGCGATTGTCGATATGCAAGCGAGTCGGTGTCCAAGTCATGACGGGTCGAGAGATGGCCAGAGCAATGCATATGACCAGTAGTCTGACAATGAAGCTGATGAGTTAGCAAAGCGAGCGTGCTGTTGCGTCGGCGAAGACAGGAAGACAGATGATGATACTGAGCGAGTGCGCGCTAGTGCGCGCTAGGTCGTGTGTACAAATCGACGCGAATGAAGGTGATCTCAACTAAATCTGCGAGCAGAGCGAGATGTCGAAGAAAAGTCACGACAGAATATCTGGTGTAATCTGACTGACCAAAAATATTGGACAACTCATGAAGAGACGAGAGAGATGCAAATCGAATCGTCTGATCAGACTCACGAGAGGGACCGAAGGAATCGAATGCTTGGATTGAGGAGCGTCTGTGGCCGAGTAGGGTCGCGGCTAGTCAATCGAGCTGAATTCTTCCAGCGTGTGTTGCGATTTCGCAACAAGCTGAAGGCCTAGTTTACGTTTGCGAAAGCGTGACGGGGATGTAGAGGTGGATTGGATTGCCTATGGCCAGACTATAAGTGCAAGAAACCACCGAANGGGAGAACCGACTGTGANCGGCGCTGATCGATGATCAG